TTCTGAAAAAAGTTATTCGTTTCAGAAGGGCATTCCGATTTTGGCGTTTTCGCGTTCATTTCCAGGCGATTCGTTTCAGTCTTCCGCTTCACCCCTGTGAGTGTGTCCGCCATGGATGCAGTTTTTCCAATTTTTTTAAAATTTTTGTAAATGGCCAACGTAATGCAATTCATTCGGGTGATGCGTTGTACAAGATAAAAACACTCGACGAAGTCAGTTAAGCAGGGCTATTTTCTACCCGATTGCCCAGCGATGCAACTACATACATAATTTTTCCACCTTGCGGATCGTTTTACAAAGTAGCCTGCTCCCCCCCCCCCCTCGCTTTCCCTTCTTCCAGTTGCGGCCCCTGCCGGTCATAGCAGCGGCATCCGCCGTCCTTGGGTGCGACGTGCGCCCCCATTAGGTGTGGTTTGCCCCTCTTCGGTGCGGCTTCCGCCCCCCGCAGGTTCGACCTACCCCCTTCTTGGTTGCGGGCCGCGCTCCTTGTAGGTGCTGCCTGCGCATCTCATAGGTGCGGCGGAGGTCCCACTTCGGTGCCGCCCCGGCCTGCCCGCCCCGCGCCCCACCTTGAGTCCCGGCCTGCGCCCCGCAAGGGGCCGCCGGCTTTTGCGTGCGCGATGCCAACGCGGCGGGCCGGCCCGCGCTTGGGGGGGGGGGGGCAGCGAGGCGGGCCCTTTTCTTGACGGCGGAGCGCGCCGCTTGTGGCGGCGGGGAAAGTGAACGCGCTCGGCACATTCCAAGTCCTCGACTAGACCCGCAAACGCACCATCGTGCTGCTACTTCGGTACGAAATTACGGCCAACATCGTGGAAAAGGGTGACGCCATATCGCAATGCGCCCCATCTGTTTGCATCGTTTCGTACGGATGTGACAACATCATCTGGCTTGTCGGTAAAGTAATCACATCGCATTCATCATTCCCCCGTGGTCGTCTTTCGTTGAGCTTGAAATCCGGCTACTTACTCCGTGTTACGGAGCGGGGAAATATCGAAATTTTTCTCGTTTAGATGCTGCCCTACGTACCATACCGAACGCTAAGCAGACTTGTCAACTGCTTCGAAGTCGTCAACTCATTCAGCTCGTCGCCTGATCGTCTAGATTTTTGCTGTCGTCGCATTAGATCAGCAGTGCCAGCTTCTCTTAAGGATTGACGCCGATCCGATCCCAATTATCAGGCCGGTGCCAACGTGTTTTTTTTTATGCGAGCTCCTTTTTGGAGAACGGGACCACCACGAAAAAAAAAACAGATGTCACAAGTGCTTCAGGCTTATTAATTTCCTCTGTCTATCGTTTCTCTTGCGTTCTTCCCTCTTCGACGAAGATGAGCGTACGAGTACACTGCTCTTGGAGCGGTCCGGTCCGAGCGGTCGCGGCCTACCTCCTCCTGTCACCACGCGTAACAGATGTCGCTGGCCTGACGCTGAGCCGGGATGGCGGCGTGACTGACCGAGTACGCCGTGTAGACGAGAAAAGGGCCTCCGGAGCAAGCGAAGGCGACGCCACGGTTACGCCGACACCGAAAAAGTCTCTGCTGCAGAAAAGGCAGGTCGGACTGCAGACCAACGGAGGACTTGCCGGAGCTGGACAGCAGTGGACAAACCAACAACAGCCCGCCGCTCAGCAATCATTGGGAGCCCAGCAGCAATTAGCAGCCCAGCAGCAATTAGCAGCCCAGCAACAACTCGCAGTTCAGCAGCTGGTTGCTGGCCAGCAACCACAGGCCGCGCAGCAGCAACTGATGGCGCAACTGCAACAGTCGCAACAAATCACACCGCAGCAGCAGCTGGCACTGCAACAGCAAATGGCCGCACAGCAGCAACAGTTTCTTGGCTCCTCCGGCCCGCAGAATCAGGCAGCCGATCAGGCCGGCTGTTTCAACGACTCCTGCGGAGGAAGTACCTCGACCGCAGCGCAGCCCGTCGTCGCGGGGCAGCCTTTGCAAGTGGCCGGAAGCGGTGCTAACGGCGGGAACTCGATGCTGGGTGCTCCGCAACAACTCGCCTATCGCAGTCGAAAAGATCATCCGGCGCCCCCCACCCGGAGGGAGGTACTTGGTTAAAGGATATGACCACGCATATTAACAAGAAAGAGATCGTTTTTGTAAGCGCAAGAAGATAGGCATTGTACTTACTTGAATTTTTGTATTGCTGCAGGAAGTAGACAATCGCGCAGCGTTCGCGCACGCGGACGCGCCGTGCATATGCAGTCCTGAAGTACATATATTTTGTGCATGTTCCTCGTATGTAGATGTACCATGCGAAAAGAGTCACAGGGCCATTCCTGTCTGAGTCACAGGGCACACAAAAAGCACGCCTGCTGCCGCGGCGGGGGCGAACAAGGAACTTTTTTCATATGGATACCGCACTGGGTGCTGGTTTGGTGCCAGGCAGCGGCGACACGGCAGCGAGTCAGCTCGTGACCACCGCCCCCACAACGACCACTCCCTGGGTCTTCCCTGACTACAGCGACGCCGGCGACTACCCGGGCCCGCCGAACGGGCAGAGCGGGGGCAACCTATTCCGATAAAAAGTGCTGCCCCAACCCAGGAGGTTGGAAATGCTTCTGAGACAAAGTTTCCAATTGGAATTGTCTTGCATGATGAAAGGGCTACATATCTTTCTGGTACAGAATCTAGGATCTTTTGTAGAACAGGGCCGCCTGCTCTTCCTGGGAGCTACTCAGCGTTGAACATTTGCGATGCTGATACATGCAAGATGGGGGCGAGGAGCCGTGTTGCCAACAGGAGGAAAAGCTTTGCAATGCAAATGCGTCCAAGCATTTCTGGGGGTATTTTTCAATATGATACAACCCGACTCCGCCAAACGTGTTGCTGGACAGCGTCGTGGTGTACGAGACCAACGTCGCGAACCTGCCCTGCAACTGCAACACCAATTGGTACCTGGACTGCGGACGCACGAGGACGCTGGAGTGCGACAGCGGCGGGGCCGCCGGCGAGAACGGGAAAGAGATCGACCTGTCCGAGGCCAACAAGTCCGCGTTCTGCATGACGCTGCACCTGTGCTGCAACGATAAGTGGTTCGACGCCCAGAAATTCGACCGGGACCAGTGCAAGCAGATTCGGGCGACGGACCCGCAAAACTTATCAACTGCAAAAATGTCTGGGTCAGGATGATTTCGGGACTTGTCATGCTAGTCTGGCATGACTCTGAGCTCTGTATTGCGTGGCCGCAAGGAGCACGTTTTGCCTGTCATACGAAAACGCAGTTTCTAATGCGGAATACGCAACGCAGAACCACAGAAAAACTTGTCATGCTTTGCAGTGCATTACAGTGTGCACATTGTACGCTGACTTGCATCACAAGTTTCCAGACCCAGACTTTTTACATTTGATAAAACTCCATGTACAACAACGACTGCGACCAGTGGGGCTGCTCCATTTGCTCGCGCATGATGAAAAACATCAACGTATCCCGTGTAAAAACGTCTCCACCCCCCCCGCCCCCAAATTTTATTTGTCCCGCAATTCTGTATGACCGAAGTTTTTCTCGTGCGCAAGAAATACATTCCTTCGCCACAACATGCGCGGCATTTCCTAATTACACAAAATAGAACACACTGCACCTGCAGGTTCCCTGCATCTGGGAGTTTGTCGCGCTAGAATCTGGGTCAGCGTATTAATTTCTCCTGCGGCTGCACTAGCGAATAAGTACGATAAAGCTACCGGCCCAAACTTGTCCCGCGCAAGACAAGCTTGATGTTAGTGTCATGCACAAGACAGCACAAGACTCTTTTGCTCGTGGAAGGAAGCAAAATAACTAGTCTTTGAGGTCGTGGGGGCGGTTTTTCATTGGATGCGACGATATCAAATGTAAAAGTGTCTGGGTCTGGAAGAATGCAACTTGTCGTGCTAAATCAGAAGCATGCAAAAATCTGTGTTGCATGATTACCAAAAGCCGTGTTGTTTTGACCAAGTCGGGAGAAAGTTTCTCACGCAGGATAGGCATGAGAGAGATCGCGCAGAATCTGTCATGCTAGGTCCTGCATTCCAGACCTCATGGGTCATGGAAAAGCTGCATGACAGATCGCGAATTCTTCCAGACCCAGACATTTTTACATTTGATAGACGACGACGGGAAATGGGTGGAGACGGGGGGCAAGGTCGCCTACGGCGACTATCAAAATGAAAAATCCCCCCTCCCCATATCAAAACGAAATTTCTGATGCTGGATTTGAGTACACAAATCAGCTTTGTATTGCAGGAAAGCATTGCAGTCGGGTCCCCAGGCTAGGTAGGGGCGTATGCGTCTAGTTGTTCAGCATGGCAAGCGGCTCCCCTTTAGGCCCAACAGCATGACAAATCGCTTCCATAATGGGGCGGAAGCTTCTGCCCTTGCCTTCTTGCAAAACAGACGTGACTTGTGACCTCAAATCAGCAACACAACTTTTCGGAAACATGCCTTTTCAATATGGGGAGGGGGGTCTTTCCTCTCAATAGCGACGGGCCTAACTTCTTCATCGACGGCAACCAGGACTGGAAAGTCGCGTTTTGGTTTGAAAAGGACGGGGACAACCTGTTGAAAAACATCCACACCGAGGTGTCCCAAAACGGGAAAAAGATGTACTTCCAGATCTGCGCCTCCCCGTGCAACGACGAGCAGTTCGCGCGGTACACCGCGGGGGAGTACGTCGGCGATGAGTGCGACCCGGCGGTGAAGAAAACGGGGTCAGAACTCGGAGCCACGGACGGAGACGGCGGACCCAAGTGCAACCAGATGTCGAGTCCGCCGCGGCACCGCGGGGAGTCCACCAACCCCAGTTTGTACAAGCAGATGTTCACAAAGTCTCTGCAGGGCGAGTGGACCGGAACCTTCTCGTCGAACTGGGGCGGATCGGGGGACGGGCTGAACGCCATGGGGTGGATGGACCAGAACGATGAGCGGTGCGGTGACATCTACCCGGGCCCGTGCCCCCGGGATTTCAGCTCCGGGTGCAGCGGGGGAAAGTTCTGGGGCTTCAAACTGAAGCAGAATGCCGGGCCGACCCGGTGAGTGAGGAGAAGCAAGCGCGGACGAAACTGTTAAGCACTCACCTGTCGGACAAGATCAAGAGCCTCCGGACACCACGACGTTTCTTGCCTTTACATACAATGACGTTCTTCAGCATTTCTTTTTCGTTCACACTGCAACACAATTTATTTCAATTTCGCTTGTTTTATTCCGAACACAAACTTTCCCAGTACTGGAGGTAATGGCTATAGAAAAAGATTCATGGTTTTATTATATCCAATGTGACAGACCAGTAGTAATATTTTTACGCATACACTTCAGCGCCTAAATTTTCTTCTATCGTTCGCAGAGGTTTTTGACTTTCTTTCGTTGATTCTAATCACCTTGCATGCATGTTGTTACGATTTTCTTTTTTCACACACTATGTACAGTTCTTTGTTTTTGGCCTCACGCAGTTTCCATTCATTGTTTCCATACAGCAGGAGGCGGGACTAGGAGGACATTATCAGCAGGCGAAAAGAAATCTCATCTGCAGCTACGAAAAGTGTCATTTATCCGGGAAAAATTGTCTGCTTAAGAAAACTGTGCCATCCAACAAGATGAATGCGAGGCTGTTGGCAGAGTCGTCCGATAATGTGTTCAATTGTACTAGTAGATGAGCACGGGCCTCTTGAGGATCTCCAATCTGCACATCCCAGTGTTGCGACGGAAGAATGTTAGCAAAGCCTTGTAATGAAGATCTCAAAGACATATTTTTTTTCGCCCCGCAGGCGCAACACAGCTTTTTTGTAGTTCCGTACAGAATTATTACTTTCTAGAGGATAGCAGTAACAAGTGCTGGACGAAACTAATTGGTTTTAGATAGCACGTAAAATGTGCCCGACGTGAAGTGAAGGCCGCACTACTCGACGTAACCTCGTGTCTGAGGCATGAACATGATAAGATCGATTCTATTTTGTATAGTGACGATTTCTGTCTCGAGTGATCTTCAAAGAACTTTAACAAAGTAGAGCAAAGCCGCCGCAAAACGATCAACAAACCTTAGTGCGTTCAAACTGCGCAAAGTGGCCGCGATAGTCTCGTTGTAGAAGAATTTTTAGAAAGAAGTACATACTGTATCCCGCCATTCAAAGAATTAATAGTTTTCGAAACCCGTGGCTGCGACCTGGCTGTTGTAGTTAGCGTTTTTGAAAAATAAATGCGACAACCTAATTTGTGACTGTATGCAAACTGGTGATACTGACTCCGCAGCGGCTGGTGATAGTACTTATTAGATTGTTCTTTTTCTCACTTCACTTGAGAAATCGTAGCGCACCCAATTTTATTTTCCATACATAGTTTTTCCCTTTTAGACACAGCTCGCTGTTTTATGCTCTTTATCGCGCGGAGTGTATTGTCGTTTTTATCAAAGACAAAAAACCCTCTCGTCGAGTTTTCTGAGCCAAGAAGACATCGACACTTTTTCCGGTTGATGTGTAAGATTTGTTCGCGACCCTAACCCGTAACTTTTTACTCTGTAGGCTCTGTGCAATCAGTACGCTGCAGGCTGTTTTGGGAGCACGCAAGGCAGCTTTAGAGTTTTCAAAATTCTAGAGAACTACCACTTTCGACGACTCCGAGCAGCGCATTAGAGGCAGCTGCTCTCCACACGACCAAACAGTTTTCGTCTTTGCTCTCCACCTGATTTCTTTCTCTCTGTGAAGCATAAAAACCGCAAAATTTCTTTTCTAGGAGGACACAGCAAGACGGCGCAACATTGCAACTACAACAAATCAGTGAACTTCTTGTAGATATTCACCAATAATAAAGAAAGACTTTCACAGCATAGAAATACAGAAACTGCTGTGTCTCATAGTTCTCATTCTTAGACCGGTTGCACGACTGCGTAATAAATATCTTCACTCGGTTCTTTTATTTGAACCACAGAACTACGACCCATCTTCTTCGGATACTCTTAGACGAAGCGCCTTCCGTTGGAATCTGTATATTTTTGACCCTGTGTAAAAAGCGTCTTGGATAGTAGGAATTGATTTGCTGCGGTAGAAAATAGATAGAACAACATAGAAACGACGCGGAAAGAGTAGAGGAGATTCTTCTACTTTCATCACGACGAGCAGTAGCAGACGACAGCGGTAGAGCAATCCTAGCCGAACAAACGACGACCTTTGAGAAAAAACACATCCCGACAGGATGACGGACGAGCGCGCGAATTTGGAAAGGTTGCTGCGGGCCGAGAACATTCCGGAGGAGAGCATTCGCCGGCTGCTGGAGGAGGGCTATGACACGAAGAATGTCATCAAGTAAGAAGACTCTCATTTAGTGATACGCTTTCATACCGAACAGTTCTTAATCTTAGTGCGAGAACTACAGTGCGCACTTTTTTTGACGCGCTCTTGAATACGCGTTATAGAGATGTGCATGGTCGGCGCGGGGCGGGAAGAAGTCGTAGCAGGACTACTCCATGTATTTGTCTTCTGCTATACGGGTCCCGTGGTCGTGAAGAAGGAGCTGTAAATGGAAAATACAAAACTACAGGGCAATGAGCGTGGAACAGATGGAAGAGATTGGATTGCGCAAGGGGGACATTTCGAAGCTGAAGCTGGTGATCTCGAAGTTGCAAAATTCCGGACCCACGGCGTTCGATCCCATGGACTACCTGCGAAAGAAATTTGCCTCCGTGTTGCAGTTCGGCGACGCGCCCCTCTGTCGCTTCTGCTCTGACTCCTGGGCATCAGTCACCTCGGACACGCAACCAATGAAGAAGAAAGTACGCGGCTTTCTTGATGTTGACCTAAGTACCTATCTTCGAGACGCGGTTCTATTTCGGGCTTTGCATGTTGATCTACAACATCTCTAGCACGGTATCGCAATAGACATGAGGAGGTCTTCACTGGTGCACTCCACTCTTTCGATCTTCTTGCAAAGTACTAAAACTTTTCAGAATTATTTACAAAAACATTATTCCTCAGAACTCCGCCCACGGTAGCTCGCTTCGCGGCGGCCAAAATTCGCGGTTGTCTCAAACCTCGAATACGGAAAACCCCACGGAGTCCTGCCCCCAGAACAATTCCATGGACTACTGCCCGCGGTCCCCGGAAGAAATCACGAAACTGGTGTCGGTCTGGCAGAGCTACGCGCACCCCCGGGCCCGCAACTTCTTTGCCACCACCGAAATGCTCGAGCACGTCCTGACGCAGGTGGCGCGGGGCGTCGACGCAGCAGACGACCCGATCTTGGCGGACGGCGACAAATGCATCTTCTGGTACGGCGATGTGACCAAGGAGGAGGAGGCGGCCATCCGCATGGTCAAGCCCGGCGAGGAAAAGGAGAGCATCACGTACTGATAATTTTTTTTCATTCTAAATCATCTAGAGGTTCTACTCTTTTGCGACCAGTATGTCATTGTTCTGCCCACGGACAAGTACTTAAAGCCTGGTGTCCTCGTCGCCATTTTTTACTGACTTAGAGCTCGCGGACAAGAAGAACTTGTCTGCTTGGTGATTTCTGAAATGATATAAATTAGAACACGTCCTCTCCACAGGTACGTGAATCGCGTTCTGGCTTTCATTTTTGCTACGGACGACTCCTTTCAAAAGCTGATGGCCCTCCCGAAGACCCCGTTTAAGATGTGCTGCCAGAACCAGCTGTGCATCAACCTTTCCCACATCTCTAGCTCGGCGGAGTGAAGAACATCTGTTGTTTGAAGATGAGTTATGGCGGGTCGCGGGTGGGGAGGTCGAGGCGACGCAACGTAGGGCGATGGTAAAGAAAAAGTGTAGAAATTATGATGCAAAAATTCTGCGAAAATATTGCCCGTGAAGAGACGAGGTGGAGTGCCTGTCGCTACTGACATCGTGATGAAGTTTCTGGCATCAAAGGCTTTATTTTCTGCCTCGGAAAAGCAAATTATAGAGGAAAACAAGCAACAACTGTAAAAATATCACTAAATCTTCATGCTAGACGACAGTGCTGGGTCTCGAACTAATTTTTATGGAGTAAAAAAAAATTTTCGTTATTATTGACCAAGATGACGATCGAAAATGTTTGAGGAATCCAATCGAGTTCTTGTCAGTTTTGATCGCACCATCAAACACGACTTTTGAAAAATCTCACCTGTTTTATATGTCCAGCGCGTGCTAGGTAGCTTCTGAAACCCTGCGAGAATCTGATAATGACTTGCCTAATGTTTGCAAAACGTCGATGAATTTTATACCGTTTCGGAAAATTTTATGGGGTTCTTAACTTGCTAGGTATTTATTGGAAAACCGTATGCATTTGTACAAAATCACAGCTGATATCTGCATTTTTTTAGGTGAGAAACCTGTTGCGGTTGGGGATACTTACGACTGCGTCGTGGTGACTACATATGGATTTTTTATATTTTTACTTTTGTGGCATGATTTTATGCGCTTTTACACTCTGAGGACTTTGCTAGCCGTTTCTCTTGCAAAAGGCGCTAGAAGCACTGTGATTGATTTTCTTTTTCACAGAGTAACGCAATATCCCTAGTTTTCCGCAGCTGGCTGGTAGCAGCGGGAACAAGGCTTGCTGAGGATGCTTCAGCATATGTTGCGGAAAACTTTCTGACTCGTCGCTATGTGGGGTAGCGATAGGTCGGCGATGTTTCTTGCTTCAGGATGCAAAAGAAGATCTATTGTAGGCGACCGCTGCAGCTATTATCAATACTATCAGACTTCCACACCTGCTCGCCCTGCACTGGCGCTTGCATGTGCTTTTTACCTTGCTACCACAACAAAAACCACTTCTGCGCAAGTATGCAATGCGAGCACATTTACGCACGAAGTGACTACACGACCTTGCAAAAAAGAAGACCATTGTATGCATCCCCTCTGAATATCGTGCATACAGAACCTCCAGCACCGCGCGGCTTCGTACCTGTAGTTCGAGCAGCACGGAAGTCCTCGTAGTTGCCAAACAAAGAAATTTAGGCGACAGAAAGATAGTACCAGCGGAATCAGACACTCTGGACGTAAACTGACAAGATTTATTTCCGTGATACACTAAGTGATTTTCTTTTTTGTGGTTTGACTTGTTATTTTACAAGTCCGTGGGTGCTGCTCATCTTCCATGCTATGCATTTCATCATTCTGTGGCATTTGGATCAATAGGCCCACTACGGGCAGCGACGACATCAAGCTGTCCGCATGTGAGGTTATTTTCGATTTTTCACTTGTGTTTTCGTTGACCATACTAAGCTCTCTTTTCATGCTGCAATATAAAGCAGATGCAGAAGTGCTTTCGCTCACAAAGATGTCGATACTTGAAGGAATCTTTACTTTTTTTTCTCAATATACTAAATACAACAAGCGACGACCCCTGTATAGTTCCCTTTATTACGCAAGAACCTCGATCACTGCCAAAAGCAAAAACTACCTCCCACCACCGACAAAAAAAATAACACCACCTCCCTGGATGCTTCTTGTTTAAAAAAATGCTGAACCGATGAAAATATTAACCCTGGACACGACCCCGTATCTCGTTTCACTTATCCTTTTGGTTACCTTCCTCTGGCGCAGCCTGCTTCGAATAGAAGCGGTATGTTATCGGCGGCAACTGGCTAGGACAGTACAACCCAGTACTTTCTTGCAGTTGTCGCGGAGGACATAAAGACTACTGTCTACTTCCCCGGGCAATTATTGAGGCAGACACCAACTGGCGACCTGCTCTACTTGTCGTTTTTTTTTTAAAGAATGCATTTCAAATAAAGTATCACGGCCGCCGAAAAATGAATTGCCATTGTCCTCTCGCTGCAACGAAATTCTAGTACACCAGGAAAGAACTGCGGGAAAGACGTTGCATCGACGGCAATGGCGACACTCACTTTTTTGCAGCATCAATTCATTGCGTTTTGCACTCTTGGGCATGTTGTGCAAGATGTTAACAGCTGGGATAGGATGTTGGCTAGACAATTCGAAATAGGAACATGTAGCGGACGACCTGTGATGTTGGTGCTGCGCCCGCCCGAGGCGTGGAAGAGCATCAACACAGCAGGAGCGTGGAGGATTTTACAAGAAAGCCAAATGTACTACCACTTACAATTATGCGCGTAGAGCTTTACAACTGGGCACTACTGGAATTGTGAAGAGACTTATGATAACACGTGTATCAGTTGCACAGTGAAAACAAAGTTGTAAGAACATTGCTTGACGAGGAAGATGGGTCCTCTACCACCAGCGTGTCCTTTCTCAAGAAAAAAAGTATGAGAAACATTCACCGCAGATCGAATCGCATTTTTTTCCCATCTGGCCACAACTTGAACTTGTTGAGGCTCCTTCTGTTTTACGAATTGACTCATGCTAGCAACAATCGTCGGAGTAATTCTTTAGAAGCGGAAAAGTGGCGCTGCACTAGGTTTTGTTATTTCTTTCCCCGCACTTAGACTTAAGGAAATGAAAAAGAAAATCAAGTTACAAGAACATCACGAGCGTCTTCGTGGAAGCGACGCTAGATACGGATGAGAAATAAAGCAGGGGAAGCAAATATAAATATGAACCTGGACGACGACTTTATGATGCTTTATGAATTATCCGTTGATCGTGCAGTAGTGTTTACTAGTTCTGGAAAAAGTTGTGATTTTGATCTGTGTGGAAAGATTTGGCACGACCATCAGGGAGGATTGATTGTTATCAAATTATATATGTTTTGATGAAGAAGTAAATTCTTACAGTTCTCTTTCTCTACATCGGCGACATGCAGTAAGCCACTTTAGAACTGCTTCGATACAACTGCATCGCGGCTCCGTCTTCCATCGTAGCGCCGGAATATATCATGATGATGATATGTTTCGTCCGGGGACGAACAGAACAGCAAGCATGGAACGGCCTGCTTGCAAGAACGCGCGGTCTGTTGACAAACTCACCTACCGGCCGGTAGTAGTATGCCATGCGGATCTAATAGGCTTATTGTGAATAATTTACTATATCAATAGAGGGAATAAACGAAGCGAAGCAGAAGTTTTGTCTATCTGTGTCAGCACGACGTCGAGAGGTTTTTTGGCTACGAACTCAATACCATTCTGATCCTCGGTTTACCAAAAAAAACTCCAACCTCATCATGAGTCAGCGAAAAGGATTTTCAGTTCTTTGATATTGACACTTGTAAAGGCTTTTGACACTCCATTACGTTTTGAAATATAGTACAAAAGTCTTCACCTACTCCTTCTACGAGAAGAAGTGTGTGGCCTCAATAGCCAGCAGCATCGAGGACCGGCAAGGAGAGCAGGTTTTGGAGTGTTCTGCCGGCACAATTTTTTTGACGAGCACGCATTGAAAGTGAAGTTTAACACAGACGTTTCTTTTGTGCTCTCGGTATCATCATTCAGTCTGGGTTCGGTCTTGTGAAACCGTGCGTCTGTGTGATACATTTGATCGTGAAAAAAAATATGCACCTGATTTTTGTAAGCGATCTGTAAAAACCGGAGCTGCAGACACTTTCTTCCGCACTATTTCTCGCTACAACCACTCCGCTGGGAGAAATATAACTTGCGCGAGCTTTCACAGTCCGGAAATAAATGAAAAGCTCCTGCATGAAAATCGCTGAGAAACATGCGGAGTTGATTTTTGATCACGTCCCCCCCTAGTGCAGGATAAATGATGATCATGACCACGTAGTTCTCACACCCGATGTCGGGCAAGATCCACTAGACCGTGAGTGCGATCAACTTAAGTATAATTGTAGAGAACGCAGCGTATCGGCAGAGTCACGGATATTAGCAGGCAAACAAAAGAAATGAAGATCAAGATCAGCTAGTTGTATTGAGCCACTGGATCCGCTGGAGGCGACACAGTGATCGATGGATCTTTTGCAACTGAGTTTCAGTATTTCGAAAACGCGTGACGAAAAACAAATGATGAAATCACGAAGATCAGCCACCTGGATCGCCCGGATCGAGTTCTACCTAGATCTGGTGCGTGCACTTAGACTTCTTTGCTTTCTATACCAATCTGGAAGTACAGTGCATCGCAACCAGAAGGTGTGTGCAATTTGATCCACAAACTCGTGTGCTGCGATCGATGTGAACACTGCATTTTGCACTTTCCTAAAACCTTCGCAGGCACGTCTTCCTCGGAAGTGGCGGTCTTATACTAAAACTAGAGATAGAAAAAGAAGAACTGCATCGGATTAAGGCTATTTATTCTGACAAAGTATTTGCGCTTGTTGCTGATTTATTTCTGTCGAAAGAGTAGTGCAGCTATATGTTCTAAAGTCTTTGCTTTTGCGTTATACTTAACAGAAACCTACAGATCGATTCACTCTATTTCCAAATTTTTCATCAAGACCTTCTCGTACAGAACAGTATGGGAGTCGCCAAGCAAGTAACCGAAACGCGGATCGCGCCGGCGGCGAGCGAGCCGATCGATACGTCAAACTGGCCCCTGCTACTGAAGAACTACTCCAAGCTAAATGTGCGAACGGGGCACTACACGCCGCTGCCGTTCGGCTGCTCACCCTTGGCCCGCCCCATGGACGAATACTTGCGGTATCATTATGCTACTTCCAACACGAACTTGTTTGGTTTCAGTTATTTCTGCATGACCATAGAGGCTCTACTACTAACTTCTACCGCCGGAGGCATCTTCCCTTGTCTGCGGTACCAGGCCGCGGCAAATAGAAGTAGGTGTTTACTCGCTGGGAAGATTTTTGTAGATTCGCACAATTATGCCATTGCCATCAATTCATTTTTTCCTCCCACACCAGGTACGGGATTTTGAACCTGGACAAGCCGGTAAACCCCTCGTCGCACGAGGTGGTTTCTTGGATCAAGAAAATCATGAACTGCGAAAAGACGGGCCACTCCGGGACTCTGGATCCGAAGGTGAGCGGCTGCTTGCTCGTCTGCCTCAACCGGGCAACCAGGTTGGTCAAGGCGCAGCAGACGGCAGGAAAGGAATACGTCTGCATCTGCAGGTATACATTGTAGATTTAGGAGTACAACTATGTTGGCACGACTTTGATTAATTTGGTCGTGCACCACATGGCACGTGCAGGCCCTTCACACGGCGGCGCTCAAAAATTTGCATACGTACGACCGCCTTACACAACAAGCAGACGTGGTTTTGGTGTTGCGTAATGTGTTGCAGCGCTTGCAATCTACTACTTGTAGTGCCACTGTTGAAGATAAAACACTCTACTCATCAAAGATTCCACGCCGGGAATTCGAACGGAGTGACGTTAACGAAGGCGAAGATCCAGAAGGCACTGGACACCCTGACCGGTGCGCTGTTCCAGCGCCCCCCGGTGATCGCGGCGGTCAAGCGGCAGTTGCGGGTGAGAACGATCTACGAAAATAAAATTTTCCACTACGACGAGAAGCGGCACCTGGTTACCTTCAACGTCAGCTGCGAGGCGGGCACGTACATTCGAACGCTGTGCGTGCACTTGGGGCTGTTGTTGGGCGTCGGCGCGCACATGCAGGAACTACGCCGGGTCCGAAGTGGGGTGCTGGACGAAAACAAACATTTGGTCACCATGCACGACGTACTCGACAGCATGTACCTCTACAACTCGCTCAAGCAGGAAAGCTACCTCAGGAGCATCGTACTATTATTGTTCTTGGATAAAAAATTCTTTTCCTGTGAGATTGATGTTCTTCATCATTCGATTTATTTTTGGCATTCAGGATGTTCTTGGAACGTGTAGGTCTAGGGGATAAGAAAAATTCCATCCAAAAAATTTAAATTATTTGTGATGCAGTGCAACTGAGCTTAGGATACATGTCAAAACTAGTTTCACTTGTTATGCATCATCTGACTACACAGGTCGCCCCGCTGGAGTTGATCTTGTCGAACTATCCAAGAATCGTGGTCAAGGACTCGGCGGTCAACGCAGTCTGCTACGGCGCCAAGCTGATGATTCCAGGTACTATTTTCATTTAGCAGTGGTTCTTTTGGCGCTATGTATTTACTGACACGACCTAGCTGCGAGGACAAAACGAAGTAGCATTTGTATGCTTATCTTTCCCACGAAGTACTGCATGCAGCTCTTTTCACAGCACCTGACGGGAAGAAGTCATTGTATGCTACGCCGGTCTCGATCATGCAGAAGCGCTCATGTTGTCTACGCAGCTGCTCTCAGTCGTATGAAGCACATCTGTAGTTTATGGAATACTTAACGGCCGCTGCGAAGAAGACCACGAGGATGTGTTGTTCGGCGCAATGCCGGTTTGTTCTTTCCCTGTGTTCGTCGAGAGAAAAAAAAGAACTGTTTCCATCGTTTCCCTTTCCCGTCACAGGTATCCTCCGATTCGAGAATAACATCGAGCTTGGAAAGGAGATCGTGATGATGACGACGAAGGGTGAGGCGATCGCGCTGGGGATTGCACAGATGACCACGTCCGTTATTGCTGCCGTGGACCACGGGTGCGCCGCGATTATCAAGCGCGTCATCATGGAGCGCGACACCTACAACCAGCGGTGGGGCTTCGGGCCGCGCGCGCAGGACAAGAAGACGCTGATCGCCGAGGGAAAATTGGACTCCAAGGGAAAGGCCAACGCAAAGACCCCGAAGGCCTGGATTTTGGCGAGCGGAAGGTATAGCTACCTCCCCAGTCTGATCGGGGACGACGAAGCGGAGGCAGAGGTACTGAGTTTGTATGTGCTGCTGGCGTAGTATTCTGATGTTCACCGATGGTTATGGTACGATCAAACTCAACTGTAACAGTAGAGTCTGGATAATTTTTGTCTTGCATCAAGAGCACGAGGATTCGATAGATACAGAGCCTGTCGCGGCTTGTCGCAATACAATGTTTGCCAGATAATTCGAGTGCCGTAGAAGTAATCTTCAGCACAAGTTGTAGTAGTTCTTTGTGATGCGTCACTCCGCTCTCTGGTGCTGATTCGCGGACCAGGCAGCTGTTTTTTGAGACCACAACTCCGAGTAGAGAGCAGTCAAATATTAGACAATGTCTTCGGCAAAAATAATGTGCATCCATAACTACCACAGCTCCCGGCCCGACCAGAAGCAGCCACGAAAACGGAAGACGCGACAGCAGAAAGTACGAAAAACGACGAGGTTGCCGCCATGAAGAGAAAACTTCTTGCCGCTGCCAGCGAGAGTACACCGGCCACCGAAGAACCGGCGAAGAAGAAAAAGAAGAAAGCGCAAGCTTAAGAAGAAAACCGCGACTTACGAAACATAAACATAACGAAAAAATGACTTACTTGCGACCAAACTTCGACCAGAAATTTGATTCTGTAGAAAGTTACAGGTTTTTTTTTGTGGGTGGAAAGAGAGAAATCGAAAGCGGCGTCGTGGACGGACCCCCGGTGGTAGCGCGCAACTTTTTACTTGGAATTGCGAATTCATTTTCGCAAACGAAAGCCAGCGGGCATGAGTTGCTTTTTGATTTCGGAGGAATTGTAGGAAGGAAGTGCTGTATGGGTCTTTTGATCAAGGAAGATGTTTTTTTACGCAAAACATACGCATTATGCTTCTAGCGCAGAAGTACTGACGAAAAGAACGCTACATCAACGCAACCGCAATTACGCAAAGGGATTAAGTATCATGTGCATGGTTCTTCATTATACGCAACGTCGACCTGTCAACGTCAAAACACGAAAGAAAAAATCGAACGATCGTCCGATGCAATGATGCACGGAATCTATCAAAGCAGGATGAAATATTGGAATCACAACGCTGAAGGAGTTTTTTCGGGGACAGAAATTGCTCCGAGAACATCACCATTGGAATTTGGAATGTACGCAGGAAAATGAACATGTACGCAGATAGCTGCAGCCAAAGTGCATCTGAAAAAAAGGTCATCCATGTGTGAGTTTTTTGGACGGTGGGCGTGTACCGCCGCCGCCGCGCTTTTTGCCAGGTGAAGGGCGCGCTTTGCCGCCAAGCTGCAGATCAGGATGAGGAGTTCCTCTTTGATGTGTCTGGAACGTAGCCGGGAAGGCACCACCGCATTCTAGTTGAGCGTTGTGCTAGCATTGACTGCTTTCTTCAGCTGGAGTGCGACTTAGCCGTGAAGGGCTTGCCTGAGTGAAGAAAGTTCAACGGCGAATTGTGGAGGGGGGTCATTACAATGCGAGTTTATTTATTTCAGAGAGGTAGAGGTAGTAGTAGTAGTAGGTTCTAGTTTGTTGGTGAAGACTTAAGCGATGCACTAGCAGTTCCAGCGGAAATGCGATGGTTCTACGCCGCTTGCACAGCAAGAGAGTCGTGATTGTGCTAACGTCAATTCGTCTTAATCTCGGACAAGTGTTTTTTTCAAACTCATATTTCCACGTCAAAAATGCGTTAATTTTTTCGTTGCGCATTTATTGCACCGGCGGCGCGGTCTGACATTTTCTTCGTGCTGTGGAAACAAAGTGGAATTGCGTGGCGGGAAAGCTGTGGTTTACCCGCATGTAGTGGCGGCGCACTTAGACCAGACGGAATCGAATTTCCGCTAGTGCCAGTGTCTTAGAACAACCTGCACGACGGGAGCCAGTCTTCGCTTCACGAGACCATCGCAGGAGGCCGCGGGAGTGTAGTTTTTCTGTATAATATTAAGCCGAAAAATAAAAACATAAAGCTCGCCGCTGTGGCTGCAACGGAGGTACTGACACCAATCTTCAGGACCAGGAAAAATAAGTAGAACCGGGTAGAACTACAAACACGTACGGTAGTGAAGATCATGAAAACTACGCCAGCGCGAAAGCGCGCGCGGTGGAGAGCAGTTCCGTCAGAGCTGGTGTCGGCGCAGCCAACGGTAACATTATCTTCATCGGAAACATCAAGAATCGCGACCACAGCTTCTCCCGCACGAATAAAAATGCGACCTTTATTCCCCTTCACAACCCTGCTGTCGTTCCTGGTCTTGGTTTTGCCTTTTCTCCCCGAAACTGCCCACGCGATTTTCTGCCGGCAATTCAAGCACGTGGAGGATCTTGGGCAGGTCGGCACCGATTTGCAACGGTCGATGTACTGCGGGGAGGAGGTCTATTCGTGCGTGTTGTTCCGCGGCACTTACCTGCTTCGCGGACACCCGGTCAAAAACTTCACGAAGTATTTTTGGGATGGCGGCTGCGGAATACGCCCGCAAGACCGGCTGTACGATAGCAGGTACAATAGAATATCAACGTGATAAGTTGTTACATTGTTCGATATTAGACGACCTTGCGACACAAGATTTATTCTTCCGAGAACAAAACTTAGATTGGCCCAAGAAGCTGAAATAAACACAAACAGGATAAATCCGCCGTCCAACGGTGAAAACCACATGATGCGGTTTTCCTGCAACGGAACCAACCTCGCCCTGGAACCCAACCTGTACTATGGCGACTCTACGCCTTGCCCGGAGGAGAAAGTCATCATCGTCAACAACACGGTCTTGGAGGGCGTCATTTACGGGCCGAACGGCACGATTCTGAACGTCACGACGACGAGTACCTCGACTGCGCCTCCGCTCGAGGACACGGAAACTACGACCAAACCGCCGTTCACCTACGAGGTGGGGCCGCCGAATATGGGGATGGACTACCTCACAGCTACCTTCGACAACCGGTTCTACCCCATACCCAGGCAGGGACCCAACCACATGACCTACTGCGTATTTATTTTCGTGGTTTCGCGATGTTCATTTTCCCAGCCGTGTAGTTCGTTTTGCTTTTGAATTTCTTGACATCGAAAGCTACGACCGTAAGTGCTTGTTTCTATGAAAACCACAAACCACTCCAGGTCTGGAGCGACCCCGAAGCTACATTAGCCGCTCTGATTGCGTCCATGCAGGAGCTATGCAATGCAAAAGTATCGTAGTGGTCGCAGTAGGTGCTTATATGCATGACAAAACTGCTTGCTGACCACCTGAATCTGCAGGAGAAACGTCGTAATTTCTTCCTGAAAAGAGTTGTGATGCGACTTCTAATTCTACTAGTTGCGATATTTTTGCAATGCATAGGAGCCGAAGGGGAACGACTCCAATATGACGGACGAATTGGACTTGTCCGACCAGAACGCAACCGACAATGCCACCAACGATATCCTGAGCAAAAGCGTTTCCACCGCGGTAGAGTTGTCATGCAGATTTGCAGTTTCAGATATGAAACGTTTGTAAATGCGGATGCGCATCATGATCCCCATGAGAACAGCGATCCCAATCGTGTTTTGAATTTGTGATGCTGTCAGCTACAGGATGAGGAATTGGCTTTGTGATGCGGGTGTCCTTCTTGTTAGCCTGCACTACAGTTGTACAGCATGCGTGGCTTCGAAAGCTTCTGCATTTGTGTTGCTAAGTTGTTCCCAACTTGACTCTTGCGTGGGGACGTTTTTGCTCAGGATAAACGACACGGACACCCTCTCGGCGTTCGGGTTCGCCACGGGGCCCCGGAGGGAACCCAACCTGCGGCTCGACGAGGCCGAGATTGGTGCCCCGCCGAAGGACGCGGAGACACCGTATGTCCTCGGACGGTACATCGCGTCAGAGGATCCCGCTGGCGAGTCCTGGCGCGAGTATGGCTACTTGGCGTACGGGAGCAACGACTTGCTTCCGGCAAGAAATTCCCTGGTCCGGTCGCTGGAACAGGAGGAGGATGCTACAACAACTCCTGCGTCGTCGGAAGAGAGCAGCTCCACGGGCGGTGGACGGAGTACGCGGAGCGTCCGTGGGACGACGCCTGGTGGGACGTCGAGAGGCTTTTCCACCGCATCCTCCGAGGAAAGCGAAGTAGAACGCACAACGACGTCGAGAAGTTCTGGTTCTGCAGAATCGGAATTTGTTTCTTCATCGTCGCCCTCTAGTGCAGCTGCTGTTGTTCCAAAGGGGTTCAAGGAACTGAGGAGCACCCACGACCTGACGCGGGTGCTGACCCTGCCGGTACCGATGGAGCTGCGGAACTACGTGAAGCCAACGATTGAGGAGATCCGGCGGCAGGAGGAGAAAAAACGCCAAAGGGAAGCGGCGCGGCAAGAACTTCTGGCGAAAAAAGAAAAAGACGAAAGCGAAGCCAATATCGGGCGGATCCCACCGGAACTCCTCAGGATAGAAAACGCGAACAGCAAAGAGCAGGACGAAGCCACCACCTTGCCTCCGGTCCAGCCGGTCGGAGGTGGTGGGGTGTTAGACTACTTGCATGGGGTGGACGATGCGGGCAACAACGACAACAACCCTGGTAATCAAGACTCGGAGCACGCCGACGTACCAGAGCCGGATAGCGCCATTCTGCTGATGCAGCCCGACGGGGAGAATCACCAAGTGACAGCAGCATCATCTTCCGGGCAACAAGATGAGTTTCAAGATGAAAAGAATCGCCAGAAAAATTATCTCCAAGACAACGAAAATGTTGAACCAAGACGCGAACAACAACACCGCTTCCGCCAAGAAAGCGGCGCGAGGAGGGATCATCGGAAAAAGCACACCAGCATCCGGAGTGGCGAAGGGGCCACGGCGTCCTGGGATGTTGATGAAAATAGCAATCTAGTACCGCCAGGTGTAGCACAGGCTTTAGTACACGGAGGGACGGAAGACAGAACGTCGATTGACAAGACCACCTCCCCGGACAACATCCTTGCTAATGCAGAGGCGGAGAGGATGCGGCTGCTCGCGGAAGCACAGGTTCTGCTGGATCCAACCCCGGAAAAGTACTATAACGCGACGGAGGACCGGTTTGATCCGGACTGGGCGACGGACATTTTGTGCACGGTGGTGTCAAATGCCACGTATTTTTACAACTACCCACCCGTGGAGGAGCAGTGCGGGGACGGCCTCACGCTACCGATACGGGCTCGGGACTTCGCGCACAAAGACACCTACTTCTTCAATATATCCCGGTAAGTACTTATTGTAGATACAGATCTGCTGGTGCAGCTCAGTGTCCGTTGTGCAGCAGCCCGTCGTAGTTGCGTAGTTTAGGAATTTCTTTTGCGTGATGTCGAATGTTGATATTGCTGTAGCATTTTTTTTGTTTCACAAAAAACAGGACCCTCGTTGAGTATCCGTATTCGCAGTACGACCTTCCGCCGGAGCGCAACGTGGTGAAGCAGTTTGGCTGTCTGAGTCCGCCGCAGTCGATCCCCCTGTGCTTCGAGCGTGCTATCCCCGAGAAGAAAGCTACTTAGCGTTAGCATACCACATTTGTAATGTCAGAATGAATACATAAGCATGGCCGAAGCGCCATGCCATAGGCCTGCGCATGACAGATTTGCATGCCTATTAATTTCTGCATTACAGACTATGCGCTCTGCTAGTTTTTTTCTCCGGGATACGTGCCCCCGAAAACCCGGAACTGGCGAACGCGGACGCCATATCCGGAGTAAAAATGTCCCCACCTCATACTTAAGTTGGGAACTCTGCAACGCAAATCCAGAAGCTTTGCGAGTCACGCGCATTGCAGGTTCTTCGCAAGGACAGTTGCATCACAAAGCCATCTCCTCAGCCTGTTTACATCCTTGAAAATGCGAAAGCACAACTGAGGATGCCCCTCTGGGGATGGGCATTACGAATGTATCGGTCATTGCAAATCTGCATGAAAAGTCTGGGGTGGGGACATTTTTACTCAGGATGTGCCATCGAGCCATTGGACTGTCTGATCGACTACGACGCGGAGATTTGCTTTGAATCCAATTGTATCATGTGCAAATATGTTTGTGTCTGGACGAAAACAGGCACATGTCATACAGTTTCTTTCTGAATCTGCAAACAGGTCTGGCATGTTGCGCACAGAGAATGACAAGTTCTGCGGAGGGTTCTCCATTGCTAGTCTACATAAGAAATGCAAATGCCCTGCCACTGAGACAAAAATCGCATATATTTTGCTGACTGTGCATACACAGATTTTTGCCCGTTCCGGAATTCACATCACAAGTGTGCATTCGTCCAGACCCAAGCATATTTGCAATGCATATGTTGCAACTCCGCGTTTTTTTCCAAGAGAACATTCTCGCTGTTTTCCTCCCTGTCCTTTCTGTTCGTCTTTTTGCATATGCTGAGTACAAACGTCCTCGCCCCAGAAGACTTGCCATTCAAAATTGCATGCTCAGAATCAATGTTTGTCATGCGGCGCTCCAAAAGATGCGCTTTCCAGTGGTGTTTGAGAATTTGTCGTGCACGAATCAGGATAGCAGAGTGGATCTGTGACGTGTCTGCACTATCTGGGCACGACTTGTCTGCATGCCCAATGTTGTCATGCGTGGGCCTCCATCAAAGTTCTCGTTCTGGACTTGTCTTGTAGAGGTTCCAACTTGCCGTTGCCTTTGGTCGTGTGGGGGCGTTTTTACACAGGATACTGCAGTACTTCGTTTTTGCGCAGCACGACACCAGGATAGGTTTTGCAAAATTTTCATCGAGGCCCCTCAGAGGAAGGTAGCAGGATGAACACCAGTCGTACCACCTACGAGCAGTGCTCCGTGTACCGCGCTTTCAAAATGAAAATTTCGATGTTCGACGTTAGTACTCAATACCTGTTGACCGGGGCCTGTGAAGCGTCCGGCCTGATAATCGAAATATCGACATTATGTTGATCTTCTTTGAAGACGGAAAACAAAACATAAACGTGCGCGTGGTATTTTCTAGAAGCGACATAATTATCCACGACCTTGATTGTTGTATCGCGTTTTTTTTTTCAAGAGCACTACAGTTGTAGTTCTTCGCGATCTTCTTGCACCATCTCACACCACGTAGACCACAAAATGCGGGTAACCAACTCACTGGCACTAACGCTGCTGCTCCTGCTCCTCCTCCGAGCACAAACGGTGTTGTCAGCGCAACCGCAGCATGTGCCGGTCAAGATACCACGAGCGGGCAGCTGCACCGCGAAGCTGCAAGTGGGTCATGATAGCGCAAGAACGCCTCTATTAGCAAGAGAAGGACCACAGAGAGTGGTTTTTAACGCAGCCGACAGCACGGAAGCTGCAGCTCGCGGTCCAACACGTGCGCCGTCAAGTGGCTCGTTCTTTGACGAGAAACCCGGTAATTTATTCAATTGTGGGAAAGAACTTGCCCGGGGCAGCACGAGCACCAGTGCAACTACTACATCTTCTGCGGCACGACCAGGTGCTGGTGAAGAGATGCAACATACCGCCCAAGAGGTCCTTGACTTGATAGCGCATGTGCTGGCGCAAAGCCGGGGGATAATTGAGTTGTTTACTATGTACAACAGCACGGACGTGGAGGGCGAAGCCGGTCTCTGCCGCGAGGAACAAGAAGATATTAATCTTGTCTTTTCGCCGCGGACGGAGCGAGAACCGGAGCCGGAGACCGAGTCGCATCTTACCTGCGGTTCCTCCACCGGGGAGAGTCGAGAAACGAAACCGGAGCCGGAGAGTTTGGAATCCGTGAAAGTTTTTTGTTCGAGAAAATCACAAGTGCAGAAGGAGCAGTTGTTGCAGCTCCTGGAAACAGACGAATTTTTCGAGGACATTCTGGCGAGCGAAATCATCTATCACAGAGAAAAAGGTATCAACTTCTACAGGGCATCTTCGTTGTAGAATGAAGGAAAAACAAAAGTAAAAGTTTTGTCTTGCATTACCTAAGCACCATGCTATCGGCCTAACCGTGACGGTTTATTTTTTGTATGTTTATTCATTTGTGCAATACAAGCGTGCCCTGGTTGTAACTTTTTTTTCTGGGATATCGTCCCAAGACTGCGGAAATTCAACTACGGGCAGCTGCGGCGCTTTTTCCCCGGGGTGGAGACGAAAAAACTGCTTTTGCTGCTCATCAAGGCGTACGAGGAATTTGAACATGGCAAGCATATCGTGGAAGCTGCTTCTGACCTGACTGGAATATGACCTGCATAGAATAAATGGAGTCTCGTCGCTTCAGGATCAGATTCAGAAGACAAGTGATGCAACTCGGCAGGCATCTGCGACAAGATTCAGATTGATAGATGTTTTTTCGGCTGACCCCCGGCGACCGGAATAAAATGCTGATAGTTTAGAATAGTCGCAACTTCTAAGTAGATACGTGGCCTCTCAAGCCCGCCTGAAGCAACGGCAAGAACATGTTTTGCACTACATACCCGAGGACGTCGAAGGCATCGTCATCATCCTCCTCCGGCTCCACTATTGCTCTCCTTCCGGGAGTTTTCTTATACCGCAACATGGCGGAGGCGGTACTCGATCAGATCAAAGAGTGGCTGGAAGAGCTGTTGGGAGACGAGCTGGAGGAACAGGACCACCAGGAGGGCACGATCATAAGCGCTCTCGATGCAAATTTCTCCTCCGGAAGGCTTGTCTCGCCCGGATCGGGGTTGTCGTCCTCCTTGTCCTATGTTGTGTACATAAAGTATCGTCCGCTTAAGTAATTGCAGGAAGCATGCACCATAAAAACAAACTTCTTTCTTACGCTTAATCTGCGTTAGCGCGCCGAGCCAAGTGTAGTTTATGATGTTGCGGCAAAAATTTCCACTAGGGGCCAGATGCTTTTGAATTGCATATCTTCGGCAGGTCGGCGGGGAGGTCGAATGGCGCGTTGGGCGAGGAGGCACGGGGAGGTGCTGGCTCTTCTTCGCGGGGGCAGCAGTCATCATCTGCAGCGGACTATCCTGTGTAAAAAGCGTCCCCGTCCTCCCAGAGTCAAGGTGGGGATTTTCGATTGTGCAACACAAAACTATTTTCCAGGAGTTGTAGGAGTCACGCATGACTAGCTTGGCTCGGCACCAGCGTCGTCGTGCCTATGTACTCCAAATCCGTGCTGTGTGTCATCCAGATTAGCGCCTGACCAATTTTTCCGAAACGCCATGAGGAAATGCCTCTCGTCATGGAGGGCCGCATGAAAAAAAAACCTCATCCAGGGCAGGCAAATTTACATGGTGATAACTGTGGGGATCGGCACGTTTTTGCTCAGAATACGGACGCTTCAACCCTTACACCCGACTCGACGGATTTTTTGGCCAGCCCGAAAACGGTAAAATCCTGGAGCCAGTCGACTACCGCTTCTTCTTCCGGTGTAGTTCTTGGGGAACAAGGCAAAAAAAGCACGACCAGTAGCTGCACATCGACGTCTGCTACATCATCAAGTTTACTTTCGTCATCAAAACCGAGGAAGTCCTGGTCTCTACTGCTGTCGGATAGTCTGGCTGGGACAAAACACGCGAAGCAGCCTTGGTGGGTGTAGAAGCACTTCTCCTGGTTCGTCTTTCATCCCAGTCTGCGAGTACAACAAGTTCGTGCGGTATTTCGACAACACCTGTGGCCTTTTTTCGTGGAGCTGTCATGATCTGTAGTAGTGGCAGCTGCAGCGATGCGCCGCGTTGCCACAGCACTGCTGCTCGACAGAAACTTTGTTACTCGTCTTCGTCACCGAGCTTGAGAGAGAATTGGAATTCAGATCGACTTCGATGGGAATCGCATCGCAATTGAAGCCCGGAGAAGGGTCGCCAGCCGTGGCTGGCCGGCGGAGGATGGATAGTAGCCTTGTCGATTCTACTTGCGGAGGATCGTTCTTCTCGACACGTGAAGCGCGATCGACCACTCGCACTGCTCGTGAACTTGTTTGTGTCCTCTACTGAAACGAGACTTCTTCGAACACAGCGTAAATACCTACGAGTATAATCGAGATTCAAGTAGTACTGCCGAATACTCCGGTGGAAAAATATCAGGCTGTAGCAGCAGAATGAAGCCCACGACCGCGTTGGCGGAAACTTTTCTGTGCGGAGGTACTGGTGGAGGGAGCGCCGCGTCTGCTTCTTCAACGTCGAGTTCTTCTGCCAGGGACAGCGCCTCACGCCACGCAATGACTCTGCACCAGGTTGATAATCTCGACAAACTTCACGAAGCGATAATTTTCCGGAGGAACCGAAATACGTTTGCGTATCCCAAACGGTTCCGCCGGAAAATGTTGAGCACGACTTCTTTCTACAACGACTGCTCGACCTCCAACACGCAAAATTCGGAGTGCCAGGACTTCCGCGGTCTGTTCGCCGCGAAAGAGCTCGTCCCGGAGGCCATGCTGACGTGCGGCGACGTGGAGCCGTTGTCCGGCAACCCGGTCGACCCGTTCCGCCGGTTGCACTACGTGAAGGAGTCCCAGTCGAACATGTGGTACAAGTGCTGCGAGCAGCGGAACGAGGACCGGTTCGTCTTCAACTCCGGCCCGCCGCAGCTCCGGAACGAGGGCCCGTGGATCCCGGGCATTGGACCGCTCTACGGGATGAGCCGGCGGGTGCAGGAGGAGCTAAAGAAGTTAACGGACTTCGGGGGGCAGATCATCAACCTGCTCCAGTGGAACCAGCTCACGGGCGGCCTCTTCGCCGGCAGCCAGGCGGAGAAAATTCTGGAAAAGGCGCAGCTCGTATCAAGATGAAAAATCCCCCCTCGTCCCCATATTCAAATGAAAATCCGTGATGCGGGACTTGTCGTGTACACAAGTGTCTTGCAGTAGGAGATCGCAGGCAGATCGTTTATGTGTGAACAGGCCTTGTGCTGTACTTAGGCACTTAGCATGGCAGACGTCTCCGCTGGAGGCCTTACAGCGCTACAAATAATTCGCTCCTGGATTTTCGTGCAAGACAGGAACGCTTATACTGAGAAGTATACCGCTTCAGTAGAAGGAGGGGGGATTTTTCCTCGTAATAGCTCGCGACGATCAAGACCAGCTGTGTGTCCGGGAAGGCGTGCTTGGGGCACAGTTTCACGGATCAGCTATGCGCTGGAAGTATGTCTGGGTCCACTTGAGGCCATGGAAAACTGCAATTTTGCATGACCGCAGGGAAGGAGCCTTTGTTTTCCTGCTCATGCGTAGTTACAGATGCAGATTTCAGAGTCATGTGAGATGACAAGCGTGACAATAAACCCGCAGTCGCACCCGTTTAGACCACCCAGACCCATTTGCAGTGCATACCAACGCGTGAAGTACAATATGATGCCGGCGAGAAATATGAAACTGTCAGGATTGAAATTGACAAAGTTGAAAAATTTGTGATGCATAAAACCGACACCAGTTGGAAGCCTAATTTCTAAGCGGCGCATGACAAATTTCGACGTCATCCAAATCCAGTCTGTCATGCTGTTTAGCGAAAGAAGGCATCCTTTGTCATGCTACTTTAGCAGCTTCTTCCCAAACCCGAAACAGGCTCACAACTGGCCCTCACAACTGGCCTCACTTGGAATCCCTGCAAGACAGTCACTACGTGCCTTGCATTTTATGCATCGCAGATTATTTCAACTTTGTCGATTTCAATCCTGACGCACCGATAAGAAATCTTCGCTGCGCGTTGATGGAGAACCTGAAAACGAAGGTGGACTATTTCGGGCGCCGGAAGCAGACCCGGTTTTGCCAGTCGTTCAAGCGTTCCTTGGTCGAGAAGTTGCTGAAGCAGGTGAACGGGCTCACCCGGACGATATTGCGCAAAGCGGTCTCCTTCGTTCCCTTCAGCACGGGGTGCAGGGGAGCCCGGTTTGCGTGTCTGCAGCCGTACGACGGGATGGGAAAGAAGTACCGGGTGAATCTAGAAGAGCCGACTTGCGTCGACACAGGATGGAAAAATGAACCCTGGACCTTTCCCCACAATTATCAAGTGACTTTTCTGTAACAAAATGGCAGGATGTAGATGACGATGGTGATGAAGAGACTACTAGGGCATGAGAGTCAAAAATCCAGTACGTATTTTTTCGTAAAAGACCACCAGTTGCCAGCGCTGTCAAAATGTCCCTTCACCAATGTTTGTCCTGCGAAAGAGAAAGACCAATCTCTCCGATCTACTAAAAGGAAGGTCGGAATAAAAAGGCCTGCAACGGTTCTAGCTAGCGATAGCGTTCTCCTTTTCATCGCCACATAGCGTTTGTAGTTTTGCTTCGAAGTTGTAGAGAGACATCTATGAGTTTGCAAGCCTGTTCGATGTCGTTTTGATGTCGACGCAAAGAGAAGAAAACATCACAGTCAAAGCGGCAAAATTTGATTATGATTGTCGACACAGTCCACCTCGCGAAAGCGAACCGAGGATCCGATACAGATGTGGTCATTTCATCAATCTTTTGGTCCTTTTCTGGCTCCTACCGCGGTTTGTTTTGGATGACACGACGATAGTGCGTTTTTTTTGATTCGTAGGAAGAATGAAAGAACCCAGCTCAGCGGCAAGATTGATTAGGACGATGAGACGGAACTGTTACGCCCTGGCACTGAATAAGTAGAAAATAGAACGGTTTTATTGAGGAGAGTGGAAGAAGTACAACTAGTCAGCACCGCTACGGACACAAATTTTTACGATTAGCCGGAGTTCGTTGTAGGAACAAAAGCACTCTAGTTTGAAACGAAATTTGTACTACTAGTAGATGTTTATTGAACGCGTCGTGTTTTTTATTTCACGTAGAAGTATATGATTTTTGTTACCCCGAAGATCGCACGACCTAGACCTTGAAGTAGTACTCACCGCAAAAAAAAAAACCCGTCGCCTAACTAAGGTGAAGTATGTTCCGACATAAGTAATATATGAGACAGTTTTTGAAGATTTCTTTTCGCACGTCCCGTAACCCCACCTGAAAGTGAAAATCCCCCACGAGGAAAAAGTACTATACTTACCCCCAGCACTAACCACCACATTTAGATTTATCATCCCCAACGCGATCGCGAATGGCGGCGTTTAACTACGGTTACCCCGGTTATCCGGGTGGCGGCGCTCCGAGCAAGCCCGCGGCGCCGATTCCGGAGAACATTCAGGCGAAGTCGCAGGGACGGCTGATGAAGGAGCAGAAAATGATGCATGAGCAGCGGGACGAGATGGCGGAGCTGGGAATCTACGTCCGGTGGGACGAAAACGTGCTCACCAAGGTGAAAGCTCTCATTGTCGGCCCCCCAGAAACGCCATACCAGAACGGGTATTGGAATATCAAAGCTGTGAAGTTCATCCACGTTTCTTCTCAGGAACAATTGGTGCTTTTAGTTTTAGCATACATGCAGAGAAATGAAAAACGAGATTCAAGAACTGAAATTCCATGCAGGTTTTTCTTTTTCGACGTTGACTTTCCGGGGAATTATCCCTACGCTCCGCCGAAAGTCATGTTTCGCACCGGCGACGGGCGAGTACGCTTCAACCCGAATTTATACGTGGAGGGAAAGGTGTGCTTGTCGATTCTGGGCACGTGGCAGGGGCCGGGATGGACCAGTATTGGATGCTTTTTTTGTGCCGCACTGTCACGCTTGCGGCTTTGAAATTCTGTCATGCATGACGCGAAGAATTATCGTTATGTATGAGAGTGGCTCTTGATCTTTTTAATGCAAACAGCGAGTAGAAAAAAATTTGAGTATCAAGTATCGTCGAGGAGAACCACTCATATTACCTCTAGGTATCTGCAATCTCCGATCGGTCCTGATCACGATTCAGTCGTTGATGTCGAATCACCCGATTTTATCGCCCGGAAAATAAACGTAAACTTTTTCACTGGAAGACACCTACCGATCCACTGCCTTAAAAATGGATAAATACGCATGTACTAGTACAGAACAGGACAAGCGCTTTCCTGTTGCATCCTATGCATGGTGCATCACAGGACAGTTTAAAGATATCCTCGACCACAGTGAAGCAGTTTTCTAAATTTTCATGCGATAGAGTACCAACGAGCCCGGCCACGAGAACTCCACGGGGAAGAAGGAAGACACCGACTACAATAAAATCCTTACCTACGAGACCGTGCACGTTGGTGTGTTGAAGATGCACCAGATGCCCCCGACGGGGTTCGAGATCTTCCGCGAGGAGTTGAACGAGCTGTTTGCGAAGAATTACGAAACATTCGAGCCGGTTTTGAAGAAGTACGACTCGGAGTATCAAGTAGAAAAGTGTTCCCACGATCCCAAAATGTGCATGTGGAACAAGTGTTTGTGTTGTAAAAGTTCTCAATGGACTAAACATTTGCCTCCTTGCATGTATCAGCATGACATCAAACTGGCAAGCCGGAATGGCTTAAGTAGACAATTGCTGGAAAAAGGCCCAGCGCGGGGCGGACTTGTCATGTCGGAGCTGCTGCTTTGCGCACCTTGAATCCGAAGCAGTGTTCTTTTCACTTGGAAACTACTAACTTTGCAACGCAAACACTTCTTGGAGCTACTTAACTTCCCGGGTCGTGGGGGCATTTTTGATTTTGATACCAACCAGGGCAAAGTGGTCCGAAGCCCGATCTGGCAGTTCTCCTGTACTTTCGATCCGAAGAAGGTCCGGGAGGGGTTGAAAAAGGAGCTGGCGAAGATCGCGGGAAACAACAAAAAAGCAGGAACTACTACCGTGGGGTCCCCGAAGAAGGGGCCGGTCGCGGTGGAGAGCAGAGAGAAAGACGAGGAGGTCCTAGATAAGGCGAACTGCAAAACCACGGCAGCTAGTACCTCCAAGGGCACTACGACCAGCTCCTCGGGGGTCAGTATCGACGTGAAAAGTCTGCCCACACCACAGTGTTAATTGCTGCCAACTACATGCAGCTGAGTAATAGATCAGGAATAGGAAAAACGACGAAACAACTACTGAGGAATGTTGTACTTTCAACCTCACTTCTTGGCGCTCGCTGTCGGAACTGCACGAAAACATCATGATGCGTGGGAACAATAAAGCAGTCTTCTTTTGGTTTTGTTGTTTCGTCCGTTTCATTTCTTAAAATGTCAACATGCTTCAAGAAGCAAGTTCGTTTTGCAACAACTCCTGATGCCTACATATTATGCCCGGAAATGCATTCTGGCAGATGTCCACTGTCTCACTGCAGTGAAATCTGTCATGCGTGTCGTTTTTTAGTTTCATGGCGTATCTATAATGCATAGCAGCGGCGGACCAGATCAATCTCAAAATTGCTCGTCCTTTTGGTCACGATTTTTTTTTATTTCATTTGAAAGTTTTGTACATCTTTCTCTCCTGGGAACGAACCAGACGGAGTAACAGGCATGACAAATTTCCAATGTGAATGTGGTGTGGGTGGTCGTGTTTTCCTCTTGTCCATACGAAACGAGAAGGAAGTAGTAGCCGCAAATGCAGCCGCCAAGAAAGCTGGTTCCTCCACGACCGTATCAAATGCTATGAAAAAGAACGACAAAAGCAGTGCCACCGGGGCGGGTCCTTCCTCGGTAAAGGAGAAGAAAGACTCGAAAGCGACGACGAGCATGAAGAAAAAGGAAGACCAGCACGTGGTGGAAGATGACAACAAAAAGACCGCTGCAGCAGCATCATCCACCAAAGCTATGAAGAAAGCCCCCGCGGCGGCTGCAGCCTCCGATGAGAAGTCGGAGAGCGGCGGGGCCAAGGGACCGAATTCCAAAAAAGCCAAACGGGAACCCTCTTCCAAAAGCGCGAAGTGATGACACTGATGTCGTAATATAATTCTGAATACTTGAGCATCTACATCTACTACTGTGATGTGATTACTACTAGTAGAGTGGTTTCTTGGAAGATTTCATTACCATTGTACTTTCCCCTACTACTTCTTCACGTTTTGATGTCCCGTTTTATATCATCTACGGCAGTGACAATGAATGGATCAGGAGTGCTGCCCTCCAAGGGCGAGGAATGAAGAAGAAACGTGAAGAATGTTTGACCCAAAAGAAAATACAGCCCATTTCTTCAAGAACGTCGACTGTGTATCAACGCAAGAAAAAATATAGTATCTCGAACAAAGGAAACCACCCGCGCGACGGAAATGAAGTTCTAGTGACAAGCAGTTCGGCTCCTGCAGGAGGTCTTGTCGCAGCACTGATTTATGGGGACAACGCGAAATAAATTCGTTCCTGGAACTGTTCTCTTGATGATCTGAAATTGTGAGCAGCAAGAGCTGTTAGATGGAGCTAACTAGTGGAAGGATGAAATTTGCAGATCACCTGACGATAGAAACAATGATCGATTTTTTGAGCGACGAAACGGTCGATGATTCTGAACCGATCAGTGATGTGAGACGAAGAACAGCTACTTCCTTCCCGTTCGCAGCTGGGAAAATTCGTCTCTTGTGTCAGCAACGATACGAACTCAACATTCGGCGCAATAAAGGTAGACCGTGAAAAATGCGCAACTTTGCTTTCTGCGTTTTGACCAATCTTCTTTGCAGTGGTGGAAAAGTGGCAGGGTGTAAGTGGAATTGCTGAAGAATGAAGTTCTCTTTTGTCAGCAATAAGTCGAGCACTATGAAAGCGGAATAAGAATGCGCCTCTAGCATCGGAAGGGCTCGCCTTTATACTTGTTTTTGCCGTTTTTAATACAATTTCGCTCAACAGGACGCAAAGAAACGATGTGTTTCTTCATCCGAGACAAAAGTTTATGCTTGTGAAAGTGGGCTTCCTGTCGTTGGACCCGGAAGGCTGCTTGTCGACCGCAGAAGCTCATCCGGAAACAGCGCGAGGAAATGTCCGACCGCACGCGTGCAGGAGAGGACCATCTTCCATTGGCGGAAGGCAGTCACTTCGACCTAGCGCGGCAAGCCGCCGACGTCATCTCACATCTGCCCAAAAAGGAGGTGGACTGCGATGAGGCAGAGAAGTTGCAGGATCATGCAGGGGCGTTGTCCAACCGCACAACTGCGGATAAAAATGATACGCACGAAGATCGGTCAGAAGTCTTCGCGTCCGATGATGTCTCCGAGCTGCAGAACAAAAGCTACTCGACGTCCTCGTCGCTGCCCCCTTCGAACAAGAAACTGCCGTTGGGAAGAACTACAAAATCTACCAGCACTCCACGCATGAAGCCCTGGATTCTGAAAAAGCTGTTTACCAAACAAGACCGGACCCTTGCGCAGGCGTTTCCGGCGAACCTGCTGACCGATGCAATCACGGTGGTGCAGTACCTTAAGAAGAAGAAGGATATCCTCGCGAAATTCGGACCAGATTGGGTCCAAAGAATAGAATCCGCGATCGCGAAGCACACCGAGTTTGACTCCATCGCAGCCCTGGGCAAGCAGCTCGAGCAGTGGCGGGTGGAGGCGCAAACGGTGGGCTTCAATGCGGACGCGTACTACACGGAAAAGAGGGTCGCCGGCTACACTGCGCACTTGACGTCAAATCTTCACACGAAGGGTAGTGGTTCTTCTCTTTGCACCACCACGGGGGGAACAACTGAGATGAAAAACGAAGCTGCTGCCTTTTGTTCAACATCGACGGAGGTGGGTGCCGTAGTTGCCGATCACGAAGACCAGCAGGACCTGCACTGCGACAGACAGAACAAGGAGCAGCACCCTTGCAAAGCCCGGAAGCTGGAGGACGGGACTGCGAAAGGAGTCGGTGCATCAACCGGCAAAATAAAAAACCGCGACACAGCATTGCTTCCAGTGCCCGCGTCCAGTTTCTCCAAAACAAGAAGTGGGACGAGAAGTTGTACTAGTATTACCTGCAGCTCCACGCAGCTATCCGTTCGGGCAGTTGTTCCACCCCCGGTGGAACCAGCGCAAGACACCACGGGAAGCTCGCAGATGGCTCTGGCGCAGATCTGTGTGGGCTGCTTGAATTGGGAGAAGGACGACGTCGTGGCGCTGGAGGAAGGGAGGGCAACTTTGTGGCAGGACTGGGAGATGAAGAGGATGGGCGCGCTGGGAGGAAAAAAAATTGAAGAACAATTATCGGAGGAGAAGATGTTGAAAAGGAACAGCGGAGGACCCGCAGCTACGGTTTCCTCGTCATCGCCCGTGGCTCAGAACAATTTTTCGAAAGTTCGGTCTTCAGGAGAACAAATCGAGAAAGACCCGACCAAGAAAATGAATGCCAAAATAAATCCCCCAGCACCGGAAAATAAGCTAATCACGAAAAATAAAAGGGAAGCCGCGACGGAAGGAACTACAACCTCTTCTTCCCCCCACGACCCCGCCAAAAAATCATCCACTTTCCTGGTCGCGGATTTCGGGTGCGGAACGGGGCTCAGCTCCCACGCGTTCCCGGCGAACAGTTTTGTCCTGGGTGTGGACGGGTCGTCCGCGATGTTGAACCGTTGCACACTCGGGGGCAGGTACGGCGGAGACCGAATTTTTGCCGACTTGTCCCAGGGCGTACCTTTCCGGGCGAACGTACTCGACGCGGCGATTTCCGTTGCGTGCGTCCACTACCTGTGCGTCCGCGGCCCGGACGACCGACCTGGGGAAGAGCGGGTGCGGCGCTTGTTGGACTACCCGATCCGGGACAACAACTACTGCTACCAGTTTTTCAAGCACGGAGACCTGACTCTGGACCAAATCGCCGCGAAGTTGCTGCATGCGGCGAGGAAAGGCGAAGATGAGCGGGAGCTGGGGCGGGCGCAGGAGATAGAGGAAGATGTTGAACAAAACCGGGAAGATGTTGATGTTGATCAACATCTTCCTCAAACTGCTAGTAGCACACAAGCAACTACTGGTGCCAAAAAAACCTACCCCGTGCTGGTCCGCGACTTCCCCCACCTGAAGGACCATCAGGAGCGCATGTTTCTCGTCGGCAATTCGGGCGTGGGCGACTGCAACTTTCCGTACTGCAAGCTGTTTCAAGACGACCAATTGTATCTGGAGCGGAACACGTACACGCGGGCTGTTCTGGACGAGGGCAAGTGTGGTCTTCGTGGGGTGGAAGTCAAAGAGAACGGATCTGTTCAACCACTTGTTCCGGACAGAATTATCGCGGATCATGAAAAGCCGGTGCAGAAGTGCGGCGTGGAGCAGACTGTGAAATTTTTGCAAGTGGAGTACGCAGAAGTAAGCTCATTATGCCAGTTGACATTGCTGCAGCTCTTCCATGCTCGGGAGTCCTACATCCGGTACAAAAAATGCGGGGCAATTCACCCGGAAGATGACCACAAACGGGAATTGGAGGCGAATTTGCTACTGGATAGCGAACGGGGGTACTACGAAGAGTCTGCGGACAGGAGAAAGCTACGAACTTACAATCCCGAACCTGCTCGGACCCCTAGTGCCCAAAAGCCGCGAACGGGCCCTCCACACCGATTGGAAAAGTTGGAGAAGTCGTCCCCTTGTCCCTTGACGTCTACTTCTATTGCGGACGGGGAGTCCGCACTGGAAGCGGACGCTACTTCTATTGCTTCTTCAACCATTTCACCAAAGCCGACCATGATTACCGTGACCGGACTCACCACCCACAGGCAGTGGGCCAAAAAGCTAGTCGAAGGCGTTTTCGGCGGGGAGGAGGCCGTAAAGTCGGAGAATTTCCGAAAGATCGCGGCTTTCCTGCAGGACCATTTCGACTGGACGGTGCGAAAATACGTGAAACAGGTGTCGCACTTCATTCGCAAGGTGAAGCACGAACAGCAGCGGGTTTTCTCAGATAAGTCTTTCATCAAAGTTGCCCGCCTGGATACGGCGAAAAATTACGCCGATCTGCTCGCCAACCACTGGGCGCCGATTGTGCAGGAGTACCATTTTCACGACATGGGGGAGTTCGACAGCGCAACGATTGCGAAGGCCGCGCGGGTGCGAACAGAGCTGATCAAAAACTGGAAGGAACCGCAAGAGTGTCAATTACATCTATGGTGGAAGGAGGGTCGGCTGACATTGCAGGATCCTTGGGACCTTTTCGAGCGGTTGATGCAGGAGCAGACCGAGGAAACAAGCGATCAGCACGGCTACCGTTGCGGTCATCATCCTGGTCATCATCCCACCTCGACGGATGTTCTTGAGGACGTGCGCGAAGAGAAGAGTGTTTTTGCGGGAGGACCACAGCTGCAGACGATGGCTCAGCGGAGACGGCTCATTTTGTCGGTACTGAAAACGCTGAATTTGAACTATCCCAATAGCGCAAAGAGGCTGCGCACCGTGAAGGATGAAACCCTCGCGAAAGTGTTGGCTGTAGGAAGTTACGATACGGTGTGCGGCTAAGCTGATTATTGGATTGTTCTTGCACATCACCTTTGGTTGAGTGTTAAAGTATCTTGAAGTGACAGTGTCACCACGGCCAATTTTTTGCGCATAGCCAGTAAATCTTCTAAACGTGTAGGCAGTGTGATAAGTACCGTGATTGCAGCATAGGAAAGCTCGAGTGATAAAAATCGCTGCAAATTATATATAAAGCAAGGTACAGTAGACACACACAAGAAGAACATATTTCTTTTAGGTTTTCAAGAAGCCATACTAGTTCACTCCGCCATGCGTACTAAATCCACACACTGTCAGGAGGAAAGAACCTTCCGAAATTGTAAAAGCGACATTTTCTTGGCGACAAACTACAGCCTGGGGTGATGAAAGCATCACAAAGCCTAAGCCTTGCTTGTTTTCATCTCTTGATTAACGCCTATTTTGTTTAAAATTACGAATTTTTTTGTTCGACAAATCGGTTTCTTTGCTGGACCCAGGATCAACTACAACTGTGAGCTACTGAAGACCTTTTGTTTCGGCAGTAGCCCTGGGCTGCATCGCAAGCTGTTTTCTTTTCCAAAGATGTTTCGAAAATGAGAGTGTAAAGAAGTTCGTTTGTGTTTCTTCTGTTTGTACTCTGTCTTGCTACGGATTTTCACTTCAGTCTTCAATCTGGGCGAATTTATATGAGCATACTGTCGTTCTCAGCGGAATAAGATTGCTCTCCAGCGGGCGCTTGCCGGGCAAGGCGTTGTGGATCTCAACATCACTGCGGGCACGCTAGTCGGCGTTGGCAGCATACTGGGTGACACGCGAAAAAAGTCCTTACCCTCCCTTGTCGCGGGAGCAGTGCTCGGCGCAGCGTACTACGGAGCCGCATAGTTGGTTGATCGACTAGACTCCGTGAAGGGAATCCAAGCAGGCGCAGCTACCTCGGCGTCCCTGACCGCCGCAATGCTGCCACGATACCTAATAACCAAGGCGTTCATGCCTGCAGGTACTTATTGAGTTAGTTTGTCTTGGTGCCCGCACGCCGGAAACATGACAACGATAGAAGAGGCAGTACGAAGGCAATGTTTCAAACGTCGCCTTCGTACTGCCTCTTCTATCGTTGTCATGTGTAGTGAGGTCGTCAAGCCGCAATGTGTTGCGTTTGCCGTGGAGGCTTTGACATACACAACAAAAGAACGCACAGTACTACAGGTCTCTGCGCACTGGTTATCAAAATGAAAAATCCCCTTTCCCGATACTCAAACGGAGATTTGTGTAGCGCAATTTCCTGCAACACATGTAAAAAATGGGGCCGGGGGATTTTTCTTCTCAACACCACGTGTGGCGTTGGTGCTCCTCTTCACGGGGGGGCTGCTGCAAGAAGTGCAGGCCAACGAGGCGGAGCAAGGTCCAGGGCATACGCTAAGCGAGGAACAACGTCCCAGCGTGGTGGTGGTACAGCAGGCCGGGAACGAACAATCGTGGCTGCTTTCCGACTATGCATTGCAGATACGTCTGAGTCTGCAACAATCCAATGCAGCTTTTTATGCTAAAGCTGGATCGCACAAGAATCTGTGTTGCATGGACGCCGAAATTTGCCACCTTGTTGCTACGCATAGCGGGAATTTTTTATTCTGTGGGATGGGCATTACGAACAAGCTCTCGTCACAGAATAATCTGTGCGGTTTTTCATGTGCATTCTTTCCAGATCACCTATGTTGCTCCAGGAGACCCACCCAGACATATTTATTTGCAAGTCATACCGACCGCGCCCCTGCGCCCGAAAGTAGTGGCGAGGAGCAGGATCACGAGAACGAGCCGCTGACTGGGGTGGTGCCAGTATTTTCCCAGCACGAAACACCACAACTACCGCTGCGGCCTCCATCTGATACAACGGAAGCGTTTCTGCAGAGCAATGTTGATGAAGCGCAGTATACTGCGTTTGATGAAGAATTTTTACCGGCTACACGTGTGGCGAAGACTTCTACACACGACCTGCCATCGCCGGCGGCTCCACTGGATGGAGAGGAAGTGGCTACAACAGGTGGAAAGCTTGGTGTTGCGCAGGCGACAGCGACTGATGCTGCAGGAGAACAACCGACCACATCCGGCGGAGCAAACGGGAACCACGAGCAACAACAACAACTGCACCAGCAAGTCGACTACAACGAGGCGCCGACCTCTCGGGAGGAGGAGGAGCAGGAGCAGCAGGAGTGGCTTCAGATTGGTGCAACAGCGGAAAAGAGAAGCAGAGCACCAGTGGCCAGTGCCGTTGTAGCAAAGGGCTCAAGCTCAGAGTCTTCAGAGCCGGAACAACAAAAAGAGGAACTAGTACAACTGCTGCAACATCAGGTGGCGGCGATGGCGCAGCAAAGTTTGCAGATGCAGGCATCGACTCCAGTGCCATTTGGTGTGTCGTTCCGAGTCGCTGCGTGACAGAGTTCTCAGGCGCTTATTTGAAGCAAGATACAACTTCCATTGTGTTTAGGGCAAAGGGTGTTTAGGGCAAAGGAGTGCCCTTTTGTCATGCTGGTCAGCACCCCGATTCGTGACCCTGAGCAGAACGACTACTGTCTTCGTTAATCGTGTCCGCTACAGGTGCAGCGCAAGTATTTTTTAGCTTTTGTGGTTTCGTTCGCTTTAGGATCGCCAGTCGTTTTCACTTTGTCGCTTTTCAACCTGGCGCTCCCATATGGTGCACCTCCTTTGCGGGTTCGCGGCTTCGCTCATTGTCGTCGCGCTGCCCATTTCCTTGGTCTTTTTCCCGAAAGAGTACCACCCAGAAGGAGAATCCGAGGGCGGCGAGTATGATGTTAGTCCGGGACCACAGCTGGACGCGACCGCTGGGGCCGATGGTGATCAAGCAGACCTTCTTCCGGCCGACCGCCCGAATCCACCGCCGGCGAAGAAAGAAAAGTACTGGCTGCTTCCCTGGGATTTTGCACGAAAAGGCACGCTGTCAAGTGTGTGTCAGCGAGGCGATAGCACGGAGGGTAAGATTTTCACGACCGGTCTGGTGATAGCTGAAATTTGCGTACTGCTGTCGCGCTACACACTGATCGTGTACGATCGTAGCTGCAGCGGGTTGAGCAACGAGGACGTCAAACTTGACGTCATTTCCACCGAGTCTTTTACCGATCTGGCGCTTCGTGTGGTTTGGCTGATCGTTCCGCCTGTCCTCATGATCATCACGGCTGCGGTGCCGAGCAACAGTTTCAGGACGAACGCTCCGAACGCAGCACCGACGACGACGGCAGGACAGGCAGCAGGTTCGGGAAGTAGCAACGACCGAAATCGGGTTTCGGTGATACATGAGGAGCATACTCGGAGTTGGTCGCAGGCGCTTCATAGAACTGTTCTTGCCGCGATGGGGCTCCGCTTAATTTTCGAAACGCGGCAATTGTTTGAAGAAGGTATGGACATCCCGGCGGTTCTGTTTGGGGTATCAGATCCACTGGATGAGAAGGAGTTAGCATTCTGGGTCAGCGCGGGCGACCAACAAGTGGTGAGGCGATGCACGGACCCAAGAGCGCGGACTTTCTGGATACAGGCGTATCGGGGCTATCATTTGGGTCGAGTGGTGTGCCTCTTTCTCGGGTGGCTCTTTTCACTACTTTTCTCGGTCCTGGTCTTCACCGCCGACCGCTCGGCTGACGACCATCCAGACGGTGTTGTGGCCTATCTCGAAGGCGGGCGTCTGGTTCCACACTCGGCGAGCCTGATTCTTCCGCGCCTCGCGTTTACGACCGAAATTCTTGCCATGCTCACGGTGCAGGTGCTGCCCCTCTGGCCCGTTCTTCTGAAGGTAATGCGGTACTTTGCAAACGTCGCGTCCTGGATCCCGCCACTGACGCCGTTCGCAACTCTGCGGGAAATTTCGTACTGGTTTGTGGCTTTGGATCTGCCAAAGTGCGGTCATTATTTTGATGCGCAAAAAAATTGTGAAAAGCCTATGGACAAGATATCTTCATATGTCGCGCCCACTTTTAACACATCTTCTGTCTCCTGGTGGGAGCATAGCTGGATAGTATAAATGACGGTCGTGGGTGCGAAGGCCTTTGGGCCGTGCCGAAAGGAAAGAGACCGCGCTTCAAATGGAAGAAGTCGTCGGCATACCGCTGCGGGCGGACGATCCTCGGTCATTGGCCAGGGCCGCCAGTGATGCTGTCGCTTATTTATCGACACCAGGCGACTTCAACGACGCGTTATTGTTCGACGTGCGTCCTCTCGTCAATCTTTTTTGCTGAAGTATCTTGGAAATTAATGCATTATGCGCACTGTATTTGCGGGCAAATAAGCCGACGCTTCGGTTCTTTTCGTGATTTTCACTTCAGCATTCAGCTTGGGCGAAAAGTCGCAAGAAGCTAAATTGCTAATATGACAACTCCAAGCATACTAACTCACCGTAAATAAATTTGATTTCGGAAGAGCAAACCATGCCGGGTCCTCAAGGCGTTGCGCACCTTAATATCACTGCGGGCACGCTAGTGGCCGTTGGTGGTATAATGGGTTACACGCGGAAAAAGTCCCTACCCTCCCTCGTCGCGGGAGTGTTGCTTGGGGCAGCGTACTACGGAAGTGCGTATTTGGTCGACCGAGTAGACCCCGTCAAGGGATTCCAAGCGGGCGCAGCGACCTCGGCGTTTCTGACCGCCGCGATGCTGCCACGATACCTAAAAACCAAAGCCTTCATGCCTGCAGGTAAAAAATGGTTAGTTTGTCTTGTAGTTTCCCGCACTTCGGCGAGCGTTGCCGTTTCAATAAATAACTGCCTTTTCTAACGTTGTCGTACGTATTAGTGAGGCCGCCAAGCCGCGATGGATGTGTTGTATCTTTTTGTAGAGTCATGGACAAAAAGTATTTTGTCGCAACCAAACCGCCAGGTCTCTGCGCACTGATTGGCGTCGGCGCTGGAGCTTACAACGGGTGGCAGTTGGCACGATATACGGCGAATTGAGCTCCTTTGGTGTTTGAAACAAGTGCCATCCTTCTCGTGTGCGGCTTCTGTGTCATTTGTTTTAACCCACGCCAAAAAACCGAAAATGCAGATGGGCCAGCGCGATCGTCCTTTTTATGTGCTAGAAGTGCTCCTGCCCCATTTGTGCATTGTAGAAAAAATCTCTGTCCACGTCCACTCCGCCCTTCGCGTGGGTGTCAGGCCGTCGGGTGAAGGCAGTCGTACAGCTGTTTCAACTTTATTTTCTAAAATTGGCTGACTGAGTGCTTGAGTGAGGGAAGGTACTCGAGTCGGTGCTACGAACGAAGATCTTGTCTCTTCGAAGTTCATCCTATCCAAATTGAGATTTTTACTTAGCACTATCGGTTCACTTCTATTATCGGTGGAAGTACTTAGTAAAATGGATCATCTGTCACAGTCAGTGTGGAGAATTTTGACACAAATAAAGCAATTTACGGTCGAAAAAATCCTCTGTGATCAGAGTGACGAGGGCGGTTCGGTGAGTAGACTTTCGCAGGACTGCTCAAGATTTTTTCTTTGTGTCGTACACTTAATGTCTATAAAAAAAAAATCCAATAGAAATTCTCCAACGCCCAAATAGAGATTCTCCGTATAGAGAATCTCCCGCGTCGAATCTATCGGCTCCCGCTTTGTCTTCGGTTGCGTCTGCTCTTCGCCTTCGCCTGGCGCAAAGAAAAGCTGTTGACCTTCCTCTGGCGCAAAAGGCCGCTCTCGCTTGACTTTTCAAAGTGCTCTTTTTGTTCCGTGCCCATGGACGGGGAAAAAAGTTCCTGTGCATGTTTCGGCCCCCGGGGGTTCAGCTTTTTCATTCTTTATTTGCCCGCCGTCAGTTGCGGGGAAAGAAAGAATAACTCCGCACCGACCTGGCGGCCGGCGTAGGGGAAATAGAGAATATTGCGCACACTGTGCGCGCGCGGGCTTCTTTTTGAGCGGCCAGACGTTCTTGTTCGCCGATGCGCGGCATCTGGCGGCGTGGCGGAAATGAAAAAAATTTCTGCGCGCTGCGTCGCGGGGGCTTTTTCTTGTGAGCAGCCGGGCGCCTCTTTTCGCCGGCCCGCGCACCACATCAATCTTGTGGCGTGCTGGGATCGAAAAATAAATATGAGCGCCGCTGCCAGCGCGCCGCGCTTTGTAGCGATGCGGGATCGAATTCAAAAAATTTTCGTGCGCTGCGCGCGCGCGAGTTTGCTTCTCTGAGCGGCCGCGCGCTCTCGTTGCATGCCCGCGCGCCGCGCTTTGTGGCCATGCGGAATCGAATTCAAAAATTTTTGCGCGCTGCGCGCGCGCGGGGTTTTTTCTCTAAGCGGCCGCGCACCCTCGCCGCCCCCCCGTGCGCCGCGCTTTGCTGCGGTGCGTGTGGAAGTGAATTCAAAAAAATTTTGCGCGCCGCGCGCGCGAGTTTTTTTCTTTGAGCGGCCGGGCACTCCCACCGCCCGCGCGTCGCGTTTGGTGGCGGTGTGGGGTCGAATTCCAAAAAATTTCGTGCGCTGCGCGCGCGCCAATTCTTTTCTTTGAGCGGCCGCGCGCTTCCGTTGCCCGTGCGCCGCGCGGGGTGGCCGTGCGGAATCGAATTCAAAAAATTTTCGCGCGCTGCGCGCGCCCGAGTTTTTTTCTTTGAGCGGTCGCGCACCCCCGTCGCCCTCCCCGCGCGCCGCGCTTGGTGGTGGTGCGTGCATGTGGAAGCGAATTCAAAAAATTTTCGCGCGCTGCGCGCGCGCGCGTTTGTTCCTTTGAGCGGCCGGGCACTCCGATCGCCCACGCGCCGCGTGTTGTGGCGGTGTGGTTCGACTTCCAAAAAATTTCGCGCGCTGTGCGCGCGCGAGTTTGTTTCTCAGAGCGGCCGCGCACCCCGGCCGCCCGAGCGCCGCGCGTCCCTTTTGGCAGGCGATGGGAATGGGGCCGAATTCGAAAAAAATTTCGCGCGCTGCGCGCGCGCGAGTTTTTCTCTCTGGGCGGCCGCGCACCCCCGTCGCCCGCGCGGCGCGCCTGGTGGCGATGGATGTGGAATCGAATGCGAAAAGTTTTTGCGCTTCTTTTTCCTTGGCCGGTCGCGTATTTTCGTCGCCCGCGCTTCGCGCTTGGTGGCGATGTGGGGTCGAGCTACAAACTTTGTGCGCGCTGCGCGCGCGCTTTTTCTTCTACTGGGCGCGCGGCCGCGCACTCCTTTGCGCGCGCCACACATGGTGGCGCGTTTGCTGGGATTGGCAAGAAGTTCTCGCGCATTGAGGTCGCGCGCGCGGAGTGCGGCGGTGATGGGTTAAATTCTCTCGCGCGGGCTGCAGCCATGCGTCGTGGTTGGATCGATGGAATGGGATAAATTCTCCTGCGCTGCGCGCCTGGTGTCCGTTTTTTCGAGCAGGCGGCGCGCGCTCCTTTTCGTGCGCCGCGACCCCCCTGCGTTGTTTGCGGGAATGAAAAAAAAAACTCCTCGCGCTCCGCCCGCCTGGGCTTTTTCTTTCGTGCTGGCTCCCTTTTTCTGCGCGCCGCACCTAGGTGGCGGCCGGCGGACCGACGTTGTGGGGGCCAAAAAAAAACTCGCGCGCTGCGCGCGCGGGCCACCTCTCGGGCAGGCGCGTGGGTGTTCTCGCGTGCCGCGTCTGGCGCCGTGGGTGGGAGGCCGCTAAGTGGGTCCATCAAAGATTTTCGAGGAGCGCCGCGCGCTCCTACGTTATCGCGCGCCGCACCTAGCTGGTGTGGGCGTGTGTCGCGAAGATAATCGTGCGGGCTGCCGCTAGACGGCCGGGCTGCGCCCAGGCTTTGCAGGCTAGCGAAGCCTTGGTTGAGAGGCTGGCAGACTAGCGCCCAGGCTTTGCAGGCTAGCGAAGCCTTGGCTGAGAGGCTGGCTGGCAGACTAGCGCCCAGGCTTTGCAGGCTAGCGAAGCGGAAGCCTGGGCGCCAGGCTGGCAGGCTAGCAAAGCCTGGGCGCCTGGCTGGCAGGCTAGCAAAGCCGGGGCGCCAGGCTGGCAGGCTAGCAGAGCCGGGGTGCCAGGCTGGCAGGCTAGCAGAGCCTGGGTGCCAGCAGGCTGGCAGGCTAACAAAGCCTGGGTTGCCAGCAGGCTGGCAGGCTAGCAAAGCCTGGGTTGCCAGGCTGGTAGCCAGGCCTCCTGGGTTGCTGGCTGGCAACCTAGCATCACAGATAGAGAATCTCTATCCCAGATAGAGATTCTCTATCCCAGATGGAGAATCTCTATTTGGGATGGAGAATCTCTATTTCGGCTTCGCCACTGGTGGAGGAGCTGCTGAAATATAGTAAAAAACATGTGGGAAAACAGTAAGAAACAGAAAAAGAAGAAAAAAGAAAGAAAAAGAAAGAAAGAAAAAGAAAAAAGTGATACTCTTTATCGAGAATTTCTATTTTCCTCGGAGAATCTCTATTTCAAATAGAGATTCTCTGAGATTTTCTATTTCGAGAGCCTCCATTATACATCTTCATGAGCTAGCAGTTTGTGCTTTCCAAATCCGGTACAGTACCCGCAGTTCCACCCAAGAGTACAACTAGAGGCTACCCTTTTTACTATTCGAACAACGTCCCACCTCCCATAAAAAATATCTCCCACAAGAATTCCTGCAAATCCCAATCGCTGTCCACCCGATTTACTTACTTACAACTAGTCCAACTCCAGGGTACTATCAGTATTTTTCCGTACGTAAAAATGTTGTCCGCCGCTCGCGTCCGCCCATGCTTTTTCACCGCGTCCGTAAAGCACCAGTTGAGGTGTGGGGCTGGTGCGGCAGCAGGATCAGCTCCTGTGGGGGAGAGGAGTAGGAGCGATCTTTATCAGACGACAAGACGATTTTTTGCCTCGTCCAGCTCCTCCAAGTACTACGACAATTCCAAGGCGCAGAGGGATTACGAGCGCAGCCAGACCTTCATGGAGAAGCTGAAGGAGAAGAACGAAGCGCCGGTGGAGACAGGTAAAAATGATTCAAGACTGCAGGCAGAGACAACTTCAACACCGCCAGCGGCAGCAGGAGAACCAGCAGCAGCAGCAGCAACTTCTTCGAAAATCACCTCTGCGACCGTGCGGGACCAGCAGAAGGTGCTGTTTCCCCGGTTGACCGAGGAAGCGAGCGAGGAGGAATTCGGCGAGGCCGACGAGAAAAGCGGCAGTATGAAGAAGGAGGTTGGGTTCAAATACCTGGGAAAGGAACCAACCAGCTACGGAGACTGGTCGCACAAGGGACGGGTCACCGACTTTTGAAGCTACCACCGGCCGCACTGGTTGTAGTTCTGAATTGTTTGTATGAAGAAGAGTCCTCTAGGTTGAATCGCGACGGCGTTGACGAAAAAGCAAGAAGAACTACCACTTTAAATCCAAAAACAAAATGCTATTGTGCCAACAAAAAGAGGATTTACTTGCTAGTAGTACAGCAGTGTGAAGATGATAAACTTACAGCAATCTATAATTTTCAAGAACATCATCGTTGTGAACACAAAAATGCGGGTGGAAATAAAGCCGGTGAGGTTCTTTTGTTTTCACTTTCAGGCAGCGAACGTCAATGTCTCTCTAACGGACGTTCACGACTGCTATTCTGCAGAGAAGTGCCTGTTAGTTTTTGTCATCTTTCCATTCGGTTACGGTTTTGAGTCTTCTGAAGTAAAATTTGTTTCGGTACGATGTTAGTCTGAGGCGTCGCCGAGGGTCGGTTTTAGACGTATCTTTTCTGCCACCACACAAAGTATTAACGGTGCTCCCTTTCTCCACGGTCGGTATCTAGTGCGAGGATTCGGTTGCGGCACGCTGCGGTCGGCAGGATTCTGTATCTACTTTCGTTAGTACAACCCTCTTCCTCGTCGAGAAAAAAAAATTGACATTTTTCTGGAGCAGCTTCCTCACAACTCGTATGCAACATCCAACTACAACTCCCTTCTTGCGGTATATGTAATTGAAAATCATGTATACTTAGACTGTTGCGCTCGCAGCCCGTTTTTCAAAAAAGAAAATGTCCAATCCCGGTTACGGCTCCTGTTGGGTCCCCAGTAAGCGAGAGCAGGCCGCTTTACAGTTTTTCTTCGATACCAGAGAGAACGATATAATCACGAATCTGGCACTACGGGGAGGAAATAAATCCACTAGTTTTAGTACCCCGGCGGCAAGCGGCACGACCAGGCAGGAGAATGGTAAATTTCGAGCAAAAAAGCGGAGCACCGGAGCAGGCATCAACAACAGAAACAAGTACGGGCGAAAGAGCGTCGATATCGCGAAAGACAGACTAGACTTTTCCCGGGATTTCGCACGCAGGAAACTGCTGTTCATCTACAACGCGAACGGCTGCCCCGAATTCGCGGACACGACTATCGAAGACGGGGTGAAACCTCTCTTGTTCTACTTGTCGCCGATTGCGCATAACAATCTAGCCCACTCCAACGAGCAGTCAATGGAAATCTTGCTCCGCGACGTGTCCGCGAAGTTGAGTCCGGATTTCAACAAAAACGTGCAAGTGAAAGCACTCTACGATAGCTGTTTGCGCAAAATCGAATCCGTTTCAGAACTGAAGCACGGTGGTAAATACCTAGCGTGCGAAACGACCTGGTTCAAAAAGCCGCCGGCCAGGAGCCTGGTGCCCTTTTTAACGGACTTGATTGACGTGCAAAGGGCGTATTGAAGAATTGCTATTGATGTGACGCCGCGCCTTTAAAACTAAGGACAGCAGTAAGTACGAAGTTCATGTGCAACATCAAAAGCTACCGCTACGTGGTGCGGTGGGTAGTCTTTTGCGACACAGATTTATTAATACGCTCTGTCCAGGAGGGTGCAGTAGCTGTTCTGTTTTCAACTTGATGAAATCACCTTGATGAAATCAAATAATTTCATCAGCCTGAGCGTTATTGAGAGTAAGTAGCAGGAGAGATAAGCGAACAAGTCTTGGCACACAACTTTTTTGAAAGCTGCGATGTTCATCTCTGGGTTGGTTCTTTTGAGAGGATTGTTGATGCAGGCAACTCTAGTAAGTAGAGATGCACAGCACACTAAGACAGGCAATTTCGCAGAAAATATGTCTCTTTAAAAAAGCGATTTAGGTACGCGGAATCAGTATCGCTATCGGCAGACATCAACAATAAAACTGGAAAACTCTTGATGAGCACCGCCTTGAAAGCCAAGTCATGGGTCACTGGACCGTGGCCGCGCAGGCTGCTTCACACCGCCGAAGTTTGAAATCGTCCTTGGCCGAAACTGCCGCAAGGAAGCTTAGCATCGTAGCGTCCTCGACGGGGAACAAGAAAAGCAGTATCACAAGCGGCAGCAGCAACACCTTTGCTGCAACACGATCTCCCCTGGCGGATCATCCCCAGTCACTTTCACACCACAGCACAACGAGCCTGATCAACATGGTGGCCCCGGAGGACGCGCTGCAGACATCCTGCACCATTCTCCCCGGATTTTTCGGCGTGTTCGTCCAGGTGGTCCTCGGGGTTTGCTGTTTCTCGACCCTGATAGTGAAGTGGCGCTTTGAGAAACCCTTCCCGCGGCCCGCGGTGATATTCTTTCGCGATAGTTCGAAACAGTTCGTCGGGGGTGCCTACATGCACGCCCTGAACATGCTCGCGGCCTACATCTTCGCGACGAAAAAGTCAAATGTATGAAATCGCGTTGCTTGCTTGGTCGTTAGATATTGCTATCATGTTTGTTGAAGGTGGTGAAGTTGACTTATTGCACCTATATGAGAAGTTGTAGCAAAAAACACGACGGCCAGCATAGAATTACTAACGAAACCACCTACAAAAATGAATACAGGGTGACGAATGCGACTGGTATTGGGTGAACGTGGTAATAGACTGTACGCTAGGCACGTTTCTCAACTGCATCTATCTGCGAATAACGGAGAAGCTCTTCAGCTACTCCAGTGGCGTCTACGAGGACAGTTCCTACGCCGAGATAGGGAATGCAGAGAATACTTCTGCCGCGGGAACGACCGCTATGGAACAGGAGACCAAATCCATTTTGACCCGGATCAAGCTTTTCTTCAAAGCCTTAACACCGGCGTATAGGTTTCAAATTGGCGCCTGGATACTGGTGTTGACCTGTATGAAACTGACCATGATCTTGATTTTCTTCCAATTTGGAGAGTATCTCGTGAAATACGCGTCAGAACTCATAGACGGTCTCTTCGGGCCAACATCCAGCACGAACAAGTTGAAGCTTGTCTTTGTAATGATAGTCACCCCGGTGGTCATGAATATCTTCCAGTTTTGGGTCAGCGATAGCTTTTTGAAGGCGTCCAATAGCTTCTCGATAAGCGGAGGGAGTATCGATAGTAGGCCTTTGCAGGAGACGCAATAGATAAAGCTGAGTTTTTTATGCGTTGTACTCATTTCAACGACGTTTCAGAACATGTTTCATATGCTGCCAAATTTTGGGACTTGTGGAAATCGTAAAATCGTTTCATGATGAAAGAAGTCCCTTTTTTCCCGCCATTGTGATTTCAGTGCGACCTCAAAATTAAACACAAAAAGCAGGCGGTCAGTCGCAAATTCGTGCCGCAGCGTGTTCGCGAAGCTTGCCCTGGGAATAGAACGACAGGAGAGCCAGACGCCAGAGCTGCGATCAGAACTCGAGGATCGCCGTTTATTCTCCTCGCGTCGGACGTCGGAATAGCTATGTGCAAGTATCCACCATAAAAATAGATCGCGGTCGCGGAAGATCGGCAAAAATTGTTCCTTATGTCTCACTTTCATTGAGTTACCAGTTTTTCTGTTTGCAACAAGTCGGATCTAAGTCTAGCACTACATCAAAATGCGAACAGCCAGTCTATTTCCGCTCCCAATTGGCACGCAGCTGCTGCTGCGTTTCCCGCCAAAACGGGACGACGAAACGGGAACTGAGCGGACACAAAAAATGATAACCACGGTGGAGTTAGCAACCGCAGAGCTGTTGCAGGAGTGGGTTTTGCAGAAACTGCAGCACAGCACGACGGGCTCAAATGTCGAAGACAACAACTCTTTTACAACTGACAACACTTCTCCGTCTGCGTCCTCACCGGGACGAAACGACCAGTACGAGCTCTTTTGGTCGAATAATTGGCCAGTGCTGAACGCAAAAGCTGCCCCAACGGGGATCGGGAGCAAGGGACGACGGGGAGGCAGCGGATCTTCAATTTTGCGACCTTTCTCGCCCAACGAAGTGTCCGTTTCCGGGGCGCAGGCGTCCAACAAGAAGCCGTTTGTTGTCTTGCACGTCAGACCTATGGCTATGTCTAGCCGCATGTTGCTTCTGCAGCAGCAACAGGAGCAAGAACGACATGGTCAGCAAAGGGCTGCAGCAGGAGCTACAACCACCTCCACCGGTAATAGTATTAAAACACCAATTGCGACATCTTCCGGGGGCGTTTCATCCCCGATTACAACAGCCACGACTTCGGGCGCCGCGGCAACCTCCGCACAGTCACCCGCTGCGAATCTTCTAAGTCAGCCGCTCCTGCAGCAGGCAAGTGACAATAACTACACCACCAGCTCTAGTACTTTCTTCGCCCCCAATCGGTTTTATCCGCTGAACACGATGCTAATTTCGAAAATTGAAACCCAGCGCAACGACAACACGAACGCACTGCAGAAGCGGTTGGTGCACTTGGAAGAACAGTTCAAAAAGAAGGAGTACAGCTACAATCTGTTGAAACGGGTGTACAGCACGATATTTGGAACCTTCGTCCTCTCCGTTTTGTTCTTGCTCCTTTTCGGTGCTTTAGTCGCGGCCACCGCAAACATCGACCCAAACTGGCGGGACTACGGGTACGAACAGCGACGGAAATTCATGCTGGAAATTGCGAGAAAATTTTTGCACTTCTTTGACCTAGAAAAGGACTTCCGGGAAAGCGCGGGAACGCCGCTTTCATGATGCAAATTTGATTTTTTTTTAAATCCGCTCCGAATCATGCAGACAATGATCTTCCTTCTGGTAGTCGTGTCGTAGGATCAAAAAAATGTGTTTATTAAAGACCCAGGGGACGATCATCCACTTTCTCTTTCTTTTGTTCTGAATGAAACGACAACTACGTTCCGGTTGTATTTGCTTTTTCCCAACCGAGAGAAGCAGGCTCTGGGGGGGGGGCTCGTGGAACTTGGAGCGTTGGAGTGTTTTTTTTTGATTCAGATGTTTGTCCCCCCTTTGAGGCGCGTTCGAGTTTTTTTTTTATCTATCGTGTCTTGGCGTTGGAATAGAAGCGTTTTTACTCGACCTTCTTTGCCTCCTGTAGGTTTCTAACAACTACTTATCTATCAACAAATACGTAGAAAAAGATGAGCAAGACCTCCCCAAACCCCGCCCGGCGTCGCAGTTCTTCTCATAATTTCAAGAAGAAGATTACTGGTTCGTCGGAAGTGCGGCGGAAACCGTCGCGGAACAAGAGCGCGCGGAACAAGGGACTGACGATACCATCGGCGCGCGGCAGTAGAAGTGGAACAAGCGATGCGATCTCAACTTCTGCGCGGGCAAACACAAAAATAAAACCCGCGATGATTGGTTCCCCCCGCCCGGGGACTGTGGTCAGTAGGAGCAAGTCGTTTTATTGCTGGATGCTGCTGTGCAACTGCATTTCCTCCGTTTTCCAGTTCTGTTACTACACGAAGTTGCTCTTCAACAACTCCACGTCAGTGACAACGAATGCGAACGAGCTGATCTTTTGCGAACTGGTGCTGGCGATGTTCAAAATGTCAGTGGAACTTTACTACAAGGACTGGCGGTTAGATCGCTGGGATTTACACATCCACCACTTTCTTTCGTTCCTGGCCACGGCGCTGTGTCTGGAATGGATCGAATGGAAATCCTTCCCCGCGAAGAAATACAGCGAATTGGTGGTCCACGGGTTGAGTATCCACTTCGCTTTAGTTTTCACGTCCGTGAAGCGAATTTTCACGGTCACGGGGGTTTCCGCGCCGGGAATTTTGAATAAGGTCGACACCGTGGACGAGTGGCTGAAGCGAAACTTCTCGTTGGAGGTGAGAAAATATCAAGTGCAAAAATGTCTGGGTCTGGAAGAGTGCATGTCTGTCATGCTTGTCTAGCATGACCCTTAAATCTGTCATGCACGTTACCAAAGAGCTTCATTTTTCTGTGATGCAGAAACGCAGTTTGTCATGCAGAATAGGCAACACATAGAAGCTCAGAAACTTGTCATGCTGCGCCAGCATTTGTGGCCTCATTATGAGACGCCACCCAGCATCACAAGTTTCCAGACCCAGACATTTTTACACTTGATAGAAAACTGCTCGATTCGATTTCGCAGCAGGTGTTGCTCCTCGTTTGGCTACCGGTTGTCGGGTTCAGATCTCTCGGGATTCTCTACTACGGGCTCTTCAAGTACGAGAACTCGCTCGTCGTACTGGTGTTCGGCGTGCTGTTTCTCATGCTAGATTTGAACTGGACAAGGTGGGACCTGTACAGGGAGGCGGCGGCGGGAATCGTGGCGAGGCTGGGTAGTTACAGGAGGAAAAAGGCGTAAAGGTAACCTAGATCTACTACTAGATCGCGATAACCATACCGCACGGTAGAAGGGAAGGGAAGCTGCACCTGAAGATGAAAACGATGTTTCAGAGAACAAAGGACTGTCGGGCTATATTGCTTGATGTCAACCACAATGTGAAGAAGTACAGCAGAAAATGGTACTATTACACATCAAACTCCCACGAGGACAAGCTCATGCGACGGGACGAGCACCCTACGCGTACTAGAAAACACTGGCAGAGGCCGCATCTCTACGTCAAAGTAGTTTTTCTTTGTTCGACATCTCCCGTTGGCTATGACAAGGAGTCGGTTTTTATCAGCCATTCTAGCTACGAAGCGATGATCTCTTTCGGTTATTCCAGCAGCTCTGCCGCGGCATTACCCCCGAACAAATCGGTTTTGCTCCCTCATGCGGTGGTTCAGTCACAGTTTTCGCCACGGTCAGATCTTCCAACTACTGTTTCCTTTATCGGAAGCAAACCGCAAAGGAGCCCCAAGCAGGAGTGATAAGCACGTAGTGAATAACAACATAACAGAATCCCAAGAGAGAATAAGAGTTTTCTAAAAGATCCTAGCAAGTCATTTAGAAAAAGCAGCTCCGTAACTTAACAATGGCGAACGTTTTTCCACCGGTTGTGTCATCAATGTTCGACCCCAACGCGGCCGCCCCTGCTGCCCAAGCGGTTGCAAATGTACCCCTACAGGAGCTGCCAACTACGACGAATGTCTACGGTACCGCGCTGCAGTATGTTCAAATGTTGGCAGAAAGCCCAGGCGCATGCTGCACTGCCGCAGCGGTGACGGTGGTGGTGGCGCAGGCACTGGTGAACTTGTGGATCTGGTCCGTATGGACGTGGAGGTACGTATGTAAGCGGAATGAAAAATTGTGCTTCTACATGTTGACAGATCTCGTATCATTTAGCAAATTCTGCATCTTCCCAAATTCTACTTTCCCACACGCTCTCTAAAGTACTTCTATGCTTCGTGTTTTAAATAATTTTTCAGGTTTGCCCAACCTACTTCCTTTCGCGGTGGCGCCGCGGATTCCCTGCTGAAAGAGTTCGAGACCTACGGGTACGGGCCAGACATGATGAAGTTTGTCGGTTTCGTGAAACTCGGCGCCGCCACACTTTTACCCCTGGCGGTTATGGACCCGGGCTGCGATTATTTGCTGTTTCTCTCCTCCGGGGTGTTGCTCTTCCTCATGGTCGTCGCGATTGTCTCGCACTTCAAAGTAAACGACCCGATCAGCCGGAACTTTCCCGCCGGCTGCATGGCGGTGCTCTCCCTGTACGCACTCGTCATGGGGCTGGAAAAAGGAAGCTCCTACGAGGCGTTTTCCTTTTGGCGGGTGCTGGTGGGCATCGTGCTGCTCGCCGCCGACGGCTACATGTGGTATGACGCAAAGTACAAGTCCAAGGCGTACGCGACTGTCCCGGCGAGCGACAACGTCTTTTTCAAAATGGTGGAGTGAGACTAGTAAGCAGCCATGATATTTTTACATTGAAATCCGCTTATCCACAGAACGACGAGAGTTCAAAGAAAAAGAACAAGATTTGTGCAGTTGCGAAGAGGACATTATTTTCCCATCTGGCTTTCGTTGAGACTCTTTCACGGGTTTCTTCCTGCTGGAGTACTTGATAAAAGACCAATATGGTGCTAGCGACGAGCCAATGGTTATAAAATTGGCCTGTGCGACAACAGGACCAGCTTTTATTGAAACAAATTTGCCTCCACCACAGCACGAAAACTCGCTCGGAGGCGCAAGTTTGGTTTCACCACGAAATGATGCGAATAAGGAAGTCGAAATTCATCTGGTATATAGAGGAAGAAAAATCTTGCTAACGCAGCCCAACTCGAAATCGTAGATACACCCCTGATGATATCAAAACTTTTGTAGCCACCGTAGCTTGTTATCCGCAAGAGAATCAAATTTCGAGAGCCGCTCGCAGCTTTTGCGTTTCAGTAATGCTAAATTGCGGCTTTGTTGTTGTTCGCTAGACAATTACATGGAAAAAGTACCTCATTCGCCAGAATCTCTGCGAGGCGAGAGTGAGATCGCAAGAGTAGGAGCGAGCTGTCTGCTTCGAGTCTTGCTGGTGAGGGAAAGAGGGAAGTCGGAATGAATCGATTGGGTAAGAAAGTGTTTCTGCTAGGGCTGTCGAAGAAATTCGTATCCGTTGAATTTCGGTGCTCGTCGTAGGAACACGAATATCTACCACTCTTGTGACGTTGTCCCACACACCATTGTACGGTAGTCGTAGTCTAGCGAGAAATTATGAGAAATACGTGAAAGCTAGCATGGTAAAACCACTAATACCATCACCAATGTGACAAAGTTGTGAACATCATCAAAAGCGAAAATTATTACCCCCAAGAACTGATGCAGGGTATCACTATCAGCACCCGTCGAACGGCGCTGCTGCTCCTCCACGGCTGCGCGGTGGTGGTCCATGCGGTGTTGCAGGAGCAGTTTGTTGACGATAATGCGCAGCTGGATCACGAACAGAATCTACTTGCCGTTACGCCCGACGGCGGACTGGAGCTTCTCCTGGGGGAGTCGAGTTCTACGGAACAACTGCGGAACGAACTCCACACGACCCGAGCGACGGAGTCCACCGATGAGCTTCCTCTAGAAGGGCAAGAGGGTAGCTACCACGAGGAAAGGGCGAGAGGTTCGCAGCCCCCCGACATCTTCACGGCACCGCCCAGCAACGAAGAATTGTCCATCGCGCACGAGTCCTTTCTCGAACAAGCAACGACGCAGGCACGACAAGCGACGACCCATAATCAGGCACAGAGCCAAAACCAACAACAGCAGGAGAGTAAAGAGCAAATCTCCATCGGGCGAGAAAGTAAGGAGATGCACCAATTGGTAATGGAACAAGAGCAGCAGAAGAATAAAGTGTCAACGAAAGTAGAGCAGCAAACAAGGCTGCTGCACCTGGAGAAGCAAAAGCACCTCCAAAAGCAGAAGTGGATGTTCGACTGGCGATGGAATCGAGCAATCGAGAAGAGCATCCAAGGCAACGCGGAAAAGGCGAGGCGGAAATTGGAAAAGCTGGAAAAGGAAAGAAACAGGCCGAGTAGCGACCAACTGCTGCAGTTTCTGGAGCTAGACCAGGGGAATTTGACCAGCCTAGGTACGGTAAGGGGAATAAACTGTCGCAGTCTCAACTTGTAATTTGCGGAAAAATCTTCTTGACACTGTTTTTTTGTCATGCTTTGACAGGCAAGACAGGCACGTGATGTTTCCTCCTGCGTCTGCCGCATTTTCACATACAGATTAAGATTTTGTTTGTCACGCCGATCGAATTTCTTTGTGTTGCTGAGTCTGCAATAACGGTTCGAGACTGGTGGGACAGTTTTTTCCTGCGATAGATGCAGCTTTCGATCGGGAAATGGGCGAAGAAATGGCTGGGAGAAGTGGCGATCACGAGCAGAGCACTCTAGATTCGACGGCGCACGGAACAAATCTTGTCGAAGCAAACAACAAGGAAAACAACGAGACGACGAGCTCTGCTTCTCCAGGACTACTAGCGCCAGCCTCTTCCGCTGACATCGTCGCGGACTTTTCCGCTGTGGTCATGGGAAATCTGAAACCCTTTCTCCACGACGTGGTTCCGGCCGCGTTGGAAAAGTTCAAGAACCAGCGGAAAAAGTTGCAGAAACTCGAGTCGAAGGTGAGCCGGGCTTTGAAAGCGCTTGAGGGACTGGATTTCAACGACCTGAACGAAGCGGAGTCCAAGTCGAATTTGCAAACCATGAAGACAGCGGCCGCCATGATGACGAAAAAGTTGGTCGACGCCGCCAGCAAGGTCCGGGACTACTTGAAAAAGAAGATCAGAAACCTCCGGGAAGTTGTGGGCCGTAACTCGACTTCGGATCATGGTTCGGCGGGCGAAGAGCATCAAATTGTTTCGCCTGCTGTGGGGGAGGAGGGTCTTTCAAGCACAAATTTCCAAGTCGATGACGAAGTGGTTTTTAAAGCGGACTTGAAAGAAGATGACGATGGTAACAGCAGCGTTCCCGGACGAGGAAAAAGTAGCGTCGAAAAATCCAAGACGTTTCATCCCGGCGGCACTGTGTCCTCGGACACGACAACATCTTCGACCAAAAATCAGTGCAGCGACCGGTTCTTGCGAATTTGGAAAATTTCACGCGTAAACGAGGAGCAGCACACCGTGGATCTGCGGTCCACCGGTGGAATCATAATGAGGCTGGGCGACTCGACGTCGCCGGAAAGAGCGGTTGAGGATGAATATGTCAACTACATCGAAAGAAGCGTGAACACCACGCAGTTGATTCAAAAGCACCTTGTGCAGCAAGAGCAGCAAACCCTACCGATCCGGGTCCAGGGCTTGGCCGAAGCGGCCGGCGTTGCGTTCGACCACCCCAGCGCGACACTCTGGAACCACGTCTCGAAACTGGTGCCGCGGTTCGACAACGGGCAGACTCTCCTGAAGGAGAACGACGAGGTCGTTGGGTTGTTTTTCGGCGACGGCAGCAATACTGACAAGAGCAACAAAGTCCTATGCACTGCAAAAGTATCGTATTCGTATAAATGCATATACAAATTTGAGAAATAAAATTTGTGATGCGGATTTACCTTAAGAAAAAGATTTGTAATGCATGACTGCAATACGAGTGCGATACTTTTGCACAGGATAAGTCCACTCGCTGGACGATGATGACGAGTATTCCTCGTGGCTTATTCTAAGTGAAAAACGTCCCCACCCCAGAGTTTTCATGCAAATCTGCATGCCAAAAAAGTTTCTCATGCGGAGCGCCACGAGGGGCGTTTTCTTGTCGTGTTTTGGAATTTGTGATGCTATAATCAGCATGATATACTAGATTTGTGATGCTGCTGAACTGCCTAAAGAGGATGACACATCGAGGACAAACTTGTCATGCCCAACGACCAAAGCTGGCTGATTTGTCTAGCGGATTTCCCATCTTGACTCTGGTGTGGGGACGTTTTTACAAATGATATGGCTCGCGAACGACGTCGGAAGCCTGAAGATGGCGGAGGTGCTCGACCTGGTCCGGGCCAAGAATTTTTCCGGCATCAAGATCCGACGGAAAAACTCCCCGGTGGAGAAGAATGGTGGTGGTGGCAAAGAAGGTGCTGGCGCGTCGAGCAGTCCCGGTCCGGAGTTGATGCAGAAGGACCCAGAAGTGGAGGAGAAGTTGGTGTTTTTCCGCGACCTAATTTCCCGGAAAATCTACTCTTCGCTCCGCAGTAGGACGTCGACCACGGGCGGCGCGGCTGAGCCTGATGTTCACGCCTCGGGCGGCGACGGTGCAAAAGTTGCCGTTGAGACGGAAGTGAATCTGAATCTGCAGGCGGTGGGTATCTTGTTCGGCGTGGAGGTTTGGAAAACGGAAAAGCAAAAAGCGAAAGCCTCTTCTCCAAGAACATCCTCTAAGCGCACTACCTTCACGGTTCGCGGCCAGACCATCCCGATTGCGATTGGAGCGAGAAAAGCGCGGACGGCGGGAGCTGCGGAGAAAGAGCAAGAAGCGGTTGTTTCCACAACTGGGCTGTCCGTCTGCAGCAGCACGTCTCAGTTCGTTCCACGGGGTTCGAGACTCCTGTCCGTGACGGACGGGCGTAACGAAACGCACGATGCGAAAGCAGTGGAGGAGAAGATCCAGCGGTATTTGTCGGCGGCAGCTAGGAAAAGAACCAAATTCGAGAAAATTTTTAAGAGCAAAGCAGCGGGGGATGATATGAAAAACAAAAACGTCGAAAGTGCAGGAGCGCACGACAAGGCACCAGGAGGCGGTAGTGCTGCGGAAGATGGAAATAAAGTGAAATCCTTCTACTATGATGTGGGGGAGGTTTTGCCGCATGTGATGCCTGCGCCGCTCTTGTTGAATTTTGAGACGGTCCGCTACACGTACCCGGGGGAACTTGAGGAGCTGATGGAGGAAGAGGACGGCGATGAAGCCGCGCAAGAGCAAGTACCTAGTAGTTCCGCGAAAGACGACCAGCAGAAGTTTCTCACTATGGCAGACCAAGCGATGAAAAGCTATTTCAGCATGGAGGACCTGCTCGACTCCGCACACACACTGGACGAGGGTGGGGAACAAGCGAGCCAAGCGGTTGTGCCCCTACAACCGGGGAACAACAGTTTGTCAACATCTTCCCACACCCCTACTTCTGCCTCCCCAGCACCCGCGGCATTCATGGAGCTCGTGCATCGTGCGCGCAGCCGCCGGGCCATGATCAGTCAACGGAGTAAAGCAAGAGCAAAGAAGCAACCTAAGTACCGTGAGCTGGCGGACACCAGCACGAGCGACAACTTTTATCACTGGTTGAAGGAGATTCCGCTGCGGTTATTCGGAATGATCACAACCGATCCGGCAGTCAAGATACAGGCCGGAGACGGTTCAAGCCAGCTGCAGGTGCAGGCAGCCTATGTTGGGGCGGATTGGTTTTTGTGGATGGTGCTCATCTTCTTTTTATTGGGTTTCCTTATTTTCCCGCAATTCTGGGCTGGGCTTCCATTGTTCGGTAGCATCCTCGGCAAGATGGGCCTTGCTCACTCTGCTGGTTTGAGCGGATACCTGCCTTTCTGGGGGAAATTTCTAATCACTATCTTTGGAGATCTTTTTGGCCTGGTGAATTGCATGGGGTGCTGTTGGTCCTGGTGGACCCTGTGTGGCAGAACAACTTCGTACAAGGACTTGAATTGGCAAGGAGACGACAAGCCATTAGCAACCACGTCCGTGGAGTCGCGCGTCTGGGAGCGGGTACGCAACGGCTTTGGATTCGGAGGTTTGGGGTTGATGGGTTCCACTTACCTACTCTGGGTGAAAACGTCGTCAAGCCATAATCTGATGTCAGGTTTTAGTTTTTATCACTACAACAAGTTATTCAGCAAGTTGTGCATCACAAATTTTCTTGGGCTCGTAATTTGTAAGCATGGTCCGCTAAGAGGTATGAACAAGACCGCAAGTCGTGACAAAGCGAGTGGCCGTGTTCTTTTGCGCTCTGCAGGGGTCGTTTTTGAGCTGAGGGAGGACCAAGCGCATTAGGAAAGAACTTAGTCCAAAAGCAAAAGTTTTGTTCCTGGCGGTACTAATGCAGTGCACTTCTATAATGAAAATGAGAATGAGAAGATGCAGAAGGAAAAGTATGCGGGCATCGGGACGGCGTTTTTACACAGGATGGTGCTACACCGGCGGCAAAGACGGGCTGTACGATGCTCCCGAGGACGACTACTAGTAGTAATTTACGAGGACTAGTAGTGCATATCCTGAGAAAAAACATTGAGATACCCAGCCCAACGTCAAGGTGGGAACTTCGCAAGGCATGTCTGGACCTTTTAGCAGGACTCTCGTATGACAAGTTTGGATAAGTATGTAGCGCAGGAGTGCATGGCTAGCGGTCCGGCCGCATCACGAACCCACTCGTATATTCTCACTAAAGGATGACAAATTTCCAAATCCGACTAGAATAATGCTTTCGATGATAGGGAGCGGCACATTAGGCGTTCCTTCTAGGCATACAAATACGCATGAAAAATTGGGAGGTGGGTACATTTTTTCTCAGGATGGGTACGGAACTCCGACTAGTGTATCTGTATTCATAGCAAATATATCTTGGTCTTGAGCTGGACGAACAATTTTGCGGAGGTTTCTTTAGGTTTGTTTTCCCGCATGACCCAGAAGGTTGTGAATGCGAACCGTAGCTGCATCACAAGTTTTGAGAAAGCCCTGGCATGCCTGTCCTGCGTGAGAAATGTCGTCTCCACTGTCCACCCAAAGTAGCGAGTATCTCGTCATGCAGTACAGATTTTTGTTATTGTTTCCTCAGCCAGAGGACGTCGCGTGCGCGTCACAAACTCGAACGAGCTTGGAAACCCAGATCGATATTTGCCATGCATAATCTACGTCGAGCCACGACCTTCCGGTGGGATCGATCACACACTAACTGGTTTCCGGTGAAGGACTACCTGCGGAAGATTCGAAGAGATAACAACGGAAGGTGATACTACTGCTATCGCCTACTGACAACTCGAAAATCAAAATAATGAAAACATAAACAGATGTAGAGTCAGATACCGATTTTGATTCGATAAGTCACTACTTTCTAGAAGAGGGCGCACTGTTCTTCAGTGAGTATCTTCCACGAGGGCTGCGGAAGAGAAATAACTGAACAGATGATGGCAGTGATTTCTTTGCATCGTCGCGCAAGTCCGCTTGTTCATGTGGGAGGACTGTAGATACATAGGATTTTTGCACATCTGAGTAGATCATGATCGTTGTCAGCAAAAATCTAAAGTCGTAATTTCAATTTTGTTTCTAGCTCATCTACAGTGCTGCATCTCATTCGCAAGGCGCAATCTGTCGGGCTCTACAACTCGACCGTACTAGCACCTGCGAATGAACTAGAAAAAGAAAACTTTTGTTTCAGGAGGGTCGCGGCACCTACAAATGCACCGTACGAGATCCTGATGTAGTCATCGTCTTCGGTGGTTTCTTTTTATGTCGTGCGTACCGTGTTTGTTCTTTGATCGTCGAGCTGGTTCGTCGTCGATTGGTGACGCGACTGCTTGGCTTGCTGACCAAGATGGACGGTGCAGCGAATACGATCGAAAATGGCCCAGTGAAAGAAGAAAAAGCAGTAGCTCACGAACCACACGTCACAAGAACGTCTCCGTGGTCCTCAGACGGCGGCCTGGCCGTGGTGCGCGTGAAACCCCTTGCCGCGGAGGAGGGAGGCGCGGCGTCTTTGGCCGCGGCGCAGCAGCAGGGCAAAGGAAACCACAAAGAGCTGCGCACTGCTGGCACCTCTCCTGCAGCGCGGCCTGTTGGCGCCGGCACTGCGACCGGAGTTGTGAGTGAAGAGCATGAAGATCGTGGCAGCGATGTCAAGGCTGATGACGTCGCGGCCCCTGCTAGTTTTCTTGTCGATGCGGAAGAACTACAGAGGCAACAAGATGTTTCCTCGTCTCTCACCGTCCACGGTCGCACATTTGACTATCCGCAGTTTGTCTTCCAGGGCACCAGTGCGACGCAGCAAGTTGTGTACGAGCAGTTCATGCCGCGGCGAATCGAGGATTTCTTCTACCGAGGAAAAAACTGCAACATTATCGCGTACGGGCAGACCGGCAGCGGCAAAACGCACACCATGTTCGGCCCGCCCGGGATGATGGGCAAAGCGGGAAAAGCAGATTTCGACCTAACCGGGTTTCTCACACCACCAGCAAGTTCGCCCGCTAGGGAGACAACAAAAAACAACAAAACTACACCAGCATTGCACAACAATCTCGGGCCCGAGCAGCAGAATTTGTGGCTGTGCCCGCGCGGGATTCTGGAAATTTTCCGCCTCGTGCAGCAGGAAAAGCGAGGTCGGAAACTGGTTCTCACCGGATCCGCTGTGGAGCTGACGGCAATGGACGGCAATTTGGATTTGCTACTGAAACAAAAGCGCAAAGCCGCGGACGGAGCCATGTTCGGACGGTTTACCGGGGCGAGCGGCGTCTCGCTGGACCGGACCTGCAGGCCGAGCCGACTGTGCGGCATGACGCAGATTTTTCTGGATACGCTCGACGACATAAAAGTGCTGTTCAGCGCGATCAGTACGCGCAACACTTCCGCGACGGGGTTGAACAGCACGTCCTCACGGAGTCACTGTTTCGTCTTTTTGTGGTTGTACGAACTGGTTGATGAAATAAATCAAAATGGAAGTTGTAGAACTGCGCAGACAAGCTCGGTATCAACATCGTCGTCCACAGGTAGTACAACGACAAAACCTTTTCTAGCCTCCTCCCGCTTCCAGTTTGTCGACCTGGCCGGCTCGGAGCGACTGGAAGAAGCCCACGACGGCAATGCGAACTGGCGGACCGGGGTGGCGGGCGTGATCGAGGGCTGGTTAACAAATTACAGTCTGATGATGCTGTCCTCCTGCGTGCGGGAGTTGGCGCAGACGAAGCCGGAAAAGCGGAAAAATTTTTCGCTAAGGCTGTTCATGGTGGACGTGGTGTTTCTCTTGGAGGAATCCTCGCTCAATTCCGACCCCAACTCGGAATCGAAAACGCTGATGATTGTCTGCATGTCCGCGGCGGAGAAAAATTCGCAGCAGTCCCGGTTCGCGCTGGAGTTTGGCGAGACCTTCGCGAGTCTCAGCTTGAGGAAAAACCGAGTGGGGGACCACGGGGCATCGTCGTCACGTCTGGAAGAAGACGGAACTTTATTTGTAAACGAGGCAATCCAAAAAGCGGAGGTTCTCGAGGTGGTGCGGAAAAAGCACTTGAAGATTTTTGAAGAAAACAAAGCGAACCTCCCGGTGCTGGAAGACGGGATTTTCGCTGGGAAAAAGCACAATCGATACGTCATGGTGCGTGCGGCGCTGGCAAAGGACGCGAAATTTATGCTAGAAGTGATCGACAGGATCACCACGGGCGGTGGTGGTGGTGAGGCGGCTGGTGCTGCGAGCAGCAGCGGCGCAGGAAATACAAGCGGTAGTTTGAATGGAATCACGGTGAAGAATGCAGGTTCTGCAGCAAGTAATGAATGCGTTGCAGAGCAAGCGTTGTCGTCCAAACACATCATGGAAAGCGAAGCTGAAATGTCCAAAAACGTAGAAAACTCGTCATCAATTATAGCTGTGCCGTCTTATGCGCAAGCAGAAGCAAGAGATCAATGGACACAGAGAGAAATGTCATATTTCTTCAGCAAAGTTTCTCCCGAGCTACACGTGTTCGCATCGATTTTAGTATGACAAAGCAAGAATAAAGGAAAAGCAACGAGGACGTTGCTCTTGAAAGAAGTCCTGCCTAAACGTACTCGACAGGAGGTCATTTTCTGTGAGGACTTTATCTGTGATTCGGTTTTGAAGATGGAAAGCGGTTTTGAAAAAAGTGTGAGCCAGATGAATAATCCTCTAGCAGTTGTCCTCAGAGAGGCCTTGCCCCAGTGATTTTTGAGAGAGCGGTCCGAACATTAGACAGGGTGTGGCAGTGAGGATCAGATCTGAATTTATCGAACAGGTCCTAAAAAAATAGTTGTCATTTACGTACTTATGCACTACAGTCAGCCTTTCTCCTCCTGTTCCGAAAGGTAGCGCTAGCGCTGTTCACATCAAGGATAGAAACAACCACGCAAGTCGCAACGAAAGGTTTAATATGGTTTACCCTGATGTTCTAGTGCAGTTGGCGTCTATGCAATTTCATCAGTAGACAGAGCACTCTACGTAATAAAACGGAACAACTACGCAAAGCAAGATGTTTGGTCTGGTCGCGCCCTTCGCGATTCTGCTTCAAGCTGCCACGACGCTGTGGATTTGGAGCGTGTGGACCTGGCGGTACGCGCTGAAGACCGCGTTCAAGCCGGCCGGGTGTTCCAACCGCGTAGCGGAGTTCAAGACCTACGGCTTCCCCTCCTGGATGCTCGGCGTGATCGGGTTCTTCGAGCTGTTCTTCGCGACGCTGCTGACGATTGGAATCATGCTCCCGAAGTGCATGTTTCTCGTCACGGGTTCCCTCGGGCTGATGATCCTGATGACCGGCGCGGTGGCGGCGCATGCGAAAGTGAGGGACCCCTTCGTGAAGTACTGCGCCGCGCTCGGGATCGGGATCGCGGCGGTCATCGTCTTTGCGTACAGCGTGGTCTATTTTCTGCGGTCCAGCACGAACGACTACGAGACGATAAACGATTTGATACCGAAAAGCTTCGACGATTTTTTCGTCTTGCTCGAGTCGGTGTTTCTCTACGGGACGTGCGCGCCGGACGGAACGGAACTAGGAGCGGGCGATTGCGTGTCCGAGATGTTTTCGAAACAAGGGCTGGAGAGTTTCAACGCGTTTCTACTACCGGTGACATGCCTGCTGCCGATATGGAGTGGGTTGCAGTAATCATGGTTTTGAGTCAGAATCGGAACTTTACGATTTATTTTGTTAAGACTGCTTTTTGCATGCGAAGTGGATTCGACATGACGGTGAGGCACAAAATCTAGCTGTTTTTGCATGTTTTTTTCAAAAATCAGCTCTCGCAAATTTTCAAAAATCAAGGCTGTAGGTATTTTTTACTCAGCCGCCAGGGCCAGCAGCACGGCCGTGGGAAGGACAGGAAACGACCCATCAATTGTTGACTGCAGTTTGAACCCGCGGCGCAAAAGTTATTTTGTCCGATTTTCAGGGTGAGGCGGAGGTCTCGCCAATTTTGATTTTCGAAATTTCGCCAGAAATGATGTCCGGGTTTCGCGAAGTTTCTATCGCCGTGGGAGGGTATCATGCGTCCAACCGGCACAGGCGAGCAGCTCCGTCGGGAAAACGCAGCTTGCGCATCTTTTTGCCCGGAGTCGCATTCCTCAGGTCTCGCAAATTTTTCAAAAATACTGAAAAGATTGTTTTCCTCACTGCGAAGCAAGGTCGTTGCGGCTGTCGGCAAAAGAGGCTGCTGATGCCTCGATGAACGGAAAATCGTGGTCGGGGCTCGTTTAGCTGTCTGGGGACAGAGGAAGGCGCTCGTTAATTTTTTTATTTTGAACCAAAAGGGATTTTTTTCACAGCGCAAATTGATGAGGCAGCTCCTTTCCAACCAGTCAACGCGGAAGCGGTTCTCAAGCTGTGTCAGACGTGCTACCGGGAAAGGCGAAGTCTCACAAATTTTTTCGAATCCACGCAAAGTTGTCGCAGGGGATGACGGATTCCGGCGTTAAGAAAGCAGCACACAGAAAAGCACGGGTGGCATACAGGCGAATCACCAACGCGAAATGGGCCTCAAGAAGTTTTTTTCCGTGTCTCAGCAGCCCACCACGCTCGCAAATTTTTTCGCACAATGCAAAAAATGTTTCTATACTAAGCGGTCAAAAAGGGTAGCGGGCCGTAGTTCGGCTAGAAAACGTGTCCGCTGGAGTTGTATGCGAACTCGAGGAAGGGGGGGCTCGCAAATTTTCTAAAATTGATCTGAGACTATTTTTGTACTTGGCGATAAAGGTGTGATACTAGTTGTAGATGGTCGACCCATCATCCATCACCACGCGTGGCGAGGGTGACGGCTCCACACGATCCGGTCTCGAACGCGACACGGCAGAAAAACTCGCTTTGCCGATTTGTCGCCCTGGGGCGACTCTCGCGAATTTTGTGAAATATCGTTTTTAAGGGTATAGAAAATGCAATCCCAAGAACAAACTTAAAAATTTTACATGCTCTGCTCCGTGCGCGGAAAACAAAGCGAGCGCACGCTTTGCATTATGAAAAACGAAACTGCTAGGAATTTATAGATGGCAGCGACTATACAGAGGCGCAAAACGATTTCGGTTGGAGAAAGGTAGTAGTTTGCATTACAAAATACACTGATAAGCAATCACAAGATAGCTGCACCCAATGCATGAATAAGCAGCAGCTATACAGTTTCAACGAAAGCACTACAGGCGGCCGCACTTAAAATTTTCTACGACGTTGCAGTACGTGGGTACTGGTAGCGATTTGTGTAGCGCGGCAAGCTCGCAACTGAAGATCCAAGTAGAAGCGCACGAGAGCGCCGCTGTTCCGGGGATGCACAGGTCCTGAGAATGTTAGTTTTTTTCATTGAGACGCCAGAGATGAGAACTAATGACGAAGCGAAGTGAGGTAGAGAGAGAGTAGCCGCGCGCGTCCTTTTTCAATTAAAAAAAACCTTTAGCAGATGTGTCGCCATGAGGGCGAGCCCGCTATGGGCGGCGCTGGGGCGCCTTTTTGTGCTACTTTTGCCGAGCGGCGGGGGAAGGCGCGCGCTTTGATTCCATCCGGGAGAGAATGGAAAAAAAAGCCCCCGCCCGGGCGCCCCTGGGCTTTCGTTCAAGGGCGCCAATGGGCGAGGATCGCGGAAAAGCGAAGCAAAGCCTTCCGCAGCGCCTGCGGGAGGCAATCGCTTCCACTTCCGCGCGGGGAACGAAAAGGGGCGCGGCCTTGCTTCTGGTTTACCGGTATCGCGCCGGAGACCCCGGCACGGTCCTCGGCCGATTTGGCGCCGGTTCCCCCGTACTGGGGGCCGCCGCGAAAGTGGGCCCCCCCTTCTCTCTCCGCGCTATGCGCCAGCTCCGGCAATTGTAGCACGCACCAACTTCGGCCCCTTGGCCATGTATTTGGCCGCTGCGGCCTACTGCCAGAAATGGCGCAACGTTCGGGGCTTAAAGTCGCCCCGCAATTGGTACCCTTAGCGGCTTGGCCGCGCGGGCGCTTTATGGAAGATGGCCCGCAACCAGGTGGCGCCGCGTCTGCGGAAAGACGGCAGCCAGCCTGACACCTTGCCGACGTAATGTCGCCGTGCCCACGCGCGCTGTTTTGAATAAGTTGTGAATCACCGCGGCCCTCCAGAATGAAGGAGTTTATTTTTTTCCGATGATGTTCACGTGAAGAATTACACGAGATGACGTTGCAAACATTTTGTGGCGAGTTAATGTCTTTCAATATTACAATTTGAACCACACAGCGCGACCTACCAACTGCTTTCGTTCCACCACGCAGGCAGACCTTTGGTGCCCACAGCCTCGACACCCACCAGCAGCGGCTCAGCCCGTATTAGACCTGCGGCGCGGTTGAAGGGCCACCGGCATCGGTGCTTTTCATTTCCATAGACTGTTGATTGATGTTGTTTGTGTGCAGAAGAAGTTCTATTTGTTTATGCTTGGAGTCGAGCAGATGTTTGTGCATTTTTGCACCAGCTATGCAGATGCGCCCGAGCTGTCTAGTGTGATGCGCGCAGCTTGGGAAACTTATTTCATGTAAAAAACACAACCTTAAACTACATCCCAGGTTCGTGCAGCATGAATTTCATGCCGTTGCTCATGGTCGAGGTCGAGCCGGACTACCGCCTTATTGATCGCCATGGCCGTGTGAGCAAGTACTTCTCCCTCACCGCCAGCTCCGTGCACTCAACGCGTCGTGTTTTTGTTGGAGTAACTCGGACGAGCGTCGTGTTTTTCTACAAGGCCAGGGATCCCACAGTGCAAGAGCTACGAAATAGAACTGCAAAAGCGGCTGCTTTGAATACAGTGATGATTTGCATTACAGATTATATGTGCCTTGCATGCCAAAAAGAAAGCGAACATGTACTGGCTGCATAATGTTGGCATTCAAATCAAAAAGCTTTTGCAGTTTTATTTTGCATACCCGGACGAGGTCGCGATGATGCCAGGACGACGATCGCCACTGTTCGATGCCGCCAAGAACATGCCTTTGCCGCGTTTTGGATTAAGTAGTTTTATTAGTTTACATTGGAAGCGATACGCAAGTGCTCTGCTGCGAGAACGTCTGTGCATTTCAATTCCACGATCAGTGTACTATCGTGGTGTGACTGAGAAAGCATATGACGAATGGCATGCAGACCGTATAGAAAGTCGCCAAGCATGGCTACGCGCTTGGTTCTGCCGACCCAGACCCATTTTTGTAAAGGAATTATACAGCTGCGTGGATCGAAGCAAGAGTAGCAGCAGTGTGGTAGAAGAAGTGGACTAATAAACAACGCAGATGTACTATTGTGCGTTACCGTGATTCAATTGGCCCGTGTTATACAGAACTGCAGCTCTGCGGCGAGGAGCATTCTTTGCGTCGGTTGATGCTACATGTACCGTGTTCAAGTTTGCACAGCTGCTCTGTCTATTCGATAATCAAACGAAAATCTTCTGCGCCAAAACCACAACAAAAGCGTTCCTATGTCGAGGCTGTGATCAAAAAAAATTTCTAGAGTTGTGATTTGTGGGTTGTGTGAACGAGTTGTAGAACCAACAAAATGCATCAGAGTTGTGAATTATTTTTTTGCGCATTGCCGGATACGTTGTGAAGCATAGATTTATTGTGGAAAAAAAGCCTGTCTCACGTGTGCGTGTGAAGTCTGTGTTTTTTGATGAGCTGAAAGCAAGAAGTGTGGGCGTGTGTGAAGAGTCTGTTGTTTTGTTTTGATATTGGAATCAACTTGAAATACCTATGCAGCGCTCTTGTTTTTGAAATGTATTTGTGCTTCTTGATATTGTCTTCATAAGAATTACTGCTAGCATTGCACCTGTGCGCTCTTTGATCCCCATAATTCCAACTAATTCCCACAATTGAAAAACTGCCCTTCCAATCACGCTGCTTTCCCAAATTCATGCTCTTTGGCAAATTGCATTACAAATTTTGACTTTTTTCGCATTGCGTCATCTTTTCGCATTGCGCGTTCGTCTTCTTTTCCAAAGCAAGCCCGTAGCTGAGAGATTGACGAATAATTGCGAATTTTACCTGAGGCGAAGGCAAATCAAACATCTTTTAAAGATGGCAGATAATAACGCAGGAGGTGGAGGAGGACCTGGTGGTGCTGGCCAAGAGCAACAGGCGGTTGCTCGCGGCAACTTGCTCGAACTGACAAACGTCAGAAAGCGATCTGGCGGAGTAGCATCGACTTTGCTTAATGCAGTGACCGGTCAGGTCAGTCGGTCCTGGACCCAGTTGAGTTTAGTGATGCTACTCAAAATGCTGCAGGTGGCGCTACAAGATTCCATTGAAGTGCTAATTTTGTTTTTTTGTTATTGTTTTGTGATGATTTGATGCGTGGCATGTGGTTGTTGTTGATGCAAAATAAACTATTCAATAAATTCATCACTACAGCTGGGAGAACTGCAGCTGGTCTGCACGTCCTGCGCCAGAATGTTATTAGCAATTCTGGTGATCACAAGAACGCCCAGTCCGCCACAGCTTGGGACCTTCCCGCGTTCCGGGCGTAACCTGTTACTTACGAAATACAAAAACCGCGCGAATTTGGCATGCATGTGGTGCATTATTGTGTCATGCAAAGATTTGCACTCGCCTTCATCCACAGGCATTTACACCGGCGCTTGAGAATTTCGTAAGTTTTTAGTTTCATACCAGTACTGCTCCACGCCGCCACTGCCCGGATGACGTGCAGCTACCGCCAGAGTTGGCAGGACGTACTATTTTTTTTTTAATGTTGGCGCTTTGATGAAATCATGATGCTTTTCTTCATGCAGGATTTGCAAACTAAATTATACTACTACAACATTGCCAGGCTTGCCACATTTTGGATGGCTTGCAAAACGCCAGCGAGCGCCGGATCCTGGAAACTTGGTTTCGGATGCTGCACCACTTTCACAGTCCGGATTTGGACGACGACATGGTCAACGGCCTGTGGCAGGAAGTATGAAAATGACAGATATAGCAAAGCAGCTACTGTTGCATGTAAAAATTACAAAGCAGTTTTGTATTTGCAAGGAGTGCACGTTTGTAGTATGGCTGCATAAATTTTGTGCTTTGTTATATTTTCAGTTGCATACGTGTACATCGCTCAGTGGCAGCCCAGCATGGTCGGCCTCGGCGAGTTCACGTTGAATTCACCCGAGCGTGCCCGTCCGCAACGGCAGCTGTTCGCCCCGGTCTTGATGGACGCTCCCCGTGTCGCCCCGGAGCAAAACCCGGCTGCTGACGGAGGTAATCCCCCTGCTGCGCCCGCAGCTCCTGCTGTTGAAGCTGCCGCTCCGGCTCCGGCCGCGGACGAGGGCGTTGAGATGCCCGACGCCAATCCGGTTCCGCCGAAAGCTCCGGCTCCGGTCGTGCCCAACACGCCCGTCGCGGTGAAAGCTCCGGTTCCGAAGGCCAACCCCGCGCCGAAGGCCAAACCCGCGGCACCCGCGGCTGCTGCGGCTGCGCCGGAGGCCCCGACCACGACCGGTATGATTTTTTTTTGTTTCAATGAAGTCATGATTCAAAATTGCATGTTTTCATGAAAATATTTTACATGCAAATCATCTACTCCGCAGGTAATGACATGAGCGGCATGTTGGCGATGCTCCAGCAGATGATGAGCACGGCGATGCAGTCCATGATGGCCGACTTGAAGGCCGAAGTGAAAGAGACTGTGATGACCGAGATGGCCGTGGCGAACTCGTTGAGCGACGCCGTCCCCGAGGAACAGCTTGAACAACCCCCGATCATCATCAGTGCTGCCGGTGTCCAGGACGGCGGTGTCTCCAACACCGCGAGTGCGAACTTGCAGACCCCGATCTCCCAGTCCGGCTTGCCGGTGCGGCAGTTGTTTCTGTCGGGAGAATCTGTCGGTCCGAAGGCTCCCCCCAGTGGGAAGGCTGGTATAACATCGTTTGTCATGGAGATAGAACTTGTGACGAGGCGGCATGAGTTTTGCAATGCTATATTTGTCCACTTTCTTTACAACAGCTGCGAAGCAGGGTGCAGTGACCTCGTCTGTCAACCCCGCTGCTGCCGATGCGAAGCCGAAAGCCGTGAAGAAGACGCTGCTACCGCCGGGTAAGATGTTTTTTGTTTTCAAATATGAGCGTGTGCATGATGTGGCATTTTCTAAATAATTTTACTTCATAACTAATAACAGAATCTTCTCCGGTTCCGAAGGCTGTTCCGAAGGCTGCGCCGTTGTCCTCTGGTTTCAAAAAGAAGGAGTTACCCAAGACGACCCGCATGTCCAATCAGTCCGTGACCCCCGCGATCGCGCAGCCCGCCCCTGCGGCGGAAGCTCCGGCTGCTGCTTCGACCACCGCGGCGTCCTCGGGTGTGAATGTGACCATCGGCGCTGCTGCTGTGAACACGCCCGTGGTGTCCTCGACCGTGAGCGTGACCGTGCCGGACACCGAGGTCGTCGACCCCGCTGCCAAGCGTCGTCGTCTCTCGAGTACTACTGCGTCTGAAGCGAACTCTGTTATTCCGCCCGCCTATGATCCGAACCTGACCTACAGCGCGAACCTGGGCCGTGGTGTGCCGATGGACGTTTTGATGAGCCAGTCCATGTTGAACCAGCAGGAGGAGATGCGTACCGCGATGCACTGTGATCAGCCCGAAGTTGAGATTCCGGAAGACGAAATCGCGGACTGGATCAACCCGCAGCCTGTCATGATCACTGGTGATAACGGCACCCAGATCCCGTTTGTCGACCCCACGCCGGATTCGGACGGCGATGTCGTTGATGAAGAAGATGATCTGTTGAAGGAGGATTAAAGTGATTCTGAATCATCGGTGTAGAAAAACAGAGACTTTTCGCTACGGCAGATGTTAAATGAATTGAAGTTAGAGCTCCTTGCTAAGTTTATTGTTTAAAAGTGAGTCGAGTTCATCTTCACCTTCTTGATGCATGTCTTGTAAAATTTTTTGTTTTCCAGCAGCAAGCGCATTTCAGTGTCAGTGTTTATAAAAATTTATGAATTTTATTTTCCATTTTATCGGGCGGATAAGCTGGTGGAAAAGTTTTTACACAGTTTTTTTGGGAATAGGGTTCCCCATAGTGTCACAGTTCCTACGCCGCGTCATGTGCGGTAGACTTATTTTCGGTTTACAACTACTGATGCCGTAGTATGTCATGTTTCTTGTCCCGAAAGCGATTGACTTTTCATCAATGCAATGTACGCGAAATAGCGACGTGAAAAAGCAACTGTACCTGTTACCGCGAACGAGCCTGCTGCTTGAGTGGGACCATATCAATGTTTTTTTGGGAAAAATCAAAAATGAATAGGAATACTCAGCACGGCAATGCGCAGCTTCTTTCTCATGTCAATATGATTTGTGTACGTCGAGTTTTGTGGTCGTGCGATGGTTGATGAGGCAAAAGCGCAAGGATGAATGACGCCACGTTGCTGATGATGAAGATAAAACTACTTTGCGAAGTTTTGGTGTGAGAGAGTGACGCTGGTATGTGTCAGTCACAATGCGAATGCGTGTCACAAGTTTGTCGGCTGTGATAATTAGAAAACAATGAGAGATAGATAAAAAGCACGCAAGTGTAAAGATGCAAAGAAGAGCTGCGTTCGCGGGCACTTCGCCCGTGGACCTGGATTTGGAAGCGACGGATATCACCGATATTCCGCTCATCGCAGTAAACGAGCTTCTTCTCGGTTTACCTCTTGAAGTGTTCGTCAAAACCGTCCGCCAGTTGCAGCAAACCACCCGAAAGGACTACGCAAAAGACCCGCAGAAAGGACATCTTCAGCCGAGTAATCTTCGCAACAAGACCCTCAGCTTGATGATGCAAGCTTTCCAAGACGAGACTGCGAATCTCGTGCTGCAGCGGCAGGGACAGTCGAAAGAAGCGGAGAAACAACCATGGGTGTACGCCATGCCGGGAGAAACCGGTCCCGACTTGGTATCGGTTGACGGGTTTTTGGCTTTGGCCAACATGCGATGCAACAAATACTACAAGGAGGCGTTGTCTTCGCGGAAAAAACGACCACTGGAGCATAGTAGTGAGCACTTCGCGAAAATTTTTGCAGAAGCCCTGTTGCGACCGCTGGAAGCGTGTGGGAAGGAGTCCGTGATTTTTGACGACGTGAAGCTAGGACACGAGGTCGAAGCATCCGCCTTCCAGTGTTTCTGTATGAACTGCTGATGCGTCGCGCTCCTCTATCACGCACAGAAGCGCTTGTATTGTACTAAACTACATATTTTTGTGATAGTTGTGTGATAGCGGAGCGTGACGCATTTGAGTTGCATACTGGACGGCTCTGGTTGGATCACTTTCACGGGGAATGCTTGTATACTTATTTTTTTATAGTTGTATTCCAACTTCAGTTGAATTATTTTGGGAACAATATGTTTCGTGCACTTGTGAGCATTTCATGAGAATAGAATTTGTGGCTTGTTCAAATTGAGAAGGGATTTTACAAGCGCTCGCTTTTGCACGGCGACCGAGACCATATAGGGCAGTCTAAGAAATTTAAAGCTCGCGAAAATGCATCACTTTCTGCATAAAACACGCAAAGCAGAAATGTTGCGCTCCGGCAAAACAAAAAGCGCGCTACCTGGAAGCTAGCAAAGCTTCCAGAAGCGCGAGGGACGAATTTCTGCCAATGCTTACCCAAGACATGCGGCTGCTTTTCATGTTGCGCGCATTTTAGGAAATGACGTGCCGACATTGGCGTACTCAGTGCGCGCGCGCGTGTGCGCGGGCGCTTGCACATCGCCAGTCGCAAGCACAAAAACAAGCGCAATTTCAAGCATCAAAAAAAGCGCAAAAACTTGCGCAATTTTGAGCATATTTTCGCGCGCTTTTTCGCGCGCAAAAAAAAGCACGCGAACCGAGGCCATGCCATGCAGTCTAAGAAATTTTCAGGTAGTGCAAAATGCATGGCTTTTTGCTGCGCAAAACAGAGCATAAAAGCGAGCACTTTTCACAGCGCAAAAAAAAGCGTCCACAAATAGAGCTCCCAAACTCCTAAAACTCTACTTGAGGGCGCTCTTGCAGTAGGGCATCTTGTGCATTTTCGCGTGCTTTAACGCGCGCTGCAACTTGATGCAGCGCAAAAAATTGCACATCATCACGTTGCAGCATGTGAAAAAGCATAAAAAATAGCGAAAAAAAGTAGCAGCTCCACGCCTGCGCGCGGATAGCGTGTCTTTGGCATGCAGCTGTTGTTTTTCAATGGTTTCGCGGCTGGAGATGGAAATCAAGCATTTGTTTGTGTCCAGGTTATTTCATTTTCCGCAACAAATGTGTTTGTGGGCTGTCGCCAGAGCCGAGCGTGCAAATGTCGCAGCCACAAGCCGTGACATTTGTCTCTGGGCCTGATGGTCTGGAGAAATAGCAGTAATTCTATGTTTTCGCTTGTTCTGACACAACCATGCTGAAGCGTCAGCTTTAAATTCGTATTAAAATCTCAGATACTCCGGCGCGGAGCATCTCAGTCGTGGACCTTCTGACATGGTTTTTGCAATTCGGATCATCGAAGGTACTACTTCTGGCTGTGATGCAACAAAAAGCACGCTTTTTTGCATGACAAATTATGACGCTTTTCTTCAGTCCGATCATCGTACCATGACGCGTTCGAAGCTAATGCAAAAACTATATTTCCCAGGGGTTGGACCACATGGCAGATTTTTTCAACGCGGCGTACGCGGAAATTTTGGAAACCTGGCCAAAGGATCAAGCTGCGAGCTTGGGTATACTTCTTGAGCTTGGTTTGGTTGCATTTATGAAAAACATGCATTGTGATTTGTCATGCATGCTTTATAATTTTTCGAAACAAATCAGGTTGCCAGTTGGTCGACAAGACGCCGGCGATCGTCACGATTGGAGAGCCCGGTCGACACAACAAGCCGTTCGATCAACTAATCCACTGGTGTGCGGCTCCCTACAATCCAAAACTCAAACCGAACCTCGAACAATCGCGGATCATCCTGGTTTGGGGATACCTGTGCTGGTTAATGGAGGTGGTGAAGGTGAGCCAGATGATGTGGAGCAGGTATGGAAAGCCGATTGGAGTCGCATTGGACGGTGTGCGACTCGGCGGTCGCGAATTTGTCCAGACGAGAATCAGAGGTCCGTGGTTAGACGAAGTCGACGAATTCTTCACCCTCAACCTCTTCGTCGTCGCGATGCCGGAAGCTAGCTTTGCAGAAATCAAGAAATTTTTGAAGCGATTGGACCAGGCGGATTACTCCTTCTCGTACCAGGAAAAGAAATATTCTTGCTGGATGTCGGCGCTGTTGCAAATCCTGGCAGCGCTTTGCGGTTGGGGTCGAATAGTTGGGGCCGGCGCGATGGATGATCATTTTGCTTCCTTTTTCTCTCGGATTTCTCCAACCTAAGAAATTTTTTTAGCCACCACGCACCGAGGCCGGGCCCACCGAGCAGAATTGTCCAGGGTCTCGCCTGTGCGGCCCCAAAAAGAAGCGGCGTCGCACATGTTGGGCCGCTTGCGGTTGCGCCGGTGCTCTTGGGGGCCCGGCCGCCGCGCTGGGTTGTGGCATTGCGGGGGCCCTTGCGGAGGGGCAGTGGGGTGTTGGCGCGGTCGGTCCAGGCCGCGCAGGCGCCCACCTGGCGCGGGGGCCTGGCGCAAACTGGCCAGCCGAGGCCGGGAGCCGAAATGAAGCAGGAGGAAAGGGGGGCGCGGGTCCTTGCATGGGCCACACTGGGGAGGGGAGAGGTCGCGGCCAAGCTTGGTAGAGCGCGTGAAGCGCGGGCGTCCGTCCCATGCCAGGCAAGGAGCACCGAAGCTGGGAGGAGACACAGAGCACAGGATCCATGCTCGGCCGGGGGCCTGCGGCCCGCAACCAGCGGGGCGCCCCCGCGAAGGCAGGGATCGGCGCGGCGCCTTCGCCATGTCCCGGGCGGGCTCATTTCGCGTCCAATATCCCCGGTCCCCTTTCTGAATCCCGGCGCCCCAGTTTTCGCCGTCCTTCCGAAGAAGGGTCGCGCGAAAACTTATGATCATCATTTTCTTCAGATTTTCTCATTATTTTCTCACCATTTTCTCATCATTTTGTCCAGCCGACAAAATGATGAGGTCGCTATAACCGTGGTCGTTAGCTCGTGGAACGGACAAAATAATGGGTGTGTGTTTGAGAAAATAACTAGAAAATCTGAAGAAAATAATTTGTAAGATTTTTCATAATTTTCTCCTGTTCTTTCCGAGGTCCCGGACAAGAAGTTCCGGGCGCCGGGAGAAAATCTGGAGAAAATTGTGACAAAATGATCGCCCAGAAAACGGCCCCCGCCGAATCGCCCCGCGCGGGTGTTTTGGTTGGGGCACACAAGGGGCCCGGCGCACCGGCGCCATCCCGAGCGCCTTCCCTGCTTCGCGTCTGGGCTAGCTGGCTCTTCTGCCGGCGTGGCACTTCTACGGCCAAATAGCCTGCGTTCTTCGGTCGGCCCCACTTAAATTGAGAGGCAACCGCTAACAAAGAAACAACCAGGGGCCAAAATACACACGCACCGAGCGCCCGCGGGCCTCCGTTTGGGTGGCCCCGCCCCCTCCCCAGTCTCCCGGCCTCTTTTGCCTGCGCAACCCCAGCCCCCCGGTGCGTCCGGCTTGGCGACCGGCCGTCTGCCTACGGCGCATCACGGCCCAACCCGCGGCGGCTTTATGTTTTAGAGATCAGGCCGGTGTGGCGACATGATCCCGGCAGGAGTTGGCGCGGCCCGCTGTTTTTGCCGGGCCGAATTTCCGTGCGAAGGCTTGGGGCCGCGCCTTCATCTAGCGGGCGCCGGGCGCTCTCGGGGTCCCGGGGTGGAAAAGTTTTTTTTTCAAAGAAAAACCGAAGAAATCCGGCAGCAATCTGGGTTGCGTCATTCATCAAACCACGCCGGCCCCAAGAATAGGAGTTGACCAACCCTGCTGCTTCGCCATGGATAAATGCAGCGGAAACAGTTACCCGGCTTGGAGAAGTGAACGGGGAGATGTATGAAACAAATTACTCACGTTCTGCCCACGTGCATATTTAGCATATTGCAAGCGGTTGTTTTTTGATGCGGATGCGCTACAGACTAGAACGGAGTAATTTTTTTCGCTGGATATTCTCCGTCGATCTGCATCTATGATGTTCCCCATGATGAAAACAGACAGTCGGCGAAGGTGGCGGACAAAATGTTACCAGTCAAATTAAAACGATTGTACCGATTGCGGTCCACTTCTAGCGGCATGCACAGCGTGAAATTTTCCGATTTTTTTGGGGCAGTGGTGGAAAAGTGCGATAGCGATGACATAATCCGTCTTGTGGGGGAATTTCGCGAAGATTTAGAAGCCGAGCTGAACACATCCGACGACGCGGATGATTTTCCGCAAAAAGTGAAAGAGCGGTGCAAGCAGATCCGTAGCGAGCTGGGGAATTTCGCCGCGAAGGAGCGGTTCTGCCAGCAAGATTATACTTGCTATTTCGCAAAACGGGGGTGGACGACGTTGCGGTTCGCTTTTCGTGCTTTCTTGTACATCGAGAATCCGCGGCGATCCAGCTTGGAAAACGAAATTTTCGTGTCCGCGCCAAAAGACGGTCGACCGGCGCTGATATTGTGGAAGGACTTGAGTCTTGACCTGACGCTGGCGAAGGCGATGGGTGATAATCTTCCTTTCAAGGCCAAACGACAGCCGGCGGATGAGAAAGAAGAAAGTACTTTTTGCGTATTTGTTTACAATGTGCATGACAAATTACATCTACGTACAAATCAGATGCATTATCGCGCTCACAATGTGCATGACAAACAGATATTACGCATTACAAACAGGTGTTTTGAAAGACGAGGACCCGGGTTCTTCTTCTGACGATGACGACGAGAACCGGCACGATAAAGCATTGCTGAAATCGGAAAACAAGAAAGCAAAAAAGACGTGGGATTTTGCGAAAGATACCGTTGAGGTGGCCGACATGGTCGAGACAGATGAAAACTGGGCCCTTGCGGACTGGGTGAAAGAATTGGACGAAAAGAAGCGAAAACGCAAACAGGACGAGTTGAAGAACTTGATGGAGGAGCAGCTTATCCAGCTTGGACCCGCAGACAACCCAAACGCCATCATCTCAATCCACACGACCCTAGCAGATGAGTCAATCCGCATGAGCGCCCTCATCGTGGAACTGGCGAAGCGGAGCAGTTTGTTCTACCACGGTGCGACGATCGCAATCGGGTGGGTCAACTTGAACGCCCACGGTGCGTTCTACTCCCAATCGCCATCGATGTTGGCGGATACTGCAGCCTGGTTCAGTGCTTTTCTTGAGGTGGATTTGCAGCGCTCTCTCCGTCTCAACGACGAGGAACAATTCGGGGACATCTTCGGAGCCACTTTCTACTGGGTATTTTTTGTTTGCGGTTCTGCATGACCAAAAGGATAGTTTTTTGCATTCCAAAAATATATCCGCGTGCTGCTGCCTTCCAAAACTTTTATTTTTTTGCTCGTGCACAAAAGATTAAACGGCGCTTGCAAATTAAACTTGTTTGCATGTTTGAGTTGCAGCTTTTTCATATACCAAAATAATCAGGTCATGCGGAAGGCGATCAAAACGCAACAGTTGCGTTTATCGCAAGAAAAACGGATGCTGATGTACGGCCAGAAACCGGGGCTCAGCCTCTCGCTTGGCGATTTTCTTACCCTGCCGGAAGGTTTGCAAGGATGGAAAAGCTCGGTGGCCGAGTTGCTCCGAGACCGCCAGTTCTACTTGAAAACCGAAAACAAGTCCTTCGTTCCGTTTCTGACCGACACCCCGTGCAAATTTCTGCGTCCCGCGGACAAGAAAGCACACTGCAATGAGTTCACTTCACCGCACAAAATTCCCTGCTACACGCATTTCCGGGAGAGGACCGTACTGGACAGCTACGAGTTCGAGTCGCAGTTGCTGGCCAAAATTCTGGAGGTGAAATCGTTGAAGAAGAACCCGATCGCGTCGAAGTTGATCAACTGCCTCGGAAAGCAGGAAAACAGCTTTTTGATCCGGACCTGGATGAAGATCTACGAAACGAAGGGTGAACAGGACGCGCAGAACTTCCTGGAGCTTTTTCCCCCGGCATTAATTCCGAGCACGCGCGACATTGAGGCCTACGGGGGAATATTGTCCAAAACAAGCCGCAAGAACAACAACGCGGGGATTATGCAAAAGGTATAGACTATTTTGCTGCGATGGCTGTAAAGTTTCTACTTCGTATGCTTGCATCCGACTTTCAAAATAGCAGTGCTGCATAACAAGTTTCAAACATTACAGACATCGCAGTGGGCCCTGCAGGAAGCAGCAATTTCGACTTGGGTGCCGCCGTTTCGCGCATACGATGCGCAGTCGGATTTGCTTACACGGAAAGGCTGCATGGACTCCAACAGCGTCCTGGACGGACGGCAGCTGCTGGAAAATGAGAACGACATCGACTACGACGCGGTTTTGGATATGTGTTTTCCGGACGGCGGAAGGTTTGAAGATATGGCTACGCTGAGAGCGCCAAGCGACATCATGCGGACTTTGAACCGTTTGAAAATTGGGGAAAAAACGTGGAACAACGACCCGAAACCGGAAATCCAGAAGCAATTGAAGCTGACTACGAATTACCCGAAACTAGAAGACGTGATGAGTGAACTGAAACAATTTATGAACCTCGACCACGCGAAGCACGGTTTAACACCAGAAGAAATCCAGGAATTTTTGAAGTGGAAAACCAGCACGCCGTCGCTGCACGAAAGGCGGATTGCCGAAGCAGTGATCGATGAAAATCACACAGACATAATGCAAGGCACCCCCGGGTTCCAGGAATCTTGTAAGCGGGGCCGGTTGCAATGCTTGCACTTGTTTTTCGTGTTGCGCCAGTACACCGAGATGAAGAAGCCCCTGATCATCGAGGTGCACCTCTACGGAAAGCGTTCGCGGATCATGCAGGTTCTAGCCGTGAGTCTCAAGCTGCAGGTGGTGATCGGGATTGTTTGAGGCCGGCGGATCTGATGAGGAGAATCGTCCGGATTTCCTCGGGATTTCTTAAGATTCCCGAAAAATTTTCAAGCTTGGGCACTCCTTGGGCCCTTTTAGGCTGTCCGATTTTGACGCGTCAGGCCTTTGGGGGCGGATTTGGGTCCTTTTGGTAGTCGTCCGGCCATTTTAGGCCGTTGGTGGGTGTTTGGGGTCCTTTTGGGCTGTCGCTGGGGGCTGTTTCTATTGCGAAACTGTTACGAAACTGTTAGACCGCGCAGGACTGTTGCCCAAGGGCAAGAAGAAGAGCGACAAGCTGCAGCCACAGGCCCCACTGGGCGACACGCTTTTCGAGGAGCCCGCAGCGGCGGCCGCCGCAAATGTAGCGCAGGTGGCTGCTGCTGCTGCGTGAGGACGTACCTGAAGACGGCGCTGAAGATGTGGCCTCGCTTTTCGCTTTTGCGTTTAGAACGGAAAAAAAAAAGACCTTCCGTCTTGGTCGCGGGATATCTTTTGGATAGCTTTTGTCTGGTCCTGAGATTTCCCAGGATTTCTCCTGGGATTTCTTAGGATTTCTCAGGATTTCTCTTAGGATTTCAATTACTAAGTGGCGGAAGCTCTCCGCCAGATATCTTTTTTTTGTGCGATGGTGGCTACTCCGGAGCACTCAAGGAGAGACGCCCGGGAGGTCAGAAGTGGCGCCATTTTGACTTGTCAAAAGTGATGCCTTTTGCTTCACGGAATGCATCCGAGTGATGGGATTTTGCATTTTAGTGATGGGATAGGATTTGCGTTTTTGCATTTTGGTGATGAGATAGGGTCTGCATTTGAGTACTTTTTGCATTATTTAAAGTGGCGGAGTGTGATGGACCGAATTTGCATGATCACGCGCGAGAAAGTGCGACGCCTCTCGGGGAGATTGTTTTTTGCGTTTTGAATTTGCACGCGGGCACCCCTTGCGGTGTTGGAGCGGTTCTGATATCGTAAAACGCGCGCGCAATCACGAAAATTGTGGCGACGCATCTAGCTAGCTAGCCGTCGCCATGTCATTTTATCGGTTCGGCATATGTGTTGATCGGGGGCGGTGCGGCGTGATTTGTTTTGTTACTTGAGAGAAAATTGGAACTCGGAAAATTGAAAGAAATCTCAAGAAATCCGGGACGCGGGGGCCATCAGAGCCCGCCCGTCTCAAGATTGTGTTGAATGAAGACAAAGCAATGCTTTACGAGAAGGACTTGCTCAGCAAGGGGGAAAAATTCAATGCTGGCGAGGACATGGTAGGAGATGAGCCCGCAACCGGTCTCCAGCCCTCTCACCACCACCAGTTCGAGCGGTCCTGTCGCGTTATCAGTGGCGAGGGCGTCGGAAAGTGGCGAAGTGCTTTACTCTACCAAGTGCACAAGTTTTATTTTTCTTTGCTAACAAGAACGACATTTGTGAATTTGTAATGCGAAGTTGTTATGCATCATGGCGTATTTTTCCTATTTCAAATAGCGGCGAGGTTTTCTAATTTTCTAATGCAGCTGGCACATGTTTGTTTTCTATTTATCAGCGCTGTACCTGTTCCCAATATTTTCACAACAAAAAATCACCAGACTTCTCTCGTGCGTTTAAATCGACCTACGACGGCGATGTCGCGGAGCGGTTCAGGGACTGGAATCAGGCGCGTCACAGTGTGGAGCTGTGCTATCCCAGGAGCCACCACTGCTACACCATTCCGTTTCCGACAAATTTGAACCACCGGTGCTCGCGGTTGAAGGCGTTATTCATTACATCTTCCAGGATCGACATGCTCACCAACAAGTACATCCAGGAGCTGCGAATTATCCGCGACGCCAGGTACAAAGTTTTCAACAGACAGCGGGTGCGGATCAGTTTCTTCTTTGACGCAGAACAATTCCGACCACTCGAAGCGGCAATACAGGCAGGATTTGGCATCATTTCGAACCCCACCGGAGCCAACAGCAACAAATTAGCCGATCTGAAGTCGACCTGTGAGTACCTTTTGATGGACGAAGCGAAGCGATTTTTCAACTTCAATCCCGACATGGACGGGAAGCAGTGCTTTGAACCCTGGGAATTTTGGCGGCTTTTGGACTACAGCAGTTGCGTCGAGCGCGACCAGCTCCTGCAGGATGTGCTCGAAGAGCGCGCCCGACCCTTCCGCACGGAAGTGGATCCGCAGCAAGACGTCGACCCGAGCCTCCAGGCGGAGAATGAAAAGGACCAGAGTCAACCCCTTGACGACTACCGTGTTGATGTGAAATTTCGGCACATGATCCGCAAGCCAGCCACAGCGTCCGACTCGGAGAAGAAGAGGCTGCTCGAAGGGATTTTTTTTGATGCCCCGGAAGGCATCACCGAGCAGCAAATTCAAAACCAACAGCAACCGATTTACGCCGTGGACTACCACAAAGACAAATCGCGAAAGCCGGAGAAAAACTGGGGGCCGGACCAGCTGCTGGTGTTCTTCCGCAGGGCGCTAAAAGATATCGATCAAGTGGAACACATCCGGGACATCTTCTTTTGCTTGTGCTACGGAGAATACGAAGGAGAGAGGATTCTGACAAAACAGGGAGTTTTCAAAAACGACGTGCATAAAGCGGGCCCAGTTAGCACTATGGCGCTGTCGTGCAAAATGTTTGCGAAAAAGGTGTGCGACCTGATGGGAATAGCAAACAAGCAGTCCGTTTCTCGCGATGTTCAGCATCACGCGCAGCTAAAGATCGAACAGGAAATTTTGAAAAAGGCAAAGGAACCGCTGCAACCGGAACCCGCTGCCGATCCGGATGAGATGCAGGTCAACGCAAAAAAGATTCTCGAGGCATCTATCGGACTATTTGGGGTGGCGGGGAAATCAGTAGTTGCCGATCTGGTATTGCTATAGTTTTTCTGTATTACAGCTTGTCACCTATGCGTCGTTTTCTTTTTGTGCTGTGCAAATGAGTGTTTGGAATATTGGAGCATGACAAATTCTAAACTACACTATGAAGGTTGACACCACCGCGCAGCCCGTGCCACCGGTCGCGGAAGCCGAAGGTCCAAACTACGGAGTGTAAATCTGGCCACGGGTTGAACTTGTCTTGCTTTGTATTATTTGTGATGCTGAAAAAGATAACTTTGTAATGCAAAAAGTACACTCTTCAACATTTTCAAAAACAACCCGTGGCTGCTGTTTAGCATGGATACGACGGACACTATTAAAAAGGAACCGAAGTCGGTGGGACGTGAAAAATATGAGGAGCAGCTGAAACAACTACGACTCAAGTACGCGTCGGGGAAATTCAAAGCGCAGGTCGACCACAGCAGCGAGATTTTTCATAAGGAGTTGGATCTAGTGAAGCTCCACCAAAAATACAAGGACGCCGAATACTCGGGGGTTTGCGACGGCTGCGGGGAGGAGATTTTGGTGTACAAAAAAACCTTTCTTTCCGGCGGTGGCCCGTGCCTCTCCTTCAAAGAAGCCCACAAAAACAACTGGCGGGCCGTGCAGTTGGGACCACAGTCTCACCGTATTAAGCCCGGATTTGACGAAAAACCGATGTGCTACTGTGGCTTTTGGAGATTTGGGCACATTTACGAAGGGGAGTCGATGACCTGTGTGGAAATCTCCGACGACCAATTGTTCAACTGCGCGACTTTAACGGCCAAAGCGCGGCGCCGCGAAGACGTGAATTCCAAGTGTAATTGTGATGGTGATTTGAAGGTTGTTGAGAAAGACCTACCGAGGTTGCAGCAGAAGTTTACGTACACGAAAGTAAAAAAAGACGACTGGCAACTAGCTGAAGATGACAGCACTTTCTTTGATGCTCCCCTGCCCTCGACCAAGGAACTGGACAAAAATGTTTTCAAGTAGAGCACGACTGTAGTAAGTATAAAAAGTGTAGCTGATCATACAACTTTTGATAGTTTTCATTGTGGTAAAACCCCTCGCATAGAGGCCGCGTTTGTATCTTCGTTTTTCACTATAAATGTTTTCTTCTCGTCGCTTTGACTTCTACCACCATCGGGGATTTCTGGTTGCGAGTCCTTCTCTATTTGTTTCAAGGAGCAAATCAATAAGTGCAGCACCAGATCAGTAGCAAAAAGCGTAAAAAGTACAATGTAAAAACTCACCAACGTAGCCGGGTTCAAAAATATAAATGCCTCCGATTGAGACAGGTCCTGCATCAGTAGCATGGCCAAAAGAGCATCACCCGCGCGCTACAATTTTCAGGGTCTATTGCGGCAGAAGTGTCTGGATCTTTAGCTGGTTCAAATTTCAAAGCAGCGACGCAATTACAAAAAAGGTCTTCGATTTCTAATATATAGTGTAGGGGGGCGCATCCTACTAAAAAGACACGCTTAAGTATGTGCGCGTATGGCGTATTGGTTCTGTAAACGATCAAAGAAAAAAGATCAACGATCTAATTCACGTGAAAAAACAAACCGATAATATCAGTGTGGATCTACATCGAACGTTCCACAATGCGACTAAAAACCACAAACGCGCTGCGATCTGATTTCAATAAAATAAAATCGGTTATCGTGGTGCTGATTCGGTTTTTCGTCGTGACGGTGCAGCAAAATTTCGCGCATATGAAATTTTTAAGATTGAGAAAGGAATTGCATTTTTTATACCTTTAACGTTTTAAGGAGAAACTTACTTCGTATCTGATTTGGCTCAGAATCAATCTCGTTTGAAAGAAATTCATACTCGTCGCAGCCGGGGAGGATTTGCTTCACTTTGCTGATCCTGATAATATCGGGCGTAATGCTGACCAAATCTTACAAGGCTGGGGTGTACCGAAGAAAGTTGAGTCAAACGGGAATTTTCGACGCGAACGTGATGCTGCTAGACAAGAAACGGGACGGTGCGGAAACGGCAAGTAGCTCGGACGAGGAGGAGGTAAAGGTGAAGGTAAAAAAATAGTAGGAACGGCGCATGTAATAAGATCATCATGCGAGTGTTTTAGTTTTTTGTCCCGTAAAGCATCACACTCAGATTGCAGTACCTTCACTTCGGAACTAGCGAAAGCGTCCCACAGCTTTAAACTTTCGACGGTTTTTTTCCTAGAATGTATGGTATTTTAGAAAGAGAAAGACTGTGCACCTCGGTTCTTTGAACCGAGAAGCAAACGCCAAATGTGATGTGTAGCAGTAGCTCTCTTTGATTTTGGTTCTTTCTCTTCGTTTCAGTGTCTAGTGTCTGTGAAGCGGCATGCGTCGTGTCACATATTGGAAGCATGCATTGTAATATTTATCTCATTGCAGAATTTTTTAGAAAGCGCAAGCGGTAGTAAATCACGCCACTACCGCGTCTGATATAGCCTATCGTTATGATGATATCGTAATGAAGAACAAGAAGATGAAGCACTACTACGCATTAATTCATCGCAGACATTGATTGCTAGAATTGGGGAATAGGAACTTCATCAGCGTTAAAACCGTATCGTTTTAATCGTTACGTGAAAAACGAAGAAACGCACGAAAGCTATGACCACGCATCTCGTACAACACCGCGTGATAGAACTAAGATTCGTAGCGTGCAAGAAAACCGTTTCGTAGCGTGCAACGTATCGTCCACAACCGCAATGAAAATGCCAAGAGTATTAGATGTGAAAACCAGTGGTCAAGCAGCTAGAGTAGAATTTTACTTAGTCCAAGGCGCAGTTGCTGTCCGGTCGTCAGTCCGTATTTTTTCGTATGCATTCAGACAGTACGACGATGACCGGAGCTTAGCTCTAGTATTTTTTCGTCACTAGTACAGCACTGCAGCCTCTACCTCTAGCTTACTGGTGCGCGTGGTTTTAGCTGCTAGACCGATGTTGATTCTTCAAAAGTGTGTTCGCAGAACGAGAAAAGAAAGAAGAACGCAATAAGCTGTAGCCACGAACAACATCCATAGTAACCAGTTTCAGAATTGTGCATTTTAGCATGGGGAAAAGTTGTAAACTAGGTGACGAGATGAGTACAAAGTTCTCGACGAGCATGATTACCTGAGGAGAGATAAAAGTGGTTCGGTATCATTTTTTCATGCCCTTCCATAGACTTTTCAATGCTAGAGAAGCCACACCAGCCAGATTGCCACAAAGTAGAGTAGAAAGTAGAAGGTTTTTACGTAAACACATGACCGGCAAGAGAAGTAATACAGCACGAGTTTCCGACAACAGAGCTATTGCTTGTGAAAGTGCCATTTGTTTTTTCGTTCATCTGAGACGACGTACACAGCACGAGAAGCTCGTACACAAAAGAGAAAGATCGTTCCGCCCATTTTAGTTCCGAACGTGAGAAGTGAACTGGAAAACCAATCATCTTTGTGTCATCCAATCAAAAAACCAAAACCCATCGTGTGAATGACCCGCTTCCCACCCGCTTTCCCTCGTCTTACCCGTTGCCCCATTGTGTTTTGCATTTTGACAAAAATTTCCTGACCAAAAAAACGATAGGCTTTTTTTCTCTACTATGAAATAAGATATGTAAGAACGTGACAAACTAGCACTCAATTTTTAAGTATTTCTTCTTTTTCCTTAATCAGAATTACTATTACAAAACTTCGCAAAAACTCTTTTGATATTCATCTTTGCAATCTTTTACTTTATTCGATTTATCATTTCTTACCAATACTAGATTTTTATACTTCATTCATTCAACTTTATCAATTATTACCTAAGATTTGGTCACTTCAATACCTATTATTTGACTTTGTGAATTTTACTACTATAGCATTATTACCTTTGTTATTATCCTATTTATTTCAAAACATCAACTTATTAAGTTATTGATTTCTATTGCACGCCTTTTTCTTTACTGTAGCTAAGCTTGACATTCTTTGGCTATTCGAGTTTTTTTCTTCTGTGGTTTTCTGCGGAGGGGGAAAATTTTGGATATCAGGTGTTAAGTTTTCTACATTTCTTTCTTTACCAGTTTTACGAAAATTTATTCTCTTTTAGAATTTATTTCCTTTCCCACAAGATGTTGTCAGTTCACTCTTTCTTCTCGCAAAACAACGGTGACCACATCCACAAGTGCGGCAAGGAATCTTCTGCTGATGCGGTGAGCGGTGCGTCGCAGAACGAGAAATTATGCTAGAAACAGAGCCGCCGTCTTTGACTTCTCCCTGTCGCAGGGGTGCGAATCGTGGTGATTGTCTTCGTTTATCCCGGGAAGGTGAACCCTCTCGGGAAAATGGAGACGGTTGCCGCGGTGTTGATGCACTTTCTGTGGCGGGAGAATGTAAAACACCTGCACAGGACGAGCAGCCTCATGGGGCGATCATGATGTCAACGAGCAGAAGAAGACACAACACTTCTACGTTATTCCCTTCCGACGGGAGTGGACGCCTGTCGGTCGGGAATTCGACTTCTTCGAGCTCAAGTTGTTCTAATTTCCGGAACAAGAACACATCAACGCAGGATGTTTTGGAAGAAGACGTGTTTTCAAGAAAAAACCACGCAAGGATAATTTTTACCGATGTTGGAGGAAACAAAAACAAAAGTGGAAACAACAACAAGCAGAGGATATTACCGCAGCTGGAACGCGATTCGGAGTGGACGCCGAAGCGCAGATGCAGCAGCAGTACGTCTTCTAGCAGTTGTGTCAACAACATTTCCACGTCCTCCTCATCAAATCTCATGCGAGAAGATGAGATGAAGAATTATAGTCACTTCTACCCCTCAAGAAGGAGAAGGCGATCGAGAATAAACGACCAAAACCTCTTTTCTTGGCGGAGACGGAGAACCACCACCACTTTCGACCCCGGAAGTAGTATATTTCCATGCGGTGCGAAGTTCTCTTGCGGCGGCGACGCGAATAAAACGCAGCAGCTGCAAGTAGTAGACAGAAAAAATTCTCCAGCGGGTAAAAATAGCTGCGCAGAAATGTTGAGGTGTGCATCAACATCATCAGAAAGGAGAAGTGCTTGCTTCTCGTCCTCCATTTTGGAGATAGAAGAAGGAGAAATAACCCTAGCGCGAAGATCAACAGCACCGAGGAAAACAAGCAGACAGACTTCTGACCAGAAGGACTACAATGACTACAGCAAGAACCACAACAGCCAGTCGTTTTTCGGGAAGTTTCTGTTCGCTTTTTTCCTTTTCTTCCAGCTGTTCTTCCTCCAAGCCGACGCGTTTGTCCTGGTTAGTAACTACGGTGACATCACGCTGTTGGGTCCGGTGGACATTGACCCGGCACTGGAGGACCCGAAGATCAACTTCAGGAAGGACGGTTTGATTAAATGGACGCTGAAGACCATGAACAAATACACCATGGCCGCGGCCAACATCGGGCAGGATCTGGTCGTCTCCGGGGGCGTGGGCATGGCGGACATGCTGATCATAACCCCGGACGCGAGGGCGTTCTTCAACACGACGCTATCCGTTTTCAACAAGGTTGAGTTCGGCGACGACCTGCGGGTGTTCAAACAGACCACTTTAGGGGACAAGCTATCCGTGACGGACGTGGTCCACCTGGGTGAGGAGGTGTCCGTGGCGCAGTCCGCGTACCTCGGGTTCCGGTTGTCCGTGTTCGGGCACGTAGACTGCGGCTCGACCTGCACGGTGACGAACTGGTGCTATTTGGGGTCGAGTCTCTCCGTGAACCAGTTTGTCCGGATGGGATCCACCTTGTCCGTGCGCTCGTTCGCGCGACTAGGGTCGTACCTGTCCGTCGGTTCGTACCAACGGCTGGGCTCGGCGCTCTCCGTGTTCGGAACGGTGCGGTTCGGGAGCAGTTACTCAGTGTTGGATTTCGTCAGCATGAGCAGTTCGCTGTCCGTCGCGTCGTTCGCGCGGCTGGGGCAGGCACTGACGCTGTACGAGCAGGCGCGGTTGGGGTCGTCCCTCTCGTGCCTGGACTTCGTGCAGATGGGTTCCATGTTGTCGATCCGAAGTCTGATGCGGATGGGGAGTACCTTCTCGGTGTACGGGATTGCGAACCTCGGGTCCGCGCTGTCCGTGCTGGACTTCGCGCACATGGGTTCGTCCTTGTCCCTGCGGGCCTTTCAGCGCGGCGGTTCGACCATCTCCGTCTACGGGCTGGCGCGACTCGGGTCCACGCTGTCCGTGCTGGACTTCGTGCACTTGGGGTCCAGTATTTCCCTAAGGTCCTTCCTGCAAGTGGGCTCGAGCATCTCGATCTACGGCTTCTCCAGTCTGGGCTCGAGCTTGTCGATTCTGGACTTCGTCAGCTTCGGGTCAAGTGCCAGTTTGCGCAGCATGGTACGCATCGGCAGTGCACTCAGTGTGTACGGGATGAGCAGGTACAATAAATGCACTTTCTGTAGTTAGCGAAAATGATTTTTTTACCATGCGCGATAGCGATTGCTTTGTCAAAGAACAAAAACGAAGACTTTTTGTAGCCGTCACGCAGTTATCTGCGTTGACAGTAAATGTTGCCGCTAGCATGCATTGACGAACTTTTCACTTGCAACAAAACTTCCATGTACATCAATCTAAATGAACCCACCAAAATTCTTCTAAAAAACCAGATTCGGCTCGTCGCTCTCCCTGCTGGACAACATTTCGTGCGGCTCAAGTCTTTCCCTGAGAACCTTCCTCCGGTTCGGAAGCTCCATGTCGGTGTACGGGTTGGCCAAGATTGGGTCCTCCTTTTCCATCCTGGATTACACGCAAATAGGCTCGGCCATGTCCGTGAGGAATTTCAGCCGCATCGGCTCCGCGCTCTCCGTGTACGGCATTGCGAGGTTAGGTAGCGGCTTATCCGTGCTGGACTACTTCCACCTGGGTTCCAGTCTGTCCTGCCGAGGCTTCGCGCGTTCAGGGTCAAGTCTTTCCGTCTACGGAATCGGCTTCCTCGGGTCCTGCCTGTCGCTGCTAGACACCGTGCAGCTCGGGTCGACGCTGTCCGTCCGAAGTTTCGCGCGCATGGGAAGTTCGCTCTCCGTGTACGGTTTCAGTAGGATCGGGTCCTGCTTGTCCTTGTTGGACGCCGGGCACGTCGGATCCACGCTGTCGTTGCGGAACTTCGCGAGGCTGGGGTCCTCCATGTCCGTGTTCGGCATGCTGAGACTAGGATCACAGATGTCCGTGCTGGATTCCATCAGCATGGGCAGCGCGATGTCGCTCCGCGGATTCGCCAGAGTCGGAAGCTCGTTGTCCGTGTACGGGCTGGTCCGATTCGGATCCCTGCTGTCCGTGTTGGACGCGGTCAGCTTGGGCAGTGGAATGTCGCTCCGATGCCTCTCCCGGTTAGGGTCCTCCCTCTCCGTGTACGGGCTAACCAGGTTCGGATCCGTCTTCAGTCTGCTCGACCGGGTGCACATGGGCTCCAGTTTGTCGCTGCGAACCTTCTTCCGGTGCGGATCGACGTTGTCGGTGTACGGAATGACGAGAATCGCGTCGACTTTGTCCATTCTAGATTGCCTGCACATTGGGTCGGCGTTGTCGGTGAGGACGTACTTCCGCTTAGGGTCCGGACTCTCCATCTACGGGATGACGAGGCTGGGATCCTCCATGTCGGTGCTGGACTTCGTCCACTTGGGCAGCTCGATTTCTTTAAGGAACTACTGCCGGATCGGGTCCAGTCTCTCCGTCTACGGATCTGCCTGGTACGGCAGCGATTTGAGTGTGACCGATTTCGTCTCGCTGAGCTCGAGCTTGTCCATCCGCGCTTTCGCACGACTCGGGAGCTCCATTTCCGTGTATGGGACGACGAGACTAGGGAGCAGTTTATCTGTTCTCGATTTCACCAACATGGGCTCCACCTTCTCCGTGCGGAACTTCCTGCGTCTCGGCAGCTCCATCTCCATCTACAGCATCGCGAACCTCGGTTCCATGCTGTCGGTCCTGGACTACGGCACCTTCGGAAGCGCTTTATCGGTGCGTGGGTTCAGCAGGTGGGGATCGGCGTTGTCGGTGTTCGGAACCTGCAAGCTCGGATCAACGCTCTCCTTGCTGGACATGGCGACGTTTGGTTCTTCCTTCTCGCTCCGGTGCCTGGCCCGGATCGGGAGTTCCATGTCGCTTTACGGCATGACGAGGTGCGGGTCGGCGCTGTCGTTTTTGGACTTTGTCTCCGCGGGATCCAGCATGTCGCTCCGGACGTATTTGAGACTCGGGTCCTCCATCTCCGTCTACGGCATTATGAAGATCGGTTCTAACATCTCGACGTTGGACTACCTGGCGTTGGGGTCGACACTGTCAATGAGAAGTTACGCGCGGTTCGGATCCGCTTTGTCCGTGTACGGAATCGGCCGGATGGGGTCGGTGTTGTCGATCTTGGACAGCTCGCAGCTGGGCAGTTCGCTATCCATTCGCGGGTTCGCCCGGTTGGGATCGAGCTACAGTGTCTACGGTATGACCTACTTCGGATCCGCGCTGTCCGTCCTGGATTTCATCCACTTCGGGTCCAGTGTGTCGTTCCGAAGCTTCCTCCGGATGGGTAAAGAGAAACTGTCCGTCTACGGTATGGTCCGCCTCGGGTCCGCGATGTCGTTGCTGGACCACATCCACGCGGGGTCCAGCTGCTCGTTGCGGAACTTTGTCCGGCTCGGGAGCTCCTGCTCGATCTACAGCATGACGCGGATCGGCTTGAACATGAGCGTGTTGGATTTCTCGCACATCGGTAGTTCTCTTTCCGTGCGAGATTTCGGCCGCTTCGGGTCCGCGATCTCCGTGTTCGGCTGCAGTCGATTCGGATCCACCATGTCGATCCTGGACTGCGTCAGCCTGGGTTCCGGGATTTCCATCCGCGCGCAGTGCAGACTCGGATCCGCGTTGTCCGTGTACGGACTGGTGAAATTGGGGTCCTGCTTGTCGATTTTGGATTACGTCCAGATGGGATCTTCTTTTTCCCTGCGGAATTTCGCCCGCCTGGGATCGAGTTTGTCCATCTACGGCTTCAGCATGCTGGGGTCCGCGATGTCGATCCTCGACTATGCGTCGTTCGGGTCCGTCTGCAGTATCCGGGGCTTTTTCCGTGCGGGCTCTGCGTTCTCGGTCTACGGTATTAGCAGGCTAGGATCCAGCTTTTCCGTCCTGGACTTTGTGAACTTGGGCTCGAGCTTCTCGCTCCGCGGTTTCAGCCGATTAGGATCCTCTTTGTCCGTCTTCGGTGTCAGCAGACTGGGGTCCGCTCTGTCCGTTCTGGACTGGGGTTTGGTCGGGTCCGCGATGTCCGTCCGAGGGTTCTGCCGGCTGGGAAGCTCCATGTCCATCTTCGAGCTGTGCCGACTGGGGTCCGCGATCTCGTCGCTGGACTACTTGTTATTAGGTTCGGCCATCTCAATCCGCAGCTTTTCGAGGCTAGGGTCCAGCGTGTCCGTGTTCGGGATCAGCAAGCTCGGGTCCAGCTTATCCGTGCTGGACTTCATCAACTTCGGATCAACTTTGTCGTTGAGGAACTTCTCCCGCCTGGGGTCAAGTGCTTCAGTATACGGCATGATGTACGCCGCGAGCAGCATCTCCATTCTGGACTTCGTGCAGTTCGGGTCGTCGATGTCCCTGATGAGCTTCTGCCGATTAGGATCCGCGTTATCGCTTTATGGATGCGGACGATTCGGGTCGAACTTGTCGATTCTGGACTACGTCACGCTCGGATCCTCGCTGTCGCTCCGGTCCTTCATGCGGATCGGGTCCACCATGTCGCTGTACGGCATGCTGCGATGCGGCTCGCAGTACTCGATTCTGGATTTCATCAGCTTCGGGTCGGCTGTGTCGCTCCGGTCCTTTTCCCGAATCGGGTCGGCCTGCAGCGTGTACGGAATGGTGCGGATGGGATCGATGCTGTCGGTCTTAGACAACATCCACTTGGGATCATCTTTATCCGTTCGCAGCTTCCTGCGCATGGGGTCCTGCCTGTCCATGTACGGCGTCGCGAGACTAGGATCGAACATCTCGGTCTTGGACTACGCGCAGATCGGGTCCTCGATGTCGACCCGGGCGTGCGCGCGGTTCGGCAGCACCATGAGTGTCTACGGTATGTGCCGGATCGGGTCCCAGATGTCCGTTTTGGATCACTTCCATCTCGGTAGTTGCGCGAGTCTGCGAACCTTCCTGCGCGGCGGGGACAGCATTTCCGTCTACGGGCTGGGTCGGTTCGGCTCCGGTATGAGCGTGTTGGATTACGTCAGCCTGGCGTCCAGCTTCTCGATTCGGTCGTTCGCGAGATTGGGGTCTTCGATCTCCGTGTACGGTATTGGAAGATTTTCCAGCAGCATGTCCGTGCTGGACTTCACGTTGATGGGCTCCGCGGTGTCCATCCGGAACTTCTTCCGCATGGGATCCGTGTGCAGTGTGTACGGCATGATGCGGCTCGGGTCGAGCATGTCCGCGCTGGACTTTATGCACCTGGGGTCGTCGATCTCTGTGCGATCGATGGTGCGACTCGGGTCCTCCGCGTCCGTCTACGGTCTCGCGCGACTCGGGTCCGCCATGAGTTGCTTGGACATGATCGGATTAGGGTCCGTCTTGTCCATCCGGTCCTTCGGGCGGTTCGGGTCTGCGCTGTCTTTATACGGTCTGATGCGGGTCGGATCCAGCATGTCGGTGCTGGACTACGTCAACTTCGGCAGTTCGATGTCGCTGCGGTCCTTTGGCAGGTTAGGTTCGACTTTGTCGATCTTCGGCATCGGCAGGTTCGGGTCCAGTTTGTCCGTGCTGGACAGCGTCTTCCTGGGCTCCTCCTTCTCGATCAAGAGCTTTATGCGATTGGGAAGCACGGCCTCCGTCTACGGTTACATGAAGTTGGGTTCCAGCTGCTCGGTGTTGGACTTTTTAACACTAGGTTCCGCCGTGTCCCTCCGTGGGTTCTGCAGGATCGGATCCTCCTTCTCCGTCTTCGGACTCGCACAACTAGGATCGCAGATGTCGTTGCTGGACTACGTCACCCTCGGTTCGGCTTTGTCTCTGCGCTCGTGGGCCAGACTGGGGTCAACACTGTCCGTGTACGGGTGCAGCCGATTGGGGAGCAGCATGTCTATTCTGGACTACGTGCACTTGGGAAGTTCCATGTCGCTGCAGGCGTTCTACAGATTGGGAAGTTCCATGTCGACCTACGGAAGTTCCTACTTCAGCCAGGAGTTGTCGGTGCAGATGTGGGTTGCGATTTCGTCGTCGCTGTCCGTCCGGTCGTTCTCGCGCCTCGGATCCTCGGTGTCCGTGTACGGCATTTCGCGGTTCGGGTCCGCGTGCAGTATCTTAGACGCGATCAGCCTCGGGTCGAGTTTCAGTATCCGATCCTTCAGCCGGATGGGATCCACTTTGTCCGTGTACGGGCTTGCCAGGCTCGGTTCTGCGATCTCCATTCTGGACGTTGCGCACGTCGGCAGCAGTTTGTCCGTGAGGAGTTACATCCGCGCCGGCGCGTTCTCCGTGAAGGACTACACGAGGTTAGCGTCCACGCTGTCCGTCCGGGCCTACGTCCGGATTGGTTCTGCGCTGTCCGTGATGGGCACAGCCAGGTGCGGGTCCACGCTCTCCTGTCTCGACTGGTGGCACGTGGGCAGCTCGCTGTCCATCCGAAGCTACGGCCGCTGCGGGTCATCGATGTCCGTGTTCGGGCTGGCCCGCCTTGCGTCCGGCCTGTCCGTGCTGGACTTCGTGCACTTCGGTTCCGCACTGTCCTGCCGCAGCTTCAGCCGCCTGGGGTCCGCGTTGTCCGTGTACGGCCTGGCGGTGCTGGGGTCGACCGTCTCCATTCTGGACTGCATGATGCTGGGTTCCAGTTTCTCCGCGCGAACGTTTTCGCGGTTCGGTAGCTCCATGTCGCTGTACGGGTGCGCCCGGTTCGGTTCCGCTCTATCCCTCCTCGACTACGCACACTTCGGGTCGATGTTCTCTCTGCGAAACTTCGCCCGGATGGGCAGCTTCTGCTCCATCTACGGTGTGACAAGGCTCGGGTCGAGTGTGTCCGTGCTGGACTTCTTCTCCCTCGGGTCGACTCTGTCGCTTCGTGGGTTCGTGCGCATGGGATCAAGTCTATCGATCTACGGTTTGAGCAAGTTAGGATCCAGTTTATCGACCCTGGACTACATCAGCTTTGGATCCAGCTTGTCGCTGCGGAGCTTCTCCCGGTGCGGCTCTTCCTGCAGCGCGTACGGCATGTTCCGGTTCGGGAGCAGCTTGTCTATGGTGGACTACTTCCACATGGGGTCCGCGTTCTCCCTCCGAGGATTCGCACGAATGGGAAGTGCTTTGTCGATTTTCGGCATTGCGCGCCTGTCCTCCGCGGTCTCTATCCTGGACTACGTGATCATGGCGAGTTCGCTGTCCCTGCGTAACTTCGCCCGCCTCGGGTCCGCGTTCTCGCTGTACGGCGTCGCGCGATTAGGGTCATCCATGTCCTGCCTGGATTTCGTGCACCTGGGGTCCGCGATGAGCTGCAGAAGCTTTGTCCGGTTCGGCTCGAGTCTCTCCGTGTACGGGTTTACGAACATTGGGTCCGCGTTTTCGATCCTCGACGCTGTCACCTTCGGGTCCAGTCTGTCGATGCGCGGGTTCGCAAGATTAGGGTCGTCTTTGTCCGTGTTCGGTCTGTCCAAGTGCGGATCGTCTTTATCCGTCCTCGACTACATCACGTTCGGGTCCGCGTTCAGTATGCGCAGCTTCGCCCGCATGGGATCCACCATGTCGGTCTACGGATTGCTGCGGATCGGCTCCGGGATGTCGATTCTGGACCACAGTTCCTTCGGTAGCTCGTTGTCCATCCGCGGGTTCGTGCGACTCGGGAAGACGATTTCCGTCTACGGATTTTCTTCTTTAGGTTCCGCAGTGTCGATTCTGGATCAGACCAGCTTCGGGTCTGCGCTCTCCGTCCGTTCGTTCGCGCGGATGGGCAGCGCCTGCAGCGTGTACGGCTTCAGCACCTTCGGGTCCAGCATGTCGGTGCTCGACTGCGTACACCTCGGCTCCGCACTCTCGATCCGCACGTTGGCCCGACTCGGCTCCGCGGTTTCGATGTACGGGCTGGGGTTCTTTGGAAGTTCCATGTCGATCTTGGACTACACGATGCTCGGGTCTGCGTTGTCGGTTAGAACGCTATCGCGATTTGGATCCGCGCTCTCCGTATACGGAATCACGCTGATGGGATCGTCGCTCTCCATCCTCGACACCGGCTACATCGGATCCTCGTTTTCCCTCCGGACGTTCGGCAGGCTAGGGTCCTCGATGTCCGTGTACGGTTTGACCAGCTTCGGGTCCGCGATGTCGCTGCTCGACTTCGCGAGCTTGGGCTCCGGTCTGTCCGTCCGGTCCTACGCGCGACTGGGTTCGTCCATGTCCGTGTTCGGCTTCGCGCGAATCGGGTCCTCGTTGTCCGTGCTCGACTTCGTGTCCACCGCAAGCAGCTTCTCGATCCGGTCTATGGCCAGGTTTGGCTCAACTTTATCCGTCTACGGGTTCTGCAAGCTGGGATCCTCGGTTTCCATTCTGGACTACGCAAACATGGGATCCAGCATGTCCTTGCGAACTTACGCGCGGATGGGCTCGGCTTTGTCCGTGTACGGATTCGTGAAGATGGGATCCGGTTTGTCGATTCTGGACGCCGCTTGGCTCGGGTCTTCCTTGTCGATCCGATCGCTAGCGAGACTCGGTTCCTCGATGTCTCTGTACGGAATCTGCCGCATGGCCTCGAACTTCTCGTTACTCGACGCCGGTTCGGTCGGCTCCGCGTTGTCGATTCGGTCCTGCGTCAGGTGGGGCAGCTCGATGTCCGTGTACGGTCTGTCCCGCGTGGGGTCCTCGATCTCCATCCTGGACTTCGGCAGTTTCGGGAGCAGTCTGTCCTGCCGCAGCTTCCTGCGGTTCGGCAGTTCGATGTCGGTGTACGGGGTCAGCCGGATCGGGTCCGGAATGTCGATTCTGGGTGCGGTGTACCTGGGGTCCTCTTTGTCCCTGCGTGCCTGCGCTCGGTTTGGATCTACATTATCCGTCTACGGATTCAGCAAGGTCGGGTCCTCCATGTCCGTGCTCGACTTCTTCCACGTCGGGTCGGTCATGAGCGTCCGGTCCATGCTGCGGCTCTCGAGTTCCTGCAGTATCTACGGGATTAGCCGGTTCGGATCTTCAGTTTCGTTACTGGATTTCCTGAGCTGCGCGTCGGCCATGTCGGTTCGCTCGATGGCGAGATTGGGCTCTGCTCTCTCCCTCTACGGCATGAGCTTCTTGGCGTCCTCCGTCTCCATGATGGACTTCATCAACATGGGCTCCTCGATCTCCCTCCGAACCTTCAGTCGCTTCGGATCCAGTCTCTCCGTCTACGGGGTCACGCTGTTCGGCTCCTCCATGTCGATCCTGGACTTCGTCAACCTCGGGTCGTCCTTCTCGACCCGGAGCTTCGGCCGGTTCGGCTCGACGCTGTCCCTGTACGGCGTCAGCCGGTGCGGCAGCAACATGTCGCTGTTGGACTTCCTGTGCATCGGAAGCGCTCTGTCCGCACGCAACGTCGCCCGGTTCGGCAGTTCTCTGTCCGTGTACGGAACGCTGCGATTCGGGAGTGCTCTGTCCGTGCTCGACGTGATCAACGTCGGGTCCGCGATGAGCATCCGTTCGGTCGTCCGACTGGGGTCCGCGTTGTCCGTGTTCGGATTCAGCCGCCTCGGGTCGAGTTTGTCCGTCCTGGACTTCGTCAGCTTGTCCTCCAGCCTGTCCCTCCGCGGGTTCTCGCGGTTCGGAAGCAGTATGTCGGCGTACGGGCTGACCAGACTCGGCAGCAGCTTCTCGCTGCTGGACTACTGCCACATCGGATCCAGTGTGTCCATCCGGTCGTTCGCCCGCATCGGGTCGTCTTTCTCGTGCCGCTCGGTGTACGAAGCGCCGGCGATCATCGACGGGGCGTTGCACATCGAGGATTACGTGCAGACCTCCAGTACCTTCAGCGTGCGGTCGTTTGTCCGGCTGGGAAGCAGTCTTTCCGTCTACGGCACCGCGCGGCTCGGATCCGCTCTGTCCGTCCTGGACATGGCCTCGATCGGGTCCGGATTCTCCTGCCGCTCCTTCGTCCGACTCGGGTCGGCGCTGTCGGTGTTTGGCATTAGCCGGATGGGCTCGCAGATGTCGCTGCTGGATTTATTGCATATCGGCAGTAGTGTGTCCGTCCGAACGTACGTGCGAATCGGATCCAGTTACTCCGTCTACGGCATGGTCCGCATGGGGTCGAGCATGTCGATTCTGGACTTCATGAGTCTGGGCTCCAGCTGCTCCACGAGAACCTTCGCGCGCATCGGCAGCGCCACCTCCGTGTACGGGTTTTCGCGCCTCGGGTCGGGTTTGTCGGTTCTCGATTACCTGCACTTGGGGTCGTGTCTGTCCGTCCGCAGCTTCGGGCGACTGGGCTCCGCCTTGTCCGTCTACGGGCTGACACGGATGGGTTCCGGCTTGTCCGTCCTGGACGCGGTGCACCTCGGGTCCGCCATGTCGGTACGCGGATTCGTCCGACTGGGGTCCAGCTTGTCGGTCTTCGGACTGTCGCGCATGGGCTCCAGCCTGTCGATCCTGGACTACTTCAGCATGGGCAGCAACTTGTCGCTCAGATCCTACATCCGCCTCGGATCTTCCATTTCCGTGTTTCAGTCGCGCATCCGACTGGGGGCAAATATGTCTGTGTTGGATTACCTGTTCGTCGGGTCCACGCTGTCCCTGCGCGGCATGTGCCGCCTCGGTTCCGCCACGTCCGTCTACGGGATGGCGCGCTTCGGGTCCAGCATGTCGCTTTTGGACGCCGTGCACCTCGGTTCCATGCTGTCGATCCGGAGTTTCGTCCGCATGGGATCCGGTATCTCCGTGTTCGGCCAGGGCCGGTTCGGCGAGCAAATGACGGTCTTCGACTACATGTCGCTCGGGTCCGCGTTCTCGTGCCGCAGCTTCGCGCGACTAGGATCCTCGATGTCCGTCTACGGATTTGGAAAGTGCGGCTCCTGCTTTTCCATCCTCGACGCGGTGCACATGGGCAGCTGTCTGTCGATCCGGAACTGGGGAAGGCTAGGTTCCGCTGTCTCCGTCTACGGATTGTCGAGATTGGGTTCCAGCTTGTCGGTGCTCGACTTCACCTCGATGGGAAGCTCGATGTCCTGCCGCGGATTCTTGCGGCTCGGCTCCGCCATGTCGATGTACGGCATGCTGCGAGTCGGATCGAACATGAGCCTGTTGGACTTCCTGCAGATTGGGTCCGCGATTTCCGTCCGGAACTTGGCGAGATTGGGATCCTCCCTGTCGCTGTACGGCATGTGCCGCATGTCCAGCAACTGTTCGCTGCTCGACATGTTCCACATCGGCAGCTCCATGTCGGTGCGCATGTTCTGCCGCGTGGGGTCTGCTTTGTCCGTCTACGGGATGGGCCGGTTCGGAAGTTGCCTGAGCGTTTTGGATATGCTGTCGTTGTCGTCGAGTTTGTCGATCCGCAACTTCGCGCGCATGGGCAGCAGTTGCTCGGTGTACGGCATGACCAGGATCAGCTCCTGCATGTCGTTGCTCGACTTCTTGCAGATTGGTTCCGGGATGTCGATCCGGAACGTCGCGCGATTAGGATCGTCCCTGTCCGTCTACGGTATGGCAAGACTGGGATCGAACCTGAGCTTGCTGGACATGATGTCGCTCGGGTCCAGTCTCTCCGTCCGAAACTTCGCGCGCATGGGGTCCGCGTCCTCCATCTACGGCATGGCACGCATGGGAAGCTGCATGAGCATCTTGGACTTCGTGCAAATCGGGTCTGGGTTGAGCATGCGCAACTTCGCGCGACTCGGCTCTAGTTGCTCCGCGTTCGGCATGAGCCGGTTGGGCAGCTGCATGTCGGTGCTGGACTTCGTGAACATCGGGTCTGGGTTCTCCGTCCGGAACTTCTCCCGACTGGGCAGCTCGCTTTCCGTCTACGGAATGGTCCGGTTCGCGTCCAGCTGCTCGTTGCTCGACGCCTGCCAGGTCGGCAGCAGCATTTCCGTCCGAAACTTCGCTCGGTTCGGCTCTGCGCTGTCCGTTTACGGCATGGCGCGGTTCGGATCCAGTCTGTCGTTGCTCGACAGCGCCGCGATTGGCTCCTGCTGCTCAGTGCGCAACTTCGTCCGCATCGGAAGTAGTCTCAGCGTGTACGGAATCTCGAGATTGTCAAGCGCGGTTTCCATTCTGGACTTCGTGCAGCTCGGCTCCAGCATCTCCGTCCGGAACTTTGCGCGATTGGGCTCCTCCCTCTCCGTCTACGGAACCTTGCGACTGTCCAGCGGCATGTCGTTGCTCGACTTTTTGCACGTAGGCTCTGGAATGTCGCTGCGCAACTTCGCCCGCATGGGCAGCTCCTGCTCCGTCTACGGCATCGTCCGAATGGGCTCGCAGATCTCGCTGCTCGACTGGTTCGCGCTCGGATCCTCCTGCAGCATCAGGAACTGCGCGAGACTCGGGTCGTCCCTCTCCGTCTACGGAATGGTGCGGTTCGCGTCCTGCCTGTCGGTGCTCGACGCGGTGCATCTGTCCAGCTGTTTGTCCCTGCGCAACTACTGCCGCATGGGAAGTTCGCTGTCCGTGTACGGAATCACGCGGTTTGGGTCCGGCATGTCGGTGCTGGACTTGTTCCACGTCGGCAGCTCGTGCAGTGTCCGGCAACTCGTCCGTTTGGGGTCCTCGCTGTCCGTGTACGGCATGGCCAAATTCGGGTCCTCCATCTCCACGCTGGATTTTCTCCATTTGGGCTCTATGCTGTCCGTCCGGACCTACACGCGCCTCGGGTCCTCGGTTTCGGTCTTCGGAATCGCAAGGCTTTCCTCCGCGATCTCGATTTTAGATTACTGCGTGCTGTCGTCGGCTGTCTCTGTCCGCAGCTTCTTGCGGCTCGGCAGCTCGATGTCGGTATTCGGTACCACCAAACTCGGATCCGCAATGTCCGTCCTCGACTTCGTGGCGATCGGCAGTTCCATCTCCGTCCGCTGCTTGGCCAGGATGGGCAGCGCGATGAGCGTGTACGGCATGATGCGGTTTGGTTCCGGCATGTCGATCTTGGATTTCGTCACCATGGGGTCAAGCTTGTCTCTGCGGAACTTCAGCCGATTAGGTTCTAGCATGTCCGTGTTCGGAATGGCGAGAATCGGCTCGAATGTGTCACTGCTGGACTTCATCAGCTGCGGCTCCAGCTGCAGTGTCCGAAACTTCGCGCGCCTCGGGTCCGCGCTGTCTTTGTACGGAATCGCGAGAGTGGGTTCGAATCTTTCCGTTTTGGACTTCGCGCACCTGTCGAGTTCCATTTCCATCCGCAACTACTGCCGGGTGGGAAGCAGTCTGTCCGTGTACGGAATGACAAGGCTCGCCTCCGCGATCTCTCTGCTGGACTTGCTGCACCTCGGTAGCAGCTTTTCCATGCGGGGATTCGCGCGACTGGGATCCAGTTTGTCGGTCTTCGGGATCGCAAGACTGAGTTCTTCCATCTCCGCGCTCGACTTCTGCCACTTCGGTAGCAGCTTGTCGGTGAGAAGCTTCGCCCGGTTCGGCAGCTCGCTTTCCGTGTTCGGACTCGCGAAGTTCTCCAGCTCCGTGTCGATGCTGGACTTCGTCAGCTTGGGAAGCAGTTTGTCCCTCCGCTCCTTTGCCCGCCTCGGGTCCACGCTGTCCGTGTTCGGGTGCGCCCGGATGGGAAGTGCGATTTCGGTTCTCGACTGGTTCCACATGGGCTCCAGCTACAGCATGCGCAGCTTCGGGAGGTTGGGATCATCGCTGTCCATGTACGGGCAGTTGCGACTCGGCTCCTCCATGTCCATGTTGGACATGCTGGTCCTCGGTTCCAGCCTGTCCATGCGCCACTACGGGCGGTGCGGATCGGCGTGCAGCATCTACGGAACGGCGAGGCTTGGGTCCTCGATGTCCATGCTGGACTTCATGCTCGCGGGCTCTAGCATTTCCATCCGCGCGTTCGGCCGTCTGGGCTCCGCGTTGTCGGTGTACGGAATCTCGAGACTGGGCAGCGGACTGTCTTTATTGGATTTGGTCCACACCAGCTCCTCGATGTCGCTGCGCAGCTTCGCACGGGTCGGATCTTCCATGTCCATCTATGGCTTGGTCCGACTCGGCTCCTGCCTGTCCTGCCTGGATGCGGCGAGCTTCGGCTCCGGGCTGTCGCTCCGGAACTTCCTCCGCGTCGGCTCCGCGATCTCGATCTACGGGTTGAGCCGCATGGGAAGCAGCTGCAGTGTGCTGGACTTCGTGCATGTGGGGAGTTCTCTCTCCATCCGGTCCTTGTCCCGGTTAGGATCCGCGCTCTCTGTATTCGGGATCACAAGATTGTCTAGCAGCATCTCGATCCTGGACTTCCTGTCGTGCGGCTCCGGTCTCTCCGCTCGCGCGTACGCCAGACTGGGATCCGCGATGTCGGTGTATGGAACAATCCGACTCGGGTCGAGCATCTCTCTGATCGACTTCTTCCACATCGGAAGTGCGATTAGCTTGAGATCCTTCGCCAGGTGCGGCTCCTCCATGTCGCTGTACGGGTATGCGAGATTGGGTTCTTCCATGTCGATCCTGGACTTCGCACATTTGGGGTCGGGTTTGTCATCCCGGTCGTTCGGACGGTTCGGCAGTTCCCTCTCCGTCTACGGCATCACGGTGTTCAGCTCGCAGATGAGCGTGCTCGACTATGCGCATTTCGGGTCCAGTCTGTCTGTCCGCAGCTACGTGCGGATGGGCTCCAGCCTGTCCGTGTTCGGGCTGCTGCGGTTCGGCTCCAGCATGAGCCTGCTCGACTACTTCAGCATCGGCAGCAGCTGCAGCTTGCGACACTGCGCGCGGTTCGGAAGCTCCATGAGCGTCTACGGCTTCACGAAGTACGGATCCGCTCTGTCCCTCCTCGACTTCATGTCGCTGGGCAGCAGCTGCTCGCTCCGCAACTTCGCAAGGCTAGGTTCGTCCTGCAGCGTGTTCGGCGTTGCGCGACTGGGATCTGGCATTTCCGTTCTGGATTTCATCCACTTCGGATCCTCCATGTCGGTGCGAAGCTACTCCAGACTCGGCTCCTCCATGTCGGTGTATGGTACCGCGCAGCTCGGGTCCTGCGTGTCGCTGTTGGATCTGCTCGAGATCGGATCTTCCTTCTCGTGCCGCTCGTACGTGCGACTCGGATCCTCGCTGTCCTTCTTCGGAATCGGGCGGCTCGGGTCCGCGATGTCGGTCTTAGATTTCGCGCACATTGGTTCCGGCTTGTCGCTGCGGTCGTTCATGCGCATGGGCTCGGCTTCCTCGGTGTACGGACTCGCGCGACTCGGCTCGCAGCTGTCCATGCTGGACTTCTGCAGTTTCGGCTCCAGCATGTCCGTGCGCGGCTTCATGCGGCTGGGAAGCTCGTTCTCCACCTACGGCATGGTCCGGATCGGCACGGCGATGTCCGCGTTGGACTTCATCAGTTTCGGCTCCACCATGAGCTTGCGGAAGATGGGAAGACTGGGCTCCTCGCTGTCCGTCTACGGCATGGGCCGGATGAGCAGTTCCATGTCCTTGCTCGACTGCCTGTGTATCGGCTCGTCGCTGTCCGCCCGGTCCTTCTTGCGGTTTGGAAGTGCGTGCTCGGTGTACGCGATGACCAGACTCGGGTCCTGCCTGTCCGTGCTGGATTGGGTGCACCTGGGCTCGTCCTTCAGCGTCCGCTCGTTCGCCCGAGTCGGGAGCAGCTTGTCCGTATTCGGCTGCGTGTTGATGTCGAGCTCCTTGTCGCTGCTCGACTGCGCACACTTGGGCTCGACGTTCTCCGTCCGGAACTTCGCGCGGTTCGGGTCGACCTTGTCGACTTACGGTGTAGGCAGGCTCGGATCCAGCATGTCATTGCTGGATTTGCTGCATCTCGGATCTTCCGTTTCGGTGCGGGCTGCGTCCCGATTGGGCTCCAGCTGCAGCGTGTATGGCATCAGCCTGTTCGGCAGCAGCGTGAGCTTGCTGGACTTCATGTCCATGGGCTCCGCGCTGTCCCTGCGGTCGTTCGCGAGGCTCGGATCCAGTCTGTCGGTGTTCGGCGTGACCAAGATGGGTTCGCTGCTGTCCTGCCTGGACTTCGTCACCTTCGGCAGTTCCTGCTCGATCCGCATGTTCAGCCGACTGGGAAGTTCCGCTTCAGTTTACGGCCTTGCAAGACTGGGCTCGGCGTTGTCGCTGCTCGACACGGTCTCGATCGGCAGCTCCTTGTCCGTCCGCACCTTCGCCCGGATGGGGTCCGCTGCCAGCGTGTACGGAATGGTCCGGTTCGGAAGTTCAATGTCTTTGCTGGACTGCTTCTGCATCGGATCCACCATGTCCATGCGCAGCTACGCGCGCCTGGGGTCTTCGCTTTCCGTGTACGGAATCAGTAGACTCGGGTCCTGCGTTTCCATTCTGGACTACGTGAACATCGGGTCCGCTTTTTCGATCCGCGCGTTCAGCCGGTTCGGCTCCAGCTTCAGCCTGTTCGGCATTGGCAGACTCGGATCCTCCATGTCTGTGCTGGACATGCTGTCGCTCGGCAGTTCCATGTCCACCCGCGGTTTCGCGAGATTAGGGTCCAGCCTCTCCGTCTACGGACAAGTCAGGTGCGGATCGGCGTTGAGCGTCTTGGACATGACTTACTTGCGTTCGTCCTTGTCCTTGCGTTCTCTCGCGCGGTTCGGCTCCAGCTGCAGTCTCTTCGGCGTCTGCAGAATCGGGTCCTGCCTGTCCATGCTCGACCAGGTGACTTTTGGTTCCAGCTTGAGTCTCCGCAGCATCGGCCGCATGGGAAGCAGCGTTTCCGTGTACGGAATCTCGCGGTTCGGATCCAGTTGCAGCATTCTTGACGCGGTCAGCCTCGGCTCCGCGCTCAGCTGCCGGTCATTCGCGCGCTGCGGCTCGAGTTTGTCCGTCTTCGGGATGGTCAGGTTCGGAAGTAGTTTGAGCGTGCTCGACACCATCAGCTTCAGCAGCGCGTTCAGCATGCGAGGGTTTGCACGACTGGGATCTTCTTTGTCCGTGTTCGGCTGCGCGAGAATCGGCTCTTCTCTCTCCGGCTTGGACTGTGTCTCCCTCGGCAGCTCGCTGTCGATCCGCAGCTTCTCGCGGTTGGGTAGCAGCTTCTCCGTGTACGGTGTGGCGAAGGTCGGGTCGTGCCTGTCGTTGCTTGACGGTGCGTCGATCGGCTCGAGCTTCTCCATCCGGTCGTTCGCAAGACTCGGAAGCAGCTTGTCGATCTTCGGATTGGTGAACATGGCGAGCTCGCTGTCTTTGCTGGATCTCGCTTCCCTCGGTAGCTCGATCTCCTGCCGCAGTATCGCGCGGTTCGGATCCGGCCTTTCGCTGTACGGCACGACCAGATTGGGGTCCGCGATCTCGCTGGTTGACTTCGCGAACCTGGGCAGCTCCTTCTCCTGCCGCTCGTTCGCGCGGTTCGGAAGCACGATTTCGGTGTACGGCACGGTCAGACTCGGGTCGGCTTTGTCCGTTCTCGACTACGTGCTGTGCGGTTCCAGTTTCAGCGTCCGGTCCTTCAGCCGCTTGGGATCCTCTCTTTCCGTCTTCGGCTGCGGCAGACTTGGAAGCTCCTTGTCCCTGCTCGACATGTTGACGCTCGGTTCCGGGGTCTCTCTCCGCAACTTCGCGCGCATGGGAAGTTCTTTGTCCGTGTTCGGGCTGTTCCAGTGCGGATCTAGCGTTTCGCTGCTGGACTTCCTGCAGGTCGGCTCGTCCCTCTCCGTTCGCGCGTTCCTGCGCATGGGCAGCACGCTGTCCGTGTACGGAATGAGCCGGCTGGGGTCACGGATGTCGATCCTGGATGGGTGCATGATCGGGTCCAGCTTCTCGATCCGAACCTTATCCCGACTCGGGTCCGCGATGTCTGTGTACGGAATCGGCCGGATTGGCTCCAGCCTCTCCGTGCTCGACTGCAGCATGATTGGCAGCAACGTTTCGACACGCAGCTTCGCGCGGTTCGGATCCAGTTTAAGTGTGTACGGATTGTCCCGGTTCGGATCCTCGATGTCGATCTTGGACAACCTGAACCTCGGCTCCTCCGTCTCCATGCGGAATATGTGTCGACTGGGCTCGGCGTTCTCGGTGTACGGCAACGTACGCATGGGTTCCCTGCTCTCGATCCTGGACTACGGGCACATGGGATCGTCCGTTTCCGTGCGCGGTTTCTGCCGCCTCGGATCGTCGCTGTCGATCTTCGGCGTGGCGCGAATGGGAAGCAGCTTGTCGATTTTGGATCAGGTGAAGATCGGCAGCATGCTCTCCTGCAGAAGCTACAGCCGGTTCGGCAGCAGTCTGTCCTGCTACGGCATGATGCGACTCGGGTCCGGTGTCTCCATGCTGGACATGCTGCACCTCGGGTCCAGCTTCTCGATTCGGTCCCTCGGCCGCCTCGGCTCCAGCTTCAGTGTGTACGGTACGCTCCGCTTCGGGTCCGCGCTGTCCATGCTGGACTGCGTGAACCTCGGATCCAGCTTGTCCGTCCGCAGCCTGGCGCGGCTGGGGTCTAGTTTGTCGACGTTCGGAATTGCGCGATTGGGCTCGGCTCTGTCGGTGTTGGATTTCATCACCTTCGGTTCCACCCTCAGCTGCCGCTCGATGGGCCGACTCGGCTCTGCGTGCAGCGTCTTTGGCATGAACCGCCTCGGATCTTCCGTCTCGATTCTCGACACGTTGCAACTCGGATCTTCCCTGTCGGTGCGTTCCTGCGCTCGCTTGGGCAGCTCCTTGTCCCTGTTCGGGTATTTACAGCTGGGCAGCAGCATCTCCGTGCTGGACTTCTTCACGTGCGGATCTGCCTTGTCGCTGCGGTCCTTCGGCCGCATGGGCTCCGCTTTGTCCCTCTACGGAACGGTCAGACTCGGCAGCAGCTTGTCCGTGCTGGACTACGCGTGCGTCGGCTCGAGCTTCTCCGTTCGGTCCTTTAGCCGGTTCGGGTCCAGCCTGAGCTCGTTCGGCATGACGGTTCTCGGGAGCAGCCTGTCCGTCCTGGACATGTTCTCCCTCGGTTCGACCCTGAGCTTGCGGTCGTTCGGACGCCTGGGATCCAGTTTGTCGACGTTCGGATTCTCCGCGCTCGGCAGTTCGGTCTCGGTGCTCGACTTTTTGTCGCTGGGCAGCGTCATGAGCGTGCGCTCCATGGCGCGCTTTGGATCGTCGCTCTCGTGCTACGGGTCCATCCGACTGGGATCGTCGTTGTCCATCCTGGACTCGGCCTCGTTGGGAAGCTCGATCTCGATCCGGTCGTTCGCGCGCCTTGGATCCAGTTTGAGCACGTTTGGCTTCGTCCACCTCGGATCCGCGATCTCCGTCCTGGACTTCAACACGTTCGGATCGACGCTGTCGCTCCGCAGCATGGCCAGACTGGGGTCCACCCTGTCCGTGTTCGGCTTCGTCGCGATGGGCAGCAGCATGTCGATCCTGGACTGCATGATGATGGGCAGCAGTTGCAGCTTCCGCAGCATGGGCCGACTGGGCTCCACTATCAGTTTGTTCGGCTGCGCCAGACTGGGCTCCGCGGCGTCCTGCCTGGACTTCATCAGCTTCGGCTCGACGTTGTCGGTGAGATCGTTCTCCCGGTTTGGATCGTCTATGTCTGTGTTCGGGGTGACCCGGTTGGGCTCCTCTCTGTCCATCCTCGACCTCTGTTCGCTCGGCAGTTCGTTCTCCGTGCGCAGCATGGCGCGGTTCGGCAGCAGTCTGTCCGTGTACGGGTTCGCCACTCTCGGGTCCGCGATGTCGATCCTCGACGCGGTCAGCCTCGGGTCCGCCATGTCGATCCGCTCCTGCGCGCGGCTGGGATCCAGCATGAGTGTCTTCGGGTTCGCGAGACTCGGCTCCACCATGTCGGTTTTGGACACCATTAGCCTAGGGTCTGCCGTCTCGTGCCGCTCGTTCGCGCGACTCGGGTCGACTTTGTCCGTCTTCGGAATGTCGCGGTGCGGCAGCAGCATGAGCGTGTTGGATTACGTGCTGGTCGGCTCCACGCTGTCCTGCCGGTCCTTCATGCGGTTCGGATCGTCCCTGTCCGTCTTCGGCTTCAGCACGCTCGGAAGCAGTTTGTCCGTGCTGGACATGCTGTCGCTCGGGTCCAGCTGCAGTCTCCGGGGGTACTCCAGACTCGGAAGTTCGATGTCGCTGTTTGGCATTGCGCTTCTCGGATCGACGATCTCCTGCCTGGACGTCGCGCACATCGGGTCGGCGTTGAGCTTGCGGTCGTTCGCGCGACTCGGCTCCTCGCTTTCCGTGTTCGGCTTCACGCAGATTGGCTCGAGCATTTCCATCCTGGACTTCATCAGCTTCGGCTCGGCGATCAGCATCCGGTCGTTCGCGCGCCTCGGCAGCACGGTGTCCATGTTCGGCTGCGCCAGACTCGGGTCCGCGATCAGTGTGCTGGACTCTGTGCACTTGGGAAGCAGTCTGTCCCTGCGCAGCTTGGCTCGGTTCGGCTCGACGTTGTCCCTGTACGGCTTCGGCACGTGCGGCAGCAGCATGTCGATCTTGGACACGCTGCAGCTCGGATCGACGTTGTCCGTCCGCAGCATCGCGCGGTTTGGCTCGGCGCTGTCGGTGTTCGGTTTGACGAAGCTCGGCTCTGGATTCAGCATTCTGGACTACATCACGTTCGGGTCCGCGATCTCCATGCGCAGCATGGCAAGGCTCGGCTCCACAACCTCCATGTTCGGGCTGTGCCGCCTCGGATCCGCCATGTCGATCGTCGATTGCCTGAATTTAGGCAGTGCGATGTCCGTGCGGTCGTTCGCGCGATTCGGCAGCTCTTTATCCGTGTTCGGCCTGGCCCGACTCGGCTCCCGCTGCAGTCTGTTCGACATGATGTGCGTGGGCAGCTCGCTGTCCTGCCGCATGTTCGCGCGGTTCGGAAGCTCGCTCTCGACGTACGGGCTTGCGCGACTGGGCTCTAACATGTCGATTCTCGACTTCGTGAACATCGGGTCCTCCTTGTCCGTCCGCTCCTACATGCGCATGGGAAGTTCTTTATCTCTGTTCGGCATGACTCGGCTCGGGTCCTCACTGTCCATCCTGGATTTCGTGATGACGGGATCCTCGATTTCCATCCGCAGCTACGCGCGCATGGGATCCACCATGTCGGTGTACGGAGTGCTGGGACTCGCTTCCGCGATTTCCGTCCTGGACTTCCTGCACCTCGGGTCCAGCATGTCCGTCCGCTCCTACGCCCGACTCGGCTCCAGCGCTTCCCTCTTCGGGATCGCGAGACTCGGGTCCGCCTGCAGTGTGTTGGACATGATCAGCATGGGCTCCGCGCTGTCGGTTCGCTCGTTCGTGCGACTCGGGTCCTCCCTGTCCGTGTTCGGCGTGGCTAGGTTGGGAAGCTCCTTGTCCGTGCTCGACTACGTGCAACTCTCCTCTGCCGTGTCCGTGCGCAGCTACGCCCGGCTCGGGTCTAGCCTGAGTCTGTTCGGCTGCAGCAGACTGGGATCCAGTTTGTCGCTGGTCGACATGGTGTCGCTCGGATCCAGTCTCTCCGTCCGAACGTACGCGCGGTTTGGTAGCAGTATGTCGGTGTACGGCACGATCAGGATGGCGAGCGGATTGTCCCTGTTAGACACGATTCAGCTCGGCTCGTCGATCTCCATTCGGAACTTCGCACGATTGGGTTCGAGTTTATCCGTGTTTGGCTGTTGCAGACTCGCATCCTGCTTGTCCATCCTCGACTGCGCGACGCTGGGGTCTGGCCTGTCCGTGCGGGCCTGGACGAGGTTCGGCTCCTCGATGAGTGTGTACGGCATGCTGCGGTTTAGCTCGCAGATGTCCGTGCTGGACATGCTCACGATCGGCTCCTCCTTCTCCGTCCGCAACTTTGTCCGACTGGCGTCTGGGTTGTCCGTGATGGGGAGAACCCGACTCGGCTCGAACTTGTCGGTGTTGGACCAGATCACGGTGGGATCGGCCTTGTCCGTGCGCGGCTTCGCCCGGTTCGGCAGCTCTTGCTCCCTGTACGGGTGCGCCAGACTCGGCAGCACGATCTCCATCTTGGACTTCGTCACGGTCGGGTCGTCGATGTCGCTGCGGCACTTCGCGAGACTGGGATCGTCCTTCTCCGTCTACGGCGTGGCACAACTCGGCAGCTGCCTGTCGTTGCTGGATAACATCCAGCTCGGCTCCTCGTGCAGCGTCCGCTCGTTTGCGCGGTTCGGGTCCACCTGCAGTGTGTACGGCGTGAGCAGACTCGGCTCTCTGCTGTCCGTGCTCGACATTGCGCACATCGGCAGCTCCATCAGCGTCCGCGGCATGGCCCGGCTCGGCAGCTCGCTGTCCGTGTTCGGCCTGTGCCGGCTCGGATCCGCGTTGTCCATGCTGGACGGCTGTCAGCTCGGCTCCGCGCTGTCGGTCCGCAGCATGGCGCGGTACGGAAGCAGTTTGAGTGTCTACGGGTGTGTCAGACTCGGGAGCTCTATGTCCGTGTTGGATGTCACTGATTTGGGATCCACGTTGTCGCTGCGGTCCTTCGCACGACTGGGATCCAGCACGTCGATCTTCGGCATGTGCCGCATGGGAAGCCGTTTGTCCATCCTGGACACGCTCATGCTCGGTTCGACCTACAGCCTCCGCGGCTTCTGCCGGATGGGCAGCAGTCTGTCGATCTTCGGCATGGCCAGATTGGGCTCCGCGCTCTCGATCCTCGATTTCGTCAGCATGGGCTCGTCGATCTCCGTGCGGTCGTTCGCGCGACTCGGATCCAGCTTGTCCGTCTGCGGCATCATGAAGATGGGATCCTCCTTGTCCGTCTTAGATGTGATTCAGCTTGGCTCCGCCATGTCCGTCCGCAGCTTCGCGCGCCTCGGGTCGAGTTTGAGTCTCTTCGGAATCAGCACGCTGGGCTCCGCGATGTCGGTGCTGGACTTCTTGACGCTCGGATCGTCCGCGTCGCTCCGCTCCTTCGTGCGCATGGGATCTTCCTTCAGCGTGTACGGAACGGTCCGGTTCGGTTCCGCACTGTCTTTATTGGACTTCACGCACTTTGGCTCTAGCACCTCGGTGCGCGGATTCTGCCGACTGGGGAGCTCCCTGTCCGTCTTCGGACTGGCGCGGATCGGATCCTCCTTGTCGATCCTGGACAACTGCCAGATCGGGTCCAACATCTCGATTCGCGGGTTCTCCCGGCTGGGAAGCAGCTACAGCGTCTACGGCATGACAACTTTGGGGTCCAGTTTATCTGTCCTCGACTGCGTGCATCTAGGATCTGCTCTCTCAGTCCGCCACTACGCCCGTTTAGGTTCGTGCCTGTCCGTGATGAGCCGCAACTTGCTCGGATCCAGCTTCTCCGTGCTCGACACGCTGCAGATGGGATCCAGCTTCTCGGTCCGCTCGTTCGCGCGCCTGGGAAGTTCCCTCTCCGTGTTCGGCGTGACGCGCCTGGGCTCGACGTTGTCCGTGCTCGACCGCATGTCCATCGGCACCAGCCTGTCGATCCGCGGGTTCGTTAGGCTCGGCAGCGCTATGTCGATCATCGCCGCGGCGCGGTTCAGCAGTTGCATGAGTGTCAAGGACTACGTCCATCTCGGTTCGAGTTTGTCGGTGCGCTCCTTCACGCGGCTCGGCTCCGCCTTCAGTCTGTACGGGCTGTCGAAGGTCGGATCCAACATGTCGCTGCTGGACTTCATGCACATCGGTAGCGCGATCTCGGTCCGGTCTCACGCGCGGTTTGGAAGCGCACAGTCGATCTACGGCTTCGCCCGACTCGGCTCCACGATCTCCGTTCTGGACTTCGTGTCCGTCGGATCTGCGGTGTCGCTGCGCTCCTTCGCGCGACTCGGATCTGCGCTTAGCGTCTACGGAACTTCCAGGTTGGGCTCAACCTTGTCGGTTCTGGACTTCGTCGCGATCGGTTCCAGCTTCAGCCTGCGCGGCTTCAGCCGCATGGGATCCTCTTTCAGCATCTTCAGCCGCGCGGCCGCCGGTTCGGTGTCCGTCCTGGACTTCTTCGAGCTGGGCAGCACGATGAGCATCCGGTCGACGACTTGCTGCGGCAGCATGCTGTCTCTGTTCAGCCAGGTGCGGTTCGGATCGACGTTGTCCGTTTGCCAGGCCATGTTCATGGGATCCGCCTTGTCCTGCCGTGGCGCGAGCAGACTTGGTTCCAACTTCAGCATCTTCAGCTACACAAACCTCGGCAGCAACCTGTCCGTGCTGAACTTTGCGATCGCGGGATCGACCTTGTCCCTCCGTGCGTTCGGGCGGTGCGGGAGTAATTTTTCCGTGATCAACCAGGTCACGTTCGGGTCCAGCTTGTCTGTCCTGGACTACGCCTGCCTCGGCAGCTGCGTGTCCATGCGGTCGATGGCTCGGTTGGGCAGCAGCTTCTCGATTTACGGCATGTTTCGCGCGGCGAGCAACTTCTCGGTGTTGCAGTTCGTGCAACTCGGATCGGCGTTGTCGATTCGGTCCTACAGCCGGCTCGGATCGACGCTCTCCGTCGCGGGCTACGTGAAGTTTGGCTCGACGGTTTCTTCCCAGGAGCAGACGAACCTGACGTTGCTGTCCGTCCGCAGCTGGGTCCGCCTCGGCTCCGGCATGTCGATCTACGACTGCGTGCGATACGGTTCCAGCCTGTCGATCCTGAACTACATGACGTGCGGGTCTAGTTTGTCGCTGCGCTGCTACGCTCGCGTTGGCTCGTCCGTCTCCATCTACGGCAAGTTCCGCATGGGCTCCATGATGAGCACGTTCGACACGATTTTGGCCGGCTCGTCCCTCTCCCTGCGCGGCTTCCAGCGGTACGGATCCGCTGTGAGCATCTTCAGCCAGGTGCGGATGGGAAGCAGCATGTCGATTTTGAACCACTTGGAACTCGGATCCAGTCTGTCCCTCCGCGCCCGCGCGCGGCTCGGCTCCGGCTGCAGCCTGTTCGGAAAGGTCCGGATGCGCGACACCATGTCGATCCTGGACTTCTTCGCGGCGGGATCTTCGCTCTCGATCCGCGCGTCGACCCGAGTGGGATCGAGTCTGTCCCTGTTCAGCCAGGTCCGGCTCGGCTCCACCATGTCGCTGCTGGACCGGGTGCACATGGGATCCAGCTTGTCCATCCGCGGCGTGACGCGACTGGGCAGCGGATTCAGTATCTTCTCCGCGCAAAGACTCGCCTCGAGTATGTCGGTGTTGGACTCCGCGTACTTGGGCTCCACGTTATCCTTGCGTGGTATTTCGCGGTTCGGCTCGAATTTCTCGATCTACAACCGCGTCGCTCTGGGCTCGAGCTTCTCTGCTCTGTCCCAAAGTCATCTAGGTAGTTCGTTGTCGATCCGCAGCTATGCCCGGTTCGGCTCGGCAATGTCTATCTTCGGACTCGCATCTGGTGGCAGTTGCTTGTCCGTGCTGGACTCGGCGAGTTTGGGGTCCGCGATCTCCCTGCGGTCCTTCTCGCGCATGGGTTCCAGCTTCTCCGTGTACGGCATGCAGCGGTTGGGCAGCAGTTTGTCTTGCCTGGACACGATCCTGCTCGGCAGCGCCTTGTCCGTCCGCGGCGCCATCCGGCTGGGAAGCTCCATGTCGATCTTCAGTCAGATGAGGTTCGGATCCGGGCTCTCCTGCTTGGACTTCACGAACTTCGGCTCGGTTCTGTCCCTTCGCGCGACATTGCGCATGGGATCGGCGATGAGCATCTACGGAAAGATCCAGGCCGGGTCCAGTTTGTCCATTTTGGACACCACCTTGCTCGGGTCCAGCTGCAGTCTCCGGGCTTACGCTCGACTCGGGTCCGTCCTGTCGATCTACAACAGGGCTAAAGTCTCCGGCGCGTTCTCGGTGCTGAACTTCACGAACTTCGGGTCGACGCTGTCCCTGCGTTCCTACAGTTCGCTGGGCAGCAGTCTCTCCGTGTTCTGTAACATTCAGGGTGGCGCGGCGCTCTCCCTGCTCGCGAACGGGTCCTTCGGTTCGTCCGCCTCCCTGCGTGCGTTCGCGCGACTGGGCAGCAACGTGTCCGTCTTGGACTCCATCATGTTCGGAAGCAGCGTGTCCATGCGGAACTTCTTCCGCGTCGGGTCCGCGATGAGCATCTTCAGCAAGCTGGGTTGCGGCTCGAATTTCAGCATCCTGGACAGCACGCACTTGGGTTCGAACCTGTCTCTCCGCGGCTACGCACGACTCGGATCTTCCTTCTCGGCGTTCACCTGCACGAGATTCGGCTCCAGCTGCTCGATCCTGGATTGCCTGGGCTTGGGATCCACGTTCTCCATGCGCTGCACCGGGCGACTCGGTTCCTCGGCCTCCGTGTTCTCCGCTGTGAGACTTGGCTCGACGCTGTCCTGCTTGGACCAGACCATGATCGGATCCGGATTGTCGATTCGTGCGTTCCTGCGCCTCGGCTCCGCCTACTCCGTGTTCTCGCGAGTCCGCGGTGGCAGCAGTCTGTCTTTGCTGGACTGCGCGTTCTTCGGTAGTTCGCTCTCCATGCGCGCGCAGAACCGGCTCGGGTCCACGTTCTCCGTGTTCGGACAGGTCCGCGCGGGCTCTTGTTTGTCCATTCTGGATTACATGAGCCTCGCTTCGACGTTATCTCTCCGCGCGGCCGTCCGCGTTGGCTCCGGCGTGTCCATCTTCGGCTGCTCCAACATGGGATCGCGGTTCTCCGTGCTGGACTCCGTCGCGTTCGGAAGCAGCATGTCGCTGCGTTCGCACATGCGCGTCGGGTCTGGGCTGTCCGTGTTCGGCGCGATCCGAACGGCTTCCAGCCTGTCCGCGCTCGGCTACGGCATCTTCGGGTCGTCGTTGTCCATCCGCAACTACATGCGGGTCGGATCCGCCATGAGCTTGTTCAGCCAGGCCAGGATGGGCAGCTCCCTCTCCGTGCTGGACAAGATCGCGTTCGGGTCGAGTTTGTCGCTCCGACAGCTCGCAAGGTTCGGAAGTTCCCTTTCCGTGGTTGAAACCGCACGGTTCGGATCGTCTCTGTCCGTCCTCGACTACTTCAGCATCGGGTCTTCGTTCTCGATGCGTGCGGCCGGCCGGTTCGGCTCCACTATGTCGGTGTTCGGCGTGGCGCGCGCCGGGGAGGCGGCTTCGCTACTGGACTTCTTCGCGATCGGGTCGACGCTCTCCTTGCGTTCGTACTGCCGCGTGGGTAGCGGGTTGTCGATCACCGGGTCGACGGACATGGGTGACAAGTTGTCCGTGCTCGACGCGATCAGCTTCGGGTCCTCCATGTCGCTGCGGTCCACCTTCCGGTGCGGCAGCAGCGCGAGCTTGCTGGACTTCGTCACGCTCGGGTCCGCGTTGTCCCTGCGTGGCGCGATCCGGTGCGGTAGCAGTCTGTCCATCCACAAAGGGATTCGTATGGGTGCGTACATGAGTGTGATGGACGAAGCCTGCCTGGCTTCCGCCGTGTCCCTTCGTGGCTTCGCGCGGTTCGGCAGCAGCATCTCGATCTTCGACATGTTCGCGGCCGGCAGCTCCCTGTCGCTCCGCACGTACGGCCGGGTCGGCTCCGCGGTGTCCGCGTTCGGCTGCGTGCGGTGCGGCAGCACGATGAGTGTGTTGGACGCCACGGCATTCGGGTCCAGTCTCTCTTGTCGTACCTACGTGCGGCTCGGGTCCTCCATGAGCGTGATGTGCGGCGCCAGACTCGGATCCAGCATCTCCGTGCTCGACTACTTCAGCGTCGGGTCCGCCATGTCGCTGCGTGCGTACCAGCGGATCGGCAGCTCCTGCAGTCTGTTCGGCGGTGCGAAGGGCGGTTGCCACTTGTCGATCCTCAGTCAGGTCTCGCTTGGTAGCAGCCTCTCCCTCCGTGGTTTGGCGCGCGCGGGCAGCTGCGTCTCGGTGCTGGATTATTTGAAGATGGGATCATCCTTGTCTATCCGTGCGTTCGCGCGCTTCGGGGACGGGGTCTCCACCTTCGACTTCCTGCACGTCGGCAGCTCCATGTCGATGCGCAGCAGCACCCGATTCGGGTCGTCCGTGTCCATCCGCGCGTTCGCGCGGTTTGGCTCCGGGTTCTCGATCTACAGCAAGGTGCAGATGGGATCATCCTTGTCGACGCTGGACTTCCTGTCCATGGGTTCCGCCTTCTCCGTGCGCGCAATGGGACGCTGCGGCTCGGCTCTGTCCTCGATGGACTTCGCGACGCTGGGTTCCTGCCTGAGTCTGCGTTGCAAGGCGCGGGCCGGTAGCAGTCTCTCCGTGTTCGCGCAGGCCCGCATGGGATCCAGCTTCTCGGTGCTCGGGCACACCTGCTTCGGCTCCAGCTTGTCGCTCCGGAAGTTCTGCCGCGGCGGATCTGCCTGCTCGATCTTCAGCCAACTACGATTCGGCAGCAGTTCCTCCGTCCTGAACTACTTCCACCTCGGGTCCTCCCTCTCCATCCGGCAATTCGTCCGAATTGGCGAGGGACAGGTGTCCGCGTACGGCTCCGGTCGGGTTGGCATGCAGATGTCCGTGTTAGACTTCGCAACGTTCGGGTCCAACCTGTCGATGCGCAGCTCGGCGAGATTCGGGTCCGCCATGAGCGTGTTCGATTTCATGCAGCTGGGCTCTTGCCTCTCCATCCGGAAGACGGCGAAGTTCGGCTCCGGCTTCTCGATCTTCAGCCGCATGCAGATGGGCTCCTGCTGCTCGATCTTGGATGCGGTAAGCTTCGGCTCTTCCCTCTCCGTCCGCGCGATCGCGCGCTTCGGAGGGCAGACGTCGGTGCTGGATAGCGTGTACCTGGGATCAACCTTGTCTGTCCGCGGCGTGGTCAGATTCGGCAGCAATTTCTCGATCTTCGCAATGACGAGGTCCGGGTCGTGCGCTTCTCTGCTGGACTTCATGAGCATGGGGTCCGCGATGTCGTTGCGCGGCGTCGGCCGGTGCGGCTCGTTCGTTTCGATTCTCGGCAGCATGCGCATGTCGGGCAACATGTCGATTTTGGATTCCGTCAGCTTCGGGTCTTCCCTTTCCGTCCGTCGCAACGCCAGACTGGGTGGACCGCTGTCGATGCACGACTGCACATGCTTCGGGTCTGCGCTCTCGCTCCGTGCGGTAACCAGACTCGGTTCCGCACTGTCGATCTTCAGCCAGGCAAGGATGGGTTCCGCGACCTCGATCATGAACTACCTCGCGATGGGTTCGCAGATGTCGCTCCGCGCGGCCGGCCGACTCGGCTCCGGCTACTCGGTGTTCGGCAGGACGAGTTCCGGCGGGCAGTTCTCGATCTTGGACAAGGTGGACTTCGGTTCGACCTTCTCGATCCGTGCGTACGGGCGGTTCGGCGCAAACATGTCCGTGTTCGATTTCGTGCATTTGAGTAGCTCACTGTCCCTCCGCGGTGTGGCGCGCTACGGATCGAACCTCTCCGTGTTCGACCGGTCCCAATTCGGCGGCTGTTTATCCACCTTGGATGCCGTGAACCTCGGTTCCGTGCTGTCCGTGCGTGCGTTCGTGAAGATGGGGTCGACTCTGTCCATCTTCGACTTCACGAACTTTGGCTCCGTCGTGTCCGTCCGTAGCTTCATCCGGTGCGGATCCACCTTCAGTATCTACCACCGCGCACGACTCGGGTCGGCGCTGTCCACCTTGGACTTCTTCAGCTGCGGTAGTTGCTTGTCGATCCGTGGCGTCACCCGGGCGGGATCGGCGCTGTCCGTGTTCGGAACCATGAGGATCGGATCCTGCTTGTCGGTACTGGACGTGAGTCACTTGGGTTCGGCGTTGTCCCTGCGTGGGTACGCGCGGCTCGGCTCCACGGTGTCCGTGATGAACCAGATCCGCTTCGGCTCGACTCTTTCGATCTTGAACGCGAACACGCTGGGCTCCGTTTTGTCCCTGCGCGCGTACGTGCGGTTCGGAAGCGCATTGTCAGTCTACGAGCGATGCACGGTTTCTTCCAGTTTGTCGGTGTTGGACTTCCTGACTCTCGGGTCGTCGATTTCCACGCGCAACCTGATCCGATTCGGCTCGAACATGTCCGTTTTCAGCCAGGTGGCCTTCGGCTCCAGTCTGTCCGTGCTTGATTACGCGAACTTCGGTTCCTCGATCTCTGTCCGCTCGCTGGTCAGAATCGGTTCCGCGCTGTCCGTGTTCGTGACGGAAACATCAGATTCCCTGAATCTGGGTAAGCTCTCCATCCTGGCGACGACCAACATCGGTTCCTGCTTGTCGCTGCGTGGCTTCGCGCGGTTCGGGTCGAGTTTCTCGATCTTCCAACGCGTGGCTTTGGGCTCGACCTGCAGCTCTTTAGATTTCGCGCACTTCGGCAGCACGATCAGTATCCGCTCGTTCCTGCGAGCCGGTTCCACTGTGTCCGTGTTCAGCAAGACCACGTACGGATCGACGGTCTCCGTCTTGAACTTTAGCGCCTACGGTTCCTGCATGTCGCTGCGCGGCTTCGCGCGAGTCGGCTCCGCCTTCTCGATCTTCAGCAAGGCGGCCATGGGCAGCAACTTGTCCGTGTTGGACTTCACGCACTTGGGATCCACGACGTCTTTGCGGTCCATCGTCCGCCTCGGCTCGTCCTTCTCGATCGCCGGCGCGACCAACCGAGTCTTCCTGCACACGCAAATGTCCGTGCTGGACTTCGTGAACCTCGGGTCCAGCATCTCCGTCCGCAGCTGCGTGCGGTTCGGTTCGACCTTCTCGATCTACCAGCGGTTGCTGCACGGCTCGACCTTGTCCGTGCTGAACTGCGCGTGCCTCGGGAGCAGCCTCTCGCTCCGGTCCGCGATGAGACTGGGGTCCAGCTACTCGATCTTCGCGAAGGTGCAGATGGGAAGCGGCATGTCCGTGTTGGACTTCTTCGCCCTGGGTTCGAACTTGTCGCTGCGTGCCGCCGCGACCTTCGGTTCGTCCTTCTCCGTGTTCAGTCGCGGCATGATCGGGAGCAGCTGCAGCTGCTTGAACTTCAGCAACCTGGGATCGACGCTTTCCGTTCGCGAGTACTGCCGCATCGGATCCTCGGTGTCTGTCTTCCGGAAAACCTTGATCGGCGGCATGTGCTCGCTGCTGAACTACCTGCACTTGGGGTCCAGCCTGTCCGCGCGCAACATCGTGCAGTTCGGCTCCCGCGCGTCGGTCTTCGACTACTGCCACCTGGGCTCGACACTGTCTTTGCGTGCGGTGATGAACCTGGGCAGCTGCGCGTCTCTCCGGGCCTTCATCCGCCAGGGGTCCGCGCTGTCCGTGTTCAACCGGGTGGCGTTCGGCAGCTGTCTGTCCGTGTTGAACTTCTTCCACCTGGGGTCAAGTTTGAGCCTTCGGAACTACATCCGCGCGGGCAGTAGCTGCTCCATTCTGGACACGGTCCGTTTCGGGTCGACGTTGTCCGTGCTGGATCACCTGATGCTCGGATCGACGCTTTCCCTGCGTGAGTACGTGCGGTGCGGCTCCACGCTGTCTGCGTTCAGCCGCTTCACGGCGGGATCGTGCCTGTCGATCCTGAACTTCACTGGTCTCGGCTCGACACTGTCGCTCCGCGGCTACATCCGACTCGGATCTTCCGTCTCCGTGTTCGAAGACGTGAAGCTGGCGCAGACCTGCTCAGTCTTGGATTACCTGCAGTGCGGTTCCTCTGTCTCTTTGCGGTCCTATTTACGGGTGGGTTCCGGATTGAGCGTGTTCGGTCGGACCAATTTTGGCTCCTGTTTGTCCGTGTTGGACGCAGCGCACTTAGGCTCCAGCCTGTCCCTCCGGTCCTACATCCGGCTCGGATCGACCTTGTCGGTGTTCAGCCGCACGGAGTTCGGACGGGAGTTATCCGTGTTGACGCAGGTGCACTTAGGTTCGAGTTTGTCGCTGAGATCCTTCGGCAGCTGCGGCTCGAATTTGTCGGTCCTGGATTTCACGAATTTGGGTTCCAGCCTGTCTATCCGCCAGTACTTCCGGATCGGCAGTTCGATGAGCTTGTACGGCGGGCACGTTCGGGTTGGCAGCACGCTGTCAGTCCTGGACATGCTCCAGCTCGGTAGCGCCTTGTCTATGCGGTCCTTCGTTCGGCTCGGCTCTACTCTTTCCGTGAAAGCGGAGGGCGTGATGGGCTCGACGTTGTCGGTGCGCAGCTATTTGAGACTCGGCTCCTCCATGTCGGTGTTCTCCACGGCGCGGTGCGGTGCGGATGTGTCGTTATTAGACCAGATCGAGTTTGGTTCGACGCTTTCACTCCGGTCCTTCGTCAAGTTCGGCAAGACCTGCTCAGTGTTGGACGCGACGCAACTCGGCAGCACCCTGTCTCTCCGCCAGTACATCCGGCTCGGAAGCACTCTGTCGGTGTCCGCGGGCACGCGCTGCGGATCCTTCATGTCCGTGATCGACTTTTTGACGCTGGGCTCCAGCTTCAGCTGCCGCGAGTACTTCCGGGTGGGCTCCGCGCTCTCCCTGTTCTCGTGCCTGAGGGTCGGCTCGTGCATCTCGGTACTCGATTCCGTGAAGTTCGGCTCTGCGCTGTCCCTCCGCCAGTACGTGCGGTTCGGCAGCGGTCTGTCCGTGCTGGAAACGACCCGCATCGGGCAGGCGTTCAGCGTTTTGGATTGCACCAACTTCGGTTCCACGCTTTCCATCCGCGCCAAGGTGAACATGGGCAAGAACCTTTCGGTCCTGGATTTCGCGGAACTCGGATCGGCGGTTTCGGTGCGCGCCATCATCCGCTTCGGATCGACGCTCTCCGTGTTCAGCCAGGCGCGGTTCGGCAGCAGCCTGTCAGTTTTAGATTTTCTACAGCTCGGCTCGACGATTTCTGTCCGGAATGTTTCTCGCTTAGGTTCCGCGATGTCGCTGCTGTCCTGCATCCGCGCGGGATCCACGATTTCTATGTTGGACGCCATGATGGTGGGCTCCGCGTGCAGTCTGCGCAACTTCTGCCGCGTCGGCTCCGCGATGTCTATCTTCGGCAACGTGAAGCTCGGATCCAGCATGAGCTTGCTCGACGTGATCGCGCTCGGATCCTCTTGCAGTATTCGTGCCTACACCAGGCTCGGATCCAGCCTGTCCGTGAAGACCACCACGCGGTTCGGCTCGGAACTTTCAGTTCTCGACTACCTGGCGCTTGGAAGCAGCATCTCCACGCGCTCCTTCGGTCGCTACGGAGCGACGATCTCCGTCTTCGACTACTGTCAGATGGGATCGAGCTTGTCCCTCCGGGCGACGGTGCGCTTCGGATCCACGATGAGCATCTTCGCGCGGGCGGATCTCGGGCAGACACTGTCCGCTCTCGGCTGTGTCTCCCTCGGATCCTCGCTCTCCATGCGCAGCTACGCGCGACTGGGGGCGAACCTGTCCGTGCTCGACTACACGTTCTTCGGTTCCGCGATCTCCGTCCGGAACTTCGTGCGGTTCGGCTCCAGCTTGTCGACCCTGCAGCGGACCAATTTGGGGCAGCAGTTCTCCGTCCTGGACTGCGTGTCCCTCGGTTCCTCCTTCAGTGTCCGCTCGGTGGTGAGTTTCGGCAGCAATTTGTCCGTGTTCGACATGATGTCGGCGGGAAGCAGCGTGTCCGTCCGCACGATCAGCCGGTTCGGGTCCAGTTTCTCTGTCTTCAGCAAGTGCACGCTCGGGTCTGCGCTGTCCGTGTTGGACTTCGCGAACCTGGCGTCCAGCGTGTCCGTGCGCACCACGGCGAAGTTCGGCGACAGTATCTCCGTGCTGAACTACGTGGCCTTCGGGTCCTCGATCTCGCTGCGCGACTTCGTCCGGTTCGGCAGCGGCGTGTCCGTCATGAACCAGATGAAGTGCGGTGGCATGCTGTCGATCCTGGATTGTTTGGAACTCGGTAGCAGCTTGTCGACCCGGTCCTTCGGCAGACTCGGATCCTCCGCGTCGGTAATGGACTTCCTGCAGCTCGGCTCCACCTGCTCCCTCCGCGCGACCGCCCGGTTGGGATCGGTGTTGTCCACCTTTGGGCAGTTCCAGCTCGGAAAGCAGATGTCGGTGTTGGATCAGGTTTTGCTCGGATCCAGCTTGTCTGTCCGGTCCGTCGCTCGGTTCGGCAGCAATGTCTCCTTGCTGGATCAGCTCTGCCTCGGATCCTCCCTCTCCGTGCGCTGCGCCATGCGGACCGGTAGCCACTTGTCCATCCTCGGACAGGTGAAGATCGCGAACAATTTGTCCGTGTTGGACGTCGTGAAGCTCGGGTCCTCGCTCTCAATTCGGGCGACGTCAAACTTCGGTGGCAGGATCTCCACGTTGGACTTCTGCGCATTGGGCTCCTCGATCAGCTTACGTGCGTACATGCGGTCTGGCTCCTCTTTGAGTCTGTTCAGCCAGGTGCGGTGCGGATCGACTTTGTCGCTCTTGCAGCAGGCGCACTTCGGAAGCAGCTTGTCTCTGCGCACCTACGCGCGCATGGGATCCAGCATGAGCGTCTTCAGCCAGGCGAAGTTCGGCTCGCGGATGAGCGTGTTGGACTGCCTGAACATCGGTAGCGCGATGTCTCTGCGGCATTACCTGCGGTTCGGATCGGCCATGAGCATCATGAGCCAGGGACGGTTAGGATCAAGCGCGAGTTTGCTGGACTTCTTCAGCATGGGCTCTTCCATGTCGCTCCGCCACTACATCCGCGGCGGGAGTGCGGTCAGCCTGTTCTCGACGGCGCGGTTGGGTAGCAACTTGTCTGTGCTGGATCAGCTGCACTTGGGCTCCAGCCTGAGTCTCCGGTCTATGCTGCGGTTGGGTTCCAGCCTGTCCGTGCTCGGAGACACCAGACTGTCCCACAAGCTGTCGTTGCTGGATGGCGTCACCCTCGGTTCCTCCTTATCCGTCCGTTCGCGTGCGGAGTTCGGGTCCCGCGTGTCCATCATCGACTTTTTGCAGGCGGGAAGCAGTTTGTCGATCCGGAACTACAGCAGGATTGGATCCAGTTTGTCCGTTCTTGAGAAGGTGAGACTCGGCATGAGCATGTCCATGATCGACACGCTGCATCTCGGATCCTCTTTCTCCGTGCGTTCCACCATGCGACTCGGCTCCGCCTTGTCCGTGCTGGACAGCTGCGCGTGCGGCTCGGCCCTGTCTCTCCGCGAGTACATCCGGGTAGGATCCGCGCTCTCCGTTTTCAGCAAGACGCAGTTCGGCGCTAGCTGCAGCGTTTTGGATTTGACCGACTTCGGTTCGTCCATGTCCCTGCGCGCGTACCTGCGGGTCGGTAGCACTCTGTCCGTGTTCAACCGCAGCACGTGCGGCAGCAGCTTCTCCGTCTTGGACTTCCTGCAACTGGGCAGCAGCATGAGCGTCAGGAACTACGTGCGCGTTGGATCTGCTTTCAGCATCTTGTCCAAAGCGTCGCTCGGCAGCAACTTGTCCGTTCTCGACGTTTTCGAACTGGGCTCGACGATGAGCCTCCGGGCGGTCACCCGACTGGGATCCAGCTTGTCCGTCCTTCTGACCACGAAGTGCGGTGCGGCTCTGTCCACCCTGGACCAGGTTTCCCTCGGATCCAGTTTGTCGATCCGGTCCACCGCCAGGTTCGGGTCCGCGCTGTCCACTCTCACGTTCGTCCAGCTTGGCTCCAGCCTCTCCCTGCGCAGCTACATCCGCGTCGGCTCCGCCTGCTCGGTGTTGACCTGCGCGCGGCTGGGAAGCTCGGCGAGTCTGCTCGACTACTTCTGCATGGGAAGTTCCGTTTCCGTGCGGACGTTCGTCCGGCTCGGGTCCTCCATGAGCGTCTTCAGCAAGACGTCGCTCGGATCCAGCTTGTCCGTGCTGGATTGCTTCCAGCTGGGAAGTTCGCTTTCCATCCGGAACTACATGCGCATCGGCAGCTCGTTGTCCGTGAAGGAGAAGACGCGACTCGGCGAGGAACTGTCCGTGCTGGACTGCGTCAACCTCGGCTCGACTCTGTCCGTGCGTAACGTCGCCCGGTTCGGGTCCCGACTCTCGCTGCTCGACACGCTCGCGCTGGGCTCGAGCATGTCGCTCCGGTCGCTCGTCCGGTTCGGCAGCAACATCTCGGTGTTGGAGTATGTGAACTGCGCGTCCGCGGTCTCCATCCGCGGCTTGAGCCGGCTCGGGTCTAGCCTGTCGGTTCTGAAGACCGCACGGTTCGGCATGGATCTGTCGGTTTTGCAGCAAGTTGAACTCGGCAGTTCCTTCAGCGTTCGCGGGTTGTCCAGGTTGGGCAGCAACCTGTCCGTGTTGTACTTTGCGGACATGGGTTCCTCCGTTTCGGTGCGCAACGCGATCAGGATCGGCAGCTCCTGCAGCCTGTTCTCCACCGCGCGGTTCGGTTCCACTTGCAGCGTTTTGGACTTCTGCGGCCTCGGCAGCTCCATGTCGCTGCGCCAGTACACGCGCATCGGCTCGTCTTGCAGCGTGCGGTGCAACACCAGACTCGGGGATGCGGTCTCGATTGTCGGTCGGTGCCACCTGGGTTCCTCCCTCTCTTTGCGCGCCGTCGCTCGCCTCGGATCTGCGCTTTCCGTTTTGGAATTCGTCTGCCTGGGCAGCTCGGTCTCCCTGCGCAACCAGGTCCGCATCGGGTCCGCCATGTCGGTGTTCAGCTGTGTGCGGTTCGGCAGCAACTTGAGTGTCTTGGATATGGCGAACATCGGCTCGTCCGTCTCCATCCGCTCGCGCGTCCGCATCGGCCAGCACATGTCCGTCTTCGGCACCATGCGTCTGGGCAGCAGCATTTCCGTCCTGAATTTCGTCATGATGGGATCTGCTTGCAGCTTGCGTACTTTCGCACGCTTCGGAAGCTCCATGTCGCTGTACGGAATGATCCAGATGGGAAGTTCTCTGTCCGTGTTGGATAGCGTTTCCCTCGGTTCGGGTCTGTCCCTGCGCAACTTCGCGCGGTTCGGCTCCGCGCTGTCCGTGTTCAGCCGGGTCAGAATCGGTTCCACCGCCAGCATGTGCGACTACACGATTCTGGGGAGCTGCATTTCCGTGCGCAGCTTCGCGCGCTACGGGTCCGGTTGCAGTCTGTACGGCGTGACGTTGCTCGGATCCGCTCTATCCGTCCTGGATTTCGTGACCATGGGTAGCAGCTGCTCGCTGCGTAGCTTCTGCAAGATCGGGTCCAGCATGTCGCTCTACGGTACGATCCGGCTCGGGTCCTCCGCGTCTCTGCTGGACTACTTCAACCTCGGGTCCAGCTGCTCGGTGCGAAACTTCCAGCGTGTTGGTTCCGCGCTGTCCGTGCTCGGTCAGGCTAGATTGGGATCCAGTCTCTCCGTCCTCGACTACCTGGCGCTCGGCTCTGCGTGCAGTCTCCGGGCGTACAGCCGTCTCTCCTCCACCGCGTCGGTGTTGGATTGCGTGTACTTCGGTAGCTCGCTTTCCATCCGGTCCACGGTGAAGCTCGGCAACCAATGCTCGGTGTTAGACTACGTGCAGCTCGGCTCGGCGGTCTCGCTCCGCGCGTACCTGCGGGTGGGCAGCAGCTTGTCCGTCATGAGCACGGCGCGCTTGTCGCAGGCCTGCAGTGTGCTCGACGCGGTGCAGCTAGGGTCTTCTCTGTCGGTCCGGAATTTCATGCAAATCGGAAGTGGCTGCAGTGTGATTGACACCCTGCAACTAGGGTCCGCACTGTCGCTCCGATCCTTGTTGCGCGTCGGATCCGGCTTGTCCTGCTTGTCCGACATGCGGGTGGCCGGTCCGTTCTCCGTGATCTCGCAGATCATGCTGGGCAGCAGCTTGTCGCTCCGGTCCAGCAGCAAGTTCGGCAGCGCGCTGTCCGTCTTGGACTTCGTGCAGATGGGCTCTTCGTTGTCGATCCGGAATTATTTGCGGGTTGGGTCGGCGATGAGCGTGCTGTGCCAGGCGCGAGTCGGCGGGTACCTCTCCGTGATGCAAGGCATCTACCTGGGTTCCTCCATCTCCGTGCGGTCGCACACGCGACTGGGTAGCGACATCAGCGTTTTGTCCTTCGCGAACTTCGCCAGCAGCTGCTCGCTCCGGCAGTACATTAGGTTAGGGTCCTCCCTCTCTCTGCTGAACAGCGCGCGGATCGGGCAGATGTCCTCCGTGATTGACTGTGCGCAGCTCGGATCGACGCTGTCCGTGCGCGGGTTCGTCCGGATGGGCAGCGCGTTCTCCGTGCTGGACTACGTGACCCTCGGATCCGCGATCAGCATTCGCTCGATGACGCGCTGCGGGTCCATGGTGTCCATCCTGGGTCTGTGCCGCGTCGGCTCCTGCTACGGCCTGTCCGTCATCGACTACCTGTCGGTCGGATCTAGCTGCAGCGTCCGCTCCCGCGTCCGACTCGGCGACAGCTTGTCGGCCATGAGCATGGTTCAACTCGGAAGTTCTGTCTCTCTGCGGTCGTTTGTCCGCAGCAGCCAGCAGATCTCCGTGCTGGATTACGTGAACCTGGGTTCCAGTCTGTCTGTCCGGCAGTTCTTCAAGCTCGGGTCCTCCTTCAGCATTACTGGCCAGACCGCGAGACTGTCCGGCGCGTTCAGCGTTACCGACTACGCGTTCTTCGGAAGCTCGTTGTCCCTCCGCGCGCACACGCGCTGCGGTTCGATTGTGAGCGTGCTGAACTTCGCACAGTTCGGATCCAGCATGTCTCTGCGCAGCTACATCCGGTTGGGCAGCAGCGTTTCGCTTTTCGAGAAGGTCAAGATCGCCGCCCGCTGCAGCGTCTTGGATTACCTCAACTTGGGATCCACGCTCTCCGTGCGCTCGGAAACCCGCATGGGCAGCAACGTGTCCGTGCTGGGCTTCGTCCATCTGGGCAGCAGCCTCAGTCTGCGCACCATGTGCCGATTGGGATCCGCGTTGTCGATCATGGACCGCCTGCGCGCCGGCGTGACCTGTTCCGTCCTGGATCAGTTCCAGCTCGGGTCCAGCCTGTCCGTGCGCGGGTACACGAAGCTGTCTTCCGACTGCAGCGTGCTCTCCTTCGCGAACCTCGGGTCCAGCGTCAGTCTGCGGTCCGTGTGCCGCATGGGCAAGAACCTGACGGTGATTGACTTCCTCACCATGGGCTCCGCGCTGTCGCTCCGCGCGACGACGAGATTGGGTTCAAGCTGCAGTGTGTTGTCCTCCTGTCGACTGGGCGAGGCGGTGTCCATCCTCGAGCAGGCGACCTTCGGCAGCAGCATCTCGGTCCGCCAGTACGTCCGCATGGGCGGCGCGGCCTCGGTTCTGCGGTTCTGCGACATGGGCAGCAGCGTGAGTCTCCGCACGGTCGCGCGGTTCGGATCCACGGTTTCGGTCTTCGCCCGCGCCACGATCTCCTCGCCGTTTAGCGTGCTGGATTGCGTCAACCTCGGTTCGTCGCTCAGTGTGCGGGGCGTGATCAAGTGCGGCTCGCACTGCAGCGTCATGCAGTTCCTGAACGTGGGGTCCAGTCTTAGTCTGCGTTCCTACGTCAGACTCGGATCTGGCTTGTCGGTCCAGAAGGAAACGCACTTAGGCAGCGTTCTTTCCGTGCTGTCCAACGTGCAGCTCGGCTCCAGCTTCTCGGTGCGCAGCATCGCAAGGTTCGGCTCGAACTTGTCTGTCCTCGACTGCGTCAACATGGGCTCCGCGCTCAGTGTGAGAGCGATGGCTCGCTTCGGCAGCTCTCTCTCCGTGTCCGGCATCGTCCGGGTTGGCTCGCTCTACCAGCTGTCCGTGGTTCACGCCACGAACCTGGGCTCCAGTCTGTCGGTCCGAACCTTGACGAGACTCGGCAAGGACTGCTCACTGATCGACTTTGTCAACCTCGGCAGCAATCTGTCTCTCCGGGGTGACGCGAAGCTCGGCAAGGTTTTGTCCGTGTGCAACTTCACGAACCTGGGCTCCTCGCTCTCCGTACGCACGTTTATTCGCCTTGGCAGCGGTCTTTCCGTGACGGCGAAAACCACGATGGGAAGTTGCTTGTCGGTTCTGGACTTCTTGACGCTCGGAAGCTCGCTCTCCGTGCGCTCGTACGTCCGGTTCGGCTCTGCGCTCTCCATGCTGGAGTTCTGCGCGGCCGGCAGCTCGCTCAGTCTCCGCCAGTACGCGCGGTTGAGCAGCACGGTGTCCGTGTTGAAGCGCGCCACGATGGGAATGGACATGTCTGTGCTCTCGCAGGTCCATCTCGGTTCCGTCTTCTCCCTGCGCGACTTCTGCCGCCTGGGCAAGACGGTGTCCGCGTTCGACTTCGTGCAGCTCGGCAGCGGCTTGTCCCTGCGCTCCTACGCGCGGTTCGGAAGTACTCTGTCCGTCGCGGACCGGACCAAGCTCGGCGCGAAGTTCTCGGTTCTGGACATGCTGGTGCTGGGCAGCAGCGTTTCTGTTCGGTCCACTGTCCGGTTCGGATCCAGCATTTCCGTGCTGGACGCGATCACGCTCGGGTCCTCGTGCAGCGTCCGGTCCAACATTTACTGCGGATCGCGGTGCAGTGTGCTCATGTTCGCCGAAGCGGGCTCCAGCCTGTCCGTGCGCCAGTTCGTGCGTGTCGGGTCCGGTTTGTCCATCTTCAAGGGCGCGAGCGTCGGCCAGGATGTGAGCATCCTCGAGCAGATCACGCTCGGATCGTCTTTGTCGCTGCGCGCGCACATGAGGTTCGGGTCCAACGCGTCGATCCTCGGTTTCACGGCGTTGGGTTCGTCGCTTTCCATGCGTGCAATGACCCGACTGGGTAGCGGCACGTCCGTGTTCGGCAAGCTGTTCGCGCGGTCGGAACTCTCCGTTCTGGACTGCCTGAACCTCGGGTCCTCCATGTCGCTGCGCGCGACCGCGAAATTGGGGAAAGCCTTCTCCGCGCTGGATTTCGCGAACCTCGGTTCGTCGATCAGTCTGCGTGCGAAGGTTGCATGCGGTAGCGTGATTTCCGTTGTCGGTCACTTCCGAATCGGCGCGGCTCTGTCCGTGATGAACGAAATCAATCTCGGCAGCGCTTTGTCCGTCCGCAAGACGGTGCAGCTCGGCTCGAGGCTTTCCATTGTCGACTGCTTGAATCTCGGCAGCAGCTTGTCCTGCCGGGTTGCGACCCGGTTCGGCTCGACGGTGTCTGTGATCGGTTTGACGCGTGTTGGCAGTCTTCAAGCGCTGTCCGTGATCGGCCACGTCAACCTCGGGTCCAGCATGTCCCTCCGTTCATTCGGGAAGTTGGGCAAGACCCTGTCCGTCCTGGACGTGGTCCGCCTCGGAAGCTCCATCTCGATCCGCAACGTCGCGCGGTGCGGCGAGACCGTTTCCGTCCTGGACTTCATGACCATGGGCTCCGCGCTGTCCCTCCGCGCACACCTCCGCCTGGGCTCCACCGCTTCCATTTGCGGCGTCACGAACATCGGCTCGTCCTTCAGCGTGCTGGACGCCGTGACGCTCGGGTCCTCGCTGTCGTTGCGCAACTTTGGGAAGTTAGGGAAGTGCATGTCGGTGCTCGACTACCTGGCGACGGGCTCTTCGCTGTCCCTCCGCGGGTACGCGAGAATCGGGTCAGCGATGTCCATCCACGGGCTGTTAAATCTCGGTAGCTGCAAGCGGTTGTCGGTTATCGATTTCCTGCACGTGGGATCTTCCTTCTCGCTGCGGAACTTCGCCCGGCTCGGGGAGAATTTGTCGGTTCTGGACTTCGCGCAGTGCGGCAGTGCCCTCTCCGTCCGTGCCTTCGTCCGCCTCGGTAGCGGGTTGAGTGTGTCGGAGGCACTGAAGGTCTCGAAGTCGCTTTCCGTTGCGGAACTGTTCGAGATCGGAAGCTCGATCTCCGTTCGACGGTTCGTCCGCATGGGCGAATCATTGTCCGTGCTGGATCAGCTCGCTCTCGGCAGCTCGCTGTCCGTGCGGTCGACCGTGGCTTGCGGCTCGTCGTTCTCGACTCTGAAGTTCTCCAGCTTCGGATCCGCGGTCAGTCTCCGCAACGTGCTGCGGCTCGGCTCCGCGGTCTCGGTGTTCGGCAGCAGTTTGTGTGGCAGCGCCTTGTCCGTGCTCGACTCGGTCATGCTCGGCTCGGCTTTGTCCCTGCGCAACATGGCGCGGTTGTCCGGTCAGGTTTCCATCCTGGACTCCGTCTTCCTGGGCAGCAGCCTCTCCCTCCGCAACACCATGCGCATGGGCGAGACCGCGTCCGTCCTCGAGATGGTCGCTTTGGGCAGCAGCCTGTCCGTCCGCTCGTTCACGACGTTCGGCTCGATGGCGAGCGTCCTCGACTCGGTCATGTTGGGGTCGTCGCTGTCCCTTCGCACCCACGCCCGGCTCGGATCCAACTTGTCCGTCCTGGACTTCGGCAGCTGCGGATCCGCCCTGTCCCTGCGCGCCATCCTGCGTCTGGGCTCGGCGGTCAGCTGCGTCGGCAAGGCCCGCATGGGTGCTTCGCTGTCCGTGCTCGACTACACGCACTGCGGATCGTCGATGAGTGTCAGAAACTACGTGCGAATGGGCTCCGGGTTGTCCACGCTTGACTTCCTGGTCCTCGGCTCCAGCGTGTCCGTCCGGACCTTCGCTCGCGTCGGATCGGGCGTTTCGGCCCTGGGCGCTGCGAAGATCGGTTTGGCGTTGTCCGTGATCAACCAGGCGCAACTCGGATCTTCTCTGTCCATCCGCAGCAGTGTCAGGTTCGGACAGGGATTGTCTCTCCTGAACTTCTTGCAGCTGGGGTCCACGATCTCCGCTCGCGCGGTGACCCGGTTCGGGTCCGCCATGTCGGTCTCCGGCAATGCCAGAATGGGATCCGAGATGTCCGTGTTGGCGCAGGTCCAGCTAGGTTCCAGTCTCAGTCTCCGTTCAGTTGTGAAGTTCGGTGCTCGGTTCAGCGTGCTGGACTTCACGAACTTGGGATCGTCACTATCTGTCCGCAACTACGTGCGGATTGGCAGTTCCATGTCCGTGTTCGAGAAGGTGAACGTGGGTGGCGCAATGTCGGTCCTGGACTACATGGCGCTGGGATCGAATTTGTCCATTCGCGAAGCCACCAGATTCGGCAAGTCCGTCACCGTACTCGACATGATGAACCTGGGTTCCGCGCTCTCGCTGCGGTCCTACATGCGGGCTGGCTCCACCTTCTCCGCGTTCGGATCGGTGGATGTGGGCAGCAGTCTTTCCATCCTCGACATGGCCAACTTCGGGTCCGGCCTGTCCGTTCGCGGAATGGTTCGATTGGCGAAAACGTTGTCCGTGCTCGACAGCATCAGCCTCGGCTCCTCGCTGTCCATCCGTGCGGTGGTCCGCGCCGGTTCCAGCATGTCGCTGCTGAACTTCACGAACCTCGGCAGCAGCATGAGCTTGCGTGCGGTTGCGCGGTTCGGAAGCGGATTGTCGGTGACGAGCAAGCGCGCCGATTGCTCCGCGGCACTGTCGGTGTTGGATCAGGTGTCTCTGGCCTCCAGTCTCAGTCTCCGCTCAGCAGCGTTCCTGGGCAGCAACGTATCCGTTTTGGACATGGTGCAGTTCGGCTCCGTGCTGTCCGTCCGGTCCGCCGGTCGGTTCGGGAAGGCGATGTCCGTTCTCGACTCGACCATGCTCGGCTCGGTCCTCTCCCTCCGCGCGATGGCTCGTCTCGGGAGCAGCGTCTCCATCGCGGGCGCGAAGGCGATGCTGAAGGCGAGAACTTCGATTCTCGACCAGGTGACGCTCGGATCGTCGCTTTCGCTCCGGTCCTTCACGGACTTCGGGGACAGCATCTCGGTCTTCGACTACATCAACATGGGATCCAGCTTGTCCGTCCGCCAGTACGTGCGTGTGGGCTCCAGTCTGTCCTGCATGGGGAAAGTCAGAATCGCAGCGGATCTGTCGATCCTGGAGTCTCTGTCCCTCGCCTCCTCCGTGTCCGTCCGCGGACTCGGGCGGATGGGCAGCAACTGCAGCCTGCTGGACTGCCTGAACCTCGGTTCTAGCTTGTCGCTCCGCTCGTTCGCCAACCAGGGATCGTCGGTCTCCATCAGAGCCTTCGCTCGCTTGGGCTCGGGTTTGTCGACGTTCATGACGGTGCGGTTCGGCTCCAACGTCTCCGTGCTGAACTTTCTGTCGCTCGGATCCGCGCTGTCCATGCGGTCAACCACCCGACTCGGCAGCAACTTCTCCGTCTTGGAGTTCGTGCAGCTCGGCTCCTCGCTCTCCGTCCGCGCCGTCACGCGGTTCGGTTCCGCGATGAGCATCGTTGAGAAGGTCCGGTTCGCCAGCGACTTCAGCGTGCTGGATCGGGTCACGCTCGCCAGCTCGCTTTCGATCCGCCGCCGGGCCGACCTCGGGTTGTGCGCCAGTGTGATGGACTTCCTGACGCTGGGCTCGCAGATGTCGTTGCGCGCCGTCGCCCGGATCGGCTCCACTCTGTCCGTCTTCTCCACGGTGAAGTTTGGATCCAGCGTGTCCATCTTGGATCAGTGCAGCTTCGGATCCAGCGTGTCTTTGCGCGGCTTTGCGCGGTTCGGAAAGACGATGTCTGTCCTCGACGCGGTTGCGCTGGGCAGTTCCTTGTCGGTTCGTAACTACGTCCGCGTCGGATCGACTTGCTCCATCTTCGGCCAGCAGGTCCGGTTCGGCAAGGGCTTGTCCGTGATGGATTGCGTGAACCTCGGTTCCTCGCTCTCTGTCCGCGCGTTCGCGAACTTGGGAAGCTCGCTGTCGGTCAGAAGTTACGCTCGCCTGGGGTCCGGCTTGTCGGTCTTCAAGCAGGTCAGCCTCGGTTCCTGCCTGTCCGTCCTGGACACCTTCAACCTGGGGTCCGCACTGTCCGTGCGCGGGTTCACCAAACTCGGCAGCAAGTGCTCGATCGTGGACTTTGCGATGCTCGGCTCCGCCTTGTCCGTGCGCCAGTTCGTCCGGGTTGGCAGCGGCATGAGTGTGGCGCAGAAGTCGCAGATTAGCGGGCATCTGTCCGTGATGGACTACCTGCACCTGGGAAGCTCCATCTCCGTCCGCTGCATGGCGATCGCCGGTTCTCGCATGTCCATCATGGACTACTGCGCGCTCGGCTCCAGCCTGTCGCTCCGCGACTACGTGCGGGTGGGCTCGTCGCTCTCCGTCTTCGCGGCCGCCCGGTTCGGCGTCACCTGCTCGGTGCTGAACTTCTCGCAGTTCGGTTCCGCACTGTCGCTCCGCGCGTACCTACGGGTCGGCAGCGGATTATCCGTTTTCTCGGACGCGAAGGTCGCGGGCGCGTTCTCGCTGCTGGACTGCCTGAACTTGGGCAGCTCGCTGTCCGTGCGCGCAACCGCCAGCTTCGGCGCAAATGCGAGTGTGTTCGACTGCATGAACCTCGGTTCCACCCTGTCGATGCGCGCCACCGCGCGGTTCGGCTCCAGCGTTTCGATTCGCGCGTTCGCGCGGTTCGGATCCGCGATGAGCATCTACGGTGAGCACACCCGCCTGGGCGGCACGTTCTCGATCCTGGCCTTCGCGAACATGGGCTCCAGCTTGTCCGTCCGCATGGCCAGCAAGGTCGGCAGCAACATGAGCATCCTGTCCTTTGTGCAACTCGGCTCCGCGCTGTCCATGCGCGCCGCGGCGAGACTCGGCTCCGGCCTGTCCGTCTGCTCCGTTACGAAGATCGGTGCTGCGATGAGCGTGATCGACCAGGTGAGTCTCGGTTCGGCACTCTCCGTACGCGCCTTCACGCGGTTCGCGTCGAACTGCAGCATGCTGAACATGGTGGCGCTCGGGTCCGCGCTCTCGGTCCGCAACTACCAGCGAATCGGTTCGGGCGTCTCGATGCACGGCACGACCAGAATCGGCCAGGAGTTCTCGTTGTTGGAGCAGGCAGAGTTCGCCTCTTCTATGAGTCTCCGTGCCTTCGCCCGACTGGGATCCACGGTGTCCGTGTTGTCCTTCGTCAACCTCGGGTCCGCGCTCTCGCTGCGCAACTGCGCGAGGCTAGGTTCCGGCGTCAGCATCTCGGGTGACGCGCGGGTCGCGAACAGCCTGTCCGTGTTGGATCAGTTCCACATTGGCAGCACGTTATCCCTCCGTAACCTCGCTCGCTGCGGCTCGAAGCTGTCGATTTTGAACTTCGGGCAGTGCGGCTCGGCACTCTCCGTCCGCGCGTTCGTGCGGATCGGGAGCAGCTTGTCCCTGACCTCGAGGGTGCAGATGGGCTCGTGCCTGTCCGTGCTCGACACCCTGAACACCGGCTCCGCCGTGTCCGTCCGTGCGTTCGCGCGCCTCGGCTCCGGCCTGTCGATCTTCACCGGTGTCCGGCTTGGCGGCAGTCAGTCCGTGCTGGAGTCCGTGCACTTGGGTTCGTCGTTGTCCCTGCGTTCGTTCTGCCAGCTGGGCAGCAACCTCTCCCTGCTGGACTACGCCGCGTTCGGAAGTTCCATCTCCCTCCGCAACTACAGTCGGTTCGGGGAGACCTGCAGCATCCTTGACAGCGTCACGCTCGGGTCCGCCTTGTCGCTGCGATCGACCGCGAGACTCGCTGGCAGTTTCAGTGTGGTGAACATGTCGCAACTTGGATCCTCCCTCTCCATCCGCAGCTTCGTGCAGGCCGGGTCCAGTTGCTCGGTGATCAACTTCCTGCACCTGGGCTCCGCGATGTCCATCCGGACGGCGGTCCGCCTCGGCTCCGCGGTGTCGGTGTTTGGCAAGGGCACGGTCGGCATGCACATGTCGATCCTGCAGCAGGTGAACCTCGGTTCTTCGCTCTCGGTGCGCTTGTTCGCCAGAATGGGCTGCAACATGAGCATCCTGGACTACGCGCAGATCGGTTCCTCGCTGTCCGTCCGCAACTTTATGCGCATCGGGTCCACGCTCAGTGTTACCGGTTCCTGCGACATCAGCAAGCAGCTTTCCGTCCTGGAGCAGGTGCAGTTGGGCAGCAGTCTGTCGCTCCGCTCCTCCGCGCGGTTCGGCTCTTCGATCAGCATCCTGTCCATGACCGACATCGGCTCTGCGCTCTCCGTGCGCGCCTACTGCCGCGTCGGATCCGGCTTGTCCGTGTTCACGGCGGTGAAGGCGGGGAAGACACTGTCCGTGTTGTCCGAAATGAACATCGGCTCCAGTCTGTCCATCCGCTGCGTCGCGCGGTTCGGGTCCGCGTTGTCCGCATTGGATGCGGTGGCGCTCGGCAGCTCGCTGTCGCTGCGCCAGTACGCGAGAGTGGGAAGCAGTTTGTCCGTGTTCACGTCCGCGCGGTTCGGCAGTTGCTGCTCCGTGGTGGACATGCTGAACTTGGGTTCCGCAATTTCCATGCGTGCGGTCGCCAGAATCGGCTCCAGCTTCTCCGTGTTCACCACTGCAAGGTGTGGTGAGAACGTGTCGATTTTGAACACCTGCCAGTTCGGGTCCAGCATCTCCGTCCGCCAGTTCACCCGACTGGGCGACGGCATTTCGATCATCGACATGACGCATTTGGGCTCTTCCATCTCGCTGCGCAGCACTGGAACGCTCGGAAAGCAGCTCTCTGTCCTGCAATTCGTCCACTTGGGCAGCACGTTGTCCCTCCGCAACGACTTCCGAATCGGCGCCTCCGCGTCCGTGCTCGACTTCGTCGCGATCGGGTCCGCTTGCAGCCTGCGGAACGTGCTGCGCGCGGGATCGACCTGCAGTGTGTTGGACTTCATGAACATGGGATCTGCTTTGTCTATCCGCAACTACGTGCGCGCGGGCAGCAGACTCTCCGTCTTCAGCAACATGCAGCTCGGCGACACCATGAGCGTCTTGTCCGAGTGCGAAGTTGGTAGCTCTTTATCCCTGCGCGTGCTCGCCCGCTTGGGGAAGACTTTGTCCGCCTTTGACTACGTCAGTTTGGGTTCGGCGATCTCCGTCCGAGCGTTCACGCGTTTGGGTTCCACGTGCTCCATCGCGGGCACGGGGAAGTTCGGCATGGCCATGTCCGTGCTGGGTGCGGTCACGATCGGAAGCTCCGTCTCCCTGCGGAACACGTTGAAGCTCGGGAAGTCGCTGTCCTCTATGGACATGGTGCACTTCGGGTCTTCCGTCTCCGTCCGCTGCGTGGGACGCTTCGGCAAGCAGATCTCCGCGTTTGACATGCTGTCCATGGGAAGTTCCGTCTCGCTCCGCAACTACAGCAGACTGGGCGCGAACCTCAGTGTTCTGAACTATGCCACGTTCGGCTCCTCCATGTCGCTGCGCTTCATGGCCCGCGCCGGAAAGAGCCTGTCGGTCCTGGACGGCACCAGCTTGGGTAGCTCGCTTTCCGTCCGGGCGTACAGCAGGATGGGCTCGAACGCCTCCGTGTGTGACTTCGTCACCATCGGCTCCTCCATCTCCGTGCGGCAGTTCGGCAGACTCGGGTCCAACACGTCCGCCTTCGACTTCCTGCAGATGGGCTCCGCTTTGTCGTTGCGTGCCACGGCGCGACTCGGCTCGGGTCTGTCCATCATGGGCAAGGCGACCAGACTGTCCACCATGCTGTCGGTGCAAAATTGCATGACGTACGGGTCCTCCATGTCGATGCGCAGCTTCGTGCGGTTCGGCTCCGCCGTGTCCATCATGGACTACGTGAACATCGGGTCCAACATGTCTCTGCGCGCGTTCGCCCGGTTCGGATCCGTAGCGAGCATCTTCGCCGACACCAAGTTCGGCGCCATGCTCTCGGTGATGCAGGCGGTGCACCTCGGCTCGCAGCTGTCGCTGCGGAAGATGGCTAGACTGCACGACTCGTGCAGTATCCTGGATGCCGCGAACCTCGGATCCTCGCTGTCGGTACGATCGGTCGCGAAGCTGGCCGGCGGGCTCTCCGCCTTGGACTTTGTCCAGTTCGGAAGCTCCTTGTCTGTCCGCGGCGTGGCCAGCTGCGGCTCGAACATGTCCATCCTGGAGTTCTCGCAGCTCGGCTCGAGCTTGAGCCTGCGGTCGGTGATGCGCGCGGGCAGCAACCTGTCGGTGCTGGACATGGTCAACTTCGGTTCCTCCATCTCGCTCCGCCGGTTTGCGAACTTGGGTGATCAATTGTCCGTGCTCGATTCCTGCAGCGTCGGGTCCACCATCTCGCTCCGCATGAACGCGCGGTTCGGCCAGGGACTGTCGATGCTCACGTTCGCGCACCTCGGGTCCTCCTGCAGCATCCGTGGCTACGTGCGAATCGGCTCGAGCTTCTCCGTCACCGGGCGCACGGTGCAGATGACCGGGCAACTGTCCGTCCTGAACGCCGCGGTTTTGGGCAGCAGCTTGTCGCTCCGCTCGCACGTCCGCATGGGATCGGCCACGAGTCTGATGGACTATCTGAACCTCGGTTCCGCCATGTCCGTCCGGACCTACGCCCGCGTCGGCAGTGGCCTCTCCGTGTTCAGCCGCACGCTGTTCGGCTCGGCGGTGTCCGTGTTGGGCTTCCACCTGATCGGATCCTCGCTTTCCGTGCGCTCCTTCGCGAAGTGCGGCTCCAACTTCAGCGTGATGGACTACGTCGAGATCGGCTCTTCGCTGTCCGTCCGCGCGGTGTGCCGCCTCGGATCGACTCTGTCCGTGATGCGCCGCGTGCGCGGCGGGGCCAACTTGTCCGTGCTCGGGCAGGTGCACTTGGGCAGTTCGCTGTCCCTGCGCACCACCGCTCGCATGGGCAGCGCGATGTCGGTGCTGAACTTCGTGCAGCTCAGCAGTTCGATCAGCATCCGGTCGTTCTGCCGATTAGGTTCTGGCGTGTCGATGCACTCCAGCAAGATGAGGGTTGGCGGCGACCTGAGCGTGATCAGCTACACCAGCTTGAGCAGCTCCTTGTCCCTCCGCTCGTTTGTCCGCGCGGGTGACACCTGCTCCGTGATCGACTTCGTGCACATCGGATCCGTGGTGTCCACCCGGAACTACGTGCGGGTCGGCTCCGCGGTCTCACTGTTCAGCACCTGCAGGATCGGCCAGATGGTCTCCGTGATCGACCGGGCCAACTTCGGCTCCTCGATGTCGCTCCGCTCGTTCGCGCGGTGCGGATCGATGATGAGCGTGCTGGATGCCGTGACCCTGGGCTCCAGCCTGTCCCTCCGGCAGTACATGCGGGTGGGATCTGGCGTCAGCGTCTTCGGCCGCACCAAGATGAGCGACCAGATGTCGGTGTTGAACCAGGTGTCGCTCGGTTCCTCGCTGTCCCTGCGCGACCGCGCGGCGTTCGGCTCGAACATGAGCGTGTTGAACTTCGTGCAGCTCGGCTCCAGCCTGTCGGTCCGGAACTTCATCCGCCTCGGGTCGACCATCAGCACTTCTGGCCGTGTGCACGTTGGCAGTTCCGCTTCCATCTTCAGCTACGGCCGGATCGGAACCACCTGCAGCGTGCTCGATGCCGTCTACATGGGCTCCAGCCTGTCCATCCGGTCGATCGGTAAGTTCGGCTCCTGCTTGAGCGTGCTCGACGCGGTGTTGCTCGGGTCGACGCTCTCGGTTCGCTCCTTCACGCGGTTCGGCAGCTCGCTCTCCGTGAAGCACTTGACGATCCTGAACAGCGTTTTGAAGGTGTCTGTCATTGATTTGATGAACCTCGGGTCGAGTTTATCCCTCCGCTCCATGGCGCGATGCGGCTCCAACTGCAGCGTCTTGGGGTACGTGGAGATGGGATCTGCTTTGTCTCTCCGCTCCTTCTGCCGACTGGGTTCCGTGCTGTCGGTGTGCAACCGATCCACCGCGAGCGGTCAGCTTAGCGTGTTGCAGAATGTCGCGCTGGGTTCCACCTTGTCCCTGCGCGCGCGGGCCGAACTGGGCAACCGGTTCAGCACGCTGGACATGTTCTGCCTGGCCTCCTCCATTTCTATCCGGGCTTACATGCGGGTCGGATCCGGAGTGTCCGTGTTCTCATCGACGAAGCTCCAGGCGGCGCTGTCCGTGCTGGACTCGGTCTACCTGGGCAGCTCGCTGTCCGTCCGTGGCAACGCGCGGTTCGGCAGTTGTATGAGCGTCTTGGACATGACGGCGTTCTCCTCGGCGTTATCTGTCCGTTCCTTCGTCAAGTTCGGCAGCGACATGAGCGTCCTCGACTACGTCGGTATCGGCTCCTCCCTGTCCCTGCGCACGTTCGCGAGACTCGGCAGCAGCGTGTCCATCCAGCACGACGCAAGGGTTAGCATGAGTCTCTCCGTGCTGCAGCAGGTTGCGCTCGGCAGCTCGTTATCCATCCGGAACCAGGTCCGCCTCGGCGAGTCGTGCTCGATCTTGGAGTTCACGACGTTCGGCTCCAGCTTGTCGCTGCGGTCCTTCGCCCGACTCGGGTCCAACGTGTCCGTTTTGGACATGCTGAACATGGGTTCTTCGATGTCGTTGCGCGGCCTAATCCGCCTCGGCAGCTCGATTTCCGTCGGCGGTTCCCGCGCCAGGTTCGGTTCCGAGTTGAGCGTCTTGTCCCGCGTCACTCTCGGCTCCTCCCTGTCCATCCGCGCCGTCGCTCGCGCCGGCGCGCGGTGCAGTGTGCTCGACTTCGCCCTGTTTGGCAGCAGTCTGTCGGTCCGGAACTTCGTCCGCGTCGGGTCGACGATGACCGTGATGGGCTTGACCGCGATGGGATCCATGTACAACTTGTCCGTGATCCAACAGGCGGAGTTGGGCAGCAGTCTCTCCGTGCGGTCGCGAACGCAGCTCGCGGGCAGCTTCAGTCTCCTGGAGTTCGCGGTGCTGGGTTCCAGTCTCTCCGTCCGCAGCACAGTCAGGTTCGGCTCTGCCATTACCGTCATGGATTTCATGGCGCTCGGTAGCTCCTTCTCGCTCCGCTCGGACTTGAAGGTGGGGCGCGGCGTTTCCGTGTTGGACTTCGTGCAGATGGGCAGCTCGATGTCGGTGCGATCTATTGCCAGACTGGGCTCCAGCCTGTCCATCCTCGCGTTCGCGCAGTGCGGCAGCTCGATCTCGCTCCGCAGCTACAGCCGTCTCGGCTCCGGCTTCTCCGCCCTGGGGAAGGTGAAGCTCGGCGCCGATGTGAGCATCCAGCGTGCCGTCGGAGTCGCCAGCTCGCTGTCCCTGCGGTCCTTCGCTCGGTTCGGTGAGAACATCTCCATCCTGAGCTTCGCGCAGATGGGCAGCAGCTTCAGTGTCCGGTCCATGTGCCTGATCGGCAGCGGCTTGTCCTGCTTCGGAAAGATCCTGACCGGTGAGAAGGCCAAGGTGTCCGTTATGAACGAGATCCTGCTCGGATCCTGCCTGTCCCTGCGCACCACCGCGCGCTTCGGCAGCAGTCTGTCCGTGCTCGACTTCACCAACCTCGGATCTTCCTTCTCGGTGCGCGCAGCCTCGCGGTTCGGCAGCTCCGTGTCGCTCTTCGGCTGCTGCCGCCTGAGAAACACACTGTCCGTCGTGGCCGCCGTGAACTTCGCGTCGTCCATGTCTGTCCGCGTGTACACGAAGCTCGGCGCTCACTTCAGCGTCGTGAACTTCGCCAACTGCGGCAGCAGCATCTCCCTCCGGAACTTCATGCGGCTGGGCAGCAACCTGTCCGTCCGGGGGGGAACCAGTTCCGCCAGCTGCATCTCCGTCCGCGCGTTCGCGCGACTGGGTAGCAGCCTGTCGGCATTCAGTGCAGTGAATGTAGGCGACACACTGTCTATTCTGAACTTCTGCACGCTCGGGAGCAGTATCTCTGTCAGAATGGCTGCGAGGTTTGGGGCTCAACAATCTCTCTGCGACGCCATCACCCTTACCTCCTCTCTATCCCTCCGCGCCTACGCGCGGTTCGGTTCGGGAGTGAGCGTGCTTGGACGCACGAGATTCGGCGCCAACCTGTCCACGCTGGATCACGTGGCGCTCGCGTCGACGGTGTCGGTCCGCTCGTTTGTGCGGTTCGGTGACAAGGTTTCCGTCATGGACTTGTTGAACATCGGTTCCAGCTGCAGTATTCGCGCGACGGTGCGTGGGCAACAACTGTCGATCTTCAACTTCGTCAACCTCGGGTCCGCGGTGTCCGTGCGCAACATGGTCCGGATCGGCTCGGGCATGAGCGTGTTCTCCGCTACGAAGATCGGCTCGTCTGTGTCCGTCCTGTCCTTCCTGAACTGCGCGTCCAGCGTGTCGCTCCGCGCGTTCGGCCGGTTCGGCGCGAACCTGTCCGTGATGGACTTCGTCAGCCTCGGCTCGACCCTGTCCTTCCGCACGGTCGCCCGCGTCGGCTCCGCCTGCAGCATCTTCAGCAAGGCGAGCTTCGGCTCCAACCTGTCGGTGCTGGACGCCTCGCAACTGGGCTCCGCGCTGTCGATCCGGTCGTACGCCAGAATCGGCTCGGCGTTCACCTGCTTCAGCCGCACGAGACTCGGCGGCTTGTTCTCCGTGCTGGACGCGACGCAACTCGGATCGACGCTGTCGCTCCGCGCCCGCGGCCAGATCGGCGGTCGCGCGTCGTGCTTCGACTTCCTGAACCTGGGTTCGACTTTGTCCGTTCGTGGCTTCGTCCGGATGGGCTCTAGTCTGTCCGTTGTCGGCGACGTCCGGCACGACGGAACGCACATGGCCACCACCGGTACGTTCAGCGTCGGCAACATCAGCAACCTGGGCGGGTCCGCGTCCGTCTACCTGTTCGCGAATCTCGGCAGCTCGCTCTCCGTGCGCTCGTTCGCGCGCATGAGCAACACGTGCTCGGTGCTGGACATGACGAATCTGGGCAGCGCTCTGTCGTTGCGTAACTTCATGCGGATCGGGTCCGGTCTGTCCATCTACGGCGAGCAACGCGCGGGCGGCCAGCTGTCCGTGCTCTCGCACGTGCACCTCGGTAGTTCCATGTCGCTCCGCGGCCGCAACTTCCGCTGCGGCGACCAGATGAGCGTGTTGGACGCGGTGACCCTCGGGTCGTCGCTTTCCCTGCGCACCATGGCGCGGTTCGGCGAGAACTTGTCTGTTTTATCTTTCGTGAACATGGGCTCTTCTCTCTCCGTCCGCCAATTCGCCCGTGCGGGTAGCAGCTTCAGCATCGCGGGTGCGGGCAGCATTCGCGGCGCACTGTCGCTGCTGCAACAGTACGAGGTCGGCAGCTCGCTGTCGCTCCGCGCGTTCGTGCGCGTCGCGCAGAACATCTCCGTTCTGAACTTCGTGCAGGCGGGCTCGTCCATGTCGGTCCGGAACTACGTCCGAATCGGCAGTTCCATGTCGGTGTGCAAGCGCGCGATCCTGAACAGCCAATTGTCCGTTCTCGGCATGGTGAACCTGAGTTCCAGCTTGTCCATCCGCGGCATCAAGATGGAGTGCGGGGGACGAACGTCGATTCTCGCGTTCGCGCAGTTCGGTTCCAGCCTGTCCGTCCGCGCGGTCGGCCGGATCGGCTCCGCTCTGTCGGTGCTGAACTTCACGACGATCGGAAGTTCGGTGTCCGTCCGCAGCACGGTCCGACTCGGCTCGCGGTTGTCCACACTGGACTACTTGCACATGGGCTCGAGCGTGTCTCTTCGCTGCGCCGCGAACTGCGGGGAGAAGTTCTCGATCCTCAGCTTCGTGAACATGGGAAGCTCCTTGTCCCTCCGAAACTTCTGCCGCGTCGGATCCACCCTGTCCGTCCACGGCAAGTTCATGGTCGGCAGTTTGATGAAGCTCTCGGTCATCGATCGCGTGCAGCTCGGAAGCGCTCTGTCCCTCCGGTCCATGGCGCAGCTCGGCTGCCACGCCTCGATGCTGGACTTCGTGAACCTGGGCTCCAGCCTGTCGGTGCGGAACTACATGCGCATCGGAAGCAGTCTTTCCGTCGTCTCGAAGGCGCGGTGCGGCTCTCGGTTCTCGACTCTGGACCACCTGCAGCTCGGCAGCTCGCTGTCCGTCCGCTCGATGGTCCGCGTCGGGGACGCGACCTCGATCTTGAGCTTCGGCCAACTCGGAAGCAGCGTTTCTCTGCGGTCGATCATGCGGACCGGCTCTGCGGTGTCGGTCTTGAACTTCGTGGCGTTCGGCTCGAGCCTGAGCTTGCGCGCGGCGAGCAGACTCGGATCTGCGATCAGTGTATTCGCGGAAACGCAGTTTGGCGGATTCCTCTCGGTGATGGAGAACATGGAGCTGGGCAGCTCGCTGTCCGTCCGCCAGTTCGCCCGACTGGGGTCCACCAGCTCGGTGCTGCGCTTCGTGCACTTGGGCAGCAGCCTGTCGGTGCGGTCCCGGACTGAGTTCGGCTCCAACTGCAGCGTCTTCAGCTTCTTCAACTTGGGAAGCAGCGTGAGTCTGCGGGCGATGACACGATGTGGTTCCATCGCGTCGGTGCTGGACTTCGTCAACATGGGCTCGTCCATCAGCGTGCGTCAGTACGCCCGCTGCGGATCGGGCGTGAGCGTGACTGGCTTGCTCCGGGTGGGTTCCTGCCAGGTGCTCTCCGTGATCCGCTCCACCACGCTCGGCAGCAGTATGTCGCTCCGCGGATTCGCCCGGTGCGGATCGTCCTTGTCGCTCCTCGACTTCGCGGCACTCGGGTCCTGCCTGTCTGTCCGTGATTTCACCCGACTGGGCTCCAGCGCGTCCGTGTTCGGAAAGATGCGGCTTGGCGAGTCGATGTCGGTCATGGACGCGACCACCATGGGATCCAACCTGTCCCTCCGCTCCATGGTCCGCATGGGAAGCGCTTTGTCGGTCTTGAACTTCGTGCATCTCGCGTCCTCCTGCTCCGTCCGACAGTACTGCCGGGTCGGCTCCTCGGTGTCGATCTTCAGCAGCACCCGGTTCGGCAGCTCCTGCTCGATCCTGGCGCAGATGGAGCTCGGCAGCAGCATCAGTCTCCGGTCCATGGCGCAGCTCGGAAAGCAACTCTCCGTCCTGGACTACGTGCATTGCGGTTCGACCATCTCGCTTCGCAGCTCCATGCGGTCCGGCAGCAGTCTGAGCTTGCTGAACTTCTGCCACATGGCGAGCGCGCTGTCCCTGCGCAACTTCAGCAGGTTCGGCTCCTCGCTGTCCGCCACGGGCCAGGGCCGAATCGGTGGCGATCTGAGCATCCTCTCGCACGTCAGACTCGGTTCGTCGCTCTCGCTCCGGAGTGTCTTCCGCTCGGGCACGCACGCGAGCGTGTTGGACTTCGTCCACCTGGGAAGCAGTCTCTCCGTGCGCCAGTACGCTCGGTGCGGCTCCACCGTCTCCGTCTTTGGCCTGGCCCGCGTCGGCAGCGCGATGTGCTTGTCGGTGATCGGATGCACGGTCTGCGGTAGCAGTCTGTCCGTCCGAAGTTACGTCCGCTGTGGCGACAGCCTGTCCGGTCTGAACTACGTCACGCTCGGGTCCGCGCTGTCCGTCCGCGGCTTCGCGCGACTCGGCAGCGGATTCAGCATCTACGGGCAGGCGGAATTCGGCGCCAGCGTGTCCGTCCTCGACGCGGCGTACCTCGGCAGCTCGGTCTCCGTCCGCATGGTCACCCGACTGGGCGGCCGCGTGTCCGCCTTGGACTTCGTCAACCTCGGGTCTAGTCTTTCCATGCGCTCGCTGGCGAGACTGGGATCCCGCCTCTCCGTGTCGGAGTTCGTGCAGATGGGATCGAGCTTGTCCCTGCGGCAGTTCATCCGTGCCGGCTCCGGGTTGAGTGTGTTCGGTCTGATGAACGTCGGGTCCGTGAAGCAGTGCTCGGTGATCGGCATTGTCAGCCTCGGGTCCACGTGCAGTCTGCGCCAGACGTGCCGCGTGGGCTCAAAGTTCAGCGTGCTCGACTTCGTGAACCTCGGCTCCGCACTGTCCATCCGGCAGTACGCCCGCTGCGGGTCCGGCTGCAGCATTCACGGCCTGACGTACCTGGGTAGTTGCTTCAAACTGTCCATGGTCGACGCCTTGACGATCTCCTCCTCCATGTCGCTCCGCTCCGTCGCGCGATGCGGCTCGGCGGTCAGTGTGCTGAACTTCGGACACATGGGCTCCAGCCTGTCCCTCCGGTCGCAAGGTCGGTTCGGCTCCATGCTCTCTGTGTTCCAGTTCGTGCATTTGGGAAGCAGTTTGTCATTACGCGCCCCGGTGAAGTTCGGCAACGAGGTCTCCGTGATCCACTTCGCATCGATCGGTAGCAGCCTGTCGCTGCGCAACGTCGCGAAGTGCGGCTCGAGCTTCTCGGTGATTGACTTCACGAACCTGGGATCGACCTTGTCTGTCCGCCAGTACGCGCGGTTCGGCAGCTCGCTCTCCGTGCACGGCATCTTCAAGTGCGGCTCGATGCACTGCGCATCCGTGATGGGCTTCCAGCACTTGGGATCGTCCTGCAGTGTCCGGTCTTACGTCCGACTGGGTTCCGCCTTGTCCCTGCTCGACTTCGCGTGCATGGGCTCCGCGGTCAGCATGCGCGGTACGTCGAGACTGGGCTCTAGTTGCAGCGTGATGTCGCGTGTCCGCCTCGGCAACGTGCTGTCGATCTTCGACGCCACGGCGCTCGGAAGCGCACTCTCCGTCCGTACGTTCGCCCGCTGCGGTTCCGCGATCTCCATCCTGGACTTCGGGCACTGCGGCAGCTCGGTGTCCCTCCGCTCCACGACGCGCCTGGGCAGCCAGGCCTCGTTGCTGCAGTTCGTGTCCCTCGGCTCCAGCATCAGTCTCCGCAGCTGCGCGCGCCTCGGCTCCACGCTGTCCGTGCTGAACTTCGTCGAGATCGGCTCTGCCGTGTCCGTGCGCCAGTTCATGCGGCTGGGCAGCTCGCTCTCCGTGCACGGCGTGTTCATGGTGGGTTCCGCCGCGAAGCTCTCCGTGCTGGGAAGCGTCATCCTCGGATCCAGCGTGAGTCTCCGCCAGGTCACCAAGTTCGGCTGCATGCTCTCCGTGCTGGACGCGGTGCACTGCGGCTCGAGTCTCTCCCTGCGTCAGTACCTGCGGCTGGGTAGCAGCATCTCCGTTCACGGCAAGACGCGCATCTCGGGCGAATTGAGCGTGTTGGAGCGCGTGCAGCTGGGCAGCGCCCTGTCGTGCCGCTCCACCGCCAGACTGGGATCGAACATGTCGACCCTGAACTTTGTGCACCTCGGCTCTAGCATCTCCGTCCGGTCCTTCGTCCGCATGGGATCGAGCCTCTCCTGCCACACGACCTTGGCGTGCAAGAACATCCGGAAGTTGTCGGTGGTCGAGATCACGGTTCTGGCTTCCTCCATGTCCGTCCGGTCCTTCACCCGGTTCGGGTCCGCGTGCAGCGTCCTCGACTACGTCACCATCGGTTCCTGCCTGTCGCTCCGCGACTTCGCAAGAATTGGCTCTGGCTTCTCCGCGGTCGGCAAGGTCCGCATTGGCAAGCAGCTCTCGATGATGCAGGCCATGCACCTTGGTTCCAACTGCTCGTTGCGCAGCATGGCACGGTTCGGGTCCGCGGTGTCCATCCTCGACTACGTCACGCTCGGCAGCAGCATCTCGCTCCGCCAGTTCTCCCGCATGAGCAGTGGCATGAGTGTGTTGGGCAATCTGATGACGGGTGGCAAGCGCATGAGCATCATCGACATGCTGGAGATCGGTTCCACCATGTCGCTGCGGTCCATGGTCCGCTTCGGGTCCTGCATGAGCGTGCTGGACTACACGAACCTAGCGTCCTCTTTGTCAATCCGGACGTACACCAGATTGGGCTCCAGCCTGTCCGTAACGTCCGGTTCCTGCCGCGTCGGCGGCCGCATGTCCATCATGGACCAGTTGAACCTGGGCAGCAGCTTGTCCTTCCGCAGCTTCGCCCGCATGGGCCAGCAACTGTCCGTTCTTGATGCCACGAACCTCGGGTCCGCGCTGTCCGTTCGCCAGTTCGTCCGCGTGGGCTCGAGCATGAGCGTGAAGGGCATGTGCGCAGTCGGCTCGGCGCTCAACGTGTCCGTGATCCAGTGGGTCCGCCTCGGGTCCTCGCTCAGTCTGCGCGCGCACGCCAGACTGGGCTCCGGGTTGTCCGTGCTGAACTTCGCGCAGCTGGGCTCGTCGTGCAGCATTCGGCAGTTCATCCGGTCGGGCAGCGCGATGTCGGTGTTGAGCAACGCCCGCGTCGGCGGCAGCATCTCCATCCTGCAATGCAGCAATCTCGGGTCCAGCCTGTCCGTCCGGGGGACTTCCCGGTTCGGGTCGAAGGCGTCCGTCTTCGACTTCCTGCACTGCGGCTCCACGTTGTCCATCCGCGGCTACGTCCGAGTTGGCTCGATGGTGTCCGTGCTCGGCTGCCTGCGGTTCGGATCCGTCCACGACCTGTCCGTCGGCCAGCAGACGCAGATGGGCGCGAACCTGTCCGTCCGCGGCACGACCTTCGCCGGCAGCATGCTGTCGGTGTACGACTGCGTGCTGGGTGGTAGCGGTTTGTCCGTGAGGCACTTTACCAGACTGGGTTCCAGCCTGACCGTGTTCGACTTCGTCACGCTCGGGTCCACCATGTCGCTGCGTTCGTACATGCGGATGGGTAGCGGGTTGGAGATCTTCGGAACTCTGAACTTGCCGCTTTCCGTCTCGATCCAGAAGTACGTGAACATCGGTTCCAGTCTGTCCGTCCGGTCCTTCATGCGGGTCGGCGGCGGTCTCTCCGTGTTCGACTACTTCAACGTGGGGAGCAGCTGCTCGTTGCGCAACTTCGCGCGGTTCGGCTCGTCGTGCTCCGTCCTCGGCAGTATGACCGCGGGGCAGAACACCAGTGTCGCTTCGTACGTGACCGTCGGATCCACGTTGAGTCTCCGTTCCTTCGCGCGCGTCGGGGCCAATCTCTCCGTGTTCGACTTCACGAACCTGGGCTCGTCCCTGTCGGTGCGTTCCGTCGCCCGGCTGGGGTCCGCGTGCTCGATTCTGGGAAACTTGAAGGTCGGGGACCGCTTCAGCATCGTGAACTCGGTGACGCTCGGCTCCGCACTTTCCATCCGCAGATTCAGCCGGTTGGGCGGAAAGCTCTCCGTGGTTGACTACCTACACATGGCGTCTGCTCTGTCGCTCCGATCGTGCATGCGCGTCGGTTCCGCGATGTCGATCCTGAACTTCATGGGCTTCGGTTCCGCGGTCTCCCTGCGCAACTACTGCCGAGTCGGCAGCGGGTTCTCGCTGTACGGCAAGGTGACGCTGGGCTCCAGCGCCTCTATCGTTGACTACGCCAATGTCGGCTCCGCCATGTCGCTCCGCGGGTTCACCAGGTTGGGCTCGTCTTTGTCCATCTTCAGTGGCAGGACGCGTCTCGGTGGCGAACTGTCCGTGATGATGCAGTGCGCGGTCGGCAGCTCGATGTCGCTGCGATCGCACTGCCACATGGGTAGCAATATGAGCGTGCTGGACTTCGTCGCGATCGGATCGGTTTTGTCTATCCGGCAGTACTTCCGTTGCGGCTCCAGCTTCTCCGCAACCGGCCTCGGACGCGTCGGCGCCCGGATGTCGGTTTTGGATGCGGTCTACATGGGCTCGTCTCTCTCCCTGCGCAGCTACTGTCGCGTGGGCGGGGAGATGTCGGTGATTGACTGTGCCCACATCGGGTCCAGTCTCTCCGTCCGGTCGATTTGCCGCCTGGGTTCCGCGCTGTCCACGATCGACTTCACCAACGTCGGCAGCAGCGTGTCCCTCCGCACGTTCGCCCGACTCGGCAGCGCGTTCAGCGTGGTCGGCCCGCACAGCCGCTGTGGCGGGGCCTTGTCCGTGCTGGACGCGACGCACCTCGGCAGCTCGGTGAGTATCCGGTCGATGGTGAGGCTCGGCCAGAAGATGTCCACCTTCGACTACTTCCATTGCGGCAGCAGCATGAGCTTGCGTAGCTACGTCCGCCTCGGGTCGAACCTGTCCATGCTGGACATGGTCACGTTCGGGTCGACGTTGTCCATCCGGGGGGTTTCCCGTCTCGGTTCCTCCGCCAGCGTGCACGGTCTGACCCGCGTCGGCAGTCTCTGCAGCATGAGCGTCTTGCGGTTCGTCCACCTGGGCTCCAGCTTGTCCATGCGCAGCTCGAACCGCCTCGGCAGCTGCCTGTCCGTGCTGTCCTTCGCATCGATCGGGTCGTCGACCAGTCTGCGGTCCTTCAGCCGCGTGGGGTCCGCGTTGTCCGTCTTAGACTTCGCCTGCTGCGGCAGCAACCTGTCGATCCGGTCCGCAGTCCGGCTCGGTAGCAGTTTGTCCGTCGCCAAGGTCACTTGCTTCGGCTCGCTGTTCGCGCTCTCCGTGTTCGGCAGCGTGGAATTAGGGAGCAGCTTCTCCGTCCGCGCCCGCTCCAGCATGGGGGCGTCCTGCTCGGTGTTCAACTTCGTGCAGCTCGGCAGCGGGTTGTCTATCCGCAGCTTCGCCAGGTTCGGCTCGACTTTATCCGTCTGTGGCTTGACCGCTGTGGGCTCCATGTCCGCGGTGTCCGTCATCGACAAGGTGAACCTCGGTTCCAGCCTCTCGCTGCGCACCGTCGCGAGACTCGGGTCCCGGGCGTCCGTGCTGAACTTCATGCACCTCGGCAGCAGCATGTCGCTGCGGTCCCTGGCCCGCCTGGGCTCGTGCGCGTCGATTCTGGACTCCGTTTCGCTCGGGAGCTCGCTGTCGCTGCGCAACTTCTCCCGCGTCGGCTCGGGCTTCTCCGTGTTCGGCAAGGCGTCCATGGGCAACACGATGAGCATCCTGCAGCAGCTCGAGATGGGCAGTTCCCTGTCCGTCCGCAGCTACACGAGACTCGGGTCGGCGATCAGCTGCATGGACTTCGCGCTCATCGGCTCTACCTGCTCGATTCGCCAGTACCTCCGCATCGGCTCGACATTGTCTGTCCACGGCGCGATGCAGGTCGGGTCGGCTTTGAAGCTGTCCGTGATGGCGGTCTCCAACCTCGCCTCCGCTATGTCGCTCCGGTCCTTCACGCGCGTCGGCAGCAACATTTCGGTGCTGGACTTCACCAGCCTCGGCAGCGTTCTGTCGTGCCGCGCTTTTGCGCGTATCGGCTCGGCGTGCAGCGTGTACGGCGGATTCAACATCGGCAACAAGGGGGCTTTGTCTGTGATGGACTCGGTCTGCCTGGGCAGCTCGCTGTCCATCCGCGCGCAGTTCCGCCTGGGCTCCATGTGCTCGATTGTGGATTTCTTCACGCTCGGCTCCTCGGTGTCCATCCGCGGCCACGCGAAGATCGGCTCGTACAGCTCGGTGCTCGGCTTCCACAGCGTCGGCAGCAGCTTGTCGCTGCGGTCGCTCGCCCGTGCGGGTGACAAATTGTCCGTCTTCAACATGGTCAATCTCGGAAGCGCCCTGTCCATCCGCGCGTACTCGCGTCTCGGCTCGGACTGCTCTATCGCGAAGTCTGCTCGGGTCGGGGAGGCGCTCTCCATCCTGCAGTACGTGTCTCTCGGGAGCACGATTTCGCTCCGCGGCACGCGCAGCCAGATGGGTGGGTCGGCGTCCGTCCTGAACTTCGTGAACACGGGATCCTCGATCTCCATCCGCAGCTACGCGAGGCTTGGGTCGTCCCTGACGGTGTGCGGCCTGACCGCGATTGGCTCGTGCCTGAAGCTGTCCGTCATCCAGGCCATGGTCCTCGGCTCCAGCCTGTCGCTCCGGTCCTACGCCCGCTGCGGCAGCTGCGCGTCCGTGTTGAACTTTGTGAACATGGGTTCCGCGCTCAGTGTCCGCCAGTTCCTCCGCTGCGGCTCGTCCGTGTCCGTGGAGGAAGCGCAACGCGTCGGTGCTAGACTGTCCGTCCTTGACTTCCTGAACCTCGGATCGACGTGCTCGCTCCGCAGCATGGCAAAGGTGTCTGGCACCTTGTCTCTGCTCGACTTTGTCGCGTTCGGCAGCAGCATGTCGCTGCGCAACATGGCGCGGTGCGGATCCATGATGTCCGTCCTGGACGCGGTGGCGCTCGCGTCGTCCTTGTCGCTGCGTGGCGCCGCGATCCGACTCGGCTCCAACATGAGCATCATCAGCTTCGCGCAGATGGGCTCCACGTTGTCCGTCCGCTCGTTCATACGAATGGGTAGCAACCTGTCCGTCAAGGGTGCGGGTCGGTTCGGCAACTTGGCCAGAATCTCGCTCGTGGACAAAACGCACATGGGATCCAGCTTGTCGCTGCGGTCCTACGCGCGTCTCGGTGGCGAACTGTCCGTGATTGACTTCGTGCACGCCGCGTCGTCGCTCTCTCTGCGGTCGTACGCGCGCTTCGGAAGCTCGCTGTCCGTCCAGTGCGGCTCGCGGGTCGGCGCGGAACTGTCCATCCTGCATTCGCTGCAGGTCGGTAGCACCATGTCGATGCGGTCGCACAGCAAGCTGGGCGCCACGATGTCGGTGTTGGACTTCGTCCACCTGTCCTCCGCGATTTCGGTGCGGAACTTCATCCGCCTCGGGTCCACGGCCAGCATCCACGGCTTGACGGCGGTTGGCTCCGTGCAGAAGCTCTCCATCCTCGATGCGGTCGCCTTCGGTTCCTCCATGTCCTTGCGCATGATGGCGCGGTTGAGCGGCAGCCTGTCCGTGTTGGACGCGGCGTTGTTCGGCAGTTCGCTGTCTATCCGCAACATGGTTCGGGTCGGCGCGAAGGCGAGTGTGGTCGACTTCTTCGCTCTGGGCAGTGGTCTGTCCCTCCGCAGCTTCGCTCGGTTCGGCAGCGGCATGAGCGTGCAGGGCGACGCCAGAGTCGGCATGCACCTGTCCGTGTTGGAAAGAACCGCGTTGGGCAGCAGTCTGTCGCTGCGCTCCATGGCAAGACTAGGCTCCCGGGCGTCGATCCAAGACTTCACGCTTCTCGGCTCGTGCCTGTCGCTCCGCACCTTCGCGCGGTTCGGCAGCAGCTTGAGCGTTGTTGGTGAAACGTACCTCGGGTCCGTGCACAGCATGTCCGTGATGAAGTGCTTCCACATGGGCAGCTCGCTCTCCGTCCGCAGCGTCGCGCGCTTCGCCTCGATGTGCTCGGTGCTGGACAACACGACGCTCGGCTCGTGCTTGAGCCTGCGTGCGGTGTGCCGCCTTGGCAGCAGCATGTCCGTTGCGGGGCAAGGCAAGTTCCGCGGCGCGAACAGTGTGTTGCAATTTGTCACCTTGGGTAGCTCGATCTCGATCCGCACGATCGTTCGCCTTGCGTCGAAGATCTCGCTGTTCGACTGCTGCGCGCTCGGTTCCACGTTGTCGGTCCGGTCCGCTTTGCGGCTGTCCAGCTCCGCCAGCGTGTACGGTGTGGCCCGGTTCGGCTCCATGACGCAGTTGTCCGTGATTGGACAGGTGAGTCTCGGGTCCTCCCTGTCCGTGCGCAGCTTCGCGCGGGTCGGCAAGAACGCGTCGGTGTTGGATCTGCTGTCCCTGGGCAGCACGATCTCGCTGCGCGGTAACATGAAGATGAGCCACACAATGTCCGTGATCGACTCCGTCAGTCTGGGTAGCACCCTGTCGCTCCGCTCAAGGATGCAGATCAGCAGTGGCTGCTCGATCATCGACGCGGTTAGCCTCGGGTCCGCTCTGTCCATCCGTGGCGGCCGGTTCCAGATGAGCGGCCAGGCGTCGATCCTGGACGCCACGCACCTCGGTTCGAGCCTGTCCCTCCGCAGCTGCGCGCGCATGGGCAGCAACGCCTCGATCCTGGACTTTGTCAGCTTCGGCTCCGCGCTGTCGCTGCGCACCTACGCCCGGCTCGGTAGCGGTATGTCCGCGGTGGGCATGCTGGCGTTCGGATCATTGCTCCAAGTGTCTGTGATGAACCAGATGGAGGTGGGCAGTAGTCTGTCGCTGCGCTCCTTCGCGAAGCTCGGCAGTTCTGTTTCCGTGCTGTCCTTCATGAAGGTCGGCAGCTCGGTGTCTCTCCGTTCCATGTCCCGGTTCGGCTCCATGATGTCGGTGCTGGACTCGGTCACCATGGGAAGCACGCTTTCCCTCCGCAGCCAGTTCCGGTGCGGTAGCAACATGTCGATTCTCGACTTCGCCAACTGCGGCTCGAGCTTGTCGATCCGCAACTACATGCGGGTCGGATCCTCCATGAGCGTGCAGTCGCAGACCCGGATGGAGTCGAATCTCTCCGTCGTGTCGTACGTGCACATCGGCAGCAGCATGTCGCTCCGCTCAGCCTGCAGACTGTCTTCCCGGTGCAGCGTGCTGGACTTTTTGAACCTCGGCAGCTCCGTCTCGGTGCGCGACTTCCTGCGCCTCGGCAGCAGCTTCTCGGTGCTCGGCGGCGCGCAGGTCCAGGGAACCGCCGGTTTGAGCGTGCTGTCGCACGTGCATCTCGGTTCCAGCATCTCCCTCCGGAACAGCGCGGCTTTGGGCAGCAGAACCTCGATTCTGGACTTTGCGTTCTTCGGCAGCTCGCTGTCGCTGCGCAGCGCCTGCAAGATGGGCACGAACGTCAGCATTCTGGACTTTGTGCACATTGGCTCCGCCTTATCGCTCCGGTACACGTGCAGGCTCGGCAACACCGCGTCCGTCTTGGATTTCGTTCAGATGGGCTCCGCGCTCTCGGTCCGCTCGTTCTGCCGCCTGGGCTCGTCCCTGACGGTGCACGGCCTCGCGACCTTCGGCTCGGTCAAGAACCTGTCGGTGATTGACTTCGTCAGCGCCGCCTCGTCCATGAGCTTGCGGCAGAACTTTCGCATTGGCGACAACCTGTCGATTCTGTCCCACATGCACCTCGGGTCCTCCATCTCCGTCCGCCGCTGCGCGCGCATCGGTGCGTTTGTTTCCGTGGTGAACTTCACGAACTTGGGAAGCGCGTTATCCGTGCGCACGAACGCGCGCATGGGCGCGAGGATCTCTGTTCTTGACATGCTGAACTTGGGTTCTACCTGCTCCCTGCGAACCAACTTGAACATGGGCGGCTCGATGTCCGTCGTGGACTTCGCGTCGCTCGGGTCCAACCTGAGCTTGCGGTCCTGCGCCCGGCTCGGCTCCGCGATCAGTATTCTGTCGTTCAGCGGCGTTGGGTCGGCGATGTCCGTCCGCCAGTTCCTGCGCGTCGGCTCCGGGCTGTCGGCGTTCGGATTGACCGCCTGCGGCAGCTGCCTGAAACTGTCCGTTTTGGAGTCCGTCCAGGTGGGCAGCACCATGTCTTTGCGCATGAAGTGCAAGTTGGGCGACCGGTTGTCCGTGTTGAGCTACGTGCAACTCGGCTCTGCGCTGTCCACCCGCGCGTATGCGCGCTACGGCTCCGGGTGCTCGGTGGTGGGCACCACCAGAATCGGTCTGTCAATGTCCGTGCTGGAACAGGTGCACCTCGGCAGCAGCATCTCACTGCGATCCTGCGGCATCTTGGGCGGTGCCCTGTCCGTGCTGAACTACGTGAACTGCGGCAGCAGCATCTCGCTCCGGCAGTACATGCGCTTGGGCAGCACCATCAGTGTCGGTATCGGCAGTAACGCCGCGCAGTTCGCGGGAAGACTGTCCGTCCTGGGCTGCTTCCACCTCGGTAGCACGCTGTCGCTCCGCGCTGCGTTGAAGACCGGCGCTTCCGCTAGCGCGATGCAGTTCGTGCAATTTGGCTCGTCGTTGTCCCTGCGGTCCTTCGCCCGGGTCTGCAGCACGGCCTCTGTGCTCGACAGTGTGAGCCTCGGCAGCACGCTGTCGTTGCGGTCCGTGGCCCGCCTGGGTAGCGCGGCGTCGATCTTGAGCTTCGTGCACTTAAGCAGCAGTCTCTCGCTCCGTGCCTACGCGCGGTTGGGAAGCAGCGTGTCGGCGCTGGGCTTGACCTCGGTCGGCAGCTGCCTGAAGATGTCCGTGCTTGGATGTGTGACCCTCGGGTCCAGCCTGTCCATCCGCGGCCGCATTGAGGGCGCCAACCGGTTGTCGGTTCTGCAGTTCGCGACCTTCGCGTCCTCTGTCTCCGTCCGCAGCTTCGCGCGGGTCGGCAGCGTCGCGTCGATCCTGTCGTTCACGGACCTCGGCTCCGGCCTGTCCATCCGGGCGGCCTGCCGCGCGGGCTCCCGAGCGTCGATCCTGGACTTCTGCGCCTTGGGCTCGTCCATTTCTGTGCGGAACTTCGCCCGCATCGGCAGCGGCCTGTCCATGAAGGGCTTCTGCTCGGTCGGCAGCTGCCTGCAGATCTCCGTGATCAACCAGGTGCAGCTCGGTTCGTCGCTTTCCGTTCGCCAGTACAGCCGCGCGGGAAGCAGACTGTCGGTCCTGGATATGCTCGCCATCGGCTCCTCGGTGTCCATCCGGTCGTCGATGAATGTCGGAACGCACTTGTCCACACTGTCCTTCGCGATGTGCGGCAGCAGTCTGTCCATCCGGTCCCAGGTGCGCGCCGGATCCTCGCTCTCGATGCTGGACTTCACCGTCTGCTCGAGCTCTGTCAGCGTCCGCAGCTTCCTGCGGATCGGCTCCACCTGTTCCGTGGCTGGCCTCACCGCGGTTGGGTCGTTGAAGAAGCTGTCCGTGATTGACTTCACCAACCTCTCGAGCACGCTGTCTCTCCGCAGCCTCGCCCGGGTGGGTAGCAAGTTCTCCGTGCTCGACTACGTGAACCTGGGCTCCGCACTGTCCATCCGCACGTCCACCCGACTCGGTTCCGGTCTCTCCGTCCTCGGCAACGCCAAGATCGGCGAGGTGATGAGTGTGCTCGGCTTCGCGAAGATCGGATCATGCTTGTCGCTCCGGTCGTTCTGCAAACTCGGCTCCAAGGCCTCCGTCTGCGACATGCTCGCGCTCGGCTCCTCGCTGTCGATCCGTGCGATCGCGCGCGTGGGAAGCGGACTCTCGGTTGCCGGCAACGGCGTCCGCCTGTCCGCGTCGATGAGCGTGTTGAACTTCGTCACCCTGGGCTCGAGCCTGTCGGTCCGGTCCACGGTGAAGATCTCCGGGTCCGCCAGTATCATCAACTTCGTGTCGCTCGGATCCAGCCTGTCGCTCCGCAGCGTCGCAAGACTCGGCTCCAACCTCTCCACGCTGCAGTACACCGACCTGGGCTCCGCTCTGTCGATTCGGTCGTTTGCGCGGTTCGGCTCCGGCCTGAGCTGCTACGGCAGGACGGCGTTCGGCAGCTGCATGAAGCTGTCCGTGATCCAGTTCATGACCGCCGCGAGCAGTTTGTCGCTACGCTCCTTCGCCCGGCTGTCCAGCCGCGCGTCGGTGCTGGACTTCCTCGCGATCGGGTCCTCGTTGTCCATCCGCACGACCAGCAGAATCGGTTCGGCGCTTTCCATCGCGGGTACCGTGGACGCGCAGTCCTCGCTCTCGGTGATGGACTTCGTCCACCTCGGCTCCGCGCTGTCCGTCCGCCGCAGCGCCAAAATTGGTGCGCGTATGAGTGTGTGCGATTACCTCGGCCTCGGCTCCGCGGTGTCCTTCCGCTCGTTCGCGCGCCTCGGCAGCAACCTGTCGGTCCAGGGTGCGTCCGAGTTCGGCGACCGCTTGTCCGTCGCCAGCCTGGTCGCGCTGGGCAGCAGCATGTCGTTGCGCAGCCACTGCAGAATCGGCGACGCGGTCTCCGCGCTGGATGCCATCATGCTCGGCTCCGCGTTGTCGCTCCGCAGTTCCGCACGGGTGTCCGGCCATTTGTCCATGCTGTCCTTCACCACGCTCGGGTCCGCGCTGTCCGTCCGGGGCACCACCAGATTCGGCTCCAGAGCGTCCGTTTTGGATCTCCTCAACCTTGGTAGCTCGCTGTCGCTCCGTGGCTACGCGCGCGTCGGCTCCGGCTTGTCCGTGATCGGTCTCTCGTCCGTCGGCTCCTGCCAGCAGCTGTCCGTGATCGGCGCCGCTAGTGTCGGCAGCAGCCTGAGTCTCCGGTGCTTCATGCAGCTGAGCGGAACGGCTTCCGTCTTGGACTTCGTCAACATGGGCTCCACTCTCTCCGTCCGATCCGTCGGCCGACTCGGCAGCAAGTTCTCCGTTGTGGACTTCCTGAACTGCGGCTCCGCACTTTCTGTCCGATCCAATGCGAAGATCGGGTCGAACATGTCCGTGCTGAACTTCGTGCAGCTCGGCTCCGCGCTCTCGGTCCGTAGCTTCATCCGCTGCGGCAGCAGCGCGTCCGTGGCCGGCTCCATCCGGCTGTCCAGCTGCTACCGCCTGTCCGTCGTGCAGCAGGTCACGCTTGGCAGCTCCTTGTCGCTGCGCAGCGTGGCGCGCATGGGAAGCAACGTGTCGGTGTTGTCGTTCGTGCAGATTGCCAGCTCGCTGTCGGTGCGCACGTACACGAGGATGGGAAGCGGTTTGTCCATGATGGGCTCGCAGAAAGCAGGCGGCTACCTCTCCGTGCTGTCCCACGTGCAGCTCGGGTCGACACTCTCGCTGCGGTCCACGACCAGAATGGGCAGCAACGTCAGCATCCTGTTCTACTCGCAGTGCGGCAGTTCCCTGTCCGTCCGGACGATTGTCCGCATCGGGTCCGGCGCCTCCGTGGTCGGCAACCTGCGGGCCGGCAAGAACTGCAGCGTGATCCAGTTCGCGAACCTCGGATCCACGTTGTCGGTGCGTGGTTTGGGTCGGTGCGGCAGCCGCGCGTCGGTGCTCGACTTCCTGCACCTCGGCAGCTCCGTCTCGCTCCGCAACGCGATCAAGCTCGGCTCCCAGGCGAGCGTCATGGCTCTCGGCCGGTTCGGCGAGATGTGCTCCGTGCTCGACGCGGTCAGCTGCGGCAGCAGCTTCTCGCTGCGCGGGATTGCAAGACTGGGCGACAAGCTGTCGTTACTCGACTTCAGCGTCCTCAGTTCCTCCCTCTCCCTGCGCCAGTACTGCAGGATCGGGTCCGGCACGTCCGTGTGCGGCACCTTGAACGTCAGCAAGAAGCTGTCTATCATCGACCAAGTCACGCTCGGTTCCGCCCTGTCGGTCCGCGGCGCGGCAAGGTTCGGGTCCCGAATGTCCATCCTGGACTTGTGCAACCTGGGTTCCAGCCTGTCCGTCCGACAGTCGCAGAACCTCGGTTCCCGCCTGTCCGTCTTCGACATGATGCAGCTGGGCTCGTCGCTCTCGCTGCGCTCCCTCGGCCGGTTCGGCAGCCACGTGTCGGTGTTCCAGTTCGCGCACCTGGGCAGCTCCATGTCCATCCGCAGTTACGTCCGCATCGGCAGCGGCATCTCGACGCACGGCCTGACCGCCTGCAGGTCGGTGTACCGCATGAGCGTGATCAACCAGGCGGCCCTTGGTTCTTCCCTCTCCGTCCGGTCGCACACCAGACTCGGTAGCTACGTCTCCGTGATCAACTTCTGCACCGCGGGCTCCGCGCTGTCCGTCCGCTCCTACGCGCGTATGGGCAGCAGCATGTCGGTCCAAGGGCACGTCAAGGCGCAGTCGCAGTGCAGCATCCTGATGCAGGTGAGCCTCGGTTCCGCGCTCAGCTTGCGGTCCACCGCCCGGTGCGGTTCCAAGTGCTCCGTGCTCGCGTACGCGCAGTGCGGTTCCGCGTTGTCCGTGCGCGCCATGGCGAGGATGGGCAGCGGATTCAGTGCCGTGGGTGGCGTCCGGTTCAGCGAGAAGCTTTCCGTGCTGGAGTGCACCGTTCTCGGCAGCAGCTTCAGCTTGCGGTCCGTCGCCAGAATGGGCAGCTTCATGTCGGTTTTATCACATTCCCACATCGGATCCACGTTGAGCTTGCGCTCCTTCGCGCGGTGCGGTTCCGCGTGCTCCGTGCTCGAGTTCGTCAACATGGGCTCTTCGGTCTCGCTGCGGACCAAGACGCTGATCGGCGCGAAGTTGTCGGTTCTGGATTACGTCCACCTCGGTTCGACGGTGTCCGTCCGCAATTTCCTGCGCATTGGATCCTCCTTGTCCGTGAAGGGGGTTGCGGCCTTTGGCTCGGTGTCCAACCTGTCCGTGATCAGCTTCGCGACGGTTTCGAGCAGCTTGTCGCTCCGCGGCGTCGCCAAACTGGGGAAATTCCTGTCGGTTTTGGACAGCGTGTGCTTCGGCAGCTCGCTCTCCATCCGCGCGACCGCCAGAATGGGAACACAGCTTTCCGTGCTGGACTTGTCCACGCTCGGGTCCACGATTTCGGTCCGCAGCCTCTGCCGCATGGGAAGCAGAGCCAGCGTGCTCGACTTGCTGAACCTCGGTTCCGCACTGTCAATCCGGGGGTTGGTCAGACTCGGCTCGACCTTGACCGTCACGGGTCTCACCTACTGCGGCAGCTGCCTGCGCACCTCGGTTATCGACTGCACCAACCTCGGAAGCAGCCTGTCCGTCCGGTCGTTTGGTAACATGGGCAGCCGCGTGTCCGTGCTGGACTTCTGCCAGCTCGGCTCGTCGATGAGCATCCGCTCCATGGTCCGAAGCGGTTCTCGCGTCTCGATCCTGGACATGCTGAACCTCGGTTCCACGTGCTCGCTGCGACAACAGTCGCGCCTCGGCGGCAGCCTGTCCACGCTGAACTACGTCAACATGGGTAGCAGTCTGTCCGTGCGCAGCTTCTGCAGAATCGGATCGACGCTGTCGGTCACCGGCTCCTCGCAGCTCGGATCCTGTCTGAAACTGTCCGTCGTGCAGTGCGCGTCGATGGGCAGCTCGATCTCCGTGCGGAACTTTTCCAGACTCGGTGGCAAGTTCTCCGTGATGAACTTCGTGTCGTGCGGCAGCACGCTGTCCGTGCGGGCCGTCGCACGCGTCGGCAGCGGCATGTCCATTGCCAGCAGCGCCAAGATGGGTGCGCAGATGAGCGTGCTAGGCTTCGTGAGTTGCGCATCTTCACTGTCCATCCGCGCCACGTCGAGAATCGGTTCCCGGGCCTCGATCTTCGACATGCTCGCCCTCGGCAGTTCCATCTCCATCCGCGCGAAGGCCAGGATGGGCTCCGGCTGCTCGGTGGTTGGTGTCGCCAGACTGTCCGGTCGTCTGTCCGTCGCGAACTGCGCGTCGCTCGGCTCCAGCTTCTCGCTCCGTTCCGTCGGTAGGTTTGGAAGCAAGATCTCCATGCTGAACTTCTGCAGTGTCGGCTCCAGCTTCTCGCTGCGCCGCACCGCCAACCTGGGCAGCAACATGAGTCTGTTGGACATGGCGAACTACGGTTCCAGTCTGTCTGTCCGCCAGTTCGTCCGCGTTGGCAGCACCTTGTCGGTTCGCGGCACCACCTCGCTCGGTTCCGTGGCCAAGGTCAGCGTGATCGGCTTCTCGCATCTCGGCTCCACACTGTCGCTCCGCTGCGTCAGCAAGTTCGGCAAGGAGATGAGCATTTTGGATAGCGTCGCGCTCGGCTCCAGTCTGTCGCTCCGCTCCTACCTCCGGTGCGGATCTTCGGTGTCCATCTACACGTCTGCCTTGGGCGGCGGCAAGATGTCCGTCCTCGAACAGGTGCACCTGGGCTCGGTGCTGTCCGTCCGCGGAAGCACCCGGTTCGGATCCCGGTTGTCCATCTTCGACATGCTGAGCTGCGGCTCGCAACTCAGCGTCCGCGGGTTGACGAAACTGGGCAGTTCCGTCAGCGTGTCCGGCCTGGGCAAGTTCAACCAGATCACCGGAAAGGTTTCCGTCCTCGCCTGGATGGCGTGCAGCAGTAGCTTCTCGCTGCGCTCCTTCGCGAGACTGTCCTCGAATTTGTCGGTGCTGGACAACGTCGCGCTCGGCAGCAGCATGTCGTTGCGACACGTGTTCCGCCTCGGCTCCAACGCGTCGGTTCTCAACTACACGACCCTCGGCAGCGCGCTGTCCGTGCGTAGCAGTTCGAGACTCGGCTCCCGCATGTCCGTGTTGGACACGTTGAACCTCGCTTCCTCCATGTCGCTCCGTGCGGTCGTCAGGGTCGGCAGCGGAATCAGCATGGTCGGCCTTTGCGCCGCGGGATCGGTGTTGAAGTGCTCCGTGCTCAACACCGTCAGCCTCGGTTCCACCCTGTCTGTGCGGGCGTTCGCTCGGCTCTCGAGCAAAGCTTCGGTCCTGGACATGATGGCGCTCGGCAGCAGTGTGAGTTTGCGCAGCACGTGCAGGACGGGCGACAGACTGAGTGTGCTGAGCTACACCCAGATGGGCTCCGCATTGTCCATCCGCGCGGCGGTGCGGTTCGGCAGCAAGTTCTCCGTCCTCGACTGCCTCACGCTCGGCAGCTCGGTGTCGTTGCGGTCCTTCGTCCGTGTCGGCTCCGGTTTGTCCGCCCACGGCTTCACGGCGGTGGGCTCGTGCTTGAAGCTCTCCGTGATCAACTGCACGAACCTGGGCAGCAACTTGTCGGTCCGCATGCTCGCGAAGGTCGGATCCCGGGCTTCGGTCCTGGACTTCCTGCATTTGGCAACGTCCGTGTCGGTGCGCCACCTCTGCAGAATCGGTAGCTCCCTCTCGGTCGGTGGCCCGCAGGCAATCTTGCAGGCCCGGTTGAGCGTGCTGAACCAGGTCCACTGCGGTTCCGCACTGTCCGTGCGCTCGCACTTCCGCTCCGGCAGCATGTGCTCGATCATGAACTTCGTGAACCTCGGCTCCAGCTTGTCTGTGCGCACGTACGTTCGCATTGGCAGCGGCTGCAGCGCGGTCTCGCACGCAATGGTGCAGGGCAAGATCTCCGTGTTGAACTACGCGAATTTGAGCTCCGCGCTGTCCGTGCGATCGGCGGTGCGCATCGGCTCCCGGGCTTCGGTGCTGAACTTCTTGAACCTCGGCTCCAGCTTGTCGGTCCGCTCGTTCACGCGCTGCGGCTCTGACCTGTCTATCGCCGGCCAGTTCCGCTTCAGCGGTGGCTTGTCGGTCGCGGATGTGCTGACCATCGGCAGTTCCATGTCCGTCCGGTCCTTCAGTCGCATTGGCGGCAAGATGTCCGTGCTGAACTTCCTGCACCTCGGATCCACCTTGTCGGTCCGGACCATCGCCCGAGTCGGCAGTGCGGTGAGTGTCACGGGCGCGGGCAGGGTCGGCAACACCATGTCGATCGTGTCCCATGTGGAGATGGGTTCCGCCTTGTCCATTCGCGGCCTGATCCGCTGCGGCAGCAAGATGTCGGTCCTGGACTTCCTGTCGCTCGGCAGCACCTTGTCGCTCCGCGGCATGGTCAACTCGGGCAGCAAGATGTCGCTCGTCAACTTCGCGACCCTCGGCAGCGCGATCAGCGTCCGCACGCACGCGCGCTTCGGCTCGCGCGCCTCGGTGCTGGATTGCCTGGCGCTCGGGTCCGCCGTGTCCATGCGGTCCTTCGTCCGTGCGGGCAGCGCCCTCTCCGTGCGCGGATTGGTCGCGGCGGGATCCGTGTACAGGCTGTCCGTCATCGGCTGCACGCTTGCGGGCTCGGCCTTGTCCGTCCGCAGCACCAGCAGACTCGGCTCTCGCGCCTCCGTGCTGGACTGCCTCCACCTCGGTAGTTCGTTCAGCGTCCGCGCGATGTCCAGAATCGGCAGCGGCCTCAGCGTCGCGGGAACAGCCACTCTCGGCTCGCAGCTTTCCGTGCTCAGCTTCTCGACGGTCGGCTCCAGTTTGAGCGTCCGCAGCTCCTCTCGCTACGGCTCGCGGTGCAGCGTGCTCGACATGCTCAACCTCGGCTCCGTCGTCAGTGTCCGTGCCTTCACCAGAATCGGCTCCGGCGTCAGCGTGCAGGGCGCAGCCAAGTTCAACACGAACTTGAGCGTTCTGTCTTGCGCGCACCTCGGCTCCAGCTTCAGTCTCCGCAGCTTCGCCAGATTCGGCGACAAGACCTCCGTGCTGAGCTACGTGGCGTGCGGCAGCGCGTTGTCTGTGCGCAACACCTTCCGGTGCGGCACGACCTGCTCGGTTCTCAGCTTCGGCCACCTCGGTAGCGCCATCTCCGTCCGCGGAGTTGTCCGAAGTGGCTCGAAGGCCTCCGTCTTCGACTGCCTCAGCCTCGGATCGTCGTTGAGCATCCGCTCGGCGAGCCGAATCGGATCCTCTTGCAGCGTTCGTGGTTTGGTGAACGTGGGTTCCGTGCAGAACTTGTCGGTGGTCAACTTCATGCACGTCGGCAGCTCGCTGTCCGTCCGCAGCATGTCCAGGTTCGGTGGCTGCTTGTCCATTCTGGAGTTCACGCAGTGCGGCAGCGCGCTCTCGCTGCGTGGGGTCGCCAGAATTGGATCCAGCGTTTCCGCGGTCGGCGCGGGTAAGATCGGAGGAAAATTATCCGTGTTGCAGCAAGCCATGCTGGGCAGCGCTTTGTCCATCCGCGGGTTCGCTCGCGCGGGCAGCAGGGCGTCCGTACTCGACATGATGAATCTGGCCTCGACGATGAGCTTGCGTGCGGTTTGCCGCGCCGGCTCCTCGCTTTCCGTCGTCGGCAGGACACTCGGTATGGGCAACATGTCCGTGCTGAACGCCATGCACGTCGGGTCGTCCTTCAGTCTTCGGTCTATGGGACGCGTCGGCGGTGCCATGTCCGTGCTGGACTTCGTCGAACTCGGCTCATCGCTATCCGTCCGCGCCTTTGCTCGCTTCGGCTCCAGCTTCAGTGTGGCCGGGGATAGGGCCGTTCTGCAGACGAAGTTATCCGTGCTGAACTTTGCGACGCTCGGCTCCTCAGCCTCCGTGCGCGCGATCAGCCGGTGCGGATCCAGAATCTCCGTCCTGGACTACATGAACCTCGGTTCCTCGGTCTCGCTGCGTCAGTTCGCGCGGTTCGGTTCCGCTGTCTCCTGCGTGAAGGCCGCAAGGCTGGCTGGAAGCGCGTCGGTGCTGTCCTTCACGCAACTCGGCAGCAGCTTGTCGGTCCGCGGCATGGTCAGACTTGGCTCGAGACAGTCCGTCCTGGATTGCTTGACCCTCGGTAGCAGCGTGTCGGTGCGTGCCTTCACGAGACTCGGATCGACGTGCAGCGTCCGTGGTTTGGCGATGTGCGGCTCCATCAGCAGCCTCTCCGTGATCAACTTCGCCCACCTCAGCAGCAGCTTCAGCTTGCGGTCGCAGGCCCGGTTCGGCGATTGCATGAGCGTGATGGACTTCGTCCTGATCGGCTCCAACATGAGCGTCCGCGCCTACACGAGAATGGGCAGCAGTGTGTCCGTCTACCACAACATGATGGCCGGCGAGAAGCTCTCCGTGCTCAACAGCGTCAACCTCGGCTCGACGTTGTCCGTGCGCGGCATGGGCCGCCTGGGCAGCCGCGCCTCCGTGCTCGACTGCTTGGCGCTGGGATCGGCGTTGTCGCTGCGTGGTGTCGCGCGCTTCGGAAGCTCCGTCTCCGTTTCCGCCGGCAAGGCGTTCGCCCCGAAGCTGTCCGTCTTGAACCAGGTGTGCCTGGGCAGCAGCTTCTCGCTGCGCGGCCGGGCCCAGCTCGGCTCGCGTATGAGCATTCTGAACTGCGTTAGCCTCGGCTCGGCGCTCTCCATCCGCCAGTACAGCCGCCTCGGCAGCGGACTGTCGGTCAAGGGTTCGGGCAACATGAGTGGCAAGCTCTCCGCTCTGCAGTGCGCAAACCTCGGGTCTGCGCTGTCCGTCCGCGCTGCGACCAGACTCGGTAGTCGCGCGTCCGTGCTCGACATGCTGATGCTTGGGTCCACGCTCTCCGTCCGCGGCGTGACCAGACTCGGGTCCGCGGTCTCCGCCGCCGGCAGCGGTCGCGTCGGCCAGAGCTTCTCCACCTTGCAGTGGTCGGCCGTCGGCTCCGCGATTTCCGTCCGCGGTACCAGCCGACTGGGAAGTAGACTGTCGGTCTTCGACGTGTTTAACCTGGGCTCCACACTCTCCGTCCGCGCCTTCATCCGGTGCGGCAGCACGGTGAGTGTGGCGGGCCGCACAGCCATTGGCTCGTGCCTGCAGCTTTCCGTGGTCAACGCGATCCACATCGGGTCCACACTGTCGCTCCGCGCGAACATGAAGTTCGGCAGCGCCATGTCGGTTCTCGGCGTCACCAACGCCAGCAACAAGCTCAGCGTGCTGAACTGCGGCAACCTCGGCAGCGCGCTCTCCATCCGGGGAGTAAGCCGCTGCGGTTCGCGCGTTTCCGTGTTCGACTGCCTGCGACTCGGCAGCACCGTCAGCATTCGGTCCTTCACCCGGTGTGGTTCCTGCCTCTCTGTGCACGGTGCGGTGGCGATCTCCAGTCTGAACAAAGCGTCCATCGTGCAGTGGGCGCACCTCGGCTCGTCGCTCTCCGTCCGCGGGGTCGCGCGCCTCGGCAGCCGAGCAAGTGTGCTGGATTGCCTGAACCTCGGCTCATCGCTGTCCGTCCGCACCATGGCCCGCCTGGGCTCGAACGTGAGTTGCGTCAGCAATACGAAGGTCGGCGGGAAACTGTCTGTGCTGAACTTCTCGCACCTGGCCAGCTCCTGCTCGGTCCGCGCCATGGCGAGACTCGGGTCCCGCGCGTCCGTGCTGGACATGCTGAACCTCGGTTCCACCGTGTCCCTCCGGTCCTTCATCCGACTGGGTAGCAGTCTGTCGCTGGCCGGCGACACCGAGTTCGGCAGCCGTGTCAGTTTGTTCGAGCAGATCCACCTCGGGTCGTCTCTGTCCATCCGCGCGTCTATCCGGTGCGGCAGCCGGGCGTCCGTGCTTGACTGCTTCCAGATCGGCAGTGCCATCAGTGTCCGCTCCACGTCCAGAATCGGCAGCAGGGCCTCCGTGTTGAACTTCTTCCAGCTCGGGTCCGCTCTGTCCGTCCGGGCGATGATTAGGACCGGCAGTGGTATTTCCGTCCACAACACGCCCGTCGCCGGTCACAAACTCTCCCTGCTCAACGAAGTGCAGCTCGGGTCCACGCTCTCCGTCCGGTCCTTCATCCGCGCGGGCAGCAGCATCTCCGTGTTGGACGCCATCATGTGCTCGTCGAGCATCAGTCTCCGCGCGTCCGGCCGGTTCGGCAGCTACGCCTCGATCATGACGTTCTGCCAGGTCGGCAGCTCGCTGTCCGTCCGCAGCTTCTGTCAGATCGGTAGCTCGATGTCGGCGATTGGCTCCGGCCGCGTCGGCGGCAACTGCTCAATCTTGTCCTTCGTCAGGCTTGGCAGCTCGCTGTCCACCCGGTCCACCGCCAGGTTTGGCAGCAGGATGTCCGTCATGGATTGCTTGGCGCTGGGCAGCAGCGTGTCCCTGCGCGGGTTCAGCCGCGTCGGCCTTGGCTGCAGCGTGAAGGGCCTGCTCGCCTGCGGGTCCGCGCACGCCACCAGCGTGATCGGCTTCTTCAACCTCGCAAGTTCCCTGTCCGTCCGCGGTGTCACGAGGACCGGATCCAGGTGCAGCGTGCTGGACTTCTTGACGCTCGGCAGCTCCGTTTCCATCCGCAACTTCGCCCGCATCGGCTCGGGCGTCAGCGTCGGCGGCAAGGGCACCTTCCAGGGATCCTTTTCCTGCATCAGCCACGCGCAACTCGGCTCGGCGTTGTCCATCCGCGCGACCGCGCGGGTCGGCAGCCGGATGTCCGTGCTTGACATGCTCGGTCTGGGGTCCACCGTGTCCACGCGAACCATGGCTCGCTTCGGCTCCGGCCTGTCGGTCGTTAACGCCGCGAAGATTGGCGGCAAATTGAGCGTTCTGAACTTCACCGGTTGCGGTTCCGCGTTGTCCGTCCGAGGGTATGCGAAGTTCGGCAGCAAGGCATCCGTTGTGGACTTCGTGGCGCTCGGTAGCAGCATCTCGGTTCGCAGCTTCATGCGGGCGGGATCCAGCGTTTCCGCGTTCGGATCCACGCACGTCGCGCAAGGCAGAATGAGCGTGCAGAAGTTGTGCAACATCGGATCTGCACTTTCCGTCCGCGGTGCCATGCGGTTGGGCAGCCGTGCGTCCGTTTTGGATACGCTCGCGCTCGGCTCGTCCATCTCGGTCCGAGCCTTCAGTCGGTGCGGCAGCAGCGTGTCTGCCGTCGGCCTCGTCCGGGTCGGCAGCCTGCACATGGCGTCGGTGATTGGCGTCACGCACCTCGGGTCCAGCCTGTCCGTCCGCGGGGTCACCAGGTTCGGCTCCAAGATATCCGTGTTCGACTTCCTGCAGCTCGGCTCGTCCGTCTCGGTCCGACAGTTCGCGCGGTTCGCCAGCAGCGTGTCTGTCGCCGGACCCAGAGTGCGCGCCGCGGGCATGGCGTCCGTGCTCGACTTCTCGGTGCTGTCGAGTAGCATTTCCGTCCGGTCGTTCGGTCGACTGGGCGGGAAAGTCTCCGTCCTGGACATGGTTAGCCTCGGCTCCTCGCTCTCGGTGCGCACTTACTGCAGGATTGGGTCCAGCTGCAGCGTCATGTCCCACGTCCCGGGTGTGGGTGGAAGACTGTCTGTGCTCGAGCAGGCGACGCTGGGCTCCATGCTGTCCGTCCGCGCGTACGGGAAGGTCGGTTCGCGCATGTCGGTCCTCGACATGCTGGCGCTCGGCAGCTCGGTCTCGATCCGGCACTTCGCCAGAGTCGGCAGCAGCTGCAGCGTCAAAGGCTTGACCGCAGTTGGCTCTTGCCTGAAACTGTCCACCATCGGCTTCCTCAGTGCGGGCTCCAGCTTGTCCGTCCGCTCGGCTACCAAATTCGGCTCGCGCGCGTCCGTCTTGAACTTCCTGCAGCTCGGCTCCAGCATGTCCGTCCGGGGCATGCTCCGACTTGGCAGCGGCATGTCCGTCAAGGGCCTAAGCAACCTCGGCGGCGCGTTGTCCATCATCGAGCAGGCCACTATGGGTAGTTCCGTGTCGCTCCGCAACATGGCCAGACTCGCGGGCTCCGCCTCGATCATTGAATTCGCCGTCTGCGGCTCCGCGCTGTCCATGCGTGCGCTCTGCAGGATCGGCAGCAGCATGAGCGTGACGGGGGTGTCCAGCTTGGGGAACAGACTCTCCGTCCTCAAGTTCGCGACCTTGGGCTCCGCATTGTCCGTCCGCAGCATTGTCAGGTTCGGATCGAAGATGTCCACGCTGGACATGTTCCACCTCGGCTCCAGCATGTCCGTCCGGTCGTTCGTCCGGCTGGGCTCCGCGTACAGCATTTCCGGCAACCTGCGATTCGGATCCATGCACACCGTGTCCGTCGTGCACCACACGAGCCTCGGATCCACGCTGTCCGTCCGCGGCTTCGCGAAGGCGGGCAGCAGACTGAGCGTCCTCGACTTCCTGAACCTCGGCAGCAGCGTCTCGCTGCGCGCCATCACCAGAATGGGCTCTTCCTGCAGCGTGACCGGATCAGCGAACGTGATGAGCCAGATGAGCGTGCTGTCGCACGTCCACCTCGGCAGCACCCTGTCCTTCCGCGGCTTCGCGAAACTGTCCGGCGGCGCCTCCGTGTTGCAATTCACGGCGCTCGGCAGCGCGCTTTCCGTCAGAACGCACACCCGGTGCGGTTCGCGTGTCTCGGTGCTCGACTGCCTCCGACTCGGGAGCACGATTTCGCTCCGCGCCGCCACGCGGTTCGGTTCCGGAATCTCGGTCGCCGGGGTGGCGAACACGGGCAACAAGTTGTCCGTGCTGAACTGCGCGGCTTTGGGCTCAACGCTGTCCGTCCGCGGAGCCTCCCGGCTCGGCAGCCGCGCCTCCGTGATCGACTTCTTCAACATCGGTAGCGCGATCTCTATCCGCGCGGCCCTGCGCCTCGGCAGCGCGCTGTCCGTGGCGGCCGACAGCAGCATCGGCGGCACGATCTCGATCGTGAAGCTCACCAACGTCGGCAGCTCGCTCTCCGTCCGCGGAGTGTCGAGACTCGGCTCGCGCGTGTCCGTCATGGACTGCTTGACGCTCGGTAGTTCCCTGTCGATCCGCGCGGCCGTCCGCCTGGGCTCCAACCTGAGCTGCGTCGGCCGGTGCGCGATTGGCTCCATGCTGAACCTGTCGCTGAACCAGATCGCACACTTGGGCTCCACCCTGTCCGTCCGGGCGGCCACCCGATGCGGCAGCCGCATCTCCGTGATCGACTTCATGAGCCTGGGTTCCTCGCTGTCCCTCCGCGGCATGACGCGTCTCGGCTCCGGCGTTTCGGTGTCCAACGACGCGAAGTTGAAGGGAAGACTGTCGATCCAAGAGCAGCTGCACGCGGGCAGCAGTCTTTCCCTGCGTGGCGACTTTAGACTCGGTAGCAAGTTCTCCGCACTGTCCTACGCGCAATGCGGGTCGTCTCTGTCCGTCCGCGGGTCGAGCCGATTCGGGTCGCGCGCTTCGGTGTTCGACGTGCTGAACTTGGGTTCCACGCTGTCGTTGCGCAACATGATGAAGCTCGGGTCCACGGTGTCCACGTTCGGGGACATCGCCGCGGGCACGAAGGTGTCCATCCTGAACACGGTCTTCATGGGCTCCACCCTCTCGCTCCGCTGCGGGAGCAGGATGGGCAAGAGTTGCTCGGTCCTGCAGCACGTCAGCTGCGGCTCGGCCTTGTCGCTCCGCAACGTCGCCAGAATGGGCAGCAAGGCGAGTGTCCTCGCGTTCGTGAATTTGGGCAGCTCGCTGTCCCTCCGCAACAAGGTTACGGTCGGCAAGCAGGCATCCGTGCTGCGGTTCTGCCACCTGGGAAGCGGCCTGAGTATTCGCAACACACTGAGGATGGGGTCCCGATGCTCGGTCCTCGATCTGTGCCAGCTCGGCTCCACGATCAGCGTGCGCAGCAGCAGCCGGTGCGGCAGCAAGTTTTCTGTTCTCGACATGGTCAACCTCGGTTCCTCGATCTCCATCCGAGCCATCATCCGCATCGGCAGCGGCCTGTCCATCCAGGCGACCAACAACAGGATTGGCGGCCGGCTTTCCGTCACCGGAATGCTCCAGATGAGCAGTACGCTCTCGGTCCGCGCGACCAGCCGCATGGGCAGCCGCGCCAGCGTGCTTGACCTGCTGAACCTCGGCTCGTCCATGTCGGTCCGCAGCTTCTCGCGACTGGGATCCGCCATCTCCGTCCGCGGGCTAGTGTCCTTCGGCAGCATCACCAAGCTGTCCGTCATCGACGCAACGAACCTCGGTTCGTCGCTCTCCGTGCGGGGTATCGCTCGTATGGGCAGCCGGGCCTCGGTCCTAGACTGCCTGCAGTTGGGCTCCTCGATGAGCTTGCGCACCAATGCCTACTTCGGATCCAGAGCCAGCGTCCTGCAGTTCATGCATGTACGTTATTTTTTCAAGAGATAGAGAACTACGTAGATCTTTTACCCTTATGCTTATTCGCCGACTGTACCTAGCATTTAGCTTTCTTGTCCTCCTTTAGCTTTATCTTGATCATGAATGAAGCAAAAGCGTACAATTTTCAAAAATGAAACTCCAAACAGATCGGCTCCACGTTGTCTCTCCGGTCGCAATCGCGTATCGGCGGCAGCACGTCGATGTTGCAGTTCTGCCAGCTCGGGTCCGCCCTCTCCGTCCGCAGCCAGAGTCGGCTGGGCAGCCGGGTTTCCGTCCTGGACTTCCTCGGCCTGGGCTCCTCGGTGAGTGTGCGAGCGATGATCCGGTCCGGTAGTTCGCTCTCCGTGAAGGGCAACGTGCGGTTCTCCGGCGAATCGGGCCTGTCTATCCTCGGACAGCTGCAGACCGGCTCCGCGCTGTCGCTGCGCAGCTTCAGCCGCATGGGCTCCAACTGCTCCATCCTGGACTACGCCTTTCTAGGCAGCACGATCAGTGTGCGGTCCTTCCTCCGCGTCGGCTCCGCGCTCTCGGTGAAGGGCCTGGTCGCGGTGGGCAGCTGCAACCGACTCTCCGTGATGGGAATCACGAACTGCGGATCCGCGCTCTCCGTGCGTGCAGTCAGCAGATTGTCGTCGCGGTTGTCCGTGCTCGACCTGCTCAGCTGCGGATCGGCACTGTCCGTGCGTGGTCACACGCGCTTCGGCAGTTGCATTTCCGTGCTGGACTTCGTCAATCTAGGTATACTTACTTGCGTAAAATGAGTTTTTCGTTCCTGTTTCACTTGGTTGATGTACGCGATTTCATCTTTCACATTTGAACATCGGACTGATTTTCTTGTACTCATCTGGTATTTCCGCTACCCTGTTCCGTATCAAAATCAATACGCAAACTACTTCCAATCAACTCCAACAGGATCCGCAATGTCGATGCGTGCGTACTTCCGTTGCGGCAGCGGCCTCAGCGTGTACGGTCCGACCAACGTGGGCAACAAGTTCTCCGTTTTGGAAACAGCGAAACTCGGGTCGTCGCTGTCCATCCGGGGCATCAGCCGCTTCGGCTCGCGGGTGTCGCTGGTGGACTTCTTGAACCTTGGTTCCTCCGTGTCCATCCGGTCGTACAGCCGGCTGAACAGCGGCATTTCCGTGCGCGGGTTGGTCAACGTCGGCTCCATCCACGCGGCGTCTGTGATGAACTTCCTGACCGCGGGAAGCTCGCTCTCGGTCCGGTGCCACTCCCGGTTCGGCTCCAAGATGAGCGTCCTGGATATGCTCAACCTGGGCTCGGCCTTGTCCGTCCGTGGCATCAGCCGGCTCGGCTCAAGGCAGTCCGTCTTCGACATGTTTGCCCTGGGCAGCAGCTTCAGCATCCGCAGCTTCAGCCGCCTGGGCAGTGGGTTGTCCGTGGCGGGCGACGTGAACACCAAGGGCATGACCTCGATCCTCGGCTTCCTGCAGACCGGCAGCAGCCTGTCCATCCGCACGCACGTCCGGTTCGGCAGCCGCATGTCCGTGCTGGATGCCACGTGCCTTGGCTCCTCGATCTCCGTGCGCGCGTTCCTCCGGCTAGGCTCCGCCTGCTCCGTCAAGGGCATCGCGCACATTGGCAGCATCTACCAGGCGTCCGTGATCAACCAGATCCACGTTGGCTCCAGCCTGTCCGTCCGCGGACGCACGCAGTTCGGCAGCCGAATGTCCGTGTTGCTCTTCGTCAACCTCGGTAGCGGCTTGAGCGTCAGGAACACACTCAGGCTCGGCTCCAGGGCGTCCGTCTGCGACTGCTTCGCGCTCGGTAAAATTTGTTTGGTTTTTGTGATTCTTGCTGATGTTGTCAACATAGTCTTGATTAGAGATGACTTGGGAGCACGAAGATGAACATATTGACAATGCAATTAAGATTCTCATCAATGTTTCACAATCCCAACAAAAAATCCCAGGCTCGTCGCTCTCGTTCCGTTCCGCGGTTCGGTTCGGTAGCAGCATGTCGATCGTGGGCAAGATGGTCGGCAGCAGCAAGTTGTCCGTGATCGAGCAGGTGAACTTCGGTTCTACCTTCTCTATCCGTAGCTTCATGCGGTGCGGTTCGTCGCTCTCGCTGTACGGCAACCTGGTCGGAGGCAAGGTCGGAACGCCATACTCCATCTACGCCGCCGCCACCATCGGCAGCTCCTTCAGCTGCAGGGCGTTTGCAAGGTACAAGACAACTTGATGTTGAGTAGAACAGAAGGTTGATGATAGATTTGCGTCGTTCCTTTTATGTTGCTCACTGCGGAATGAAGTTGATGAATGTTGAATTTGCATACGAGTCCTTTCATGAACAACTTTCCATGTAAAACAATGAAAAAAACAGACTCGGCTCGGCAGTGTCCATGTTCGCTAACCTCCGGGTGGGCGGCAATTTGAGCACTCTCGAGCACGCGGAGATTGGCTCGTCCATCAGCGTCAGAGGAATTGCACGCCTGGGAAGCAGAGCATCCGTGCTGGATTGCTTGATGCTCGGTACAACTATTTTTGTGTGTTTCTGAAGTGAGGTTTCGCTTTTCAAATGCCTGAACTTTGGTGACAGCTTGATTCACACGGGCCTTTTTTTCCATAATACATGAAAACACCTTGCAAAAAACATCAAACACTTTATCAGGCTCCTCGATCTCTGTCCGCGCGTTCATCCGCGCCGGATCCGGTCTTTCCGTGAAGGGCCTGACCCAGTGCGGAAGCAGCTTCCAGATGTCCGTCCTGCAGTGGGTCAAGCTCGGGTCCTCCTTGTCGGTCCGCTCCGTCTCCCGCCTCGGTAGCAAGGCCTCCGTGCTGAACTTCGTGGCGCTCGGCAGCGCGCTGTCGGTGCGGTCCAAGACCTGCTTCGGCAGCCGCATGTCCGTGCTCGACACTTTGAACCTCGGTTCGGCGTTGTCGCTCCGTCGGTCGATGAAGATGGGCGAATCTTTGTCCGTGCTGCAGTTCTGCCACCTGGGTAGCAGCCTCAGCGTGCGCAGCACCGGCCGCATCGGAAGTCGCGCCAGCGTGGTGGACTTCTTGACACTTGGTACTTACATATTTTCACGACTTTTTATTCGATCTTGTTGTCTGTTCCATTCAGTTTATTTGGTTTTCCACCATCGAGTCTATGAGTAGAACCTCCACCCCGTATGCGGACTACAGAAAGCGTCACAAATGAAAAGCAAACAACATCGCAAATGTTCAAATCTCGGAATCTCTGCAGGTTCCTCTTGCTCTGTGCGTGGACACGGAAGACTGGCAGGCAACATGAGCATCTTCTCCTTCGTCCAGATGGGTAGCAGCTTGTCGGTGCGATCCGCATCCAGATTCAGCTCGCGGTGCAGTGTCCTAGACACCATGGCGCTCGGCTCCTCCTTGAGCTTGAGGTAAAAATGTTGTGAATTTATTTTGGCAATTGTGAATAAGCGAAAACGATATTTGCTTCTTTTTGTCATTTGTTTTCCAATGCCAATGCTTCTGTTTCCTCAGCCTTACGAAATAAGAACAAGTGCCACTGTAATACACAACGAAACTGTTGAATCTACCTTCTTACAACACTCAAAAACAGGGCTGCGGTGCGCCTCGGCTCCTCTTGCTCCGCGTACGGCAGTACCATCTGCTCGAACGCGAGGATATCCGTGACCGGCCTGGCGAATGTCGGTTCCGCCTTGTCCGTCCGCGGCGTAACGCGCTTCGGCTCCCGCGTCAGTATCCTGGACATGTTGAACATCGGTAGCAGCGTGTCCGTCCGTGCGGCGGTTCGCTGCGGCAGCAGTTTGTCGGTGATCGGCCGAGCCGCGGTTGGCAGCTGTCTGAAGGCCAGCGTGATCAACTGGGCAACATTGGGAAGCGCCTTGAGCGTCAGGTAAAGTTTAGAGTCGAGTTTTTTGCTTTGTTGGCTTACATACTACTAATTTTCTTGTGATTGTGTTTTATTTAGTGCACGAGCATGATAAAAAGGGAGGTGCATGACAACAAACAACTATGCAACATTAAAACCAATTCGATAATCACAGGTCGCATTCGCGTCTTGGATCACGCGTGTCCGTTCTGGATATGCTCCGGCTCGGAAGTTCCGTTTCCTTGCGGTCCATTTGCCGCACTGGCTCCGGCATGTCCATCTTCGCGAACTGCAGGGTAGGAAGCAGTTGCAGTGTGCTGGGCTGTCTGACCGTCGGTAGCGCGTTGTCCATCCGAAACTCGATACGGTTCGGCGGCAAGATGAGTGTTCTGGAATTCACCCAGCTCGGCTCCTCGCTGTCCCTCCGCGGCTTCGCCAGAATCGGCTCCAGCTGCAGCTTGGTCAGCAACGCCAGAATCGGAGATCACTGCTCGGTATGGACTTTGTTTGGGGAGAGTGATCAAAGTTTGATGCATAGTCGGGTCTTTTTCTACCATGACTTTTGCGATGAAATGAAGACCAGCAGCGCATTACTTATCAAATGAAAACCATTCCCAATGACAAACCAATCAAAACAAAACAGGTTGTCTCGCATTCGCATCTCGCCTCGTCAATTTCCGTCCGTGGAATTGCCCGGCTGGGATCAAGAGCGAGCGTCCTGGACATGATGATGCTGGGCTCGACCCTTTCCGTGCGTAGCTGCGTGCGCGTCGGCAGCTCACTGTCTGTCGCAGGCAACACGAGATTTGGCACCTGCTCGCAATTGAGCGTGTACAGCTACCTCACCGCGGGAAGCAGCATCAGCGTCCGCTCACATGCGAGGTAATAATACTACCTGAATGGATGATTTTGATGAAGCAATACACCAATTTTGGTGCTATTCTGCTGCAGCTTTTGAGATGAGAGGCCGTGCTTATTTTGACGGATTTTCTTCCACTTCATGTTTGTATGATGCTAACAACACAAGAAACTCAAAACTAAATCTAAATTCAAACGTCACCGCCCATGAATCACAGACTCGGCTCCCGCGTGTCCATCCTGAACATGCTGGCCCTCGGGTCCTCCATGTCCGTCCGCGGCGTGATGCGGTGCGGCTCCGCGCTGTCGGTGCAGGGTAACCTGCGATCCGGCCCAAGCCGATTCTCCGCGTACGGTGCGGTGCAGATCGGCTCTTCGCTCTCCGTCCGCGGCTACACGAAGTTCGGCTCGCGGGTGTCCATCCTCGACGCGGTTTCCCTCGGCTCCTGCTTGTCCATCCGGGCGTACGGCAGAATGGGCTCCGGCTTGTCCGTCGCGGGCAGCTTCAACGCGGCGGCGGCTACCCGACTGTCCATCACCAGTGGCGTCCACATCGGCTCCACACTGTCGATGCGCTCCTTCACGCGCCTGGGCAGCAACGTGTCCGTGATCAACTTCGCCAGCGTCGGGAGTTCGTTCTCCATGCGGTCCTTCAGCAGGTTAGGCGGCAACATCTCCGTGCTGGACTTCTCCAACATGGGCTCGGCGCTGTCCGTGCGCTCGTTCGCGAGACTCGGCAGCGGCTTGTCCGCCAAGGGCAGCGTCCGGATTGACAGCACGCTGTATGTCGGCGATGCGGCCATCACCAGTGACAACTCCGGGAACCCGACCATGAAACTCTACCCGTACAAGACCAGCAGTGTGGCCAACAAGGCGGTATTTTATTTTCAGGATAGTTTGCTTTTTGAAATGATTTTGGTTCTTTTGGGTTAGATTTCATCCAGCAGCACTCTAAGATTAGAATTTCTCGTACTGTTCATACATTCAAGCCAAATGCGCACTTCTAATGCGAATCCGACAAATTGAAAACAGGGTATCACCATGGTCTACTCGGGTGGGGCAGTCGCCGGTACGCTCCACGGCACCTGGTCCGCAGACAACGCGGTGACTTCCTCCGATAAGAGGCGGAAGCGCGACATTGCGCCGCTGTACCAGGAGTTGCTGAAAGTGGCACCAAGGAACGAGAAGGCGCTGGCTCTGATGGAGCAAGGTAATTGCAAAACTGATTTTTTGCTGTTTTTGTCATGTAGAAAGCTCTTCAGTAGAATTTCAACGAAGTTCCGTTAGGCATGCAGAATTCGTTTTACTAGAAAAGGAAACGATCTCCAAAATCATCCCCAAAATGCTTATCCCACAAATAAAACTCAGGTCGCGTTGCCGACGCTAAGGATGCCACGATCATCCAAGTGCTGCAAGAGCTCCGGCCTGTTAGCTACAAGTACAAGCGTGCTTCGGAGTCGAAGTACAGCCGGTACGGGTTCATCGCGCAGGAGATCGAAGAAGTGCTGCCGAACATGGTGGTGAAGTCCGAACAGGACGGCATGCTGCAACTGCGCCTGGACGACCTGATCGCGGTGCTCACACTCGGTATCCAGTCCCTGGACAGCCGCGTGTGGCAGCTCGACGAGAAGTTGACTACGATCGACATCAAGGTCGAGGAGAACTACGAGAAGTTGACCGATAGGATGAAGACCATCGAGACCATGATCCGGAAGGTGCTGATCGGCAAAAAGAACAAGGAGATAATGTTGGCATCGAATGCTGTCAACGCCACCGCGGATAGTAATTCTGCAGCGATCGCAGCACACGAGCAAGTGATTGCACAGCAGCAGGTCAGCGTCGAAAGCACAATTGTGAACGGGGTTCAAGTGACAAAGACGTCAAACACGACGGTCATTCTGAACGACACGAATCTAACCGTGCTCAACGCGACTATGGTCGAGATCTTCGGATAAAAAAATAGTAGCTAGTAGTAGAGAAAAAAATTGAAAAAAAAGCGCTCCGATGGAGAGTCGCTTCGGAAATTGAAAAACCGTTGTACTGGAAAGTAATAGAAACAGTGTCACAAGCAGATTACAGCAAGAATTTGTACCGAAAAATCAGACTTTGATACCGTTGTGAATAATATCAGACGGAAAAGAATTTCTATCAGAAGTACGAAACAGCAAATATTGCTATTCCTTGACGAATAGGAAATTAACACGCTATGACAAAAAGTGTCACTTCACTTTGAATAACAACTTCTAGCAACAAGATTCAGCTTTATCGAGGAGAGATGAAGATTTACTTTTTCGATTTACTTTCGCGCAGATAATATCAGATTGGAATAATTTTATCAAAAACAGTATCAACACTAAGAAATATGAAAGGTTTAACAATGTCGCCTGTCTTGTCTGAAAAATGTTGTTGTTTGCATGAAATATTCTTCACCTGAAATAAGATATTCTTCTATCGACACGTGCCCGTCTTCCTGCGGGACACAAATCTTTATAATGTTTCTTTTCTTGCACAGAACAAAAAATTTCGGAAGCTACCAGGCTAGAATTTTCTATGTCTGGTAACCTTCAAGGAAATTAGGCTGGCTATTTGAATTGGTAAGTACGAGGTACAAATATCATCACAATTGCTAATGCTAGTTTTGCCTGGATATTCTTCTCATGATATCCGGTCAAAAACTACTACCGATTTTTATACTTCTTCATACAAAAAAGAAAAGAAATTGTCTACAAGGCTACAAAACAGTTTCGATAGAACTTATCGCTACGAAAGTAAAGCGCACACAGCAGGAGAATAGAACACATCTTGCTCTTGCAAAAGCGAAAGTGGAACAGAGGAAATTTATCCGCTATGGGTGTTGAAAATAATGGCTAGAAATCAAACCTTTCTGGATTCATCAAGGCCGAAACACATTCTCCGAGACCGTCCACCTCGGAGCTTGTTTTTTGCGTTTTTGATCTTCAGGAAAAAACATCGCACTAGAATAGAAACTTTTTTCGAGTTTAGTCCAGGCTCGCTCTTTCTGTCCTGACGTCCATTTTCAGGGGTAGATAGAGTCTGAGCAGTAAGACAAACATCGAAATCGCCACTTTGGAAGAACTTCTAGCTCAGGATGCCCGCGGTAGTCGAAGACAACAGAAGAAATATTTTCGCAATTCAAGGCAACGACACAGCAGCTGGTGCGTATGAATTTCCAAACAGTTCTTTATCTCAGACAAAAAGCATCAAAGTATTTTCTTCTCGACAAATTCGCAAAAATAGCTGGTACTATTTCTATTTTCTATTACCTATGAACAGGTTTCGAATGGTTACGATTTGATTTCTATTGCATTACACTAATCTCTTGAAAGTTTTAGATCTATCTATCAAAACCAAATCACCTCCAAGGTAGGTGGAATAGCAAGGGCGATTGCTGACTACCTGGGTGAAATTATCACTAGTTAAATTGCTACTATCATGATCTATTGTTTGATTTATGAAAACAGTCGAAAAATCAGTATTTGACGCAGATTTTCTACCGATAAATTGCTCTTGCCTCTCGGAAGGTTTACACAGCAAGTTTAGCGTCGCCAGTATCTACCAATATTTCGTGTCTACTAACTTCGCCTCACTTTTTTTTCTTTGGTGTCAGAATTTGGTACACGAAATCATTCCTACCTCTAAATAACAGTTTCACCTCAAGAATCAATCAAGCACGAATCAGATGTCGATAAAAATTTGAAGTCTCGAAACTCAAAGCTCTATCTGTAAAAGCGTAAGCGTTCAAAAAAAAGGCGAACCAAGGCCGTTGGGGCTTTTTTTGCGATTGCGTCGTGATAATTGGCGCTCTTTTGATTTGCTGTGCCTTAGTCGTGTTCCTCTTTTCTCCTAGTTCAAGATCCGGCGATCATTGCGTGCTCGTCACCGAGAAAGCAAACCAAACACAAAGTGGCCCACATTGTGGAGAGGTTGAGCACCCCCCAAAAATCGTCATCGTATCTACACTCGAAGCATCATCTTCGTCGTCGGCAGTATAGCAGATATGATTCGTCTGTTCGTTTAATATGTTTTCACTATACAAAATGATTGCTCTACGCATTTTTCCTCTCGGGATTTTTCAACGATCCACTCAGATTACAAGGGAATATTACGAGTCCGAGTCGGATGAAGTCATGTTCAGGTATGTTCGTGGGATTGGTAGCGAAAAAAAGTCGTCTTCAAGTGATTTTTCCGGTTCGTTGGGGACGTAAAAATGACATCGAGCAATCGGGTTCCTTATCCGTCGAACGAGGAGCCCTCTAGATAGCAGAGCTCCAGGTCAAGACTTATCTTCCAGTTTGATGAGTAGTTCTTCATCGACACACACTTGTGCACAGCGCTTCTACTACAATTTTTTCTCCTTGGAAAATATGAATAAAGTAAGAAGATGAAACTACACTAGAACAAATAATAAAGGTAGAGTAACAATATATACAAACGAGTAAAAAAAAGTAGAAAAACAACCATGCCGGAACACGGCCTATGATCTTCCTACTTAGTTCAACCACCGGGAGAGTGAAGCTCAGGCTTGTCTTCCTACTTTGATATGGGAGAATAATACCACGACGTGGAGTTGGCGGAGAGCCGTGTGGCCTGACGACCACCAGACGACCGCGGCAATACCGTCAGTACCGTCGCGAATCATTTGTGCGTTGGTGCAACTGAATAGATAAGGTTTGTTTATTATACTGCTTGCTGTGATCTTGAGTGGCTTCATCGTGCGGCTCGCACGACAGTGAACACCCAATTTATCGTCTATTTTGCTCGTGGAAGCCACGAAGTAGATGACTGAAAAGCATTACGTTCTAAAAACAAATCTGAGGTGTTGGCTTTGTTCCGCTCGTCGGGAGCTTGAAGGTTCAGCAACCAACAATAGCGTGGGCGCTAATAGCATTAGCGAGGAGCCGGACTTCTCTGAAGACAACCGGTATATTCCTGGTCTCCAGACTTTTTTTTTGTGCATGTGATTAACAGGAATTTTAAACAAGAAGAAGAAAATGCGTGCCAACGCCTGATGCTTATATATTTTTGCGACATCCACAATATCAATATTATTCCTGCCAGTTTCCTCTTTTCGTAACAGGTTCGACGAGGTCTCCTTCGTTTCGCAACAACCGCATCAGTATTCCAAACTCGAATCATTGGTCGTAAGCCGCGCAGCCTGGCGACTCAACGATCGTAGGACTGGCTGGGTATTGTCATTCCATGCTGCTTCTTCACTATTTCAAATGTAAGTAAAGGTGCTGGTGATACAGGTGGTGCTGCAACACATTGAATAGCAAGCCCATCGCATCGAATTATGACATCAAATCTAATCGTTTTCGAAAACAAAACACAGGCTTGCGTCCTTCTTGCCAAAGGCCTGCGCAGCAACTTACAAGGAAGGAGGGCGACATCTACTTTCCGATCCGGTAAAATATGATCTCTCTGCAAAGAGCACTTGTTTTGTTTTCCAGCAGGTTTTTGCACTCTCTTTGAGGTTTTGCACGCAAAACAAGCAAATGCATCAATTCAATAAATGAAAGATCGTCCACCCCTGCGGTAGAATTGCTTTTTTGTGGCAGCGATGATGGCGGCTGCGGGATCTCCATGTAAAGATAGTTCGGCCCCGGTTCGCAGCTCGCTAGCCTTGCGACAAGTTTTCCGAAAAGACGTTCATCCAACGCAGCGGACGGCAGCCTCGAGAACTACTACAAACGAAGACGCGACTTCTACAGTCCAGGACCAAACCGTGGCCCGTGGGGTATAGAGATTTTTTTGCAAAGCAGAAGAAGGATATTGATGTTGTGTTTCTCTTTTTTCTTTTCGTTTGTTGCTGCCACTTCTGGAGTTGCTCAGATTGGCAAGTAGTCTATCGCGGTTTACATGTTCAACATTACAACATTAGGTTATGGTTGCATGTCTATACTCTTTTGGCTTCGTCAGAAAAAATAAAAAGCAAAACCACACACACACAGCAGTCCGAGCTGCATCGTGAGCAAGTTGGTGCATCTACGGACAAGAGTATCCGCCCCCCCCCCCACCCACCCCCATCCACCGACGGGTCGCGCTGTAGTGCTGAGCCCCGTTCCGTCACGCAGACCCGGGAGGAACGTGAACTATCGCCGTAAAATTACCAACGGGCGCAATAATCACTGTACCGACAACTGTCTCCGTCTAACCGCTTTGGCTGGAGCTTTTGACAACGCCGCAGACTTCCCCGCTGTTGGTGTACTCGCTGTGAAGGAGCGAGAAAATAATCAGCGGCACTTCCGCGGGGTGTCCGACGCTGTTGATCCGGCAACATCAACTTCGGAGTTACAAGCTGTTTCCCACGACGGCGAACAGCACGAGTTTGCTGACGAGCAGACCGAGGGGAACTCGAATGCCGCCCCGAAAGATGGTTCCGGGTCACCTTCGCCACCGCGACAGCTGGCCCCACAATCTGGAGAAAGTATGTCAGCTACACCAACAACACTGTCGACTTTGGCGCAGCGTTTCCGCGAGCTGGATTCCAACGGTGATCACATTCTGTCAACCGCAGACGCGGACGTGACTGAACATGACCTGCAGAGTCTGCGCGCTGCGGCGAGTAGTGCCGGTTTACCAGCAGTGAGCACCTCTGGGACCTCCGAGGACCACGATAAGCTGGCGTCTGATGCGGAAAAGGTACTCTTCTCTCAGCCACAGAATTCCATCATGAAGTTTCGCGCGCCCGAATATGTAGAAACGAATACCTCCAGGAGAGCGAATTATTCATATGTAAGCAAGAATAAGAAGCTCGTAACTAAAAGAACTTCGCTCACCGACAGGCCAAGGGCATTTCTTTCGGCGAGTTTGTGGACGGCTGCACGGTGGCTCTCGCCGCGGCGGAGTCGAAGGAGGAAGATGCGAAAGCGCATGCGAACCCGGCAGGGGCAACATCCGCCTCGTCCCCCGCAGAAGGAATGAAGGAATCCGTGGACGGCGAGAACAGGCCACGCGAGCAGGTGCTGCACCAATCGCAATCCGCATCGCTTCTCCAGGTGAGAAAAGATAAAGAAGCGATGTCGGTCTTTGGTTTGACCACAATGTGCTGCGATGTATCAATGGGGAATAACATTAGTAGTTGCGGAAGCCCGAGGAGTTCCGTCAGTGGCAGCACAATGACTTCAAGGAGTTCACTAAGCATACCCACAGCGATGTCAACGTCCCGTAAAGCTGCAAGCTCGAAAGCTGGTGCCTCGCTTCCTCCTACCGCGGAGCAGAAAGCTCTTCCTCCTTCGGAGCAGAAACCACGGGAACGGGATTGGTGGGATAGTTTTATCGACCGCGGATAGAAGACTTCGTTTCTTCTTGTTCAGCTTCAACTTCATCCTCTTTTCACGACAATGCTCGTGTAATGTGGACGAGCAGCAGCAGCTTCCCACGCATGCGATAATGAGACTGAGAGGTCGTAGGAGGGAACTCTAACGCGACAACGCCGAAAAGAACACATGACTCAGAGCAATTCTTTTGCTTCTTGTTCCCAGACTTGAACTTGTACATTTTAGTTTATTTCATCCAATCATCAACCCGAAGCCGTGGTGATAGACGAACAGTGCTCCCAGTGAAAATGTGGATCAGCGATAAAAAAGGCTGCGCTTGTGAAGTTGAGCACCGCGGTGAATGAAGGTATTAAAAACTATTCAGTTATCACAGTTTCTCGAAGATGTGTACTTAGCATCAGGAAGATAGTCGTCATGAACTACTCAGTGATTTTCTCTACTGGATGCAGCCCCCCAGCTGCTGCAGCTGCAGACGTGATTGGATATGTTTCAAACAGAGCAACAGGAGCTTGAACTTGTAGTTTGAGAAGCCTCCTTATGTCAAGAATCATGGACAGCTACAGGTACAGACTTTGAATTATTTCAGCAAAAGGATTGTTTTATCTTCGTGATACGCAAAATAAAGTCAGTTTCACTTTCACGCACGAACCGGTCGTGGATGAAAATCATGCAGTTTGATGCAGTTGCTCTGAGAGACAGGAAAAATTTGAAGTTTCGAATTTCAGAGTTAGAGTTTTATCTGTAAGAGCAGCACCGTTGGAAATAGTGCAACCAAGTAAAGCTATTGGGGTTCATCTTTTCTTCGCTGGTGTTGGTGTCGCGGTGTTAGTTGGCGTGGTTCTTTTTGTGTTGGTTTTCTCGTGTTTCTGTTTGCATCCAGTTCTTTGCACCGGTAATTTTGGCCGAGGAAAAACGATCTTATCTAATAGAATAGAATTAGAAATCTGAGACTGAGGTCTCCCCTGATCGTTCGTGGCATCCATCTCGATCTCCCGCTGCAATTTATATCAACATTTTCTTTTCAAACTCAAATCAATATGGATCACGCGCGCTTGGGATCCTTTTGATGTGAAGGTGACAAAAGTCATATAGCTTATGTTTGCTTCAACTAGTGCCTCTGCCTGCGTCCATGTGGTTGTAATTATTGCTTGCACTCGACAGGGACACCCACTTTCTACAGATTTTACTCTTGCTGAAAGAAATATTCCTCCGGAAGAAAACATGTTCAACGGAACGAACATCCTCGTCATGATAAAGGCCGCACAGGTCCTGGAACACCGTGTGCGCGAGAGCGCAGACACTTGGATGCAAGATTTCGTGTTGGAGGATGCTGGCATGGCTGGGACACCTGTAAAAATGGAGGAGCACGGTGTCCACTCCGCGGCTGCCGGAGTATCAACTGCGTCACCATTTTCTTCTTCAAGCGTCGTCCTTTCCACCGACGAGCCGCTATTTTCCATCGAAGCCCCGCACGAGCAGCTGATCTCCCCAAGCTGGCCGAACGGCACCGAGCGGGTAATTCGGCGGTTCTGCCAACAGAACAGCCTGTGCTACCGCTACCAAGTGGCGTGCTGGTCGCATCTCTGGAACTTCTTCGAGGTGATTCAGAAGTACTTTGTCACAATCATAGCACCGTCGTTCAACTGGCTTTTGGTAGTCGATGACGACACCTACGTTTTCCGTAAACCGCTGGAAGAAATGGTGGGGAAAATGGAGGGGAACTACGTTTCGTTGGCAGGAAGAAAACCAAGAACAGCAACTACACCCTCCATTTCATCCGAAACAACCACTTTTCATCAAATCTACGCCGGGTCCCTCCAGGGCACGCGGACGCCGCTCGTGAAGCAAATCGCCTCTACAGCAGCGGGGGCGCTGTTTTCCAGAGACCTGCTGCTAGCGATTTTCGAGAAGTGGAAGGAGAAAGTCAACGGCGAGAAGCATCTTCACGAAGAACAGATCCTGCACGTTTGCAGGGCGTACGGACAGGGGGACGACACGGCGATGGGTGGCTTGGCGTTGCAATTCGCAAATCTCACTGGGTTGCCAAATATGCACCGGACCTGTCCTCCGGAGGGCAGAGAGAAAGAGTTGGTGAGGGAAAAGAGCCGCTACGAAGAAAACGGGGTGGAGCGCTTGAGTATAGATCGAAGCCTATCCTTCGGTTGGGCTCCCGCCACTGCGCATTGCTGCTTGCGGACGCAAACGGTGAACCAGTTTTGGAAAGAAGCGGAACTTTTGGAGGCGGGACGGAGCAAGAATCGGAAGCACGGGGTCCTGGAGAAAGGGAAGAAGCTGAACTGTTGGCAGAAATGGAGGCAGTTTCAATCAAAGTACGGTTTGTTGTAAAAACAGCAAATAAGAAATTTAGAGAGCTAAACATTCAAAGTTGATGTACTTCGGCGTCAATTTGTTACAGTGACGGGGTGCGAGAAAACAAGCGCGCCTGCTGCTGCCTGTATGATTTTTGTTGTGTCGTGTGTCTATGGTCGCACCGTACTACTTCAGTATCGAAATCGAATTGCTCGACGCAAAATAAAGATTTTGTAGAAGCCAACATGTTCATCTTTCAGGTCACGTCATTGTTGTGCCTGAAGCATTCGCTTCGCTGCTCTTCGACATTGTCGAGGGCATTGATACGCTCTAATGATCGTCCTGCACTTTTCAGAATTTTGACGAGGCACAAGCAACTGGTAGCACGATTCGGTCACACTAGCAAAAATAACAAGACGTCGGTCCGAGCATTTTACGCGTCGTGCTTGAATGTTGAAGTCAATGGCAGTCGTGGAAAAGAGTTAGAGTTTGAACTGCCAGATCGGTCTGCGTGCAACAGCAAAAAACGTCCAAAGCCGTTTCGGTTCATCATATCGAGCATCGTATTCGTACAATTACCGTCGTGCAAACAAAGATTTTCATTTTTGCTATGAATGATGTCTGATTCTTGGAAGTCTTTTCGTCATCGTCCTCAACACATTTTCGTATCCATCGTACAGCGTCTCCTTATCGACAACGAACTACTCCCCGCCGAATATTTGTTTCTAAAACATTTTCAACGACGTCGCTGTATCGCCCGTGAAGTTTCAATCTCTCAGCAAAGAAGCCATGTCGCATGCAGACAAAGCGCCTCATTACAGCCCTTGGATCGGGCTCGATGGGGAAGATGGCAGAGACACTTCCGTGCTCGTCTTCCAGCCGGCGCTGCAGCCCGGAGGAGCGAACGTGCTCAACCGCGTCGCCGTTGGGAACGGCACGGTGCTGAGTCAGTATCAACTGTGTGTACTGGAGAGCAAAAAGACTGATGGGAACAAGGCGGGGAACAAGCAAGCAAGCTATCCCGAGCTGGTGAATCTGGTTCCGCACACGGTGTTGCAGAAGCCTCGTACTGGCGGTTCAAAAGGGAAAGCAGCCGGCTACAACAGCCAGGTTGCCCCACTATCAGCTGAAGCCGACAACATGTCATTAGGAGCAGGTACCAGCACGACTCCAACAACGACGTTGCTCTGTACACCAGCGCCCAGCCTCCCGACCCAGCAGCAGTCGCAGCGCGTCACGCATCAGCAGAACATGCAAAACTCAAAAACTCTCTATATCGTCAACCTTCCGACGGATGGCGACAAGAACAATCAGGTGAAGGTGAGACAAAAGTATGAGCACCAGAGCCCGATTGAGTTTGTCTGCTGCGGCGGCGACCGGATCTTCATCGCGTCCAAATTTCACCCGCACTTGATGCTGAACAATTCATCTTCCAGTACAAGTGAATCGAACGGGCGGGGGAGCACGAGCAGCACCGCTGCTGCTGCTGACGACGCGGAGGATTTGGACAAGAAAGATCCAGTCGCGCCGCCGGAGGTTCTGATGCTGAACAAAGATACGGAGAGCGACGAGGAGGACCACCTGAACCCGGATGAGGAGCACAAACACGCCCTTTTCGACGCTTTGCACGCGGAAGAGGACCACGGGATCACGTACATTGCCGTCACGGTTCTGAAAAGGAAACAACTCGAGGGTAGTTTGAACGCCGCGCATTTGGTTCTGAAGAATCTGAACAAAAGCTTGACGTCCAATTTTCAGCAGCAAGACGGGGAAGAGGAAATAAACGGACCAAATGGTCGTGCCGTGAATCTGGCGGATTCAACAACTGTTGTAGACGGTGAAAATTATGTCGGTTCAACATTCTATTACGAGGAGGAGAAAGACATGAAATTCTGGGCGAAGATCGAGGGGCAGTCGCTGAGTTGCTTCAGCTGCGATAACACCGGGGAACACTTGATTTCGGCCGACAACGGCAGCCACCATCACATTCGCGTGTGGGACCTGTTTTCAGCGGGAGGGACTGCAAGCGCGAAGCGAAGAAAAAGCAGGAAAAGCAAAGGAATGTCCAAGAACGACCTGATCAGCAACTTCACCCCTTTTCCGAACATAAAGCACGTTTTGGGCAATCAGCACCACGACCTGATTCAGGCGTTGCAATTCTGCACGACTTCCAAAGAGAGATTCTTCTCCGCTGGAAAAGATAAAACGGTCTGCGCCTGGGTCGGCAACCGGTGTGTCCAGAAGTTGGAGAACGTGGGCGGGAATTTGGAAAATTCTTTACTGCTGATCGACAACCAGTTTCTCTTCCTGAACGCCAGCAACGGGGAGGAGGACGAGGAGGAAAACTTGAATGTTTCTTCCTTCCTGAAAGTGTGGCATTCCGAGTCCCTGGAGCTGTTGAAGGAGCTGGAGCCGCCGTTGAGCGAAGTGGAAAATGCCGTCGAGAGTGGCGGAACTCATTATGTCAAGCCCACGCCGCTAGCGTCCGTCCCCAATGGGTTCGCCGTCACGAAAACGCACGTGGTTGCTGCGGGAGCTGTTGTTTCTGGTGGCAGCACGGCGTCTCCTCTGATGTCGTGGCAACGGGGGTTGCACATCGAAAACGGAGCAAATGGAGGTGCAACAGATCATACTGGAGTCGACAGTACTTTTACAACAACCTCTCACGGCGCGGCGCAACTCACTCCAGTCAGATACCTGGCGAAGCAAAACATTACAATTCCGGCAAGCAAGCAAGGACCCTCTTCGTCCGGTGCAACTACCAATGCGAAGAACACAGGGAACCTGACTTTAAACCGAAACAACAAACTTCTGATCTTCAATTACGGGCAAGACCCGAAGCAGAAATTCCTGCTTTCCGCCGGCGAGCAGGTGGCTCCGGACATCAACCCGAAGGATCGGAATGTCTTTCTCTGGAGCTACTTGGAAGAAAATCACCCGAGACTAGAGGGGACTTTCCGGGCCGGCGGGTTGCAACAGCAACTGGTGAATCTCGCTCTTGGTGGGAAGGACAGCAACACGTCGCACAGCCAGCACTTGCACGGCGCTCCGCGGACGGTGATTTTCTGTGACATCGTTTCCGGGAGTTTCTGTCGCGAGTGGAAGAAACAGCGCGGTCCGCACCACGTCTTGACGCAGAACTCCACCAAAAATCAAACCGCTGCGAAGATGTCGAAAAATGCAGCGGAACATCAAATCCAGTACGGCATCCGGTGCGTGACCAATCGGGGCGAAATTTCCGTTTTCTTCGGGCCGGATTTCCTCCGCAAGGACCAAGAGCACCACGCCGTCGATTTCGATTTTGCGGAGAACGCGAGCCACTGTCTCGTGCATTCCGTCTCCGCGGTGGGGGCGGCCGGGAACAACCTCGCAATGCTGGTCAGCGAGGACGGGAGTGACTTCAAAATGCTCATCGTCGACGGGTTCCTCGGGACGGTGCTCGCGACAAGGGACGTAGAGTCGAGTTGTTGTTTGCTCACCTCCGCAGCGTCGGAACTGATTGTCGCGCCGGAACAAGGTTCAAAAGCGGGAGCGTCGACTAGCAGTAGTAGTTCTTCTTTGCAGGTCTACGGCTACAGCGGAACAATAGCAAATACTAGCAGCTCGTCTTCGCCATCACTATCGGAAAACGGCACGATTGCCATTCCGGATGGTGCGAAGCAGATCCAGCAAATTGTCAAAATCGACGACAAAGAGTCGAAAACCTTCGAATTTTTAGAAGTCGAGGAACTCCCTCTAGGGGCGAACCCGCACGACAAGAACGCGGAAAAATTGAAGGTCAATTCTTTGGAATCCGTCTACCGCTTAGGGTACTCCGGGAAGAGGCAGCCGGCGAGTACTATTGTTTGCGCCGCGGAGAAGAAAATTTTCATCTACCGGAAGTTGCCCAGTTTAAGCGGGAATAAGGAGAAAGCCACGGCTCTGTACAGCAGCGGTAGCATGGACAACTTGGAAGCGCCGCCACCGCCGCCGGACTTCAGTTCCGACACCCCGCTGTTGAAGGGGCCCCCGGCGTTCCCCTCGGTGCCGAAATCGCCGATGAGTGCGGCGACGCCGGACGTGAATGGTGGGGGTCCTGATGCGGTGAAAGTAAATCCGAATCCGTATGACCTGCTGGCAACCATGAGCATGTCGGGTGTGGACGAAACCGACTCCATCACCGCCGTCGCGGTGGGGAACCTGGACAGTCGAGGAGGCGTTTGGAATGTGTTTGCCGGGTTGTCATCAGGTAAGATCGCGATTTTCGAATTGAAAAGCGAGAATGACAGACGCACGGGGAGAACCTCCTTGCTCTACGGCGACGGCGGGAAGCAGGGGATTGCGCTGACTTTGACGGCGAAACTGCAGAAAATCGTTCCCAGCGCGGCAAGTGCAAATAAAACTTCGGGTGCTGGAAATGGAAATGAAATCACCACGCTCGAGTTCGACGAGACGACCCGTTTGCTGTGTGTTTCGACGAAATCCTTTGCTGGAATTCGGTTGTTGGATACAAGCGCCGGCGTTTACGTAAATTCCCTTGACGGGTTCTCGAACAGGACTGCGAATGTCCTGAAGTCGAAAACTTCCGTGCGGCTGTTCCACGCGGGGAGAGGCGGAAGTGAAGAGGAGGACGAAAATCTCATCTTCGTGCGCAACAAGCAGAATGGGGCGTTGATGGGCAAGTTCGACAGTTCTTCGGGTCACGAGAAGTCCGCAAAGATTTACTTTCTGCAGGCCTTTTATCTGGAACGAAAAGTAAACGGAAGAACGGGTCAAGAGTTGCAACATCCTTGGTTCTCTGAGAACCTGGTTCGTAACGCCCGCGACGCGTTTAAAAAGTTCAACGAATCGGCCAAAGACGAGAGACCCGTCGAGGGGGAGGTCAGCAGCGGGGAGGAGATGGATTCCACGCTCGAAACGCAGGAACTGATCCTCTCCGCGGGCACCGACGGGAACGTGATCGTCTGGCGGGGCGAAACGGGGGAAATTCTCCGGAAGTACAGCGGGCACGCCAACGTGATCGGCGCGGTGCCCATCGATTTCGGGACCGGCAAGGGGTTCCAGTCCGCGGATGCGAAGTCGTTTTGGGTGCTCAGTCTGGCCAGTGAGGAGTTCGAGAACAAGGGAAACATGATGACAGGAGATGTAAGTGGTCCAGAAGGCACTGCAAATGCCGCAAGTACTACTAGTCTCCCGCCCTCGTCCAAATACCTGCAAATCCGCGATGCGAACTACGCAAAGCACCCGAATTTGAACGCAAAAGTTGAAGCGTCGTCGATCAAGGATCTCCTGACGTCCAGAAGCTACCCGCTAGGCGAGAAGATCACGAGGGCAAGGACAATTTTGGTTGGAGGCGGGGGACAGCCGCAGCACCAGCAGAAATACAAACTCCAGCTCCTCTTCGAGGACAGAAACAAACTGGCCTTTGCCGCGGACATCTCCCAGCTCCTTCCCTCCTCCATGTGCCTCCCGCTCTGGTACACGGAGTGGCAAGCGCGGCGCGCGAGCCTGGCGGGCGGGAGCGGGGGCGCGGCAGGAGCTGCGAACGCGAGCAAAAGTGGGCAACAACAGCAGCTGCAGCACCACCAGCACGCCGCGGGCGCAAACTACTTGTCTTCGCCAGTTGTGAAATTTGGCCCCGGGGCGGTGGCTCCGTCCGCAACGGCGAATTTATCTGTAGCGAAACTACGGAAGGAACTGATTCCACACCACATCGATTTTGCGAAAAACCTGTGCGGCGACTTCGCCCTCCTTTACTCCGCGTTGGACTTCGACCGGCTGCACGCGGAACGGTTTGCAATAGAAAATTTTTCCGGCAAAACTACGAACAAGAAGCAAAGCCTCTCGTTATCCCCGTTGATGCCTTTCGAGATCTCGATCGACCGCGAGGGCGACGCGGGCGTGTACACCACGTCCCAGACGGGCAAGACCAACTACCTCGCGGAGAGCGACGCGTACACGACGCTGCTGTCCCTCGTGCTATCCCAGGACAAGCTGCACAGCAGGGAGCGCGCGGCCTCGAACGTGTTGAAGCACGTAGTGGAGGCGGTGAAGGAGAGAGGAACAGCTCCAGCGGCAAACTCCACAAATCCGAAGATTTACGGCACTTTTCAGGACGACAAATTCGTCCACATTTTGTCCGCGTGCGTGAAAAAGTACCCGGACGCGGTGTCGCAGTTCCTGAAGCAGATCCCGATGCTGGAAACAAACCAGAAGATCGCGTTGCAGGACTGCGTGTCCCCCTACTTCCCCTTCCGCCAGCCCCCCATGGGAAAGGAGGACCCGATCGGCGCCTTTGAGGTGGCCGGGTCCGACTCCTGCTTCGGCTTCAGGGTGTGGCAGAACTTCATTGACCAGAAGATCCGGATAACCAACCTGATGGACAGCGAGAAGCTGATTTTTGGCGGAACCGGAGGGGTCTTGATAGGATACTTGAAATGGTTCTTCCAGGGCCCCCGGGAAGCGGCGTATGGTGCAGTGTCCGACCACGGGGGAAGTAAGGTAAATAGAGCAGGAGGTCGTGATAGTAGCGCAATAAAAGAACAACAACAAGTCGTGGACGGCGTCGTCGACAAAAACAATACAGGCGGTGGTTCTCTCGCGATGTACCAGCAGTTACTAGAGCAGAGCGCGCAAGATTCCACCGTGCCGAAAGCAGATAGGGAAGTTGGCCCGTTGCATCCCACCGGAGAGTCAGAATACTACCTAGCGCAGGCGTTCGTGATGCCCTACCCCGGGTTCGCGCAGGTGTTTTCGAACGACGAAAACTTTTTCGAGAACTTGCTTGATTTGGAAGCCAAATTAGGAACAACGACAGGTGATGGAACAAACAACCAAAAAAGTTCTAAATACAGCAAACCATCTACTACTCCGAAGAACCTCTTTCTCCAACCGTTCGAATTCCTGCTCACTTTCCTGTCGATCCTCTTCGATCGCCGGGCGGGCTTTTCCGTTTTCGGAAAGCTGGCCGCGCTCTTCAGCTCCCCGCCGACGGCGGAGAAGCTGAAGGAGAAGAAGAAGTACAGTTTTCTGCAAGCGATCACCGAGTCCAAACGGCCGTCGAACGTCTTCTTCGACAATCTTTTCGTGAAATCCATCATCCGCTTCAAATGGCACGCGTTCGCCATGGAGAGGTTCCACAAGGAATTCCGGTCGATTCTGCTGTGCCTCTTCCTGCACTTCCTGTTCGTCGTGTCGATGCACCGGGGCATCGCGGTCAACAAGGAGCGGGACCTGCTCCTCGCGCAGGGCTACACGTCGAAGAACGCGGGGCCGACGGAGCCGAATTTAACCTCCGGCCTGGACTTGATCAGCATCGCGGAGCAAAATTCTTCGACGACGGACTGGATCTCCTCCGACTCCTCCGACTATTCCGTCCCGGTGGAACTGTTCTCCGGCTACGGCTTCGACTTGGGCAACCCGGCGTGGTACTTTCTGATACTACTTCTCATCACCCAGTTCTACTGCTTCGTCCAGCACCTCTGCTCCTTCGGCGACGTGCTGATCATCCACACGATCTTCCACCTCTTCGCGCTTTCCTACCAACACCCGGAGAAGCTGCTCGGAACGAATTTCTCGGACTCCACGACCAGTTACGATCTCCAGTCCTACTTGGTCCTGTTCGCCTCCCTCTACTCCCTGAAGCAGGTCATCACGGTGCTCTACTACCTGCAAACCCACTCCTATTTCGGGAAGTGGGTGCGGATTCTGCTGGAAATGGGCAAGGAAGTGGTCCCGCTGATGTCGCTCGTGATCTTCATCGGCCTCGGGACGCTCTTTTCCATCTTCACGCTGGTCTTCGCCCCGTATTGGGACACGGACCGGTCGTTTTGGCAGTTCTTCATCGACTTTGCGGATCTGATCTACTACGTGTTGCTTTCCATGTCGATGGGCGGGAAGCCCGTGGTCAGCTACCAGCCGGAGATGCAGAGCTTCCAGGACCTGTACCTGCCCTACATCCGGGTGATCCCAGCCAAATTTCTGGCGCACACGCTGGGCGTGGTCAATTTTGTTTCCATGCTGATGATCGGCGCGCACATGACCGCGACCGTGAATAAGGTAAAGGCGGAGCAGGCGCATTTGTTCGACAAAATGCGGGCGGAGATCATTTTGATCTACGAAAACGACATAGAAGACATGAAGGACGAGAGGTTTTTTCCGAAGTACCTACACGTGTTGAAGCCGAAAAAGTAGCCACTGTTTATTTCAAGGCGACATAGATACATGTGCTGGCATGTTAATAATTACACTACACATAGTCCTCCATAGAGCATCAACTTTACGCACTCGCACGCATTGCAGTATCAGCTTTTTCTCTTTCTATGTATTACAATAGAAGCACGACTCGCACTCCACCGTGGCTGGAGGTGTCACTAAGTGAATTCAATACGTATTTCTTCAATGTGTCAATGGTGTCATAAGCAATAACTTTTGTTGTACAGTAAGTTTTCCACTACCTCTAGAACGAGTATTTCGTGTCAGAAATATTAAAGTCACACTCCTGCTACAAACGAGAGGAGCTTCAACATGGTCTCCGAATTTCGAACAACGCGGCGAAAGGAATTTCCACGGATAGGAAGAACAGCACTCGTCGGTTCAGCTCGTACAAGCACCTGATGTTGACAGTAGTCAACTTGCTCCAACAGTCTCCCTTTCGGTCCAATCATTCAGGAAGTCGTTTTTTCGTCCACATTCTGCTCTCAAACCCACAATTCGGATGAAAGAAATAGAAATACCCGTATCTTCGTATGACCTCGGTCGTTTTTCAATTTTTTCGTTCACAGACGAAGTTCACGACGTCGGTTGTTCCTGATAATTCGTACACTCCGAGCGTCCTCGTGCGCCGAACTTTACTGACGGCACAGCATGTTGCAATTCCTTTACTTCCGAGTCCTCCATAAGAACTTCCCTTTTGCAAGCAGGGTGGCGGTCTCAGAGTGAGGTTTTAGAAGTTAGTTGAACTCTAGAACCCCGTAGAAGCAAGAAGACCCCTCGTACTGCCCGTACACAAACAGAGTAGAACTCTGTACGCCTAAACATCTCAGTAGTTGTTTAGGCTAGAAAAAATCACTAGAAACAAAGTTTCGACAAGAACAAAGAGAACCCGGCGCATCATGATGGCCACGCCAGTGGGGCGGTTTACTTTTTCCGCGGGGCGGCGGCTCGCGGGCCACGGGACCAAGTCTTCCTCCTCCAGCAGTTCGTCCGCCACTTCTACCCGGTTCACCGTTCAGTTCGGCTCGGCGTTCTCCACCGTGAACCTGACTGGCGCGGCGAACCAGCGCCGGTTTTTCAGCAAGATGCAGGCGCCACCGATGGTTTACATCAGCGGCGAGGAGATGACGCACTACGCCTGCAACCTGATGATGGACAAGTGGATCAAGCCCAACATCGACACCTCCAAGTGGGAGTACTACGATCTGTCCTGCAAAGCCCGCGACGACACGGAGGATAAAGTGCTCCACGACGCCGTCGAGGCCGGCGCACGCATCGGGGCGATCTTCAAGGAGCCCACGATCACACCCACCGCCGACCAAGTGAAGGAACTCGGTACTCTACAGATTTTTGATGTAGGGTTGAAATAGGAAAGGAAAAAATTCAAATTGTGAAGAAGCTGCAAAAGTCTAAAGATCTTTCCGCTGTTTTGGATCTCGCCGACATGCGACGGTTTCCTTGACAAAATGCTCCTCATTTTTGTTTTCGGGGGTGGTACAATGAAAAACCACGGACCACTATGAATGTACTTGCACGCATCTCATGCTCATCACAGGTTTGAAAAAAGCCTGGGGTTCGCCGAATGGCGCCATGCGGCGCGGATGGAACGGCATCACGATTTCCCGCGACACCATCCACATCAAGGGAATGAAGCTCGGGTTCGAAAAACCCGTGCTCTTCGAACGCCACGCGGTCGGCGGCGAGTACGGAGCGGGCTGGGAAGCGGTCGGCAGTGGCAGCATCGAAACTCGGTATAGAGTTTTATTTTTGTGGTTGGTTCTTCTTCGTGTGCTTGTCATTGCGAAAGCGAATCGGTATCCACATGAATAATCGATCACTTTCCAGATGCAGGATAATTTTCAGGGAGAGCATCTCGCATCTGATGTTCTCTACTACTCAAGCTTATCTTTTCCACCTATGTCTTCACTTTCGTCTGCGTGTACGTTGCTTACAAGTGCATGGTGAAATAAAATCGCAGGTACTACCCCTCCAACATGACCTCCCTCGCTGATGCCAAAATCGTGGACACCCGCAAGTTGACGGATGACGACAACGTGGTGGTGACCTACCACAACCCCTTGGACAATGTGGAGGCGCTGGCCCACCACTTCTTCGGGCGCTGCCTGGAGGCCAAGGTCACCCCGTACGTGGTGACGAAGAAGACCGTATTCAAGTGGCAGGAGGGGTTCTGGCAGAAGATGAAGAAGGTGTTCGATGAACACTACCTGGAGAAGTACCAGCAGGCGGGGCTGCTGGACAAGTGCGGGAACCAGCTGCAGCACTTGATCTCCGATGCGGCGACCATGCAGATTATCCGCTGGACCGGCGGCGGCTTCGGGATGGCCGCGCACAACTACGACGGAGACATGCTCACGGACGAAGTCGCCCAGGTGCACCGGTCCCCGGGCTTCATCACCTCCAACCTGATCGGCCAGAAGGCCGATGGCACCATGATCAAAGAATATGAGGCCAGCCACGGCACGGTTGCGGACCTGTGGCACATGCACCTTCGGGGCGAAGAGACCAGCTTGAACCCGCTTGGGTTGGCGGAAGCCATGATCGGCGCAATCCAGCACGCGTCCAAGCTGGGCATGGTATTTTATTTACATTGAGACCAATTTTTTTGGGATTGGGGCGCGACACCTTTCGGTGTTGTATTATCCTTTTCGGGTTGGGTATATTCACATAATATATATAGACCCGGGAAAGGTAGAAATTGCCCGAAAGTACTGAAATCGTGAAGCACTTTATCACTCCCCGCGTACCCTTACCCGAAACCACTCCAGCGATACCCTTACCCGAAACCACTCCAGGGTTTCCCGGTTTCCCGGTTTCCCGGCTTCCCGGCTTCCCGGTTCTTTTCGCTGTAGCTGACGCCGACACTGTAGCTGACGCCGGTCGTTTAGCTGAGCACGCCGGTTTCTTCTTTAGCGGAAGCCGGTTTTTTAGCTGAAGCCGATTTTTTAGCTGAAGCCGGCTTGTTAGCTAAACCCGGCTTGTTAGCTAGACCCGGCTTGTTAGCTCGAGCCGTTCCTTTAGCTAAAACCGGTTTTGTAGAGCTGCCGCAGTTGTTTCAGGCGCGCCAGCCAGTCTAGCTGCTGAAGCTGCAGCACGGGGGCCCCGCCGCGCCTCCTTTGGGCTCTGCGGCCGCTGGGCTTTTCCATGGAGCTGCTGGCCTCTCGGTTGCCCTAGCAGTTCTAGGACAGAAAAACAGCCGCCGCAATAAAGAGAAAGGCGGAACAGCTTCCCGAGTCTGTTCGCACATAGAGAAAGGCGGCGCGAACGCCCTCCCGCTCTAGGCACGCAAATTCTACGCCGAGGCCTCCCGGCAAGTCAGCGCCTTCGCTTCCAAGCTTGCTCGCTTCCCAGCCTGTCTGCCTCCTGGCTTTTTCGTTTTCGCTTCTCCGTTTTTAGCCTTTGGCCCTCCAAGCCCCCAAGCCCCCCACCTTCCCAGCAAGCCTGTCCACCTCCCAGCCTGTCGGCCTCCCAGCTTCGTTCCCGGCTCTTTTAGCTAAGACCGGTTTTCTAGCTAAAGCCCAAGCCGGCTTTGTAGCTGAAGCCGGTTTGTTAGCCGCGGCCGGTTTCTTTTTTAGCGGAAGCCGGTTTTTTAGCTGAAGCCGATTTTTTAGCTAAAGCCGGTTTTTTACCCAAAGCCGGCTTGTTAGCTAAACCCGGCTCGTTAGCTCCACCCGCCTTGTTAACTAAAGCCGGTCCTTTAACTACCTACAGCCGGTTTTGTAGCTACCCCGGGCTTTTCCTGCCTGCTCCGCTTACTTATCGAGCTGCCACAGCTGTTTCAGGCGCGCCAGCCAATCTGCCTGCTGAAGCTGCGAAGCTGCAGCAACGGGGCCCCGCCGCGCCTCCTTTGGGCTCTGCGGCCGCCGGACTTTTCCATGGAGCTGCTGGCCTCTCGGTTGCCTTAGCAGTTCTATGACAGAAAAACAGCCGCCGCAACAAAGAGAAACGCGGAACAGCTTCCGGAATCTGTTCGCACATAGAGAGGGAGGCGGCGCGAACGCCCTCCAGCTCTAGGCAAAAGCGACGCCGAGGCCTCTCAGCAAGTCAGCGCCTTCGCTTCCAGGCTTGCTCGCTTTCGTTTCCCCGCCTTCCCAGGTTTTCAGCCTTCCCGGCTTCTCCAGTTTGCTCAACCTTTCGAACCTCATTCGCCTTTTGAGCTTCTCAGCCCCCTCAGCCGCCCCAGTCTTTCTTACAGGCTTCCCTAGCCCTCCCAGTTCTCGCAGTCTGTTCAGTTTTTCCCGCCTTTTTCGTCTTTCCACTCTTTCCCGTCTCTATCTTCCTTGTCCCGAAGGTCTGGCCTCCCCGCCTCGTTGTGTTCCGCCGTTTGCCTCGTCGCTTCTGCGTGGTTTTCAAACTGTTCGCAGATAGAGAAACAGGCCCCGCAACAGACACAAGAAAACACGGGAGAAAATGGCCGCCGGAATCTGTTCGCACATAGAGAAGGAGGCGGCGCGAACGCCCTCCCGATCTTTCTACGCAAAAGCTCCGGCCAAGCTTCCGAGAAAGTCCCGCCGCGGAAAATATGAGGCGCGCCATGATCTTCAAACGCGCATAGTTCTCAAAATAAACGCACAAGCAAAGATCCACAAAACGGCCCACGCCTGCGGAAAAATAAGATCGGCAGCCAGCGACTTGCCAAGTTAAATGCCGCTCCATAGCCAGAATTATCCGCAAGAGCTCCGCAAATATATAATTTGGCCAAGAGCAGAGCGGCCGCGTCTCGAATCTCATCGAAACAACCAGGACCCCAGTGGCTACCTGAAACTGACTAGCTGACACACCCGTACCCTTCCCCCCCGTCCTTTCCTTCTAGTTCTGCTTCCCCCCTCCCAGTGCTCTCGATTTCGCTTCGGGATAGAGATTCCTTCCCCCTGGCTAGTATTTTTAGGTTCAGAACATGCGTTTTGCGCGCTTTCTCTGATCAGGCCGTCCTACGCCCCACCGCCACATCTTCTTCCCTACGATTCTACGTCCTGTTTCCGCCCCTGTCCGACACCAGCGTCGATAGGGTTTTGAGGGTCTTAGGGTTTAGGATATTTGATTTACATTGCGGGCAGTTTTTTCTTTCATTTCGATGCAGTGCGACATTCTCACACACTCTCTGCAGCCTGGAACTGTAAGTGTACTCAAGAAAAATGTAGGAGTTATTTGTTTAAGCGGTTACGATTGCAGTGAGTTTCTCGCTGACCTTCTTGGCAACTCATCTAGTGCCGAAGAAGCTTGTGCCAAATTGTTCTTCCGAGCAGAAAAAGCTATCGATACAACCGAGTTGCTGCACGACCACAACGTGCGAAGTAGAAGTTCTAGAATTCATTTCCGACAAACTTTTTTTTCAGGACAAGGGCGACTGCCCGGACGCCCAAAAATTAATCGACTGGTCCAACGGCCTGCGTGACAGCATGCACGCCTGCATGGTTGCCGGCGCGGGAACCCGCGACCTGTGTGGCCCGAGCGGGCTCACAACGGAACAATTCATTGACGCAGTGGCGGAGCACATGAAGACCGGTGTGGTGCCGGGCGTCGCGGCCGCTGAGGCACCCGCAGCCGACCCGACCAGGGTGGAAGTGGTATCAATTTTATACAGAGCTTCTTTTTTTTTCTGAATTATTGTACATGTAGATGGATTGTAAAAAGAAGATGTGGGAGGTCCTCGTCGTGTACATGTACTTTTCGCTCGTTCGTGTGTTGCATTTTCGCGTGTGTCCATGTTTTTGATTCGGAATGAATTTGTGATGCGAAATCGACAGTAAGAACAGCGTGTAAATGTAAATGTGTTAAAAACCTCCAAAAACTACAGCGCGACAGCAACGTGGATATGGACGTGGTAAAGAAGATGTTCGACGAGTATGATGCCAATGCCGACGGAACCATCGACCTCGGCGAATTCGCCCGTATGCTGGTCAAACTCGGCGTCGCCCCCAAGAAAGCCGCATCCAAGAGCATGTAAAGTGCGTCTTTTTGATGATGTTGAGATGTTACCCAAGAATGTGTGTTGAGAGGAGGCTGGCAGTGCTGCGAGACTGTGACGAGAGGAGAGACGCTGTAAAAAGTTTGAAAGTAGGCAGGAAAACTAGTAGTACCTTCGTACCTCATGATATCTTCTCACAACTAGCATACGCAACACGGCAGTTTCCACAGTAACTTTCCTTCTTTTTTTGTAATGTAAGACCATCTCCATATGACAATTTCTCTATAGCCCGTAAGAAGAGGGCTGCGCAAAAAGATATAACAAGAGACATACCAGCGGAGAAAATAAGCTTCCGGCAGATAAATGAGTCAGAGTCTGAGTCAATTGTTTACCACGTATCAATACCATCGGTACGTATAATGCTCGCATGAGAATTTCGCATAAAGACCAAGAGACGAGGAGGGATATAGTACCTCGCATAAAGGCTACTACGTGATGGAAAACATTTTTGAAATGCCCTTACGCAAAGTAGGCACGACCATATTCTAGAATACTAGTCGCACGCACATCCGTACTTCTAAAAGGACCTTACATTACACATCAACCTGCGACTTCAAACGAAACACCCCCTGTGTCAATGGTGTCAACCTTCGGGCCTAGAGTGATGGAATAAAATACTCATTTCTCTTTTCTGACGGCAGGAAGCCGTGGCTGCTTGTGTCTGAGCGAAAGTGTTGCTCTTGTTCTTAACATCCCACCTGGAACTGAACGTTCTCCTCGGACATCTATCGTGTGTGACTCATGCAAACAAATTTTCAGGGACTAAGTGGCATGCGGTAACGTGACAGCCACTGGAGACAAGCGGAACCACGAGCGAGCGCGGGTCGGCGCGTCCAAATTGACAAAGCAGCTATATTTTCCTTCGTCGCATGGGCGCTTGCTTTTGTCGCCTCATCCTTGCTGCACCTACACGTTTCGTTCAATTTCTCGTCGATGCGACCTCGTCCTGTTTTGCCTAGAGTCAGACGCATCTAGTACTGACTTTGCGTGCCCTCGTGTACTGGTCTCTATCCCGACGCACTTATTTTCCACCGCAAAAGCGAAAGCATTCATCGAAATACAAATAAGGGAGTGCAGATGCTCAGTTAAGAGTGAAGACACAGCATTGATGGTTTCAATGTGCCATGAGAAGCAGCACTACGGGTCCGTGGAATGAACACAAACTGTATGATGAAGAACTAGAAGAAGAAGTGATTCTGAGGGACGGGAAAGAGCAAATAAACATAGGCTCCGTGAAAATTGAAAAAACCGTAACGCCACTTTGAATGCATCGTACAAATGAAAGTTAAAAGTAAAGCAGACCGACGGCGCTGGCCTGGGCGAACTCTCATACTGCTCGTTTTGTTAGCATCAAGGTCAAGCGAAGGCGAACATAACAGCACGGCTCGATCAATTTCAATGTGATCTGCTCATACTCTACTAGTCCCGCTTGGAAGACGATCATAACTGCTATGTTAGTCCTTACCTGCCTTTTTTTGTGCTTTTTATTTTGTGACTGAGATCTTGTTACGGTGATCTTGTTATGTTATCCTTTAACGACGGATGGGATGGCGTTGCTTCGCCTCCCGAACTAGGTCCTGTGTTATGCCTGTTCGTACCTCATGCTTGAGAGATTTTTTTGACTTTTCCGGGCAGCACAGGTTCAACTTGAAGCTTTGCTTTGCACCTGGATTCGTGTGCTAATGTTTGCTGCAAATTGCGATTGCGAAAGAGAGTTTTTTTTGCATCATTGTAGGACTAACCACTTCCTTGATGAGCTGTGTTTATTTGTAGTGTTTTTCTGGAAATTGGAAATCGAATCTAGATTTTGATTCTTGAAAGCTTTCGCGATGGACTAGCTCTCAGGATTCAAAAGCTGCATATGTCAGACAGTTACTCGCACACCATAAGATGCGAGCAAAGGGTTGATTTTGATTCTTGCCAAATGGAAAAAAAGTATGAATACCCCGCCACTGTAACCACAGTGAGGTTCTTCGCGAAGGCTAGGAGACGCGCTTCAGCTTTCGTCCGGCAAGCAGCTCAACTGAACATATCATGTAAAGCCACTGGCTCGTTTACTTTTCCCGTGCGGTCCCTTTTTCTTCTCCTCCACATGAAAGCGGTCCTGCTGCTTTTGATTCGCGTTCTCACGGACGATAGTGACTGCATTGCCCTTGTACCCGAGCAGCTGCAGATTCACACGGACGAGGAGGTCCGGCGCACGACGACCAGTACAACTTTTTATGCCACTGCGATCCGGCTATCAAAAGCAAACCGCGCGTTCTACGAGCCGGTTGCAAGCCAGTTTGGCGGGTCGAGCTCCAGTTCTCATTGGGAACACCGGCCTGGGGAAGGAGAAGACAAACCTCGCGTCACCCGGACGAGAGGAGATGCGGACGCTGCGGCTGGCGGTCTGAGGTTACCGTGTATAATTTTACCCTCTCCATCTTTGCAGGAGCGCGGTGGGCGGACGGCACCGACGACGAAGTCTTCCGTCTCTGTCCCGCCGCGATGCGAAGAGGCGGACGGAGCTAGTGCGGGAGCGTCAGTGCCTGTGCGTTCTAGAGCGTACAATTCAGACCCTTTTCCAGCGAGCCAGTTGTAGCAAGGTCTTGTTACTGAGAAGTTTCAGTTTGCTACATGGCGTACATTCGACGGGAAGATGAGCAAAATTCAAATGCTACACCTACCCTGCAGAAGCCGAACGCAGCAGGCATGGTAGGAGACTGCCACTGCTTATCTAACATTCATGGCGTCATCCATACCGTGATTAATGTTAAAGTTAATCTGTGCACATGACTGTAGAAATCCGTGCGAGACCGCTCATTCAGAGCAAATAAAAAAGCCCGCTGCCCAATGAGTGAGTGAGGTGTGGGTGAGTGAATAAGTGAGCCGCGGCGTGCTCCGCAAAGCTGTGCGCGCGTTGTTTCCCTAGCGTGAAAAGGTGGGCCCGCGCAGTGGTCTCGCTTACTTACCACTTGTGCACTGCGCTTAAGACTGGTGTACAACTTTGGAGCGAGTGAGTGAGCTTGTTCAGTTTTGCTTCTCTCTTTTCCCTTCTACGAGGAGGAATTACACAAAGGTCTCTGGTGCGTGTTCAGGCATGATTGCAGACATTGGATTCAGTCAGCAAGCATCTACGAAAATGACGCCGGTAGTAAATGAAGCAGGACCACTCCTTGTTCTCGTCGCAGCGTTACTAGTACCGCGCGCCGCTCTTGCTGCTGGCGCACTGGATTCGCGGTTATGCTACGCTGCAAGTTGCGGTTTTATGCTTGCAGAATTGATTTTCGCGCCAAATAAAACAAGTTCTCGAAGTGTTGGCTTCGTATTTGCTCGACCGAGTACAACCACTCCTCCGGACGTCGAGAGGCAAGGAACTGGGCGCCAAGAGGACACAACCAGAACCACGCTTCGAAGCGCAGCCGACCAAGTAGAAGGACCACCGGACCGTAAAGAGTTCCTCACCGTTATACCAGACGAGGAGGAGGACCTTGGTTTTATTTCCAATAGCGGGGAGGTGGACGAAAGAAGAAGAACTGGAATTGAGAATGACCGTGAGCACCTCCTCGTAGCGAGTCGGCTTATCCCACAGAAAAAAGCAAGCAGGTCATATTTGTATAATTCAAAAATAGATACACAGAAAGTGGAAAACGAATAATGAAAATCTGCGTTGCGTATCCTGAGCAGCATGCTACGGGGCGACAGATTCTTCTGTGTGTTTGTTTTTGCATTCCAAATTAATATTGCCTGCCTGCTTTTTTCAGTGTGATTCGGCTGACGAAGGAAAAACAGTTCCGAGCGAGAACATCAGAGCTTGCTCGTGGTGATGAAAGCCTTGTCGAAGTTGAACAGAAAGGAGCCTTGTCGGAACACGATGGCCTTTGGAACACGACGGACGACCTTTGGAACACGACGGACCTGGCCGCGGCGCACGGGGAAGATGACGTTCTCAACCAGCAGAATTTTGAGTCTGCTTCTGACCATTCCACAGGACCCGTTTCGCGACGCGTGTTGGGCGAGAGGAAGAGCAGGAAGAATGACACGGACGTTGAGCAAGTAAATGGATCGGAAGGAACACAAAACTATCGCTCGTCACCTAGTGAGCTGCTCGAAGTAGCAGCGCGAGCATCATCGTCGGCTAGAAGTGGTGCATCTACTCCAACGCGGTCGAGCGATGCGAATGAGAGCGACACGACAGGAAAAAATCAGCCGCAGCAGAAACAGTCGTCTCCGCAGCGGGGGCAGTTGGAACAAGAAGAGGAACAAGAAGAACACCCGCGAGCAGCGGATGCAGGTCACAGCAAACAGAAAATTGACACGTCACCGGAAGAACAAAAAACGGAAACGGGCGGTGAAAAAGCGTCCACTACGGTCGTCGGGGAGGCGGAGACATCAGTCGTGGCGGAGCTGCTGCAGCGTGTCAAGCAACTGGAGCGGCAGAGGGAAGAGGATAGAAATTCGTGGGGCGAGTCGGTCGACAAAAGGTTCCACATGGTGCGGGACGTCGGGTCGGCGGACGAGCAACTTTTGCAGCATATGCTGGCCGTGATACTGGCGATGAAGACGCACGAGTACATCCAGACCGTCGCGTTTCTCAGCCTCGGTTTCGTTGCGGTACTGATTGCGATCTCCCTCCCCGCTGTGCGCGTTTTCTGCCCCCGGCGCCAAACCTCTAGCATGCTCCTTGCATCGTCATTCTCTGGCGGACCAGGAGAAGATCATCCGGAAGGGCGCCAGCTCCTCTTGCCGGCTAAAGCAGGACAAGATGGAGTAGCCGTCGTCGCGGCTAGCAGTGCAGATGAAACAGCATTTATTGGAGGAACTCCGCCGGAGACGATTTATCGTTTCTATCCGTTCGACTTCGTAGAGAAAGGGACGCTAAGCAGTGTTGTGCAATCCGCAGGCACGGACATCGGGCGAATCTTTGCGGTGTGCATCGTGGTAAACGAAGTACTGCTCCTTCTCTCCCAGTACCCTTTCCGGATCTACGACACCTGGTGTATTGACAGTATAAGTAGCAGCGAAGCAATTTCGAGTCGGTCGTCCGAGGAACTTGAAGATATCAGGGACCCGTTTCCTTTTTTGACGCCGATGCACGAGAAGGTGGCGCGCACGCTCTGGCTCGTGCTTCCGCGCATTTGCTTGCTGATAACGGCCGCCGTTCCAGCTTCTACCTTCCAGCAAGTGCGGGCTTCTCTGTACAAGGCGTCTATTGCAAGGTCAGGGACCACACGGAGTAAAGACGCCCCGCCGGGGGCGCAGAAGCAGGCAGACGACCGCACTGGTGAGGGGCCAGCAGACGACGGCGCGGTGGGGAGGATGCAAAGACGAGCGCGTTCTGAGGATGCCGCTCGTCCGAACGATGAAACCAGAATTACAGATGATGGCGATCATGTAAGGGGTAAAGAGTCGATCAACTTCATGCAAGTCCTTCACGCTCTGACTGCACCGACAGCGATAGTGACGCTTCTTCTGTTCGAGACCATCCAGCTGAGCTTTGGCGAGCGCATCAATTTCCCTGCAGCAGTGATGGGCCTGGACGGCCGCGCGAGAGCTTCGGCGGCCGCGGCGAGGTGGGACGCTTTCGACGACATCACAAAGCTTCAACAATGTAATGAGTGGACTTCTGCGGCTCGCCTGCTGTTCTTCCCCCAAGTCTTTCGGTTCCGTGTGCTCTTTCTGGTAGCCGGCTGGGTGTGCTCGTTTGCCTTCATGGTTTTGCACCTATTACTGGAGTTCCAAGTCCCGCAGCGTTTCGGTTTCGTCAACGACGGGGAACAGATTTTCTTCGACAGTCATGGGCAGTGGGTACGGGAAGCGCGTTCTCTCCTGCTTCCGAAACTGTCTTTTGTGTTGGAAATTGTAGCGTTTCTTCTGGTTCAGTTTCTCCCTTTTTTTCCGATTTTGGAGCGGATATTTGTTTCCCCCGGAGCACCACTTGGAACACGGGAACCACTTGGAGACACTGCATACCACGCTTGGACGAAGAGTCCAGGACTTCCAGAATGGTTTGTGGGAGTGGAATATCCCAAGAAAACAAATGTTACAGTTTTAAACGGTTCGTGTTGTAATTTTAGCAACATAAAGTTTCTCTATCTGATGACAGAAAAATTTGCAATGCAGTGCTGACGATTAGAAGGAAAAACAAGTATGAAATTAGGCTCCTGAGAAGTCGATCCGGCATGCAGAGCTTGTCTGTCTTGCTTGGTCTGCAACACAATGTGTAGCTGTAGCAGTTGGTTCGTTGGGGTTGGATATGGAAGCTGGAACCCTGCGGGACTCTGTGGGACTACGTAGCCACGCATGACGGATGCCCTGCTATGGAGGGGAGGCGAGTGATCTTCCCGGCTACTGCTAGTTCTCTAAGAAAAAAACCCCATTTGTCAGCACGCGGCTTTACTTACCGGCACATGATGCAGCACAACTTCCTCTTTCTGTGATGCAAAACGCCTGCCACGAATCACTCGGTACTGCATGGAACTGCACGACTTGTGATCTTCAAAAAGAGTGTACGCAAATCTGCATGGCAGGCTTCGACTTTTCTTGAGACTAGCAGCAGTCCCAAACAAGAAAGCTACTCGCTTTATTACCTCTATACCTGCAGTCCCACACGGGCAGGTGTCGCAGAATTTGTGGCTGACCAGGCCGGCAGACGTTCAGCAGCATATCAAATGTAAAAGTGTCTGGGTCTGGAAGAATGCAACTTGTCATACTAAATCTGCAGCATGCAAAAATCTGTGTTGCGTGATTACCAAAAGTCGTCCAGTTTTGACCAAGTCGGGAGGGAGTTTCTCATGCAGGATAGGCATGAGAGAGATCGCACAGAATCTGTCATGCTAGGTCCTGCATTCCAGACCTCATGGGTCAACATGGAAAATATGCATGACAAATCGTGCGCTCTTCCAGACCCAGACATTTTTGCATTTGATACAGCAGATCGACGCGCGATTTTGGACTAACGTGACGGAGTGGCGCTGCAACTTTTATTCTATCGACATTTTTGGCCTCTGCGTTCAGAGTAAGTAGATGACGTTGTCGTCGTCGTCGTCGTCCTCGTCCTCGTCCTCGTCGCGGGAGGATTAACTTCGACCACCAAAACTACTGCGCATTTATTTGTCGCATCGATGGATCATATGAATTTTAACAAAAAGTAAAAGAACAAGAAGTCTACAGAACTTGAACTGCAACTGACACATACTACACTACTTTCTTCGTTGGACGGAAATAGTCGTGATAAGGAAGGAAACAGTTGCTGCACTGTTAGTTTCTATCTCAGTTTCTTTATTTCTATTAGTATACTCGAACCTCGTACTCGTTTACGATCCGAAGGCAAAGTTAAGAAAAGGAAAAGAAGGGAGGTGGGGAAAGAAGTGTTGCACTATGGAATCTTTGATCAAGTCAAAGCGAGTAGCAACCATGCACAGAACATAAAGCAAGCATAATTTCCGATCATAAATGGCTACGTGAAAATGCAATGATCAAAAATCCATTACCATTTGGGCTTTAACGTGTTTATCTATCCTCCTGTGACAAAACGGCTATAGACAAGTTTTAATGAAATTAAAAATCTGGCCGTGAATCGTAGTAAAGTTAAGATGTAAAGATTTACCCCTTTGTGTTTGTTACACTTTGTCTCACAGTTCCTGTTAGAGCTTTGAAGCACTCTCTTGTGACATGACTTGATAAGGAAAACGCTGTGGGCAAAGGCGCAGAGCCTGCTCGTGTCGCGCCCTAGATGCGAGCGATTAGCTGCTTAATCTGTTGAGGAAGTTGCAACTTCACCTTGTTGACGTGGTCTCCTGGGTATTGTGAACCGTCCTGATGTCGAGGCACTCGGTGCACTGTCCTGATGTCGCAGCAGTCGGAAAAACAGCAACAAAGCAGAGAAGTAATTCAGTCCCCCTTGTTTGGTGAACAAGGGAGACTTGTTGCCCTTGTCGAGTCTGCTAGCCTCGTTCTCGGCAGCTGGATCTGGCTACTGTTCGCTTGTGCTGAAACACCATGATGAGTAGTTGTCATTTTATATATACTTTTTCATTTTCAACAAGTAGTGGTTCTGTTCTCTGTGCTGTATCGAGGTCTTTTTTCCAGAACACGAACACCGCGATGGAAGATCAAGCAAATGCAAGAAAACAAGAGCGAGGATGTCGGTTAGTATCTAATATAGTAGATGAACAGCTGCAAGTCCAAACGCCGACACTAGGAAGTCAATTAATTTTAGACTCACCCTCACTCCAAGTGGGGAGGAGGACGAGTACAAGCAGTGCTGGATATTAACAATGGCGCTTGATTGATGATGAAGCTACGTCTTGCTCTTGGTGGTCGAGCAAGAGCACTTAGTAAGTAGTCAAAGCAATGCATCCATTGCAGTTTTATTTCTCCCGGTGTTCTTGTACCCTGCGCCGGCCGGCCGCCGGTGGTGGTCGAGCTCCTGCTCCTGCTGTTACTAGTCAATTGAGATTGACCAGCTATGGCTCCGGTTTGTTTGTAAAAATGTCCAGGGCTGGCCTACTTTTCGCGGTGTTTGGCGCGGCAGGGCGGTTGTTTTTCTTTTTCCTCAGTCCGGGCGTTGCAAATGGATTAGCCCGCCCCGCGGACGAGGTGGATCTTCATTCGAATGCTCCCGCGAAGAGGAAGACCCACCGGAGGGAGATGATCCTGCTGGACGATTATAGCGGTGGGCCGCAGGGGCAAGAATTCACTGACCACGTCGACGAGGATACAAGTACGGAACCCGGACAGCTGCGTCATTTTTCAGTCGCAAACCAGGAGGGCTTGTTCATCCAAAAAACGCAGTGGGCGCTCCCATCCCCCCGGAGTTTTTTTCGTCGTATGTGGAACAGGTTCCGGCGCCAGAAGCCGAGAAGTAGAAATAAGGGCGGTGCAGGGCTGTTGAAGGAGGAGGTCCAGAACGATCATCCAGCAGGCGACGCGTGTACAGCAGATCTAGATGGTGCAAAATCAAGTGTCGCACCGCGAAGAAAGTCACGAAGGCCAGAACCGCTGCGAACAGAACCAGTAGAACTACTTGATTATGAAATACCAGCGCGACGACCGATGCTGCTCGTAAACGCGACGCGCGCTCTCGATTTTTTTGATAGGGAACTCCCAGATGTCGTGGGAAATTCTGGATGGACGCCGAACCACAAGTCATTCACATTGGCCAAGCTGTTGAATCGTATTTACTTTGGAACACCCCGCAATCTCCTCGCTCTCGATCAGAATACAAATAATTACACATACCAGATGAATCTACGCACGATTAGCGGCCACGCGGATCTCCGGCCACGGGTGTATGGTCTCAATAAGGACAATTTTTTAGTGCGTGAGCTTCTAAATCAAAAGCAAAGCACCAAGTACAAAAACGAGTATGACAGCGTCGAGTCTGAGTCTGAACATCAAGAAGAAGACGGCGGGTGTGATAGCAAGCTTGTTGAAGACGAACCTGACTACCATAAGCCCCTGGTCGTTTTGGTCCACGACCATGTAAAGTATGCATTTCAGCGACTTTCCACAGACCCGGAAGAATACATCATGAGAAGACTTTTAGAAGTGTAGGTCGACTCGAAAACTCAATAGCGAGGAGGATTCATTGCAATGTCAATTTGTCCTCGGTACGGGAAGCGTTACGATGAAAAGATGAACGCAACAGTTGTGCATCAAAAGAATGCCAGGGAATACCTAGCAAGCTCTGTAACCATTTCTTATTTCATTTGTAGTGCGTCTCATAATCAGAGGCGAAATTGTCCACCGTTTTCACCGCAGCGAGGGGTCTTCATTGAAATAGCACTGGAGAAAAGAGGTGACGGTGAGTAAACGCGTTCCCACCTGTACTAGAATTATGGTAAATCCAAACAGAAACGCCGATATTAAGTCAATTAGTCGCTTGGAGGCGTGCGAAGAGGACCAGAAAAAGAAAAAGACAACGGCTCCGTGATTTCCTCTTCCTCAGTGATTTCAGTGAATCGTCAGCCCAAGCAATAGACCCGCGATGCACAAGAAAAAGAACCTCGGTCCTGGCGGTTCTCTGTCGTGTGGAAAATGAAATGGAACAGCTGTTTTCGGTCCATTTTGCTGAACTTTACGTGTCCTTTAAACAAGATTTGCATTTCAGGCCGCAATTTTTGTCAATGTCACTCCTGTGGTTATATTTCTTTGGTCGGTGTTTGAAAGGCAAAGGAGAAGTTCAAGTTCGGTTTTATGGAGGTCTTGTCATCGGAGTCCGATGAAATTCACACTTCTGTTGATGTTGCAATTTTTCGGTGTTCAGATATGTTTCGGTAATTAATTCTGAAAGAACCCGTGATTTAATTATAGGTGGTTTGTTAGAAGCGACTGTGGCAAAGTCAAAGATTAAGATATTCATTCTCATTTTGTTTTTGAAAGTTATGTTGGAATAACGCTAACGTAACTAAATAGATACCTGCATCGCAACATCTTTAGCTACTACAAATGACATTTCTCGCATTGCATGACAGTGCTGTCCAGGTCTCACGGTTTAAACAACCCTAGTACTTTACTGCGAGCTACATACCGACGTGGTCCCGTCATCTTTGTATTTTTAGGTGATTTGATCTCCTTCTTCGTTCGCGAAGATCGTGCGAAAAGGATTCCGCCTGGAACGGTGTGCAATTGCGCTGCCTTTGCCCCCCCCCTGGGACGAGTCCTCGTGGTGGCCTCAGCTTGTAAAAAACTCATCATCATCATCTGGTAAATAATCATGGCGGCCGTGCAAGTGAAAACCAAGCAGCCAGCGGGGGATCCTACCTACCCGCTACTGGTTTCCGAGTCGACGCGCCAGATTCTGGAGCTGACTCTGAACGTCTACAAGGGCGTGTCGCAGGGGAAGGGCGGCATCTGGCTGACCGACTACTTCTATCGCCGCATGCTGTCTTCGGAACCCAGTTTGCGCAACGTGTTCAATCAGGCAAACCAGTCGGGGTTTAAGCAGCCGATGAAGCTGTACGACTCCTTCCTGATTGCCGCGGAATGCGCCATTGCGAAGAAGCCGTACCCGGCGGACAAGATCGATACCATCTCTCAGCGGCACGTTGGCCTCATGGTTACGCCGGCCATGTACGCGATTGTGAAAACCCACCTGGTGCAGACGATCATCGAAACGCTGGAGGCCGGGGGGGATCAGCGAGTGTACGCTGCCTGGGCCGAACTGTACGACGTGTTCGCCGCACACCTGATGACTTTGGAGAAAAAGCTGTACGAAGACAACAAAAATGCGGGCTGGAAGGTGGACACAGGCGACAACATGGCAAATAACGGCGAGAACAATAAAGCCAAGGATCAGAAGCGCCTATTTCAACTGGTGAAGAAGGAGAAGCTGTCGCCGCTGGTGACCCAGTACTTCTTCTCTCCTATCAAAGTGAAAGAAGCCCCCACCCCATATCGGAAACGGAAGATGCGCGAATTTGTGATGCTGTATTTGAGTACACAAATCAACTTGTATTGCTAGAAGGCCAGGAGACGAAGCTGCGGCCTAAATTGCAGGTAATCTGTCATGCTGTTTCCCACTTCCAGTTGCCTCCTGTCATCCTGGACCTGCAAGGCTTTCCCACGCTAGACAGCACTACAGTCCGCATCTTTTGCCTTCTAGCATCACAAGCTGATTTGTGGCCACAAATCTGCATCACAGATTTCCGCTTTGATATGGGGAGGGGGCATTTTTCATTGTAATATCTCCGCAAGACGGAAAGCCGCTGCTGGCGGTGAAACCGGGCAAGTACCTGACGCTCTGGATGCAGGTGGGTTCCTACACGCAGCCGCGCCACTACACCATTGTTCCGACCAAGGAAGTATCAAATGTAAAAATGTCTGGGTCTGGAAGAATGCGCGATTTGTCATGCAGCTTTTCCATGTTGACCCTTGAAGCCTGGAATGCAGGAACTAGCATGACAGATTCTGTGCGATCTCTCTCATGCCTGTCCTGCGTGAGAAACTCCCACACGACTTGGTCAAAACTGGACGACTTTTGGTAATCATGCAACACAGGTCTTTGCATGCTGCAGATTTAGCATGACAAGTTGCATTCTTCCAGACCCAGACGTTTTTACATTTGATAGGAAGAGGTAGAGGACTCCTGCTACTCCATCTGCGTGAAGCGCGACGGCGCGGTCTCGACGGGCTTGGAGCTGGTCGGCCTCCGCGAGTGCCTGCCGCTCAGCCCGCCGCAGGGGGCCTTTAACCTGCAGAAGTACCTCCGCGCGTGCCAGCGAGCCATTAACTACGACACGTCCACCGGATCTGGCGGCCCGTACTTGCTGCTGCTCAGCGCTGGCACGGGGATCACGGCAATGCTCTCGCTCCTCGCGCGCACCGTATCATGAGGAAAACTGAGGATCCCCTTTCCACATATTGAAATTGGAACACATACACGGGGATGAGAATTTGTGTATGCTGATTTTTTGTTGTGTAGTACGCAAATTATGCCTTATTTCTCTTGCATACTTGGGAAGGGGAAGCAAGAGCGAAAGGTAGCACTTGGCAGGCCATCTGTGACGCGTTTTAGCCTACAGCAGCAACGTCTATGATGCTGAAGCGCTAGACTTCTAGAAACCCGAACAGCTGCTCTAGCATACGCCTCCACTTTGTTCCTGCAAGACAACAAGGCTGATTCCTGGGGCCACGAATCAATCTGCATCCTCACCAATTTTCCTTTTGAGTATCCGAGGAAGGAGGGGGGGTTTTTCCTCACGATACGACGAATTTCCGCAGTTTGCATCGGGAAAGAAGTTAAAAATCGCCTGGTGTCACGGTTGCCGCAACGGTCAGGAGCAGTTGTTTCGGGACAAGGTCGCGGACATCATCCAAAAAAAAACGGAGGAAAACGAGACGCTCGAGTATCAATGTGGAAATATACTAGTGTCCCGAGGACCCCAGGACGGTGGAGAGCATTAGCCTGTAATGCACTTACTTATGCATAGAATTAAAATTAAAAAGTGGGTTCCGTGACGAGGAGGACCGAGGACGTGAGATAAGTGCCCTTTGTCGTAAAAGAAAGGAAAAATGCGACGCATTTTGTTCTTTCACGATCTGGGGATGCTGCTTCTTCAGCAGCATGACAGACGTCGCTTGATCACACAAGTAGCTTTCGCTATTCTACAACAGAGGGTCTTGGTTTTCGAGGAACCAAAGAAATGCATGCATGTGGCGCTCGGAAACCGAGCCTCGGCCCACGAGGGAGCCGGTGCGCGCTCTGGCAAAAAAGAGCGCAAATGTTTTCTTCGTGATTTTTGCGGAGCTTTGTATCTATGGTATATATTGGCTTGATTCGTAGATGATAAGTATTTCCCCTCCGTATTTCTGGGGCACCACCAGGGGCGCGAATTTCCATCTTTCTCGTGGATATCGAGATCCAGCAATATGTATGGTATTCGCGGCCCCGGGACGACGACCCCACCACCGACGGGAAGCTTGTGACCGTGAAAACCGGGCACATGGACCTGCAGTCGTGTGCGGAGCTGTCCAGGTTTCTTGGCGGGCGGACCACGGCGGCCATCGGCGGCACGTACGCTTACATGTGCGGCCCCGGGGGCTGGCTGTCCAAGCAAAGGCAGGATTTGACCGCCATGTCGAAGCGGATTTGCTTGCCCGAGAATGTCGTTTACGAGTCCTACGGAGAAGAGCTCACCGGCGAGGCGGACCCGATGATGCAAGCCGCGCTGTTATCCCCAGTAAAGAAAAAGCAGTTGTGTAGTTGCACCCAGCACGTTGTAGTCGTCAAGATGAGAGCAGTGACGTTTAGTATGCGTACATACAAGTCATAATCAAGATGAAGCTTTGGCTACTGTGCATGAAATCATTTTTGCGATGTCCGCAGCGTAAAAATCAACGGAATTCTTGTGATTTTCTAGCTCCGAGCAGTCACGATGTGTAAGTACCACCCAGAAGATCACTTTTTGAAGATGCTGTACCTGTACTGAGTATGACAAAGTCCGCCCCCATCGAGGACCACGACGAGAAAACTGTTGCCATACTAGCGAGCAGTCGCATGAGACACTTGCTTCTGGTGCGCTATAATACTGAATACTTGCAGTTACATGCAAGATGTGCTGGTAGCTGAGAAAACTCTATTATTGTGCTGGATGCTACTACTACTCACTACGTTTTTGAAAGCAGGCATAGCTGCAGAGCAACCAACCCGGAAACGACGGACGGGAATTTCCGCTGCAGATTCAGACTCAGGCAGGGCCGCTGGATTTCTGTTTGGCGGGTATCCAGAAGTTCCTGGCTTGCAAGTGAACAAGTCCGCACAACGAGGAAGAGCTCAGGACTCTCCCGTTCCTGCTGTTCAACGCGGCACAGCTCTGTACCCCCATCATCTCTGTAAAGGTAACCACAAATTGAAAGGTGACTACTAGTGGGACATGGATGCCATTTGTCTTCCAGTTCTTAGCCGCACGAGACACGGTGATTTAGTATCCTCCACTCCAGGTTTTTTGTTATTTTTATTTATCCAAAATCTTAATCTTGTGTCTTCGAGCATGTATTGATTCCCTCTTGATTTCATCTCAACACGCCCTAAGTCTAGGGTAGTTCTAGTTTGTAGAGTATTTTACTACCACCTTCATGCTCTCCTGCATCGGACAAGCCCGAAGAAAAAAAAAATGTTTAAGTGAGGTCTGGTAAATCCATCGAAAAGCAAATGTGCCAACCCTCGCGCGACGACCACATGAATCCATTTGAGGCTTTTTCTAGAAACATCAGCGAATAGGAATAACAGGAATATAGCTTCATTGGATGTCGCACCAAATCCATTCATCTTGCATTTCCGAATCGATCTTCGATCTTCCGGCAGCTGTGCAGACACATCTGAATCTGTGTTGTCGCATTGAAGAACCGAAAAAGAATCTGTTGACTTTTTTGCAGAGAAGAAAATGTTTTTTCCGGAGAAAGAAAAAAGACAAAGACGATTTCTCGTCATGCGAAATTGCAAGACAACATACATGAACATTTTCTGAAACTACCGAAGACAGTCGTTTGGGAAAAAATCGACAAACGGGCCAAGTTCTATTTGATCTGCAGTATTACAGTCATTTCTTGCATAGTCGGTCTAACACTTAATATCGTGTGGATCACCATGATCTGAGAGAACCTTACCTTCGCAAATGGTGATCCGGCTATTGTTTTCACAGGTCTTCCTCAAGAAATTGCATGAGCTGCTTCGTATAATGTTGCAAAAAATTCTCGTACAACTACAAGCAGAGATGATGAGAATGAAACTCAGACGAGGTCTCATAGGATAGTTCCATGTTTATTTGATCGTGATCCCCCTGATCAGAAATCTTAGAGACCCTCCAAGCGAGTGGGACAAATCAAGATCTTCGCGCTGCAAAAGTTGAAGTCGTGATGTGAAGATGGTGCGTTCAATCTGTTGAAGAATCTTTGAAGATGATACGCAAATAAACAGAACCATTATCATGAGACCGATCACAGTGAAGGATTGATGTCGAACTGCTTATGTTTTATGCGGATTCATTTTCCATTTCCGTGCTGTGTCATCACAATTGTAAAATGATGTTGATTAATGGCCGCGACATAATGTTTCCCCGAATGCCTTCTATTTAAGTAAAAAGTAATATGGCTTTTCTTCGTGTAGTTAATTTGAACGACAGAACGCGAGCATAAAAAGATGGCGAAAAACAAAAAAAGCAAAGCCCAGGCCGGCAACAGACACCCCGTCCGGAAGGAGGGAGGTCTTCACGCAGGCAGTTCCAAGACCATGGCCAAGCACGGGAATTCTGTGCAGAAAAAAGGCAAAGGCGGGGCGAAAGGCCGGGGAAAAGCGCCATCTTCAGACCACCCGAGCAGGCGAAAACCCGCACCGGGGCCGCAGGTGAAGGTGACTAGTACTGGCAACTTTTCATCTAGAAATAAAGGAAAGGGAAAAATTGCCCACATGCGTCAACTGCGCAGCTCTACTACTACTTCAAGCAGGAACCAGCTGGCCCTGTACGAGCAAGCCGGCGGGGTTGTGCAGCGTGTGTTCGTGGAGAAAAAATCCGGACTGAAGAACGCACTCTACAACAGCCGTCCGAAGCCAGGTTCAACATCTTTCTTATCGGGGACCACGACTTCGGCTTCGAACAAAGTGACCGTGAAAAGTGGAGAAGTCAGGTGTTCCACGACTGCGACGGACGAGGAAGCAGACCCCGAGGACCCTGCGAGCTCCGCACTGCCCGCCCTGTGCGCGATTGTCTCGAAAACCTTGAAGCTCGCCCCGTTGCTGTTGCCGCTCTTGCAGCAAAACCACGCAGCGGTGTTGGACCAAATTGCCGAAGTGAGTGCGGAGCAAGAACAGCGTCGAGGGGGTTCTTCTAGTACTTCCTCGGGTCGTTGTAACAGCACGACCGCCGCGCAGCCAAAGCACCTCGGTTTTGTCCTCGTCATGGTCACGCAGCTGCTGTACTGCCGCGAGCAGGGGAAAAGCTTCAAGGTCGGTGGCAGGAAGGTTACCCCGTTGAAGCGGATAGTTGAGGAAGTGCGGAACGGCTTGATTGCATCTACTTGTTCATCCGGAAAGACAAAGATGAACAAAAATGAAGCCAATGTTGATGCTCCTCTACTTGCAGAGCACCGTCGTAGCAAACATGGCTGTGAAAATGAGAAGATGAACGCACCAGGAACGCACGGCGACGAACGCCGTAATACTATCTCGGAAAAGCAATTGCAGGCCATTTTGCTCGACCATAATTCTCCTTCCCACGACGGCGCTGACCATAAGAACACGACCGTGAGTGGAGAACGACCAGAAGAAGACGGAGCAGGCAAGCAGTACTGCTACTTCAGAATCAATCCAAGAATCGTTTTGCCGCTCGCTGTGCAGGCGAGCCATGAGCGACCAGCGGAAGCGGTGGAAGTGGAAGGGCGCCAGGTAGAAGAACGAGAGCAAAATGCAAACAAGAGTCCGGGCGGCCGTGGTAAGGAAGTACAGGAACTTGTTGTAGAACCCCAAGCAAGAAATTGTACTCCATCTTCTAAAACCTCCACACCGCTGCAACCTCCGTCGACAAATTGTTTCACTTCCGAAAACATCAATATACTGACGGAAATCGACAAGTGGCTAGATCCAGTGACTCAGTCATTTCTGCACGAGAAAATGGAAAGTTTGAAAAAACAGGGAAATAAACCTACGAAGAAAAAAATCGTAGAAAATACTTCCGAAGTAGATGCCGGTTCAACAACTAGTACGACTTCCAGTTGCGGTGCAAGTACCAGTAGTACCGCCGCCGCGCTCGCCCGCGTCTTCGAGAAGGACTCCGTGGTGCCTTTGTGCTATCGGATGGAGAAACGCAACTACGCGACCTACCTGCACCCGCTGGCGGACGCCGGAATCGTCATAGTGCAGGACCGCAGCAGCCAGTTCTCGGCTTTGGCCGCTGTTGACACGCTGCTTGGCGGGGGAGGGAATAATTCTACTTTGCCCAAAGAAGTTGACGATGATCATGTTGACGACAGAAATGATGGAGCTGCCGTTCCGTGTAGACGTCGTCGAGGGAGTTCTTCATCTTTTTCTAGTTCCTTTTCCTCTGGGCTAAAAATCCTGGACGCCTGCTCCGCTCCCGGGTCGAAGACCTCGCACGTCATCCATCTGCTGCAGTTGTACCGAGCATATCATCACGACAAAAGGATGCTAGTTTCGCCCGGTCGTTCCTGCGCTTCTGGCTCGTCCTCCATCCGAAGTAAAAAACGGGCGGATGAAGTAGAACAAACAGAAACACCAACACCCATCATGGACACGGTCATCGCTTTGGAGCGGGACCCGAAGCGGTTTCGAATATTGTTGACGCGACTGGCGACCGTGTGTGACCTCTTTGCAGTAGATGAAGGGCAAGAACTACTACGACCGGGAGGAGAAAAAAGTTGTTCTCCCTTGCAGCCCGCGGAAATCGGCGAAAAATACAAGGACTTTTTTGCAACGGCGAAGAAGTCTTCAGTTCTGTCATCGCAGAACAGAATTATTACCGACTACGGGCAAGAGAAGGTTGACAAATTGACAGACCACGGGATAAAAAACCCGCCCGCGGAAAATAAAAGAAAAGATCATACAGCAACCTCTTGGGCGGGAAGTGATCCTATGGAGTTGAAATTCCACATTCCTATACCGCAGCGCGGCGCACCAGAGCAAGACAAAGACTTAACAAAAGCGAAACACAGCATTTTGGTCGTTCTGAAATTAGGCGACTTTTTGCAGCTGCGGAGGAATGAGGAAACCGCGCAACGAGGACCAGCGGAAAGAAATAGCACGTTCTTGTCCCACGACGACCATCTCGACGCTATTCTCCTGGATCCGTCTTGCAGTGGGTCTGGTTTGCAAGAGCACAACCAGGAAAAAAACCGCTACGAAATTACAAAGAATACTTCCGACCGTATGAAGATGTTGAGTAAAAACAATTCGACGTCCACACTAGAAGAAGTACTGCCAGAGCAGGACCAGTTTTCGGCCCTGGACCCGTCGGCACGCGCCCGTGTGGAAAGCCTGGCCGAGTTCCAGACCCGGATGTTGCAGCACGCGCTCGGGTTGATAGCAGGAGGAGCTTCGTTGAAATGTTTGCACGACCGCAGTAGTCAGGTAAACAAAAATGTTAAGCGAAGTAGACCCTCCTACGTGTTCTATTCGACGTGTTCCGTGTACGATCGCGAAAACGAGCGCGTGGTGATAGACGGGGTAGAAAGGGCGGAACGGGAAGTTGTAGTGGAGACAGAGCAGCTCCAGATCATGCAGCGTGGTCGTGAAGGTGAAGCTCTAGTAGGTTCTTTATTTCCACCGGCTCAAGTTGTAGAACTACATCTGCTCCAGCAGCAGAACTTGTTCGAAGTGCAAGCCGCGTTGCCAGCCTCGATGCGGGCAGTGTGGAAAGAGGAGACCAGTTTACGGAAGGTCAAAGCCCATTTTTCGGGATCAGGTGGTGCACTTAATAACCGACTTGATTGCAGCACCGACGAGATGAACGGTGGAGAAAATGAAAACGATGTTGCGATGAAGGAGTTGTCAGAAGAAGGAGATCCTCTTCATCTTCACGAAGTAGATGCGGTTGACAAAGATCATGACCAGGGAGGTCGTCGCCGTGGTGAAGAGTCTCCTCGTCTCCCACGACCAGCAGACGCAGATCCTCAACTCGCGTCCAACGTGAATCACCTCCGGATGCTGTGCGCGCATTCCTATCCGGAAGAGCACCAGTGCCGCGGCTTCTTTTTGGCGAAGGTGGCTTTATCATCTGTGGATCCTTGCCGCGCGGCGCGTGGAGGATCAGAACCAAAAGACGGAACCTCAACAACGCAGCCGCAGGCAGATGAGGTAATGAAGAATGACTACCGTGACCACACAGAAACAGATCAACATGGCCGAAAAACGGCGAGTAGTAGTCCATCTTCACGACATGAGCCTGTTGAACAAGTAGAGACGCATCAAGCGGGACGTCGAGAGGCAGCTTCGAAAAAGAGACAGACGGCTAGCGGAAACGTTGGAATCTCCTCGACGGAAGAGGATTTTGCTCCTCAACAAACCTCTCAATACGTCTCGGTGAAGAAGGCGCGAAGGCTCATGGCAGAGTTGCGCAGCCAACTCCACGCTTGTAAAAAATGAATGCCGTTTGCGTTTCACAAGACAACTTCCTTGAAGCAGAGCTCAACAGAGTGTATTGCGAGAGAATTTTCGTGGTCATGCGTTTCGGAGAATTTTTTTGCTTGAGCTTGAAGCTTTTCAAACGGCGACAAGAACACATCAAACAGCAATAAAGCGAGAAACGTAGCTGTAGCACCAAGCGTTTTCTCGCTCTGCCGCGATTCGTGTTCCCATGATACCTATAACTGTGTACGTGCAGTTCGTTGCTACCGTGCTTGCATTTTTTGAATTTTCGTGCTTCTGGAGATGTTGGCTTTCTTTACGTTTTTCCTGTGCGTATTTTCACTGCACGGTGATCGGGAATTTACTTTACGGCCACCACCTTGTAGCTTCACAAAAGAAAAGACGGAATCCGACGTAAAAATTGCATCACGCGATGTGATGCAGTTGGTTCCAAGTCTGAATTTTCTAGGGGATTTTTTACGCGACGCTTGATGGAAAAACAGTAGCAAGTACGAGCTGGCAGTGCAGCTGTGCGCTCCCTACTAGGCAGCACTCGTTTGTGAAGAGGGTACTACAGTCCCTTCTTCTTTCCGCGCAAGTCCGCCGCGTTTTTGCTGTCGCTCAATATTCCGGCGAGATTGCCTGCATCTAAACTATTTTTAGCAAACTACAAACAACCCAAAGAAACAAGTTCCCCCACCCCTCCTTTCGACCGCATGATGACCAACAAAAGGCCGAGTCATAGAGCGTGCGTCGCGTTTTGCTGTGCCAACCGCATGACAAAAGCGCTTCATGATGCGCGCTCGATGCGGACTTTATCTGGCGAAGAAGGTTTCTGAGACGGTGGAAGGACTATAATTGTCATTCTTAGAGCGAGTGGGAGTGGTTGCTCGATCCATCCTGTTTTAAGATTGACGCAATCAATGATATTATGTAATGATTGCAACCACAACTACAATGCGCTTCGGCAGAGAACCGACCAGCACCCCACCGTAGTTAATACGAAGCAGTAATGCATCAACGGGCGGAGATCCACTGCAAGTCAGTAGTTTTGGACTTGATAAGGCGGCAATTATCGAGTTAAAGCAAAAATCGACGATCCTGATTTTTCATGTCTGCAGGCTTGATGAAGATGCGTTGCCACACTATTGCGACACGTTTTTGCTCCGGATTTTTTTCCGAATGCCCTCCCTTTTTAGTTGCTGGACGATCCGCGTTGAATTCTTTTTGTAGATTTTTAATTTTATGGCAAAAAATCGCATGAGATCCAAAACCAAAATTGAACCTCATCGGCGCGACGAGAACTCAAAAAATGCAAATCGTGCCAATGAAGATCTTGTGGCTCTTTTGCAACCTTGTTTGGCGCACCGATTCTTTTGAAAATTTTGGTGCTAATCGGAAAAGGAAAATTTTGGTTCATTGATCTGATGTTACCATGTCAACAGGCTTTCGTTTGCGAAAAAATCTGTGTTTTTTTCAAAACCTCCGCACAACTAGACGTTATCAGCATTCGCTGTGAATTTATAACATTGCCATCAAGCCACATACTGAGACGACGTCATTTACATTTTCTCCACTAGGAATACAGCTGAGTACAACGACAGCAATCAAGTAAGTTGAATTTAGTCGCGACCTTTCTTGCTTTCGCAACTACTAGCACCGGTTATTTTTTGATTTATCCCTCCTTTCCGACGAGTTTGTCTCTCCGAATCCCACGAAAATGACCGCCGAAAACATGGAAGTCGAAGTCGCGGCCCCGGCCGAAGAAGTTGTGAAGCAGGAACAGGTGGCGGAGCAGAAGCCGCAAGACGCTGGCGAACCGGTACTTACTGCCAAAAATTATCGTATGTATCCTTTCCACCAGATATTTTTCACCCGCCGGCACATAAGTCCATTTGCGACATAATTTGAACATCTCCGCCCGCGTCCGATAGGTTTGCGTTCTTGCGGCTTTGTGATCTACTTGAGCTCAGTTTTTCCTTCGCTTGAGCCTCCATCAACGCCGCTCGGATTGAATCGCCTTTCTGCCTCGTCGCACAAATTCATGCAGCCCCCCGTCGGACGAAGAGGAAGATATATGTTAATAATGTTGATGATAAACACAAAAACAATAAAACAGTCATAATTTTTTTTCTCGCTAACCTGGAAAAATATTCTTTTGATTTCTCTTTTCGACACAGGCCTCTTCCGCGGACAGCTCGGCAAACGACGATGCTAAGCCGTCAACTGGGGCCGAGGACGGCGAAGAGAACAAGATGGAAGTTGACGCGGAGGAAAACGAGGCAGAGGCTGCGGCCAAGGAGGACAAGGACCAAGACGAAGATTTTTCGGAGGACAAGCCGGAGACCCTGATCGCCCCGGGGTCCGTCGTGCTGAACGAGTGGGACCGGACCTTCAACGCGCTCGGCGCGGAGCAGGGCACCACGCTCGCCTCCCTCACCGGCGACGGCTTCAACCAGCTCTACTCGGCCATGCGCGCAAACAAGGGCTTCTACGATGGTATAGTGTAGATAAGTGGCTAGGAGGTGGCCGCCGGGTTATTTTCATGCAGAACCAAAAAAAACCACAACAGATGAAATATCCTAGAAGCCAGATTGATAATTGATGTGGTCTAGTAGAAGTATCAGATTCAAAGCAATATACGGGAATTGCAATAATATACTCTCCTCCGAGAACAAGCCGAATGTTTGTAGTTGGTTCATTTCCCACAGCACGGGACAATAGTAGATTTGTACTTTCATCCGTAATGAAAAAAACATCTAAAAATCACCCCCCAGGTCGCTACTACTTCGAGATCAAGATGTTGGATCACCCCCGGTCGGTGCGGGTGGGGTTTTCCACCGTGGAGTGTGACCTGACCATGGATACGGCGAATGCGTTTTGCTTCGAAAGCCACTGCGACGCCTACGTTGCCGGCGAGAGGCAGAAAAACGTGAACCCGAGGTGGACCCGAACCGACGTGGTCGGCTGCCTATTGAACGTTCCGAAAAAGCAGATTGTTTTGGTGCTCAACGGAGGAATCACCCCCACTGGTATATTCACCGGCTGATGTTGTTAGCATTTATGTCAGCACCCCATCTTGTTGTATTTCTTCGATGCTCTGATAGATTCTTTGTAGTGTAGCACTTCTATTTTTCGTGTCGTGCTGTTTTCAGGCGATCTATTTCTATTGCTATTTTTCCTAACCGTCGTACAATTCCTACCGCAACTCTATTTGTTGAGGTGCTCTCTGCATGATTTTCACGCACGCACAAGCAGCACGCACTGGCATTGATTTGCTAGGAGCGCGATGTTGAAATTCACCTCGTGCTCCTATCACTACGACCGTATACCCGCGGGGATAGACGAGCGCATTTATTCGAAAATTTTTGTTTTCACGCTTCTGTCTGACACAGGCCACTCCGCCACGATTCCGGACAGTATGTTTGACGAGAGCGGCAAGCTGAAAATGGCTCTGTACCCGACCGTGGTGAGCAAGGGCTGCTCGGTGGAGTGCAACTTCTCCACGGAGGTGTGGAAGCAGCTTCCGTTCGCGGTGCGCACGGTGGGCCGAGCGAAGATCGCGGACTGCGTGGAGAGCCCGAAGAAGCGACACACTGTGCTGTCAGAAGACGACAAGGGAAGAAGAATTGTGGAGGTGACTATCCCCGTTGGCTTCGACGCGTCCAACGTCATCGAAAAATTCAAAGCGGAAAGCCCGGACGCATGGGTACATATATGGGTTGATGTTTTTGATACTACTCATCTCTCCTCCGGGATGAGTTTGACGAGCTACAATTCTAGTAACTATTTACTCCATAAATCATGCAATTGAGTTCGTAGTTCTAATAAATTGAGCGCATCCAACATCTCCTCTTCAAGCGCCCCTTTATACCACCCACGACGTGCGATGACAGGTTTTGACGCAAGACTTTTTGGCTTCGTGGGCGGAGAAGTCGGGTGCGCAGAAGCGAGCAGGGGGAAACCAGCAGAGCGGGCGGGGCAACCAGAGCCAGCAGGAGAAGTATGGGTTGATGTGCCTGGACAACCCGATGGGGGTGTTCCCGATGCTGCTCAAGGGAGGCCACAAGTACCTGATGTCCATGTTGAACCTGCACAACCTCTTTCCCCAGATGCGACAGGACGCCTTCGCCAAGCTGCAGCACGCGTTGAACGTACGAATCAAAGGATTGGTCAGCGTAGACAGCGTTCTCGCGGTGCTAGAAGGCAAAAAACAGGTGGTGCAGAACGTCCGCGATCACTACGAGCACGCCGCATTACCAAACACCGAGAGCGAAGGTATAAAGTAGATACGAATGAATTTAATACGCTGACGTTTTTTCGTTGGTCATACACAATGTGCGACGATGAAAATGAACATCAAACGGAAGCCAATCTTCAGGATATGCGCATGCAATAAGTACCTACTTGCGAATGCGAACCACAAGTCGTGACCACTCTGCAATGTCTATAAGTAGCTCAATGTACAGGACGTGATCATTTGAATTTAATGTTGCTCTGCTGGTGTTTCCAAAAACGAAAACCGAATCCGCACCTACCTTTTCCTTTCAGCCTGGGACACTGTGGAATACGTCTACGAAGCGGATCCGAGCAAAACGCAGGAGGAACTGGCCACCCTGGTCAACGAGAAATTTGTCGCATGGAAGAAGGACTGCAAGCTCAAGTCAAAGGTAGTTTTTACTCGTACAGCTGCATACGATTTGATTGTTCGCTATAATTTTGGCAGGACGACTTCACTGTCGTCACGGTGTGTGGTCGAAGCTATTGTGAGTGTTTGTTTTCGACGGCCTTGATTGATGACGGGTCATCCGACCCACGCCTGTGCCCACACCTGTGTCGCCCAGCACGCATTCGGGAGACGTCGAATACCCCACGCCACGGACTCCCAGCGCCACTTGAATGAAACGAATGGTTGTTGTTGAGACGAGGCGGCGATGGGATCTCCCTTTTCTATTTTCATCGGACGTGGGTGCGGCAAAAAGACGACTGTTTTTCAGCTAGTTGTATAGGACAAATACATATCGTGGAGGACAAAAAGTCCCTACGATGCGGAGCTTGCAATTAGTCTTTATTTCTGCAACACAGGTTACCGACTTGAAGAAGGGCCCGTATTACACCAACCAAATTACTAAGTTCTCGAAGTTGCGACAGATGCAGCACAAGGCGACCGCAGAGCAGGCCCGAAAAGCGCACGCTGCTACGAAGGAGAAATTGAAGGCCGAGAAGAAGGCAAAGAAGGAAGCTGCCGCTGCGGCAAAAAAAGAGGAAGAGAAGGGGGACAAGGAGAAAGAGGAAGGTGAGTGGCTTTGATTTTCCTTTTTTTTCCCCTTCTAAACTCGCCACGGAAACGGATTGTTGGCGATGGATTTTTCCTTCGATGCATTTTTCTTCATACTGCGCTCGTGAACGTCTTGCGGCCTCCTTTGTTTTTTGGCTTTTGATGGCCATGAAACGTATGTCTGCATGCTCGGGTAAAAGGAAAAACCTGAAATGCAATTTGAAATTCATCGCGTAAAGGTGCTGCTGAGCCTGCTGCGGAGGAGGCAAAAGAAGAAAGTGTTGAGTCCGAGGAGGAAGAGGAGGTGCTCCCAGCCATCATGGAGGAATTCTCCGAGGAAGACTGGATGTTGGCGCAACTCCGCTGTGAAATCCACTCATGTACTGCTTTACACTAATTTTATTTTTTTCCCTCACCGCCGTTGCGTACAAAATGAGAATTCGTTTTGTTCTTTGTGCTTGATATTTTGGGAAGTTTCTACTTTTGAAGGTGCAGTTGTGCGTCGCACGAATGTTGAATACGCATTAATATAAACCAGTGATCCACGCTTTCCGAATGGATGTGAATGACCCCGAGCGGGTAACTTTCCCGGCGACGCACATGGCTTACTACTACCACCTGTACTCGGGGAAGCCATTCTCGCAGACGTTGCAATCCTTTAACGTACGCACGCTGGAGGAACTCACCAAGCTGATCCCGGATGTCTGCGAACACACCAAGGACATGGACGATTTCGCCCTGCGCAAGGAGAAGAGCCTCTTGGAAGACTTCGACCTTGTGCTGCCGGCCAGCTCCGAGGCTGACCTCGACGTGCAAAAGTTCATCGAAGTCACAGAGGAAGCCAGGTACTACTACACGAATGCTCAATCCAGCTAGATAATAGAATAAGGTGGAGGACCATGCAGCAAAATACGTAAAGTAAGCTATTGCTATAACATCAGAACAAGTACCTAGAATCATGTCGTGAGCTTCTGTGTCACCATGCTGGAGTTTCATGCGCATACGTAGTTCGGATACCAGTTCTTGACCATGTGGAGCGCGGTCGCGCACATGGAATGCAATTTGTTAAAATGCAAACGCTTCAACTTCATAGTTACTACACCATCACCATCATCAGTACGCAATGTTTCAAAATACCAATAAATCCCTCACCAGGCAAATGCGCACGGACCGATTGGATGCCGGCGACGAGAACGCGGCGCTTAACTTCACCTTCAAGCAACAGAGCCAGAAGCAGGCGGGCAACAACAAAGTCGATAACTTCAAGCGGCCGATGCCCAACAGCAACCAGTACAGTGACTACAACGCGAAGCGCAGCCGCAGCACCTACAACCAGGCCGCGTCCGGCGCCAGACGGTAGAGGGGCCAGGGTTTAGGATGATTTTCGACAGGAGGAAGAAACTTATTTAGATTCAACTAACAAAACAAAGCAAACAATACACCATCTTCTTCGACAAGAGCGGATACACTTAGATACGATAAATCAAACCCAGATGAATAAGATTTCTCTTTTTTGACGAGCCCTTTTTTTCCTTGTCTACTTCTTTACCAGCGGCTCCGAGAACTGTTTGAACCAGCAGCACGTGGTCCAGCGTTGATGATGAGACTGACAACATCACAACGACGTGAGCACGCGGCTTGACGAGATGATATATTATTTTGATGAACGGTAATCAACAATGAACGGATCATTTTCATTCTTCGGACAAACGTAAGGCTAGCACTTGCTCAGAAAATGCACGGCATGTTTATTCCGCCCGGAACAATTACAGCCTTCTCTACAAATTGTAATTGTACTACTCCAATAACGCCGAATCATGATCATCCGGAAGGAAATGCAAATGGAAATGAACATGAGCATCTTCACTCTTCAACAACCCATTTTTACAGCTTCAGATCAACTTGAGAAGTCAACAACAAACTGCAGTACCGACGACCTGCGAAAACGTAGACGTACACTTTGACTCATTCTTTATCATTTTCCTCACGCAAGATAGTTTGTTTCTCTTTTCGTTTTTGATGCTCCTTTGTTATGCAACGACGGCTTGTAGAAGTGCAAAAGATTACTCGATGAATGGCACCATTAGCAGAGCCACAGCAGCACGCAGTGTAAGACCAGCTACAACTTGAACGAACCTGACAAGTTTTATTTACACTTGAAGAAATGAATCATCGCTGATGCTGCAAGATGAATTACTAGTCATTTTGAAACTTCAACTTTTCTAGCGACATTAGAAAACAAATCGGATGCGAGCGGAAGACGAGGTCTGTCTTCTTGCCCGTCTCTCCCTACAGAAGCGTGTAGGTTTTCGTTTTTAAGAGTAGTTGTCTCTTCGAAGAAGTTACAGAAGCAGGAGGACTGCCCTACGAGATGTCCTCCGAAGCTACTTGAGAATAGCGTTCGTTTCCCGGCGGCACGAAAAACTTCCAAACTAACACAGAGATGGTGAAGAAGTTCTGTGCTTGTTTTTCTAATCGAGCAAACAATTCGATTCAACAAGCTGCAGGGACACAAATTCACAGATTTTCGTCACCCGTCGACCTACTTTTCAAGTGTTGGACAACAAGTCACGCTAAGTCGGGGGGTGACGAAGACGAGGAGCCTTTCCCTGCCGTGTTTCGTTCCTAACCAGGCTGATGTACCTTTGACTAGATGACGATGTGCTGATGTAGGTACTTGCTCAAATAGTAGAGAGAAAAGGGAGAAGGGGATGAACGCGACCCGAGAGAGATGAGGATGAGAGGCTACATGACCTGCCCAGTCTGTCAAAAGAAAGTAGTGCCAAGCACAGACCACTTGCTTTTTCAGTGCGAAGACCCTACGCTAGTGCAATTGCGAAAAGAACACTTAGGCGCGCCATGCATAAAAGCCATGGACCCATGCATAAGTTTCGTCCGGGAGCGAAAAAACGCGAAGAACATCCTGAACTTCTACGAGAAGGCCTCGCAGACACACGGAGGAATTCTGCCCACGGGGCTAGCGAACGCGATCAGAGGGGGACAGACGGTTTTCGACGAGGCGGACTACAAGGACGTGGCAGAGTGGCAACCGGAGAAAAAGCCGAGCAAGGTCCAGGAGGGGGACCTGAACAAAATAGCGAGCTGGATCGGGAGGCTCTAGGAGAGAGACCGCCAACACGAAAACGAACAAAGCCGACAAACTGCTACGAACGAGGGGACTACGCTCAGCCGGGCAACTTCTCCGAAAAACCTGCACCCAGAAAAACCCCACCACCCTTCCCCCCTCGCTTTAGGTCTATCTGGAGTACATGACGCCTCTGGCTGCAGGAGCAGTCCCGGGGTGTTAGCGCGGGAGGAGCGGAACCGGTGACCAGCTGCGTCAGCCAGGGCACATCGAAGCAGGTGGGTCTAGGGCAATGAGGGTGTGCCAAGCGGAAGGGGAAGAGAAAAGGGAGAAGGGGATGAACGCGACCCGAGAGAGATGAAGGCGCATCCCCTAGAGGGTCAGGAGGTTTTCTTTCTGGGGGAAGAATGGCGGCCACCACGCTCCCTAGGCGGCGCCTTTTCGCGGCGCCGCCGCGCTTTTTGGTGCAGCAACACATGTGAGGCGCTTGCCGTTTTGTATTATTGGCATAGCGGAAAAGAAGCTTCTTAGGTCGTGTTCGGGCAAAAGCGCGCCGCAGACTGACCCTCCGGCAGCGCTCTGGGGCAAGCAAGGCGGCCGCGAGCCATGCTGCGCCGTTAGATAGGGCGGCGAAATTGGCAACACACTAAAAGCCCTCCCGTATTAGGTCGCGAAAAGGCCGCGCGCCCTGTGCCGTTTCGCCTTCGGCACTCAAAGGCGCCCACGTTTGCGGCGCAGGGACCTGCTCGGTCTCGAAGCCTTGCGCCCTTCCCTCGGTTCTTTTTTTTGGCTCTTCTCATGACGAAGCACCAGCTCCATTTATCTGTTTAGATTATGACTAGAACTTCGTCTTTGCTTCTGTTGCGCAGCTGCTTTCCAGATTAGCAATCAATGCAATCGGCGCCGTTTCGTCGCTGCGTTTGCATTTGACGATGAGACCCACAAATCACAGCAGCGCCGTGCTATGCTATTTTAGTATAGGTCCCTTCTCACTGCACGGCGGCGAAATACAGACTCGAGACGCACCCTTGTGCCCTAACAATCTGAGCAGAGAACTTCTATTTGTTATCCTGTCTAGTCTCTACTTCCAGTTGTGGCTTTATTAGAACTATTTACCTCTTCTTCTTATACGCATCCCAGAATCCGCACAGCAGATTGCAAGATCGGGAGAGCGCCGACTCTCGGCCGCCTTGCAGGAATCAACTCAATCACCAAAAGCTGAACGGATGCGCGTTTTCATTTTCTCGCCTCGCTAGGCCCCAGGTGAGCTGGCTCCGGCCTCTTCGCCTGGTGGTGCTTGTGGTTGTGAAATACGATTAGAAATTCGATTGGCCGCACTATTTCCTTCGAACTTGATTTTTGTCTTATGTGATGAGAATGCAAAATGAAACTCTTTCCGCAACTTGGTTGATGAACTTATTTATTAAATGCTATCTCGAGGTTGATTCTAGTGCTCTTGTTTCTCGCGGATGATGAACGGTATTGAGACTCGACGCGTGGCTTGGTCTTCATCAAGCTGTGCGCAAAATTATCTTCAGCCACCTATTGTCTGACGCGACAGCACAACAGAACACTGCTACCCGATCTGCCTAGAAAAGCATGGGTAGTGAAAACCTCGCCAAAAGACCACTTCACCTCTATAATTAATCCTGCTGTTTAGGTTTTCAATAGAAAAAACTCGATCCGATGCACTGTGTCACCTGTACTGGAAGTAGAGAAAAAAACAGCTGTACCTGGCGGAGAAATGGGCCGCGTCGAAGATCACCAGTCGCAGTCGGCCGCCCGCCGTTTCCAGTCGATGTTCACGGAGGTCAATACAAATACTGCGCACAGCAGCAGCAGGTCGGTGTTTTTTTGTGGTGAAGCGCGAGAGCAGGGGGCAGTAGATCGGTAACGCTCGCAGAACGGGGCAACACGCTGAAGGGAAAGGAGATGAACAAGCAGCATTGGGAGCAACGTGGACAATCGTCTGTTTGTGGAAAATGGACAAGCGGCAGCGCAAAGTAGGGTAAGTACTTCTCATGCCATGGACTAATTTTGTCAAAATCAAACATCACACTACAGGTCAAAAATCCGAAAATTCAAAATCTTTGAAGTTAGTTTGAAATTGATTTGAAATCAAATTAGTTCCTGGGCGGATTTGATATAAGAAAAGGGAGAAGGGGATGAACGGGCGACCCGAGAGAGAAAAAAATGAGAGGGTACAACTGTGAGCAGCGAACTAAAGTGGAGACGGAGTTGCTCCAGATAATAATAGATCGTTCCCCACAGAGAAAAAGAATTCGAGTGCAGATGGCAAAAAGCGTAAAACGTTTTTGAATTCTTTTTTCCGCATAGGTGTATGACGAGCGATAGATACTCTTGAGATTGCACCGTGGATCAAATAAATCGGAGTGGTTTAATGGATCGGAGCGACGGTACAGAGAGTATCATGAATGTGAACTACAAAGGAACAACATCGAGTGACAAGTCGAGCGACCCCGACAGAAATGGAGCGAGCCTTTCCTTGGCATGGTTTTCCACGAAGGATGAGGTAGCTTGAGTAGTGAGAGTAAGAAAAGCAGTTGCGGTGCAGAAATAGATTTTCTACCTCGTGCCTTGCGTTGCCGTTTCGTGTTTTGTACCTGTAGGGAAGTCGACCTCGACGCTGATGTGCCTGTCATTGCGTCTTTGGCTGTTTTGCACTGCTTGTGTCCCTTGCCGATGCAGCTTGTATTTAGACGAGAGTTGCGTTGTTGATGGTTGAGAAAAGCGGATTCGCCCTTTTCCGTGTCGTCATACTCCAGGAATGATTCTCCGGCTTCCCCCCATCCCCTCGGCTATCAGACCGAATTTTGAAACGAAAAGGCAAAAAGGTAAAACATTCAAATCCTACAAGCAGCTGCTGCATTGCTAATTCATGTAATTCATCGCTTCTCCACGACAGTCTGAGGCGTACTTACTTAGTAGGTGCAGCACCCACTTTCTTTGATAAATTTGTATTTGAAGGAAAGTGCAGTCAGTCTGTGGAAGATCCAGAATTCATCTTAGGCGAAGATTCTATACCATTTGTTTTTGTGTCGGGCCCCCTACAGAGCTCCATTGAATTAGAGATAGTACTACTAACTTATCATGGGTGGCGCGTGTGGCACCCAACGGCCCCGCGCGGGCGACCCGGTCACGGCCCTTGCCCCAGAACAGCGGGTGAAAAAAGCGGATGGTAATAATTCGCCGAACGACATGAAAAATGTTGCCTCCTCCACCAGGCAGCCTAGCAGCTACGCCATGTCGGGCTCCGAGTTGAGGGACCAGAAGCTGCATCCCCCCACGAAAATCGGTTTCTTCGACGGCCATGCGGCGACGAACAACAACTCCCACGCGGAATCCTCCGAAACTGAGGCGGAAATGAACCACAGTCGCACGAATGACCCACTATCGGGCGGGACCTCCACGGAACTCGAGAACAAGTCGGCCAGCACAACCGCAAACTCGACCATGGAGGGGTTTTTCGTGCCGCCACCCGCGCGAGGTCGGGGCCGAACGCCCGGAGGTGCGACGTCACGAGGATCCGCGAACGAGGAAAAGACAACTAGCAAGTCAAAGTTTCGCTCCTTCGAAATGCTCGAAAAGCTCGAATCCAGATCGAGGTCCAACTCCAAGACCCGGGCGGACGCGCCGAGCCACCTGGGATATGGAGGCGAAATGAGTGATCTTCATCTTCTTCCCGGCTGCTGCTAGTCCTGAAAATAAAAGAGGCAGCCTGTGGAGGTCTTCGTGCCGATTCGCCAACTCTAGGGCTCTTTTTGATGTGATTCACAGCGTCCACCAAAAATTACGCCAGACTGATTTCTGGCGTGCTTTATTTTGCATGTCAATACAGAGGGACATAGGAAATTCGCATGACCCACAGGCAGCTGCGACTTTATTTCTTAGGGGTAGCAGCAGCCCCTATTAAGTAGAGCTAGAGTAAGATCACTCATTTGCCCTTTATATGGGAAGCTACCGGTCGCAGAGCCGCGGAAACCTGCGGAAAACCGAAAAGGACATGCTCAACTACGCAAACAGGAACTACGAGAGCCACTTGAACCAGATCGGCGGAGAGCAACACGATAGTAACAGCACATCAAACGCCGGCACAGGAGGAGGCAAAACGGGGGGAAGCTCCCTGCACCAGCCCATGAACGCTGGCACTCCGATCGGCATGACGAACCCGCACGAGAAGCTGTTGCCGAAGCAGGGCTCCTCGCAGACGACCTCTGCCCGCGTCGAGTACGCGCAAGATCGCACGATGCGCGGGCGACTTTTGTACTACGGCGTCGATTTTTATGAAAGCGAAATTGTGCGTCACACTCACATCTGCAGCGTTTTGCAAGGCCAAGCGCCTGGCAGAACGTTTCTGATGCGACTGTGGTGCACAGTTTGGCTTTCATAATTTTGGTATCGCGAAGAAAGTTGCGGACTTTGCGGACATGAAAACGGACAGCTCCCAAGGCAACGCGCTCGCGTTGCCAAAAGCGAACTATGCGAGTGCACAACTCCCCCTCGTCGACGATCCTTGATAAAGGACTTTAAGCAGCAAAAGAATGGAAATGCCGAGACAACAGCGCGTCTGCGTTTTTACAAAAAGTCTAGGCATGGTTGTTCCGTGCTATAAATAGCTCGACATGCAAGGTATTTTTACAAAAACCTGGAGCTGTTGTACTTTCGCATTTTATGTACAGAGGCACGGCACCAGGGGGACCTGTGCACTCCGATACATACTTGGACCAGGGTACTTCGCTGTCGTTTTTGTGGCAGTGTGTGGAGTTCGCGAATCTCTCGCACGGAGAAGAAGACCAGGCGTTAGCCAAGTTGGCTAACTTTTTCCAATATGCATCGCAAAAGCATATGACTAGACTAGTGGATGATCTCTCAGCATGGTGCTCGTCAGCTAGGTGAGCAGAAGAAAGTTATGTATTGTCTGAACCTGTGACAGGCTGTCAGTAAGAAATTGCAATCTTCGACAGAAGTACAACTGGGAAGACGAACGACTACAATCGTACTTTTGCGATGCATATCCAAGAAGAGGAATTTGGCCGGCTTACCAAGTCGCAGCAGAAGCGCTGTCAGGAACTCACCGGTCGCGCGATGGACTTTCTCAATGCGCAGAACGGGAGCATGAACCCAAACGGTGCAGCAGGTCCGGGATTATCACACAGAAAATTGCTAACATAGTAAATCAAAGTGCCACTTCTTTGTGACGCAACAGACTAAATGTTGAGTTTCGATTTGTATGCAAGAAAGTAAGTCGGTTATGATAATATCATAACCGACTTTATATCATAGTATTGATATATCCATTGTTGACACGGTAAAAGAAGTAGAAGATCTGCGGCAAGTGCGAGCCCATAGCGGTCGCTTGATGAGAATCAGTGAGATTGCATGCACGAGGACACAAAATTTTTCCTGTTACTAACTAGATTCATCGCGGTTGCACCATGATCACAATGCAGAGGCACGATCATGCTTTTAGCTTTTTTCTGAAGGATAGTTCTTCGGAAATAAGTACGGGGGGAGCATTCCGCCGCCACCGCCGATGCCAACGCTGAACAAGAATTAGATTGATAGATTGGATGACTTCCGATTCCATTTCCTCTACCTCCAAGAACCAACTCTCCACGGCCGCGCTTTCATCTCAATCAAAAAAGCGAATATTTGTAGCACGACTTAGTATCTCTATCTATGTCTATGTCACTATGCGTATGCATGGCTACAAACAAATACAAACCTCCACGCGTCGCCTGAAGCCACTACCTTGCTTTATTGCGTCTTTGTTTCTAGATGATGAACTTTCTATACTCTCTACCTGCAGAACTTTTTCTTGAATTTGTTTCGTCGAGCTAAAGTGAAATAGAATCTTTCTGATTATAGTACAATTATAGTACAACAAGTCTCCCACCTTCTGCATGCAGACTGTTACTGTTTTTTACGAAAATATTAAATTTGACGCTCCTATCGTGCAAAACTCAACTACTTTCGTTGTTAAAAAAGCCCAACAGTGCATCCTGACAAACTCCTGCTTGATAGTTTTACCCAATAAAAATCAGCTCGCTGAGGAATGACCGCACAACGATCGAAATTCGCTGGATAGTAGAATGCTCCGTCTAGTCCTCTAGGCGCGGCGAGCAAACAAAATTGTATCGTTGTGGGGTGGTCAAGAACAACATCATCGTGATTCGGTGGAGAGCATGGTAGTTGTACTCATGAAATTAGTTCTGGGTCTTGCAGCTCTGCTTGGGTGGTCGTGCAGTCTTCCTCCTTTTCGGTCGTCTTTTTGCCTTACGTTGTCGTGATCATCCGCCACTCAGTCGGGGTAAAAAGAAACTCGTTCCGATTCGACGAGGGAAAAGAGAAAAACATGGCACCTCGGGGCGTTCTTTAGTTGATGTCATGGAGGATTGTGCAGCTTAGCGATTCTCCCTTCTGAAGTCACGTCTCTACTCAGCTCTCTTGTGAGTGTTTCGCTAAGTCTAAGTTTCCATGTTTTCTCAAAGCGTCAAAATGATTTTGAAAAACTAAGAGTACAAGTAGATTGCATCAACATGGAGCTACGAATAGGATTGGGTAGTGACAGTGAGTTTTGTTTGGGGGTAGCAGGTCGCGCAGACCACCCGAGCACGAGCTGCTCGCTGCGCCAGTGCGTGGCGCCCTTTGATATATTAAAGTAAACGTAAAGCACTTCCAATGCTTGTCTGCCTTGCTGGGCGATCTTCATATCATTGGAAGAAACAGGATTTAACAACAAGATGATGATGGTGCTGGCGAGGAGCGCGTCGAGGTCTTTATCGACAGCGGGGCCGCTTTTTTATCTTCAACATCATCTTACGAAGAGATCTCTTTCTGCGCGAAGCCTCCGACACCGTCTTCTCATTCCCTGTTTCCTCTTGACCTTGATAGCGCGGGAAGTAGCTGTTGTGCAGATGACATCAAACGGAGTCGGACTTGTAGAAGAGGAGCAGCCTGATGAAAATGATTATACTGGAGGACGAGGTGGTCTTCATTTTGGTTTTGGTCCGTCTAGCAGCTGGCAAGGGCGACGAGGGGGCCATACGCTTGCAGGTGAAGATGTTGGAGAAGAGGAACACATCGTGGCAAGTGGAACTACAACTCCATCCCGGGTGCATATTTTCACGCACGATCGGGCTTCCACCTCCACGTCCTCCGAGCATGAAAGTACAACAAATTTGGCCGCGTTTGAGGAAAGACAAAGACAGCAATTGCACAACTATGGTCATCTACAACAACTTCACGCTGCTACTGCTAGTTCATCTTTCCTCGGAGAAGTTGACGCGAAAAACACGAAAGAGCATCCTACGACGAGCGGCCATCGACGTGTAGTGGCGGGCCGCAAAATAAATGCCGCAGTGGTCGAAAATGATGGCGCGGTAGATGTGCACGAACAAGACGAGAAGATCGGCGCAAGACGGGTCGTCGTGCAAGAGGACGGCAGCACTAGTAGTGCCGGTGTTTTTGGGCGGATGAACAGCGACGTGATGAATAGTAACTACGGGGGCGAGGACGAGAGCCACTATGCTAACGTCGAGGACGACGAGAATTCGCATTCGACACAAACAAGCGTCGAAGCGATGTTTTTGCAACAAGGGGACAACCTCGTGCATGCGAGCAACCACGAGAACGTCGCATTCGACGAGGTGGACCACACGGACCCAGCACCAGCATCAAGAAAGTCAACGACATCTGCAGCAGGAAGGCCGGCGCGCTTTGAAAAAAGTACTTCTCAAGGGGTGGAAAATAATATTTCTCCGGGAAGCACCACCACGACAAGTTCGAAAGTAGGACGCGGCGCATCATCAGCACTTCTCGAACTACAGGCCGCGGCGGCGGGGGTGCAAGAAGCAGGAGATGTTGAGCAGGACTACGCACGACGAGACGAGGACTCTGCACCCGAGGCGCAGCGAGAAGTAGGAGCGGTGCGGACTCCTGCAGCTGCTGCTGCTGGTTCCTCTAGTTCTTCATCTGCCTTGTCTTCCGCTACGGGGTTAGTTGTAGGTGCCGCGGCACCACCAGCTGCCTCTCCACCTGCTCCGGCCGCGTTTGCGGACCTGTTGCGGCAGCAGCGGGAGTGGTTTGAGGAGCGAATGAATGTAGTCGAAGGGGAGTTGCAGGAGCTGAAAGACAAGCGTGCCGAGGATTTGCGGGAGGAGGAAGGGATGCGGAAAAAGATCCGGGACGCCGGCGCCGTGAACGAGGCGATGCTGGCCCGGCTAGTGGCCCTGAACGCGGGGCAGCAGCGCGCCTTCTTTGCCTGGTCCTCGGTCATTCTCACCATCGCGATTGTGTGCATCGTGATGGGCCTCATCCTGCCGGTCCGCATGGTGTTTCTTCCCGAGGTGGTGGTCAACCCGCGGGACGCGTCGCAGCGCTTCGTGCTGTTGCCCTGGGACTTTGCCGAGCACGGGACTTTGTCCTCCGTGGTGCAGATCACGGGCACCCCAGAGGGCAAAATTTGGTCCGCGGCACTGGTGATGTACAGCGCTAGCGTCCTCCTGTCGCGCTACACGTTGGAAGTGCACCGCCCGTGGTGTCCCTGGTCGGACCAGGGAACCGCAGCGAACAATGTGCAAGTTATCCTGCTTGTGAAAACGAAACTGTGCGTCACCGTCACATCAGAAACGCTTTGCAAGGCGCTTGTTTTCACACCAAAACGCTTCTGATGTGACTGTGACGCACAGTTTCGCTGTCATACTGCCGGCTGCCCAGTCCGTAACCGAGGTGGCGCTGCGGATCCTCTGGCTGGTGTTTCCCGTCGTCTGTTTCTGCTTCGCCGCGATGGTCTACGAGAATGCACAACTCCCCCTCCCCCTCATTTTTATATGCAAAATACCGAATTAGATTTTGAAATTTATATTTAAATTTTTCATTTTCACCTCTTCCTTGCCTTCATTAAGCACTCTGCGGATGGCAAGTTTTGGACGCTCACACGGGACTGCAATCCATGTCTGGGTTATTTGTCATGCAAAAGCTACATTTGTGCTATTGCTTTTGCTGCTGCAGCTCATGCCATCTACTTCAATAACTGAGGGGGAGGGGGAGTTGTGCACTCTCATACGGCCCCAGCGGCGAGTTATGAAAGGAAAAAGATTGACGAGCAGGAGGAGGAGGATGTGGAAGATAGCGGAGAAGATGAAGTACCACCCTCCGCGTTTGCAGAGGTACAAAATCAAACTGAAGAGGCACAGTCACTCCTCGCCGCGTCAGCGACTTTTTCACAAGTGGAGCAACCTGGTGAGAAGTTCTCTATGACAAGGAGCAGCCCACAGAACGAGCAGGCTTCCGTCGATAAAAGTGATGTACTAGAAGTGGGAGATGAGGGCGGCGGGGACGAGCGAAGCGCTCCAAAAAAACTTGTGACTGCCCGCATTTTCGTGCGGTTCTTTCTTTTCGAAAACGCTTGCAGGGCTGCGTCGTTCACTGCGACTCAGCCCTCCGGAAAACACAGCCGGCCCTACCGCAATCGGCGCTGTTTTGGCGCCTTGCTGACACGGTTTCTTGGCTTTGGCAGGGCCGCCAGTTCTCCGTTGTTCCGCCCCTTTCGGAACGGCCTCTGTTTGCAAGGGCGCGCGTAGGCGTGGATGTGTCCCGATGCCTCGCGCGCTGGTATGGTCGCCACAGGCTCTCCTCCCTGGCCCTTGCTTATTCTTCTTACTTTCGACAGACCGACGAAGCTTTTGGCTTCGGCTGGCGCATGTCTCTTCACAAATGCCCCGCCATCTGATAGATACAACCCTTTGCCTTTGCGTGGGTCTGACTGCGGGATCAGCTGTGCATTGGGAATGCCCTCAGAGGGACATGCGGTGAGAATGTGTCCCGAACCTGCGCAGGATGTTGTCGCGGAGGCCTTTGCGCCCTGTGCAATAGTGCGCTGCCTAATCAATGTCATTCCCGACGGCAGAGTGCGCGCCGCATTGGCCAAGTTGGCCCGCCAGCGCTTGCCGCGCGAGAAGAATTTCGTTGGCGCCGGGGCTTCCGGCAGGCGGGAGCCCGCCGACCTCGCAGCCATTGCAGGCACTGCGCGGCGACCCAAGGCGGCCAGATTTTGGCTTCTGGCCGCCCGCCTGCGTAGGTTCGGTTGGCAGGAATGAAGGTGCGAGAAGGCGCGGCCAAAATCTGCGTGAAGGCACCAAAAGAATTGGCAAAACGCAAGCCAATCCGCATGCTACAGACCCGAAAAAATGGGAGACTTTCCGGACTTAGCCGCTTTGCGGCACATTTCTTGGCCCGCGCAAGTTTTTCGGACTTTCGCGGAGGACGTTTTGCTCCAAGGACTTGCAAAAAACTTGTGAGAACACTTGCAAACGAGACGCCTTTTTTTCGCCTCCCGCTCGTTCGCCCCACGGTATGGTGGGCGGAGCCTTCAAATTTGCAAGTTTTCTGCAAGTTTTTTGCAAGTCTTTTGCAAGTCCCGGCGCAAGTTTTTTGCAAGTCCTTGGAGGCAAACATCCGCGCCAGGACTTGCAAGACCCGGACTTCCGGGAGTCCTTCCACCGAAAACGCCTAAGTCCGGAAAACAGCAGCGCTTTTCGTGCCCATACCATGCTGATTCGCCTGGTTTTTTGGGTCGTTTTCGTGCGCCGGCGCGAGTTGCCCGCGGCGCAAACCTCCTGGCGGAGGCTTCCCAAGCTGCCTAGCAATGGTCGCCTTCCCTGGCTGCGCAGCACCTGGGGTGGCCGTTGTTCTCGGAGTAAATGCGCCGGCCATGGTTGTCTTTCGATTCTGCTCTCAGAATGCCTGCGCGGCTTCGGGCGAGCGGTTTCTTTGGCAGAGCGGGGCTTCTGCGTGCACAGCCAGGTAGGCAGCCCCCTATGGCCACGGCCTTGCGCCCTCCACGGCTAGCCTAGGGCAGCAGGGTTTTGGGGCGTGGTCTGCCTCGCCCCGCCCAAGCCGGCAGGCTGGCAGGTGTGCCCGGCGCCCTCCCTTGGTAACCTCGCGGTGCCTTATTAGTGTCTCTACCGGCGTGCACCTGCTTCACCTGGCAGGGGCCTTGGCGTTGCCTCCCCTTGCCTCCTTCGGGCGTGTGGTGCGGCTGTGGCTTCGCCTCTTCTGAAGAGGCCAGCCGAGCAATGCCAATTTTTGCCGGCCGCCAGGCCATGGTGGATAATGTTGCCCCCGCTCTATTGCTGGCTGTGCGGGTGCGGCGTGCCACACCATGCAGGATGGACCCGGGACACATTGGGGCCGCACCGTATGGCGGCCTGTATTTCTGGCCAATGAGGTGCCGGGGCCTGGGCCAGCGTGTGATGGCGGCTGTGGCAAGAATGGCGGCAGGGCACGGCCGCCACGCTTCTGCCAGCCCAGTGCGTCTTTTTTGCTGTGTTGGCGCCGCCGGGCTTCCAGCCAGCGGCGCCGTGCGCATTCGCCCCCGAACGGGCGCGGGGGGACAGGCTAGCGCCACCCGGCCGGGCCACCCACGAAAAAAAACGCCCCGGAGGGCGGCGCCGGGATTCTACAGATGCTTGTGGCGCCTGCCGCCTGCTGCTGAAAAAGTCGTATGCGCGCAAGTTTTGCGCAAGTCCGCAGCAAGTTCTGGAATCGTCTCGCGCTATCCACCGTTTTGGCTCTAATAGAAGTGGGAGATGAGGGCGGCGGGGACGAGCGAAGCGCTCCCCCCGGGGGCACAGCCGGGTTACCAAGGAGTGCGCCTTTCTGACCTGTCCGCGCAGGGCCCCGGAAAGGGACAAATTTATGGGTAGAGCCCCACATCTACCAGTGATTTTTACAGTCACAAACATAAATTTAGTTGTTATTGCTATGGTTGGTTAAAAGGGCACTTTCCCCGTCCTTCGTCTAGTTGGTTATAACTCACAGTTTTGTACCAGCAATAACAAGCGCCATGTCCTTTGCCAAGTCGGTACGCGGTTTTGTTCTGACCTGTGGTGTTTCTTCTTCCCGTATCAGTCTGAAGATCTCACATGGTGGTAAGTGAAATATCCGTCAGGGCAGTGTTCGTCTTAGTGTCATACAGTGTTAGTCTCTTTACCTATAGGCGTTGTTCGTCCCCGATTCTGTTACTTACTGCTGGTTCTGTGGTGCGTATACAGGTTTGTGTCCGTCGTCAAGTTCTTCCTGGTTTGTTTTTTTTTCATGTCGTCTGACCCTTTTTTTGACTCATATGGACTCCTGAAGGGATCGCTCTATCGTGATTTTTGGTGCCCGGCTCGGTTGGTGGTAGTTCTTGCTCGAAAGTCAGACACTGGCAGCACCCTAAATTTCTGAAATTCCCGCCCTAAATTTTCATGCATGAGTCTGGTCATCTAAGATCATCTGTGCCTGTGGTCTGTGTTTGCATTAACTTCATTCGCATAAGAATGCTTACTTTTTTGCCCTCGGTCCCTGCAGATTTTGCTTGTCGGTTGTACCGCGACAATGACAGCACTGCAAATCTTTCTTAAGTTTCGGCTGTGCTGCCTGTGGCCAGGTCAAAAATTTTGGTGCGTCACATGGCAAAATTGACTTTTTTCGTGCGGGTTTTTTTCGGTCCTTTTCGGTCCTTCGTCCTGATTCGTACTCGGGCTCCAGCTTTCATGACTAGCGTCGTTCCTGGAAGGTTAAATGTTGTCCATCCTTTTTTGGTTTCTCAACTTCTACTGGTATTGCTCTCTGGTTTCTCTGAGCTCTCCTGTAAGTCTATTCAGAAATCAATAGCGAAGAGGTTCACAAAATGTCCAGCTAAGTCTTGTTTGTCAGTTTCTAGCTCGGGCGCGCGGGTCTTGTTTGTCAGTTTCTAGCTCGTGTGCGGTGTGGTCAGTTCATGCGCAGAGGCGGTCTGCTCGCTCGGTGTGGGAGGTTGCTATGCCGTATCTTTTCTCGGCTGTGAGCGATGGGTCGCTTGTCTTTTACATACGGTATACCCCAGTCACCGGGACGTGGGGGGCATGATGTATGGCCGGGGTGATTGCAGTTTGCTAGCCGGACAGGGAATTTTCTTGCTTCCGCTACCGATCACGGGCTGGGTTCCCGCGGCTTCTTTCACCGTCATTTAGGTTTGGTGGGCGGCGCCCGTTCAAATGGCAGTGTGCGACATGATGCGTCTCTTTCAGGATTTTGGTCTTGGGGGCCACAGTTTCTTCTTGTCCATTGCTTGGCGGATCCTCAGAGGTTGTTATTGTGGCACGCGGCCGCGCCGGAACTCGCCATGATGAGAGGATTGTAGGTATCGCCAGGTCGTCGAGGGGGAGGGCGTAGGACCTGTCGTGCGGGTTGTTCGAGATTGCTTACAGGACGCGTGCGAGTAGAGTGGCTCCCTTCTATGAGAGGGATTTCCTTCTTCGGGTCCTCACATACACTGCTCCTGCCGTTTGCGTAGTTGGTTTTCGCTGTGAAGGATTCATTTTTTTTTCCCCCTCCCTCCCACCCAAGTGGCCGCTCACGTCGTGCCGGTCCGCCCGGACAGACGTGTTGGTGGTGGAGTGGGCCGTTCCCCGCTACGGAAGCTAGGCCCGGCCTGCTTCGCCCAGCCCCTTCAGGCTCGATCCAACGGGCCGCTTGGGTGTTGGCTCTGTCTGGATAACACTCGGAAGGAACGCAGCGAAAGTACTAGAAGTGGGAGATGAGGGCGGCGGGGACGAGCGAAGCGCTCGCGTTCCTGCAATGGACAACGCGGAGGAACGGCTGCTGTTCAGCAAGACCGAGACCAGGACTCTGGGGTCCGAAGTCAATAGAAAGCTGATCGGGGTCAGGGCGCGGAGTAAATCGACCGATGCGCATAGTTCTGCGCTGTCACAGACGGCCATGACCCACGAGGAGGCAGTGAGGGAGGGCGGGCAGACCAGAAATAACCTGCGCCACGGCCTGTGGCTTTCGCAGACGATCCACGCAGTGTATGCGCCGCTCGGCATGGTTACCATGCTCTGCTTCGAATGGTACCAGCTGCGTATGGAGGGAATAAGCATCGGGTATCTGAGCGGACTCTTTGACCCCCGGAGCAGGGAGCCTTTTGCTGACGAGCAGGACTGGTCTGATTACGTGCAGCGCCGGGTCCTTGCGCAAAACGGCGACGTTCGTACCGTGTGCCCTGACCTCGAGTACCAGCTGCGCGAGCGCTGGGCGTTTTCTACATTTTTGCGCGTGCTGTACGTACATGGGGCTCTTGTCACAGGGGCCGTCTTTGCGTTGCTTAACATCGTGATCGAGTGCCAGACCCATTTTGGTGCTGCGAAAAGTCAAACTTTGGAGGGGCAGCGCGCGATACTAGAAATGTTCGACCCGGAGGACGAGGCAGACCCGCGGGAGCTCCGCGCCAGCGAAAGGACACCAAGCGAGATCATCAAACCCCGACTTTCAGCTAAAAGTACAAGATCGACTGTGGTCCTGCTACCGCGCGGCGGAATCATCAAGCGGGTGAAAAATCAGGTCTCTCACCGGCGGCATAATTCCTCGACCCTCCTAGCGGGGAATGAGCAGGAGGGCGAGGCTCGGGACCACGAAGACGATCATGCCTCTGGTTCTTCGGTCGTCGTCCAAGTGGACCTGAAGAAGACGGCCTTGATTAAGGAAGGTTCCTGGTCGTATTGGCTGCCCTGCCTGTGCTTCACTGCGGAGATACTGACCATCGCAATGGCGTTTGCACTTCCGGGCATGGTGTGTTTCGAAAGGATCATCTCTTCCTGGGGTACGACAGGTGTCACAAGTAAGGGCGGCGCCCGCAGCATTGGCTCCCTCGTGAACCGCTGGTACTACTATGCAATACAAATTTATTCCCGTACAGGTACATGTACAAGATGCATACACAAATTTCGCCAATTTGGAGTGTAACACTTGTCAACATGCTAAACTAGGCTCGAAGCTAAGTTTTGTCATGCAGAGACCGTATTTGTACGTGTCTGTATGGGAATAAATTTACTGTGGATAACTACGCCCTGTGGCAGAATCTTCCGGACTGCGGCCTGTTCTGGGACTCGGTTTCCCCCGACCCCCAGTGTTTTCAGCCTACCAACGCGTTCGGGCACGTGGGCGCGATCCCCTCGGAGCAGCTCCGATTCGAGCTTGGAAACCACACGAAGTTGTGGTGGATGCAGCCGTATCCACTGCAAAAGCATCGCACTCGTTCTTGTAGTCGCAATCATGCATGTGCATCATGTGACAAATCAGGCTTCCTATTTGTTTCTGAATCTGTGATACAAATTGAAATTCCAACTTTCTTGTTGAAAAAAAATGTCATACGCTTTACTTAAACCAGTGCGATGCTTTATTTGCAACGCATAAGCCGCCTGAGGTGACCTACACAACTTGGACAACAGAGCGGATCGCAAACTACCAGCTGGGAACGCAAATGACGGACTGGAAGCATGTCAAAAACACCTTCATTCCGGAATGGAACGAGTAGGGAAAAAAATACTAGATGTAGAAACCAATCGATACTTGAGCAGATTGGTCTGACTAGAAAAGTAAGTATGGATTTCTCTTCGCCCAGGCTACGAACAAAACAAAATAAAATGTTGCACCAGCATGAGCAACAAACGGAACGAGAAAATGTTGCACCAGAAAAAGTTCATGTACAGTACCAGGGGCTCACTGGAAGAAGATTTTTTCAGAATCAGATGCTTTTGGTGTATCTGTATTGCCCTTTCGTGAAATAGTAATTCAAATTGTCGGTCTGTCTCTGGTGTTGCTGTTCTTCTTCTCCATGTGATTCTGTAGTTTCTCCGTCCTCTTCCCACACACCTAGTATGAGCTGTGCCTCGTAATCAATCTTGTCTATGTGGCGGCACACAGGCCACCCCAAGGGATCGCGTACGTTAGAGCTGGGGGAAATTTAGAGGTGCTTGCAGCGCCCATATTGCATAGTGTGATAAATCTTGTCTATGCCTGGTGATCTATATGCTCCTGTTGGATTCGTATGTACTAGGCCATCGAAATTTTTCGTATTCGTGTCAAGGAGAAGAATGTAAGTCAACTCCGTATTGTCGTGTTGTTGTGAAGGAAAAAGTCATTTTCCTTTTTTCAGTGCTGGTGTTTGATCAAGTTTGCCTTCGTCCTATGCTCGGTCTTCGTTTTGCTCTTGCGAAGAAACGAGGTATGACCATCGACGTAATCAAGATCATGGAAAAAAGGCGGAAGGACGATGAGACCATCGCAGTAGGCGAAAAATCTTGTAACCGGCACACGACTTGCTCTCATCCTCCGTGAAAATTGTCGCCCAGAACGAGTTGTAAATTACAACGTCAAGACCTGGAATGTTCCGGAGCCCGAGCGGCGCGGCTATGAACCCCTTGCCGAACAACATTAAGGCTGGAACTTTTGAGGATCAGGTCGAAGTTGATAGTATCATTCTGAACGAAGACGAGCAGGCTCAGGAAACGCTTGTCGGCAAGGAGAAGTCTTTTGCTCAGCAACATATGACTACGGCCGCGAATAAAAGTCATTTTTTAGCCACCTCCGCGGCCTCAAATTACTCCTCGAACTTCGACGAATTTCAGCTGTCAAAAAGTGGCACTTGTACTAGAGCAGGAGCAGCCTCTACGTCGGCTTCAGGTGCAGGTCCTCGTCCTGGTGGCATTTTCAACATGGGAGGGCTCTTGCTCGGTTCGAAGCAATTCCGCGATAAGTGGTCGTCAAAGCTGTCGAACTTCTCCATTCAGTACAACCTGGGCTGCGCGTATGCAACGCAAATAAAGTACTATCGCCTTCGCCACGGTCGATGTGGATGTGAGAATGTCCGATCATAGAACGATTTATGAATGTATGATGTTGAAGAAAACGCTTCTTCTTCTTCACAAAAAAGTTGAACTATCTGCGCATCAAGCTGAAAGTACCCAGAAGTATAACTACAGCTGTTTTTCATGATCTTTGCTGATGAGAGCGACGACATCTTCAAGGCTCCTGTGCGATACCACATTTGCGTGGGATGACGCGACTTTGGCGATTGCTATTATGCAAACCCATTCGGATGTGATCGCCGACAGCGAGAATCCGCCCGACTTCCCGGTGCTTACCAAAACGGAGAAAACGCTGACTTTGGCGATGATTTTCGTCGGCAACGTGGTCGGGATGCTCAGCATGGGCTATCTGGGAGATTTGCTTGGCGTCCCGAAAGCCATCGTCTGCACCACCGGAATTAGCATTTTTGGACAGGTAGGTTCTTTTGTAGATACAACTTGATGCAGGAGCCGTTTGCCGGGTGCTCGAAGTAGTTTTTGATGCTGCGCCCAGATGACATGATGAGCCAGGACCCCCTCATCTTTCTCATCGTCGGGAACGGAGCACAACACCGACCTCCTTATAGTGATGCTGATTTTCTTCAATTTGTTACTACAGGCTGGCGTGGCGTTCTTCACGACCGGGGAGTGGATTTACGAGATTTTCATTCTCTTCCGTTTTGTGCTGGGCATCGGGGTTGGCGGCCTGTACCCCTTGAGCGCAAAACAGGCCGCGCTTGAAGCCAGGAAAGCGGCCGCGAGGTACCAATATACGTATATGGACACAGGAAATAAAGTTGTCAGGTGCGACCGCGACGCGAAGACCACAGGATAGTTTTTAGCTTCATATTTGTTCGAGTTTTGAGCTTTATGTGTTTGTCATCTACATATAAACATTTTATGGTCCTCGATGAAGCACGAGTCGTGCTTCAGCTTTGAAATAAGTGTTTGCAACTAGAACTACATTCAAGAGATGGTATATAAAACGTGCACTTCCACATGACTTTCAGCTCTTCTTCCTCACCTTCATCCGCAAGCGCGGACCAGGCGAGCAAGGTCGGGTGGAATTTTTTCTGGCAGCAGCCCGGCAACTGTGCTCCCTACCTCGTCGGCTTGTGCCTCTTTGCCGTGTCGACCAACACCGGTTTTCAATTTCGCTGCCTCGTCGCGCTGGGAATCGTGCCGCTGGCCTTGGTGTTTATGTGGAACGTCGAAAAAGTCAGGGAGGAGGAACTATGCTGAGCAAAAGCAATATCAAACGGAGATGTGGAGCTTGGGTAAATGAATTTTTTTTCTCCGATGATCTTTCCATGTGTTGCACCAACGCGAGCGCTCTTTCGATTTCGTACTTACCTTATCCTGGAGCTGAAATCCAGTGAATTCGCTCGTTACTGTTTCTTGTTTTTAACTTGGATGCGGTCGTCGCACCGACTACTGAACGCCTTCCATTGAAAAGGCAATCTTAATCTTTTTCATAAACAAAAACGATATTGCTTTGCTTTTCCCGTGCATACCCTTACTCGCTGTCGCAGCAAGACCCCTATCGGACTGGCTACCAACCTGGTCTTGAGAACACCTACCGGCTTCGCAGCAACAGCGCGAGTACCACGGCGGCAAGCACCTCTAGCGCGAACAACTCCGCCTCGGAGGCGACGCTCCCGGAGATAGAGCTCCGTGCCGACCTCGATCAGGATGTTGATCCTTTTGAAGTTTCAACGAATAATTCTGGACTCGGCACTAGAACCGAAACGTCTTCGAGCACAAGCGCATCGTCTGCAAGTATAATGATTAACGCTGGAGGTGGAGGTGGAGGACCAACATCAGCAGGAGGAAGTGCTAGCTCTTCCTCTTCATTACATAACGGAGCTGCAAGTAGGAGAAACACGATGTCCGCCCCCGGCGGCGCGCCTCTGCAGCAAATGTTTACGCCGTATAACAAGGAGACGCTGCTTGGTACCGGCGGCACGTGGTTCCTGTTCGACGTCGCCTACTACGGCACGCAGATCTTTTCTCCCTTCATTTTGCAGCAGATTTTCGTGCAGAAATCACTGCAGTCCAACTGCCTGCAGGCTCTGGTGTCCGCGTGTTTCCAAATCCCCGGCACAATTGCGGGGATCTACTACCTTCAGAATTACGTCGACGTGAAACAGCTGAACGCGCACGGGTTCCTGCTCATGGGCCTGGTGTTCGGCCTTTTAGCCGTGGGGAAATCCTACGAGCTGCCGTCAGAGTCGCTGTTCTTCCTGTACTGCCTGTTGCAGTTCACGCTGGGCTTCGGTTGCATCCTGGCGACGTACATTTTGCCGACGGTGGTTTTCGACAAGTCCGTGCAGTCCACGATGCACGGCATCTCCGCCGGGCTGGGGAAGGCCGGCGCGGCGGTGGGCGCCTTTCTCTTTCCCATCGTGTCCAATTCCCTGCCCAGTCACGTTGCCAACCAAACGCTGATGAGCATCCAGGCACTGGTTTGCTGCGCCGGGTTCCTGGTCAACCAGTGGTATGTGCCCGATATCGCGGCAGTCACAGAGCTGTTGCTACGCGAGGAGGAAGAAGGTCTGTCGAGGGTCAGCAGCCCTGCGAGCAGTGGCGCGATGTTAAACGCCAATAACACCAGCGGCTCTGCTGGTGCTGGTTCAACATTGACCTACCCACAGGTCTATGGGCACCACCAGCAGCGACATGCACTATCGTCCGCTGGTCTGTCGCCGGTCGAAACGGTTGCGGACCGAGAACTGCAGAAATTGAAAATACGCGGAGCGGAGTGACGAGGACAAACGACCATGCTCAGGATGTGTATAGAATTGCATTTTTACCTCCGAGAGGATTCATCTCAACAGCAGCATGGGCTCTTTGTTTTGCGGGTGGAAATCACAGATGGCGCTACTAAGTGCACGGCAGATAACGCTCATTGGTTCCGATTTTTTTCGCTGTAGAAGGGAGTGTGGCAGTATACATGCAAGTGTTTTGTACGCGTGGATGAAATTGGAGGTGGAATAGAAACAAATTTACCGTAAGAGCAAAAACTTTGTCTTTTAATCGGCGCCTTCGATTCATCTGCTGTTCCTGGGCCATCTGGCTCGTCTTGTGCGCTCATCCAAGGTCTTCAGGAGTTGCAACTCCAACTTCGTAAATACCTTCTTCATGATATGACTACATCGGGTTTCTTTTCCTTTTCGTTTGTAAGGAGAGCTGAAAGAAGCTCCTCCGGTGGTATCTCGTCGTAGTCACTTTTGACTGAAATAAAGTGATAAAGTCGAACGAATAAAAAATCAAGACCTGGGGGGTGACTGTTCTGCAATTTTTTTCTGAACACGTCTGAAACTGAATTAGATTGAGAAATAAGATTCTGTACGAAAATCTTTGACTCTAATCCATACCCATAGGAATTGGAGTTGTATCAGGCCGCAGAATTGGTCTGCATTGTGGGTTTTTGTTTTAAGAGGAGCTTCCGGAGTAACAACAAGTCCCTGCGACACACTTTTTTGCAGATCATTTGGCACGGTTAGATGTAGGGGGTGTATTTACTCACGCGCGGAATTTCGTATTTTTTCTCTGTGCACCATCACAAATTCCTTTTTCCACTCCGACAATTTCTAATCCAAATTCAAAAACCATGTCTGACTATGCGGTTGTGAACCCGAAGTTGTTATGTGCGCTCGCACGGCAGGCAGCACTGGCAAACGCCGAGTTTGACAAAGAAGACGCTGGTATGATTTTCAACTTATTTAATGACGAGCACACTCCGGCGCCACCGCCAGGTCTTAGTCTTACTAAGTAGAACAAAGACAACATCAATCAAACATGTCCAGCTTTACATCATGCTTATGATTATGCAACTTTTTCTTTTTGTTACAAAAATCCCCAACCAACACGAAGGTATCTCCAACGTGGAAGTGCTCAGCGATGGTTTTTCCATTTCCGCAGTTATTTCCGGGCCGGAACAGACCGCGTTTTTCGGAGGGTGCTTCAAGGTCTTGCTGCAAATCCCCGCAACGAATTTCCCCTCGTCGCCACCCAAGGCGTTTTTTCTCACCAAAATCTTCCACCCCAACATCAACAGCACGAACGGCGACGTGTGCGTGAATGCGCTGCAAAAGGACTGGGACCCGGCGAAATGGTACTTTGATTTCCATCTTTGCCATTGCCGCGTGGCGAAACTTTTTTTTCAAAACAGGCTTCGATGTCGTGTGTGTGTCTGTGTGGCATGAACAAAAGTCTTCACTTCTATCAAGCTTATTAACGACAGTTATTTCGCGTTTGTGACAACTCCTCTTCAATATGCGTAGGGCTATCAAAGATGAAAATCACAACCAGGTCGCTCGCCCACATTTTTCGCGTGATTCGCTGTCTCCTGATCATTCCGTTTCCGGAGTCGGCATTGAACCCGGAGGCGGCCCGGCTGTTCATGGAAGATTACCAGGAGTTCTGCGCGCACGCAAAAATGATGGTAAACGTGCACGCGAGGACAAGAATGCAGCCCGGAGCGGGCTCTGATAAGGAAAACAGTCAGCAGCGCCGGGGAACAGGTGTGGCGAACGCAAAAGTGACTTGCTCTGCGTCGGGTGCAGCACCAAATGGGACGACGACAAAGACAGGAGCTTCTTGCGAAAGCAGACAGGTTGTGATCAAGAACGCCAAGGATCTCGCCAGCGGAGATCCAGCGTGCGCCGCGAAAGCAACTACAAATAGCGGCGCAACCACCAGCGCTCTCGGCGGAGGTGGCACAGGGACACACGGTTCTTCGAAACTGGGAGGTATGCAAATGGCAGCAAAGAAAAGTAAGTCCGCGCTGCGCCGATTGTGATAGATAATAGAACAGTTGCAGGAACGGGAACGCAGCTGACGAAAATTGATTGCGTGCAGAATTACTTGGTTCGCTTCTTGCTGGATGTGCATTCGCTGTGAGATTTTTGCGAACACTATGCTTTGTGCTCCTGCTAGTGCTGCACCTACGACTCCGTACACTTTGTTTTTGTGATGTTTCTTGAGCAGTATCTCTATCTATTGTGGCGCTTGTTTCCGTATACACAAGTACACGAGTTCGATCTACATCATGCGCATACATGTAGTTTTTTCGTGAACTTCGCACTAGCGGTTGAAATTGATAATCGGCACCAGTGTTCACCGTGAACATCTACAAATTAACACCAACTGTACACGAAAATCTATCATCTTGAAAACCAAAACTTCTGCGCTCATCAGTGTTGTTTTGGTTTGCTTTTCTTCGGCAAATTGTCAAGGAAAGTGCCTGCATTGCTTTGATACCAGCATCTTCAACTTATTGGAACAGCGCTTCATCTCTACTACATGACGAAATCATTTTTTCAAATGGGGAAAACAACCTTTCGGCAGAAACGACTAAAATTCATACACCTCTGGGTTCAGCTCAAGCTTGGCGAACCAGGATTTTTGATTCAATGTACATTGGAGCATATAACAAAAATATGAAAGAGCACCGCGGCTCCGGTTTACTTACAAAGTTGATGAAGAAGGCGCCATATCGTCTTTTGGCGGCACCGGCAGCGGGCTGGACGGACTTGCTATTTGCATGTCCCTGTCCCCAGGGTAGTTTTCAGGAGTACAAACAGATCGAGTTTGTTGGCTCATTCTTCACGGAAAATTTGAAGATTGATAAGACGCATAATCGGGGTGGATGAGAGTTTGAAGATGAGAGACATTGGAAGTTTGGATGAGAGTTTGCAGATAAGATGAGAAGTAGAGATGAGATAGCACCAACAGAGGTTAGGTTCGAAAGCAATGAGGGACCGACAGAGACAAGAGCAGCTCCGAGATCGAGCCATGATGTGGCCCAGATCCAAACCATTGACCAAACCATTGACCAAACCATTGACATGCGACGCAAGCCACGCCCGATATTTTATTCATCTGGTGGAAATTTTATTTTTATGTTTACAGTTATAGGTTTCTTTGTAGACGAGCTCCGGTCCCACAAGGAGAAGCATGATTTTTTTGTGGCCCATGCCGTGAGTGCTGCCGGAATTTGGGTGGTGTTGATGTCGCTAGCGGGATGGGCGTGCGCGCAGATTCCCGCTCCTGCCGCACTCGAGCGATTGTGGGGCCAGGACCCGGCGCCGACTCGTCCCGTCTGCCCCCATGCCGGCAGCCGTGCACAGTGTGGGCAGAGCGGCGCGACACCTACCGTGTTGACGAAGTCGCCCGGGGGCCGGCGGGGCAGTGGCGAAACGCGGAGAGAACCACCCCGCTGCCGCGAAAAAGAGAGCCTCTCACTTTTGGCGAGCAAGGTTCACCGGGCGCGCCGCCGGCCGACTGCGGCAGGCTCCGCCCCCACCCGCGGGGATGGAAGCCTGCGCGCGCCGCATATGCCAGGCGCGGGCATTGTAGCCGCGCGCCCGCGGCCCCTTGGTGTTTTCGGCCCGGCTTGCCCCTGTCGCGTTGCCGCCCCGGCCTTCTAATAAATGGGGGCCCGGCCCGGAGAAGTTCCCAAATGAATTCGGTGGGGTCCCTGTGCTACGATTTTGCTGTGCTTCGTTGGTGTCCTAGCCCGGCAGCTTGTCGTGCGCGCGCGCGCGGCTGGCTCTATTCCGTCTGCCGGGTGTCGGCGCGCAGCGCTTTATGTGGAGCCGGGTCCACTCACATCGCAGAAGATGTTGGAGTCGCTCATGCGGCCACCAGCCTCGAATTGTCCACCGAGTGAGATGCCAATAGTTCTTGTCAGTACTCGGGATGGTGATGCCCCGATTTGGGGAAAAACCCCGTCTCTTCTTCTTGTTGCAGGTCCAAGGAGCGAAGGAACAAGGCGGCAGTACTGCGCAAGTGGATGATGTTGCGGAATTCACATTTTGAGACCTCAGTCCCAGTGTTTTTTCTTTTGACGAAGAGCAATTGAATTGACTAGCGTCGTCGTTTTGTGTCGCGCGTCTAAGTCCAGCCTCGGTGCGCAGAGCTCAGCGCTTGAGAGAAGAACCGATCGCCACGTAGATTTTGTTGAGGAGAAGTAGAAGTTGTGGCGCAGTCCATTGGTACTCGTCTTCGTTCGTTTCGTCTTTTGCGATAGGACGAGCGCCATCGCTGTTCCACCACGATATTTTATGTTTAATTTTGTCGAGATCAAACACGTAGAAAGGAGAATATTCAATATTGTAGTAAAAACAAAGCGGAACCACGCTAGTGAAGCCGGATAGCCCTCACGCCAAGTCCGTCTAGGCCTGTACGTTTTTCGTGTATCGACTGCCAGCTCATAAGAACTAGTCTGTACGTAGAACCAACTGCGCACGCCCAAAACGCCATGCCGACCTACCCGTATCAGACCACAGCGCCCCGCGCCAGCGGGCACTCGCGGGCTAGCAGTCGTGCTCCCTCGCCTTCCATGCTGCCGGGGTTCAAGCCGCCACCGTTGGGAAGTACGAATTTGATTCAACGACATTTATGATCTTTTCATCGACGCAACTCGTGTCAATGATGTGAATCTAGATCAGAAAAAAGTCGAAGTGCACCACGATTGACTCTGACTGTGAGCAGCAATTTGACCGACGTTCTTGCATGAAAAAAAAAAAGATTTTGAAACCTCAAACAACGCAGCCATCATCGCCCCTCCTGGTCTAGTTCCGATTCCCTCGAAGTTTATCGCGTCTCCCTTTGAGCGACGGGGTTCCAACACCTCCTTCGATCCAAATGTCCGGCGTCACTCTAACGACCCGATCTCGAAGTCCCACTCGGAGGTCATCGTGGGCACCGGTCCGGCGTGTAGCAGCAGCGCAAACTTGGCGATCCTCGGTGCGGGAGGAGCATTAGTTGGCACCTCCACTTCGCAAACGTACCTGAGGCCTACCACCCGCAACGCGATGAGCGCCAAAGCGTCACCCACCGGTCTGCAGCCGGTCTTTCCCGTACCGTCATCAAGTGTGAGTACTAAGCCAGGACTTCCGCAAGAGTACCACGGAAACAAGGCTGCTTCTCCAGAACAAGAAAACTTCTCGCAGTCCCAATCCGCGGGGGAATTCTATTTCTACCAGAAGAGCAAGTCCAATCCGGTGAACGCGCGGCCCCGGCCGCGAAACCAGCCGTTCCACAGCTTTCCCGCTCACGAAAACAGCACGTCGGCGCGGTCCCCGTCCACGTCCACCTACGAGCAGCTCTGGATCGCTTCGCGGGCACAATCCAGGGAAGTTCTGCAGCAGCCGACGGATCATGTTGTTCACGGAAACAAGATGCAAAGAGCGTATCAAATACAGCAGGAGCAGCACCACGTGGCAGTAGAAGAACCACAGGCCGCGCGGGTACAACAGCATCCACGTGTAGTGCCATCTTCACACTCCGGGCGTTCTCCAAATGAGCTGCAACAACATCTCCCACTGCCACAAACAGTAACTTCGAGTGACTTTGTGCCGCAGAGCTGCAACCACGTCCAGCGTGGCCGGTCTCGCGAACAAGCGAGCAAAAATAGCTACCAACACATCGCGTGCTCGCCGGGTGGCGGGGTGGTGGAACCGGTTGGCGCGACAGGTGCGATGAATAGCGACGCAAACAATAACTTTGAGGACGTTTACCCGCCGATGGAGAAAAAAGAGAGTAAACAAGCTGATAATCCGAAAAGTCACCAGATCTCGCATGGAAATAACCGGTCTCGCAGCAACAGCAGCAATTTCAACCCCAACCAAAACTTCGGACTCGCTATTCCGCAGATGCTCTTACCCGGCAGCAGTGTGCTGGCGCCGGCGGGTGGGCTGAAGACAAGCGGCAGGAGAAACAACAGTCCCCAGGACAACAACTTCGGCGTGTACAACTATGGGGGAGGAGCTGGCGCTGGTGCTGGTGATCATGATTACAACAACATTAACGTCGGCCCAGGAGCAGCGTTCGACATCATCGACGACATTGCTGACGCGTCTGATCCAACCGTCCCCCGAATGTTGAGTCACCAGATGAACTACGACTATCGAAGCAGTAATAGAGCGAATAATCACAAGAACTCTTCGAAGAGCAATTCCAATTCCTTCACCGAATTTTCCCTGACCGAGAGGTATCTCAGAGAAAAAGCCTAGCAAGAGGAGGTCACGTGCTTTGTGCTGCAGATAAAATAGGTACACGAATAAAAGGAGACGGAAAACCCTGCTTTGCATAGCCGAAAAGCCATCCTAATATGGGCCCGCCCACGACCCCTTTTTTTTGCCTGTTGTTAAATTTGTTTTCGCATTATAGCTGCTACCCTGCTAGCTTATTTTTTCTCGTTGATATGAGGTCCATCAAGGAATGGGAAAAGATCGTGAAGTACCGCGAAACCGACCTCGTGAAGCGGAAGGAGTCCGTGATGGAAAGCCGCGCCATTCTGGAGGACCGGCTGATGCTGCGGGAGCGGATTCTGAACGACTGCCAAAAGGTCGCGCGGAACGGCTACACGCACGAGAAGCAAATTCAGAATCTGGTGCTGGAGACGCAAGCGCTGGCGAACGAAATCCACCGGGTGGAAACAGAGCGGGGCGAGAAGGAGAAGAGGTTTGAGGAGAAAGAGATGGCGGAATTGCGGCAGGAGAAGAGAACGTGGATCCAGGAACACGTCGAAAAATTGGAAAAAAGCAACGAAGAATTAAAATCCGAGCTCGCGAAGGAAAAAGAAACCTTCGAGCAAACCGGCCTTTCTTGGAAGCAGAAGTTCAAAGAGTCCAAGAAGGAGCTGGATCAGTCCTTGAAAGAAAAGCAGACACAGCTGAAGCAGCTGCAGAAGGAGTTAGAAAAGCAAGAGTTCGACACGAAGTTGAAAAAAGACGAGGTCCTGTACCTGCAACGGAAAAACGGGGACCGGAAGGTGGCGCTGGACGAGGCGAGGGGAATTTTGGAAGAACAAATCTTCGTCGCGCGGTCCGCCATGAGCCGACACGTCAAGCGGGATTATGGTATTTTTTATGTGCTGCTCGCTGCTGTTTAGACTCTCACGATGTTGCCCCCTCTCTTCTACGTCGTAGCTTAGCTTCAAACTAGCCCCCCCCCCCCGTAACTAAAGCAGACCCCCGGTAGTAGTTCTCCGAGCTGTGCGTAAAAGATGAAGTAGCAGTAGGGTAGCACTAGCCCTAGCGTAGCTCCGGTACCCGCAGTTAGATTTAGAATGGTTAGTAGCCGCAGTTAGATTTAGAATAGGAATACTACATACATACTACCTCTCTGATGTTTGCCGCTTTTCTGCCGTTCGGATTGGCAGATGAAGCAGGAACAATAAGTAGGAAGATGCGCCGTCGCCGATCGATCTTGACACTGCTCACCATCAGGCGGCGCGTGCTGCTTTTCGTGCGAGAAAGCAAGAAAGAAAGTTGCATTTTCGGTCCAGATGAAAAGTGATCGGTACAACGTTCACAACACGACGTCGCTTTGATACAGAGAATCATTTCTATCGTGCAAGTGATCGTCATCGTACTAAGACCAATCGTACAACAGCAAGATGAGAGCGTGGCTGTGATACCGTGCACGAATGAACCTGATCTGGTAACCAACGCGGGCATCGGTTTTAGAAGGGCGTAGCTATCGATGCCGTGCTATTGACGCTCCACCTGTAGTACAACTCACTCGAAGATGTTTTTTCACACATATCATCAAGACGCTTTATCAGATTTACGCTCGGCTCATCACAACCCCCTCAACAGGTCCCCCCCGCTTGAGTGAGAGATATTTTCTACTTGTCGATCCTCATCATGTGCATTCATCTACGTTTTCCACGTTTGCATGATGTACTTAGCTGCAAGAACGCTAGAGAATAGAAATTGCGCTTCAGTGGTGTTAGAAGTAGTTGTAGAGAGAGAAGAGGCAACACGCAACAGGAACACTCGGTCTATGCAGAAGTATAAGTGTTTTCGTCTTCTCGTCGACTTCTTACTGGATCTTGATCTTCGGCATGCCTCGTCCACAACCTAGGCTTGCTTGGTGCAGCCTGTGGCAGGTTCGAAAACCACCAAAACAACACGACCAAGATGGCCGCTCGCTTTCGCTTCCAGGAGGACCCGGAATAATAAATGACGTGACGTCCACCTCGTTGCACTTCGTGCCTCGTGTCTTTGCTTCATTGAAGACGAGGACAAAGATCATACGTGCCAAAATCTCCGTCAAAACCGTCCGCACGCCCTCGATCATCAAATGGAAAATTTAGATCGTGCTTTCACCGTCGTCGTGATCGATCGTCAACATCTGCAACGGGCACTAGCACAACTTCATCTCCGTCCTGCTCGAGATCACACGCGCTGCTCGTGAGATTATGGATCGCTTCTTCTAAGGACCTCGCTTGCAACGTACTAGAAGTGAGTCTGTCAACGTCATCGTTTAGAGGATCGGACCGCTCACGTTCATCACTGTAAAGCTCAGAAGGATCTGAATCGTCGTGATGCGTAAGTAGAACATCGAGAAACTACGCGGTCCATCGTCCAAGATCATCTGCAACGTGGTCTACAACCGTCCAGGAAACAAAGCTACGTCCCTGAGTCTTCAAGTATCTGCCGCGCGTCAAGAGGAAGAGGTGTCAACGTCGAGAAGAAGAAGCGTAGGAAAAATGGTCGAGATGGAGAGATCATGCTTTCAGTCCTTCGTCCTTAGTTTTGTACAAACTACAGGTTTGCTGGCCCGGCGAAATCCGACCTGCGTGCGGTAAGCTGGGTCAGGGAAGGGCTGAGGATCGTATTCGTGATCGTAGCACTCTTGCGTCACATTTACGTTCTTGTGTGCCGAGATGAAAGGAGCTGCAGCTGTAGAGGAGAAGAAAGCCGTATTTATCGTGCTGGTCGTGGGGAGACTATAGTGCTGAGAGGAACTACACCCGTACCAAACATCCGTGCTCTGCTGTCCTGGAAACCGTGCATTGACCAGAGCGAAGTCAGTTGGATGTGGAACGTTGAAGGAAATCGGTGACGCTAGTCCTAGTCGTGCCGTAGCGTACTCTCACATCGTGGCGCTGAAGGCAGCACTCGAGTGCAGAAGTAGATCTTGTCGCGCGCCGTCCAGCCAACTCTTCGTCTCGCTCGTTCCTATCTGCGTCCAGCCTCTACTACGCGCAGATCGCACAGAACGAGTTGACTTTTTTTTTCGTGAAGGAGATTTTGAATGGGTTTGCTTTTCTCCCGTACTGGTACTTCAGCTTGGCCTTGGCGTTACCTCTACTCATCACCACCTTCAAGCTTCTCTAGTTTCACTTCTACTTCTTTCGATCGAGAAGACCTGCTTCGCAGTATCTCACTATTATTCACAGAGGGCGACGAAACACCGCGAGGGCGAAAAATTTCACAAGGAGAAAACCGCGAAACCTCCATGGATCGGCTCCCATTCCGAGCCGAAACCCCAGGGCAAACGGTCCCCATTCCGAGCCTATACCTCCGGGCAAACGATCCCCATTCCAAGGCTATACCTCCGGGCAAACGATCCCCATTCCAAGGCTATACCTCCGGGCAAACGATCCCCATTCCGAGCCGATACCTCCGGGCAAACGATCCCCATTCCACGCGAACGATCCCCATTCCGCTCTTTTTTATCATACCGAGAAAACCGCCCGCCAAGTCAAACCTACTTCGTGCGAGTGTGCATGTAGTTGTGGACACGCATCAGGAAATCAGAGAGAGCGCTTCCTGTTTGTCTTCGCTGGAGCTTGCTTATTATCACATACCAGCACACCAGTCGCGGACCGGTCGTAGTGCTTTTGTTCTGAAATCACGCGAGACCACAACTACATGTGCGCGAGCAGTGAATTTGGCTTGGCGCCGGAAGCTCTTGACTTTGCCACTATACCCCATACCTCCGCAAGTCGATCCCCGCATGACAAGAACACCACCTCCGGGATTCGAACCCCCAACCTCCGGGATTCGGTCCCCCTTCCATTTTGGGCCCTGCGTCGAGTATCACCTGGAAAAGCTTGCTGCTTTCTGTTGGTTTTGCATGGATGTTGCGCACAGTGTAGCACTTTTATTGCACACAGCTGAGGCTGTGTTCGTTGGGGCTGGCGACTCCTCTTCGTGTTTCGAGGGCGCGCTGGCTCTGAATCGATATTATGATATTAGCGCACAATTGTGGGCATACTAGTTTCAATTTCTTTGTTGTGCTTGTGAGCGAAACGAAAATAAAGTTGCACGGACGGGACAAAATCAGAGCAGAAGCAGGCAGGCTTTTTCAAATCCTTAACAAAATCCGAAGTACTTGCGGTAAGATGCGGGGCCGACGGCCACGTGGGTGTAATCCGACGTACGTGCGTATGACGCGCAATTTTTCGAGTGAAACTTTGCAAGGGGGGTTTTGTATGCTGATTTGTTGCAGCAGTTTCTGGAAAGAATTTTTGCATAACTATTTCCGCCATCACCAACACAAACTAACCACGCTTGTTTTCTCTCCTTCGCGTTCAGCAACTTGTTCTCGGGCGGAGGATCGGCAATCTAGATTTTTGCTACTGTATGTTCACTGCGCGAAGAAGTATAGGCTGCGGAATTGCGTGGTAAGAGGAAACAACTACACACTGCTGCTCCATCTTGAAGGCATCTGCTGCAACAGAAACGACACAAAAGCCCTCCCTCCGATTTTTACCTGCCCTTCCATACTCGGGTAAACCTCGTGGCCACGTCGTGACACAGCGGCAAGGGTTTAGGGTTTTAGCGGTTTAGGGTTTATTTCTATCCGGCGGCGACTCGCAACGCAGAGAAGCGCCAGCCTCGTCGGGTTTGCTGTTTGTTTTTCCAGTCGAAGTAGTTCTCTGTGTTGCTGGTGTCCTGTAGTCGGTTCTCGACATCAACATTCTTGTCAAGGTGATCTACATGTCGATCTAGAAGATCATGATCCCAAACTACTACGACGACAAAGTAGTCCCAGATCCATACTAAACCACCAGAGGAGGGGGAGACAGACCGACGACGTGAGGAGTCCTGTTGGTCCCAGAAACGTGACAAAACCCAGCCAGTGACGGAAACGGAAGAAGATCGCTGCCAATGTTTCGATCAGGACGAGCGCGGCATTCTCGTCGTGCAAAGAAGAATCGGAAGCAGATCTATAGTGCCTTTTTCTTTTCAATCTGATGATCCAGTTGGTCGCTCCAGTCAAAGCATTTTGTCAGGGTGGAGCGTCGTCTTGTCAGTTGTAAAAAAACGTATAGCAGAAGCGCAGAGAATTGTGAGGGCTCTCCCGTAGGTTCTATCAGGTCCAGCGCCATTATCGTGCAAGATCGTGCCTAGTACTGCTGTCGTGGAGGAGTTTGCTTTCTGATCATTTTTTTCGTTTTGGAAAACTAGAAGCAAGAAGAACGGTCGTTCTGCATCTACTTACATACTGTCACGTGACAAGTAAGCTGTCGAGATCGTCCTGAGTCATTTTGAGCCGATCAAGCGTCCTCGCGATTGCAGTGCGCGAACCAAAGTCTGGAAGTCTTTTCTGTGCGCTCAGAAGGTCTTTTTTTTTTTTCGCGGCACTTATTTTTGAACTGGAAAAAAGTCGGAAGTCGTTTATTTGAGTCTCGCAGAAAGAATAGAGAAACTCACTTTCACCGTTGTCGAATGTCGGAGTAAGTCATCGTTCTTCTAGTCATAGTTACTTATCAGTTAGTTTGGTGTGGTTTGTAGTTGATACTATTACTCTTTTTGGCTCCGAGAACAAGTAGTTGCTCGTGTCGATTCATCAAGAAAGAAGTAGTTGCGCAAGAAGACTGAAAATCGTCATAATGCTAATAGTAATACATCTTTGGTTGATACCGTAGTTGCCGTTCTGTGGACAAGTTTGTGAATAGATGAATATGGAAAAGGAATTAATACCCGCCCCACGCACACAATAAGAAGAGCCGGGATATGCTGAGATCTCACATTAACCTCGTGGTAGTATCCCTGCACGAACAATATCGATATTCCAAGATATTTACCCTTCCCCAATCATGGATGGATAATGTTAATATTGAAAAGTGAAGCCTACCCCAGTAAACCTAAACACGATGTCATCTGACGAACCTCTCTTGATGAACGAATGAACAAAAAAACAATTTTTGCACAAATAAATCGTATATTACAAAAAAATCTAACTCTTTAGCCCGCGCCGAGACCGAGGAGCAAAAAGCGGTCGAGGTAAAGTCGAGCACTTCGCTGGGCGAGAAAAAGTTAGAAGAAGACCTCCACACCTTCGAGTCCGCAAAGGTTCGGAGGAACGAACAGGCCGAGCAAATGGACGAAGAACTGCTTCGGTTAAGCCAAAGGGAGGAAGTGTTGTTCGCACTGAGATCGGAAATTCTGGATTTGATCCGCGTCATCAACATCGATGATTTGCCGCCATGGAAGTTAAATGCCATGAGTCGGTCTAGAAACGCGACTCCGCGGAATTCGCAAAACTTAACCAGCAGTGTACAAAGTGCCGTCTTCGGGTTAATGGGAAGCAACATGGGAAGTACGTGCATGTTACTTTATTCCACCTGCTGCCTGCTTTTGTGCATAAAATAGTAGGATGTTTGACTGTCCTGTATTTGGTTTGTAGCGCAAGCGCGTATACTTGATTTGATAAGTTTGTTCTTTATTCTTGTTGTACTTGTAGGTATCCACAATCCGCAAGCAGACGACACAACTCTGGACGAGGCCGCGAAATTCCTCGAAAAAATCCAGAACATCCACGACGAAGAGGCGGCGGCTGTGTACAGAGATTATAGAGTTTTTTGCCGCAGAGCAGAATTTGAATTTCGGTTTTTCGTTTGTGAGTCGCGCACTTGTGGTGTAGCTAGTGATTGTGAATTGTGTTCTGTTTCTTCGTGCGTATCCGTATCCTGCGTGACAACCACCACCACAATATCCAAACCCAGCAAGCACTTCCGCGAGCTGTGTGTGTCTTCCGTAGCCGCCCGCGACCGGATCCCCGCGGACGTGGAGGTGAGCCACGCGGGGCGGATTTCCGGCAGCTGCGCCGCGGTGCTGCGGGCGCGAAACCGTCTGTCGGAAAAATACGGTTCGGAGGCAGAGCAAATCGGGGCTCAGTGCGAATTGTTGCCGGACGATAGCGACATGGTGTCGTGGGTTTCGGTGAATAGCGACGTCGAGGAAGATGAAGAAGGTGATGATTGTGAAGGTAATTGCCCGGGCGAGGACCATGGCAAAGAGACCGAGGTCGTGGTTGAAGCGCAAGCAGTGGTCGTGGAGACTTCTACAAGTCGTGCAGGAGATGATTTTTACGACCAGAACGGCGCATCTTCAAGAAACGTGAACCAAATCCACATCGCTGAACACGAGATTGAGGTAGAGGTCGAACCGGAAGTAGATGTGGATGGGAAGCAGCAGCAGGGAGCAATCGTGGAAGTAGACCAAGATCTTCATCAAGAAGAAGTGCAGCCCAGCCCAATCCACGACGGCCCGGATGATTTTTCCTTCGGACAGAAGCACTCCGCACGAACGGACGTCGCTGGAGAAGTACTCTCGACAGAGAGGGAGGATGAGCAAGAAAATGAAAATGTTAAGCGAATAAACGTCATCACCGTACCCGCTTCCGCTGTTGCAGCGAGCATGCAGCATGGCCAAATGAACGTCCTGCAGAGCTCTATCGGTACTACGAGTTCCAACGCGACAACACTGCTCACCGCGACGGCACTCGCTGCGAATTTGAACATGGTCACGCCAAGGTTCGTGAGTCCGGGCAAACGCGGGGCGACACAGGTGAGATGTTGGTTTTTACTCATGAAAGTGATGATCATCTCACTCGAAGTCAAATCAGTGCGGACAAGCATTGGCAGCTTTTGTAATAGATGCCAAGTTGTTGTTGTTCCATTTAGCCTACGCATGACTTTCTCTTTATTGTGCGTCACAAAGACAAATACAAATAAAGGTGGACTCCAAAGCCAGTTCAGAGGCCGCCTACTTCGGAGTTTCGGAAGGAACGCCCGACACGTTGAACCTCTCTATGACGCCAAATTTTGTGGGAAATAGTGCGGTCACAGTGGAAGAAACTTCCACAAATGGTGCGACACAGCCCGTTACTGGACCGCAGCAGGTAGAATTTTTTCGCGATTTTTGTTTTTCTGCCAGATATAAAAGGAGAAATCTGCATACGTTTTTCGTTCGATTTTATGTCGCAAACAAATAAAAAAGCATGAGCGAAAAACTCAGCAGATCGTCCACTCTGCGTCCGCAAAGTCGATCATGCAACACGGTCCAGCAGGACCACTGGAACAAGCGCCGCCACTGACTGCGCCACAGCCACAGCAGCCGGCGCAAGTCCCGATGGCGCCGGAAAGGAGTAGATTCGTAGGACACCATTCGTCCACGCCATCAGCTGGAGCAGGTCCAGCTGCTACTACAGCCCCGACGACGAACTCCTCTAGTCGGCAGCGCAGCCGCAGCACGAGCCGTGATTTCGCCGAGTGGTGCGCCTCGAAGGATTTCGCGAAAGCAGTTGTCGCGCCGACGATTCTGCTCGGCCCAGGAATCGGCTCTTCAACCGTGTCCTACGGAGCAAGTTTTGGAGCGGCGACTCCAACTGGTGCCGTCATCTCAGCATCCACTTCTGCAGTGCCCGCAGCAGCAGCTGCTGGCCCAGCAAGCAGAAGCGCGTCAGCAGAAATGATGGTACGCACGAATGTCACAAGAACCTCGAGTGAGACGGTCACGCCGACCGGTGCTACGACGATGGCAGCTAGCAACAGTGGTTTCTTCAAAAAGACTATCATGCCAACCCCCCAGCAGCAACCCCAGCTGTACGCGAAAGTGATCAAGACGCAGAGGCCGCTCGTAGAACACCATGCGTAGAAGACAGCAGAGGGTACCATGTTGGGTAGAACGAATGATGTGCTACTAATTAAAACAGAGTACAACCGTGATAAAACTACAGTTGTTACCGTGATCAAACAGTTAACACTACCGTGACTAATCATGAGAATCGCAATGGGTTATTCAAGGAAGAATCTTCGATGGTAGCTGCGAATTTCAATTTGCTATCGATACGGGAGATGATGAGATTTCTGAAATAAATGTGAGCTTGCCGCAATCGCAAATTGCGCCGCTTCTTGATCCTCCATCAGGTTTGTTTTTTCAAAAACAAAAACTGATACCTAGCGCTGTGATGAATGAATCATCTTCTACGATTTGAAAGAATTGCGACTATCGGACGATAGAACAAGTTTCCTGACGAGCTATAATTATCTTCGCTTTGTCGCTTTGAGTCCTGGTTGGTACTAGAAATATCTATGCGCATCAACGAGATACCAAAACCAAAAGAAAAAGAATTATTGTGCTGGTAGAAAAGCATCGTGTTTAAGTTCATGGGTCGCCACTTTCGATCTATTCATTCACGAGCTTTACTGCTCGTCAGCTGTTGACGTAATTTCTGTTTTCCGACACGTCGACCTTGACTTGTTAGGAGAAAAAACGCAGCTTTTGACGTCTTGTACTCGTTATGAAGAGGAAAAAAACAAGTGAAGATCTAAAAGATAGAAAACAGTGCACAAGAGAAGAGTTCTTTACGCAATTACAGTGATGAGAGAAACGCGAAGTCATCCCTGCGATACTTCGTAGAAAGCTTATTGTGAGTCCGCAGAGGGTTTCGCTGAACGTGAGCCTGCAGCTGCGGCCTGTTCCTTTTGTTCTGGAAACGCATTTGAGCAATCTCCCCAAAACTGAAGAAGGATCATGTTTTTCTCTTGTTTGAGCATCATGGTTTTCAGCACTACCTCAGCTTGATCAAACGGACCAGCTTTCTGACAACAACCGGCTGCGAGAATAGTGAAAGAAACAGCAGGGTCGGAAGTGCTTTTTTCGACAGATTCTTTGGTTGTTTATGTTTTTTTTTGTCGTGGCCGTAGGTCTTGACGATTGCAAATCAATTTCAATTTTTTCCATTCACAGGGCATGTGTCTCTTGAAGGTAAATGGAAATAGATTGTCGCGATGAAAAGCTTGATGCTAGGTTGAAAATTCGACTTCTCTTTTAAGTGAAACGTGCACGACTCAAGAACTTAACTTTCCTCGCATTGGCACTTTTTCAATTTCAATTATGACGAAGCAAAGCTGCTTGCAGTGACTGTTTCGCCTGATAGATAAGGACTAAGCTTTTTTTATTGTATGAACTGGACTACTGATCTAAATTTTTGATTCTCGAACGAAAATCGATTACAACTCAACCAAGAGTTTTGTCGATTCCGATTGTAGTTCTACCTGCTCTGCCGTGCGCGGCTGCTGGAAGTTGGCAAACAACTCGTCTTTTCTAAAGATTTTTTTGGAAGTGTCTTCTTAACTTTACTTTGAGATAAAGTATACAAGTCTGATATTTGTTTCTTTTCTTCACATTTCGAGTGTGAATTCCGACTGAAGAAACCGGCGCCGGTGGAGATAATTCTTACGGCCAAAAATTTGTGACCGCCGTCTTCAACGAAATCATAAACCAATCACATTACAACGTGGTGTGAGTACGAAATCAAGCAACAGAAAACCGCAGAGGGGAGCGGAACAAGTCGAAGCTAGTACCACCCCAACCAAGACATCGGAGGTCGGAGATGATGTCCAAGAACTCATTTTTCACGCATTGCGCAGCCGCGCTATTCTTGCGGACGACCACAGTCTTCAGTGCACAACAGGACCAGAAGTGCAACTTTCTTGCTGAAGCTGCGGTGGCTACTACACCAGAAACAAGCAATCCACCGAGTCCGACAGGAACTTCCGTCCCGCGCACACCCTCTACTGCCACCTCGGCGCTCCTGGGTACCACGGCGAGCAGGAGCAAACCCCGTCGCCACCAATCCTTCCCTCGAACTGCAGCGAGGAGGTTAACGGCGCTGAATTTGAGTCCGATCACGAATGGCGAGCACGAAGAAAAAGGCCTCGGCTGGGTGGATCGCGGGGTATTGCACGGTACCAGGCAGGACGAGGACGGGGGGCATCAGGATGGTCAACATCTTCAAACGGGTGTCAGGCTGGACACGAGAGGAGAATTCTTTGCGGCCGCGAATCATTTTCCTGAAAAAGAAGACGAAGACACCGACTTTGATGTCCAGGCAGCTGCGGAGGTCGTGGGACGCAGATCTTTCACGGATCACGACGAGCTGCGAGAAGGTGATTCAAATGCACCTCCGCAAGGTCTTTCCGGCAGCCTGAATAATGCGTCTCGGGTCCGATTGTTGAAACGGATGCAGCGATCGCGAGGAAACGCGGCTCCGGCGCAAGGAGATGAAGTGCGTCAAGGCTTGCGAAATTTCTGGCCGGGAGGTGGAGAAATTGCGAATGCCAAATCATCCTCGTCGTCGTCCGTCGGAGAACATCATGAACCGGAGTACAAACCGGGACGACCGTCGAGTCTCTGCGTGGAGGAGATTTTTGAAGACGCTTTCGAGGAGCCGGAGGAGCGCAATGGCACTACTGCCGCCACCACATCAATCCTCGGAGTCATCGAAGACTCGTACCGCCCACGGCTCCGCCCCCCGCCGACCTATGACATGTTTGAGGCTGACTGCACCGCCGATGAGTACCTGGCCCGGCACTTGCGTGTTCTGGAAAACGAAACCCCGACTCATCTCAGTCCGCCCCGGAGTTTCCCCGGCAGAATCGAACCGCCGCGAACTTTTGATGGGTTTCGAGAACACGTTACGCAAGATGACTACTTGCAGCGGTGTCTGCAGCAGGTGCCTGCGGGGGGTACTAGAGAGCATGACAAGCAAGGTGGTGGAGCAACTTCATCTGCAGCTGCTTCCCCACCTAGTAGTACTGGCGCGCCAGCGCTGATGTCAACATCCGGAGTTGCTCCCACTGGATCTTCCTCTACTTCGCTGTTGCCAGAAGGCGCAGCCGCTGCTGTTCCTGGCTCTATTGATGGCGACGCCGCGGCTGCACCGACCTATGAGCAGAGCCCCTCGTCGATGCATCATGAAGAAGGCAACGTCGAAGGGGATTCTGTGGCCGAGGCGATACGAACTTTGGACGACTTTGAACCGATCCTCGATGAACAAACTGCAGCAGTACTAACAGGCCGTGGTCCTGATCATGATCCGTCTCAGGCACCACTACTGACGGACCACCAACAACAGAACCAATGGCAAGAACAGCACATCGCGCCACAGCCAGTAGCTTACAACCACCAAGGACATGGTCCCTATCCCACTTTTCCTCACGGAATTCCTCCGTCCCTGGTGAATTACGTGCAGCACGGGCAATCAGGATCGCAATATCCGTACGTCGCCAATGGTAGTCCAGTACCACCTGTTCTACAGCCTCCGTATCCCGGAACTCCCGCATCAAGTGTAGTTCCGCCTGTTGCGGCCCCAATCTTTCCCGCTGCTGGAGAGCTACAGGGCGCAACAAGTACAGCTGAACTCCCATTGCTGCCGAGCGAAGTGGTGAGCCACGTCGTGGTGGACATGTTGCAGCAGGACCTGCAACGTTATCTTTCGCTTTCCCACCCAAACCGCAACTGCCATCCGCCCAGAAACAGGTACAACTGGAAGCGTAGGAACAACGACTGGAGGTGGAGAAGTGGTGGCACCACCTCCAACAGCAAGAACTACGCAGCTATTGCAATCACGAAATATTAGGAGGCTGTACGATTAATCGACCCCCTTTTCGATACCGAAAAGGGGGGTAGAAGCGGGAATCTGATCGAGCTTACCCCCCCACGCCCCCCTTTTCGAAATCCGGGGGCTGTTTATCGCGAAACCTATCGCGAATCTGAATCCGGGCGGCACGGCGCGCTTGACACCTTTCGCCGCTTTGCTTTTTCAAAAGCGCAGCCACATGCGGTGCCCAGCTACAGCTAGCTTCGCTGGATTGTGCGGCGCACTACGGTGCGCAAAGTACACAGCGCCGACGCTATGTAGCGAGTTCTTGTTTGTTCTTTTTCTTTCAAAAAAAAAAAAAAGCGCAAGAGAAGCAAAGCGTAAGCGACGCGCTTTCTGCTTCTCAAAATAAAGCCGGCCCCGTTTCTCCCAAGACAAAGGGGGCGGCTTTCTTTCGCAGAACCCAGCAGCAGCACAGCCACCCTGGAGTAAATCATCTCCAACTTGATAACAATCCCAGTTTGCAGCTGTAGACGTAGACCGTGGACCTACAGCGGAAAAAAAGAACTGCTTCGCAGTAACTTGGGCGCAGTTTGTAGAGGTAAACCCACTGTGGAGCAGCTCTACTACTCAAAAACGAAGGCGGTTCGCGATGCATCACGACGAAGCTTCTTCTCCTGCGAAGTAGCTCTATTGCACAAAAACAGCGCTGCGACGCAATAGACCACCAGGAGGCAGCTACTTAGAGCGCAGCATTGCACAACCACCCTCGGGCTGTTGAAGCGACCATCCCAGCACTTCCTGCATTTGGAAAAGCTGAGACGGCCACTTCGACCACTGGGGCGGCACGTTCTCCGCTGCATGTTCTCCGCTGCGCGCTATTGGCACCACCTCCAACAGCAAGAGCTACGCAGCTATTGCAATCACGAAATATTTATCAAGTGTAAAAATGTCTGGGTCTGCAAGATTGCAACTTGTCATGCTGTTTTTGGACTCTAAAAAATTCTGTATTGCATGACCAGCAAGAGGAGCGCCGATTGTGCTACACGGACAGGGCATTTCTCATGCGGAAGGTGCATCAGGAAGACCTCTAAATATCAGCGATGCTAGGTCATGCATTACAGGCATCTTGGGTCATGAGAAATATGCATGACAAATCTTGCATTCTTCCAGACCCAGACATTTTTACATTTGATAATATTAGCACCACTCCTTACCACGACCGTTTTCTGCAAGACGATTGCTACCTGGAGCGACTGTGCGATACCAACATCGAGTTGCCTGAAGAAGTGCGCGAATTTTGGGCCGCGGTCAGCAGCAAGACACGGGGCCGTGTGGCGCGGGAGAGAAAAGTGGAAGATATCGGCGCCGTAATTGCAGCAAACTACAGTGGAGGTGCTCCTGCTGGTGGTGCGCCCTCTAATGACTATGCCAGCACTTTCGAAGGTGATGATGATGATGATCAAGATGATCAAGATGGCCAGCAAATTACCTGTAGCACGCGAACCGACACGGGAAGTAGCTACGTGCAGGAGCAGGGAGATGGCTGCGGCGGCGCTAGCGCTACTGACGACGGTAGTTCTTTCATGCCGGATGACAACCCAGATTTTGCCTCGATTCTGGCGTACACGAGAGGAGCCTCCGCAGCTGGAGGAAAAAAGCGCAGCAACTACAGCATGAACGAAGGTGCAGCCTCCTCCTCCTCGACTGCCACTGCTGACCCGTCGCCAGCGCTGGGTTCATCTTGTGCTCCCAGTCCTCCATACACCGCGATCTCGTCCCCGGTGTTTAATCCCAGCGCTGACCCGCGGCTGGCGGCTTCCATGTTTGGCAGTGAGAAATCTCTCGGCGGCGCCACGGCCGTGTCAACTGACGGGCAGAGCGTCGGCACGTCGACGCGCGGGGGTGGAATGTTGACACCTGCTGAAGTTAATGCAGGCTTCCTTGGCCCCGGTTGCAACAGCTACTCGACCACCACTTGTGGAGAGTTGTGTTCCACCTACGGAGCGAGTGGGTCGGTTTGTGGTGACCAGATGAAGTCCTCGGGAACTGGCGCTGTGGGCGGCGATGATTTTGTCGCTGGCGCCGCTTCTGCCAGCGGCACAGCTCACGACCGTGGCATTCGCAAAACAAGTAGGCAGATGTCGGCTTCGTCCCCTGTCTTCGTCCCGTGTGGTATTCAGCACCCACCAACCGGACATGGTACAGCAAACCCTTCTAGAACAAGTGCTTCCACCACGACCACTGCATCCGCTGGTGGAGGTGCAGCTGCCAGTTGCGACTACGGCTTCGCATTTACGCACTCCGCCTTGCAGATCGCCTTGATGGTACTGGTAAGTGGTGGGATCCAGAGGACCTCTAGGATGGTGGAAGAACTAGCAGGAGTTGGAGTTGCACCATCTGCGATCAACATTCCGCAGCAGGTTCAACATCCGGAGTGCGTCGCGCAAGAACATCCATTTCGGAACGGAAATACTGATCGTGGGGCCTATCAAGAAGAACCTTACCACAGGGGGGGCTCTTGCAGTACCGACCCCAGGCCTACACAAGTACGAGATGCTGGTCAATACTTCCAGCCGATCCATTTCTACTCGCAATTCTATGGCGGGCCTGCTCCGTGGTCCGAAGCTGCTGCTCCTACGACCTCGCAGAAAAAACGTCCGAGTGCAGCGGCTGTCTCGCGGGACGAGAACGAAATACCGCAGCAGGGTGTTTTGATTCCTGCAAGAACCGAACGTGACAAAAAAGCGCCTATGACAGGAGCACAACATCAACACGTTGAGCACGACGAGCAACATAAAGACGAAAGAATTCCGCATGAGCAGGAGCTGGTGAAGGAACTTCTAGAGCGCTTGCTCCGATGCGTCCCCGACCCGAAAACTGCTGCCAATGTGTTGTTTGAGCATTTGTTGCGAGGAAAAGTGACCTACGATGAGCAACTTCAGGAGGAGACTCTCGCACGATTGGAGGAAAAATCCTCGAGAAGAAACGAAGCGGAAAGATCGGCGAGGCAACCACAGGACGAGCCGACAGGGAACAGACCGTTCTTGGCCTTTTCGCAACAGGAATTTCACGCTGAACATGAACCAGTGGCCAGTACGAGCTCCGCTACAACTGCAGAAGTCTCCGCAGGGCCGTCGTCAACCTCAGCCCGACCAACAAAGCTGAATCCGAACGCGGCGGCATTCGTCCCCCCAACGGTGATTTCCCACCCCGACGGACCAGAATACAGTTTTAGTCCTGGCGGGAGCCGGATTACGAAGAGTCAAAAGGTCGAGTGCTACGACCCGGGGAAACGGATGGAGTCTGGGTCATCTCCATCGCAAATGAGCATTGAGGCGATTACTTTCGGTCCGATTTCCCGCACTCGTGCGGCTGCCAGTACTAGCTCTAGGTCTAGCGGCGGCCATGTTACAGCTCTTGGAGGACCAATTTTTCAACAAAAAACTACTGCAGCAGAGTCGTTCACGGTGCCAACGACTGCGAAATCGGTGATCACTTCGTGGACCCCCTCGGAGGATTCGAAACAAGAAAAAAGAGAAGCAGGTGGTGACATCACCGTGGTACACTGCGCCACGGCGAAGGAGCTGGATCAAGCTGCGGCAGCTACTTTGAGACGGGAAGTCGTAAATGCTCAAACCAACCCCGAACAGCAGCCACAGCACCGGCCAGCATGTGGTGGCCGCTTTGGAAGTTGTCCTGCAGCGCCGGTCGTTCATGAGGAGTTCGGTGGACAAGGTGGATCATTCGTCCCCTCGCCACCGCCTTGCGGCAAAAGCTACGGATCCCTCCTCTGCACCTCCGCTTCCCCATTCAGTCCTCCTTGTTCGCCGCCGCCAATGAGTCCAAATCTTGATTACGGCCGCTGTGGCAATGGCGCATTTGTACCTGCTGGAGGACCCGCAGCTCCTCGTGGAACTTCTTCTTGGAAAACTACCGCTACCGCCGTCTATGATTCTCCGCACACCGTCCCGGCCTCACCAGCGTCGCTTTCCAGCATGGCGCCCGGAATTATGGTGGACGTTGAAAATACCGCGAAAGGGTTCTTGGCCCCGGTTGTACCACCACCGATGCCGCCTCAAGAACCGCCACGAGGTGCTAGTTTATTTTCGACCCCATCGAGGACTCCCGCCGCGGCTTCTGAAACTTCTGCCACAGGAGCAGGTGGACCATCTCCAGACGCGATGTTGCACCACCAGCAGCGGAGCAGTCTTCATAATCGTGATAGCATCCAGATGCAACACACACAGCAGCAACAGCAGCAGCGGCAGTTTTTGCGGCAGCATCTTTCACGAACACAGGCTGTAGATGTAGTTGCAGCGCAAGGCGGTCCTTGCGATAAGCTTCGGACGAGCGCAGTCTCCTTGGCGTCCAATCCTCAGCCTCCCGGAACATGGCTAGCTCACGACAGCTCGATTGCCGCTGCCGTAGCGAGGCAGTTGAGGTTGAGTGTACAGCAATCCAAAGAACAGTTGTCCCAGCAAGTGCAAGAATCTTCTCCAAATGAAGACCATTACTATCCGCAAGAACGTTGTCGATCCCCGCAGCTGCTGCAGCCGCAGCAACCTGCTCAAACTCGCGTTTATGCGACGCAGACACGACTCGCAGGGACCACGACGGCAGCTGCTGAGGCTACTCGGTTTCCACAAACAGGACATCATCATCAAAGTGTGCCATTATTTCACTCGTCCGCCATGACTGGTGGTGCATTATCTTCTCGGCGCTTTAGAAGTACAACTTGGGGGGAGGGGGACAAGGAACTCACACTGCTTCAAAACATCCGCATCGGCGTGCCCGGAACGCCGCAAAACCCTCCACCATCGCATTCGCCGGAGAGGACAGCGAGTTGTACACCCGTTGTAGGACTACACACCCCTGGTTTTTTATTTCCGCGTGACGGGTTCAGTGCTACACCGGCCACTGCAATCGTTGGGCAAGATGGCAACACAACTACAGCCGCACCTGCTATGTCATCTGGTGCAGATGATCACATTGAAGGACCACGGGCAACCGCGCAGCGCCGCCTCCCGGATCGCGCCGTCGTCCACATCAGCAGCCATACGGAGCTGGATCCGCAGTTCCGCGTTCCAGTTTACCAGCTCGAAGTGATGAACGTCGAGCGGTTATTCTGAGTAAAAACATTCCCACCCCAGCAGAGTTGTCATGCAAATCTGCATGCTGAAAATGTTTCTCATGCGGAGCCCCATGAGAAGCATTTATTTTCCATTCGTGTTTTGGAATTTTCCATGCTCCAATCAGCATTATAGGCTAGATCTGTGGTGTTGCTGAGCTAGCTCGAACAGCACTACGCTACAAGTCCAAATTTGTCATGCAAAACAGCCAAAACTTGTGGACTTGTCTAGCGGAGTCCGTAGCCATTTTGGCTCAAGGGAGTTTTCTTTTTTTTCCAGCAGAGGCTGGCTGTTGCCGGGGATTAGAAATGCAAATACGAAGGTAGTGCGATTCCATAACTCATCTCGTGACGTTTCCATTTTGACTCTCTTTGCCTTTTCTCACTCTTTGGATTGCTTTCGCGTCACTTCATTTTACAAGTATATACAAAACATCATGGAAAACGGAACGCGGAGTCGGAAGGATTTGCATTGAAAACGACCCTGGGCTCGACGAAAGCGCATGAAGGGTGGCTGGGGATTGCAAGATTTGCGCGCGCCGCTGGAGCTACAGAATGAGGAAGACCAGGTCGTAGGGCATACGCACGCGGGGGAGGATGGAGAAAACGGGACCGAAACGAGAACAACGGGCGCAGTACGAAAGTGGATCGAGAACCAACATGCTGGAGCAGGGGACAAGGGCGGAAAAGTAAGAAATCGGGAAAAAAAAGCCGTATACCTGCGCAATTCCTTATATGTGAATGACATGGCGGGTGGGAGGGGTTCTTCACATTTTTGGTAACGCCCACCGCCCCGACTAGAATAATTGAATGATGAAAAAATTGGGGGCCGGGCAAAAAAAAAGTCCCCATCTTGACTATGGGGTGGGGACGTTTTTACATAGGATAGCGGTACCTCTCCTGGGTCCGGAACGACTGGCGGGCGGTGTTGCTTGGGGGAGTGGAATATGGATTGTAAAAATGTCTGGGTCTGGAAGGTTGGAACTTGTAATGCTAGCTTTCCATACCTAGAAAATCTGTATTGCACAACCAACAAAAGTCGCAGCCTCTTTTGTCATGCAAAAACGCAGTCTCTCATGCGGATTGCCTACGAGAAAGCGTTTTGGGAAGTTGTCATGCCGGACTGCATTCGGTAGTGTTTTCATCATGCACGTTTTAGCATCACAAGTTTCCAGACCCAGACATTTTTGCATTTCATATGGAATTGATGGACTTCGTGCTGCTCTGGTTCGTGGGGGAGGAGGTCGAGATTCCGGATATGATCCCCCAGTACGAAAAAAAATACAGACGGAAAATGGTCAACTTGATCCGCGGCGTCGCTCCGGACCAGGTTGATCCTTACAACGCCTTAGCAGGAGCTGTTGGTGGTCGAGAGTGGATGCCGGCCCTGCCGCGTCGGTTTCAAGAGGAGAATGCGGAGCTGTTAGCCAGGTTGTGGTCCCGGTTTGAACTCACTAAGGAGTACTACGACGCAAGGAATGGCACGGCGACGATGACGAGCAGCGCTAGTTGTACAACTGCAACTGCTGGTGGAACCTCCCCTGCTGGTGAAAGTCGGTTTCTAGGCCGCGGGGCCTCTTCCTCTGGAATTGATTCATCCGGTGGTGTTCTTGCATCCTCGACTTCTCCTGCCGCCTCCGCTTCTCGTCCAGCTCGCCGGACGAGCTGGTACGAAGATAGTTTCCAGGGGGGAGAGGACATCCAAGAGCATGAGGATCAACTCCAAGGCCCTTCTGCAGGGGGTGCGTCTTCCTTCCATTCGTGGAGCTTTAACCTGAAGACAACAACCGCAGGAGCGGCGTCAGCAGAGCAGATAGACAGCACAAGACCGCGAACAGGCATCAAACCAGCCCCAGTAACGGCAGGTCCGGTGCTTGCTGCAAAGAGTTCAGCGAGTTCGTCTAGTTGTACAACAACCACTGCAGCTGCGCCTGAGCGTTGTGTGCTGCGTTCTGAGAGAACAGAACCGGCAGAGCGCCGGCGACCTGCGCCGTCGCCGAGTATGAACAATTTGAGTGAAGAAGAAGAGGAAAACGAGAGGCAGCGCTGGCTACCGATTCTGGTGAAGCGGAAAATACACGAGGAGTTGACGAAAATTTACTTGCTGCATTTTCCCAACCAGAACGGTCGGGGCTACTTGACGAACAACCGCGGAAAGATGAATTTCGCGATGAAAGAACAGAAGAAGAAGCAGGAACGGCAACGCTCAGCACCTTCTTCGCAGCAAGGAGATCATTTTAATGACACAGCCCCTCACACCCCTGCCGATTACTTCCTGCCCGAAGACCAAAAGCTTCTCGCTTTGGCGGACCTGCTTGACACCATCAACTTCCAATACTACGAAGGGGAGCTGCTGATTCAGCTGCGGCAATTACGGTGGTTGTTACACGTGGTATTACAAGGGTTTGAGCACCGCCGGCTGAGAATGAGGGCGCAACCTTCTGTATCGGAGGATACGAGTTCTTCTTACCGTGGCCCAAATAAGCAACTTGCACGGCAACTGTGGGAGAAAAAACAATGGGAGATCGACCAGCAGGAGGGCAGGCTATGGAAACGCTGGGAGTCGATCGACGGAAGGTTGAGAAAAATGGGTGGCCGTTACGAAGGAAAGGGGGGCGGGAAGGGAGGCTATTCTTGGCGGCCAGTGTGACCCGATTCAAAGGATGAACCCAGGATTGTTACATACTCTTTATGAATAATACCTACGGCTAGTATTCTCTGACACAATGAACGAAACTGCAACTAACCACGAGGCGTGCAACTACAAGAATTACTTATCGAATCACGATGTACCTTTCTTTCTACCTCAAACTTGAAACAAATTGTGCCTTGCATGAAACGAACCGAAGATTTGGATTTGCACGGAAAAAATGAAAAAGGGATAGCTCTTTGATATTTTGAGAACAACCTCTGCCACCTCTCCTATTGTGCAAAATAAGATAGCACACTCAACCTTAAGTACGACCAGAGTGCTTCTTCATTCACTTTCGTTTTGTTTTGGAAAATACGCTCGTATTAAGTATCGTATTTTTTCTGAAACTATTTCAATATCAAAAAAATCTACTTACATTGAAAACGCGATCGTAAGTATCGCGTTTCATCGCTCTAGAAAAAGGTTGTCTAGGTACTATTCTGGCGTACCGCTTTAGATTTTACTCCGCAGGGCCTACTACTGGCCCTCCTGCTGTAAAACTTTTGACTCAAGAAGACAATTGTCTTCGCTTGTACAAACAACCTGCGCGCGCACCGTGCAGCCTTATTCGGTAGCACAACAGCGGCTCAAAGCGCTCGACAGATGAAGAATGCAACTTTTAATTTTTTTCTTTTTGAAATCGAAATCTTAATCGTGTGAGAGTGACTAGTATCGTGAATATATTCATCTTTTGATTTTTCTCAATTTTCTATATTCTGAATGAAGTTTTCTGTATGGGTTCGTTTTTCTTGACTAAAAAGCACGTAAAACAAATCGCTCCGACTGACGTGCTTTGTTGACTTTGACAAATTTGCACCAGTCGAACAACGAGTGATGCAAAATCAAAATAATCAGACTAGTGATTTATCATATGCGACTGAGATTCAAAGCACTAGCATTTATCTTGTCCTTGTCGAAAAAATAGAAAAGCGGCGAACATAGAAAATCCACCCTGACTTCTTCATAGCAGCTGCGAGGTACTACAGCTAGCTCACACTCTTGATAGACATAACGCAAAAATATCGTACAAAAATATCATAGTCATTTCGTTCCGCGGAAGACGAATTGTGAAAATATGGGTTGTCGTCTTCACCTGCTATAATTGTTAGAAAGAGGTATTTTCATCCTATGTAGTGAGGTCTATGCCAATAAACGCAGACTCTAATCCTGTGATTCTGTACCAAAACAACTTAGAGGCAATCTCTTTCTTTGTGCAGCACTTATGATTGTCAACCAGAGATCTCATCATGTTGAAGTTGGTGCGACGAAATGGGAACGACGAAGCTTTGCGGTACCAGAACCAGACCACTACCACTTCATCAAGAACGCAGAAGCAAAATAAAAATGAACTTTTTTGTGTAACTCTAACTACGAAAATGAAAAAAATCAATCAGGAGTGCGCATACATTTTTTTTGTCTGCGGAAGCTGAACTCGCATATGAACAATTTCGAGTGGTACATGAAGAAATAGAAAACAATATTATATTCCACAGTGGTAAGAGGACGTAGCGGTACGTGAGGACGAGGAGATTTGGAATTTCTTGCAATCGTGATCAGGACTTTTTCTGTACCAAAGGGTTACCTGATAAAATAACAGAATACAGCTAGCTCTACCCCTATGCATGTTGGATGAGGCGGGAACTGCGTGAGACTTTGATCGTAATTTCTATATTCTTTCTGGGTATAACAAACGAGACGATCAGCGATCGGAGCCTGGTCTTTACAGCACTGCTATAGACGAAGATGGTACATAGCGAACAAACAAGTTTTTGAAGTAAATTTTGCATGGAAAGATCGCACTAGAGGTGCTGCTCCTACACTTTGGCCTTCCTTGACAATATCAAAAACCTACTGCAAAATATAGCTAAAGACCTCGAAGAATAAAGAAAACTAGTTCTGAAACGGCTTTGGAAGAACAACAAATGCATGACGGGTGTCTTGTCTTCAAGCACAAAACGTGAACGCGTGCAAAGCAACTACGTACATGCTCCTGCTTGTTCTACAAGCAGCTTCTTGTCTTTTATCTGCGTCGCTGTCATCCTACTAGCATGTTGAGGATACATGAGCGAGATGAAGTAAGTAGCCGTGTGGGGAGGTGGTATTATAGACGCTGGTGGGGGATGAACAACCAAATTGAGAGCTGCGCGGAGTGTTTCTTCTGGAGCGTAGCAAAGCGTAACGCTGAGGGAGGACGAAAGATCTACTAGAAATACTAAATAGAATGAGGATGTATTGGAGAGCAACTACCTGCGTGTACTCTTGCGTCGGGGACAGCACAGAAATTTGCACCGGGTGTAGTAGACAAAAAGTACCTCTACAGAAAAATAATGTGGACACAAGACCAAAGCCAAACCACGAACACGATGCCCAACCGTCGTACGGAGCAGCAACGGTCCGTCCCTTTGCTCCAAGTCCAACGCTGCGAAGACGGTGATAAGCCGTGAAGAGCGGTAGAAGAAGGTGTAGGTAGTTTGATAGCAGTTGATCTCTGGGTCACCCATGTTGAGATCTTCACAATCACATCGTCCACAGAGCGGGCGCTGCTCCCTGGTCCCAGTGCAGTATCAGGAGCGGCCAGGAGAACCGGAAGCTGAGGGCGGCGCAGCTGCAGGAGGAGCTGTAACTACATCTACAACCTCATTGACAACTACTTCGAGTAATAAAACGATGTGGTGGAGATCGGGATCCTGCTCAGGACCATACCGCAACTGGTTCTTGCCCCCCCAAAGAACTACCCCGGCCAAATTCGATGAACCTTCGTCGCCTTCGCGAAAAGGTAGGGCATCAGGCTGTTCTGGAGTAGGAGCCATGTCTCCACCTACGAGTGAAGAAGAAGTAGATGAGGAAGTGATTCTTTTCGGAGGAAGCCGAATTATAAACGTAGAAGAAGCTGCGACTGCAGAGGCCGCAGATTCATCTTCCAGCAGCAGGTTGTCCGAAACATCTAGAGTCAGGATACGACGCCCCGGCCTGATTGGGGCGTTGGGAGCAAAGCTAGCCATCCCAGCTGCTCTTTTTTTCGACAATGCCGCTTTTCTCCAAGCCAAGACGCAGTCCCGAATAACTATGGAATTTGCGGGCGGGAGAAGTAGTGCGCAACAGAGAAATAAAGCGAAAAAGTATTTTCGCTGGAAGACGGCGGGCAGTTCCAGAAGAGCAAGAGCAACGTCATCGTCGCGCAAAAATAGAATGATGCAGCCTTTCTCAACATCTTCCTCGTCCGAGAGTGCGTTAGCAGCAAGGAAACGAAAGAGCAAAAGCCTGGCGGCGATTGCGAGAAGGGACGAAGAAAACCAAAGTCTTCGATCTGCCAGGAGCGATGTTCCGTCCAGTATGGTTGGCGCAAGCGAGCGGAAACGAAGCAGTGCGAACACCGAAATGGACGACGACTACAAGTTCAAAATGAACATCCAGACAGAAGGCGCTGCCGGGGCTGTGGTAACCGGGAAGGAAGAAGCACTGGCCAAGGCCACGGGGAAAGAAGAAGCACAAGCAAGCGGTAAAGAAGGCGCCATTACCAGTGGAAAAACCGAGGGAAAAGCCGCAGCCGGAGACGGCACTTTTGTGAAGAAGGTGGAGCACAGGCAGTGGCAGCCGCACTACACAACGGTGTACCACGCGAAGCTACCCGGGGGAAGTTACACGGAGCATTCGCCGTTGAGTTACTTGGACGATAACAGTCTCACCACCGGGACGAGATGCATTCTGCACATGCTGTTACTCTACTGCATCGTGCTCACGACCACTTCCGCATTGCAGTGGTGGCTGGTAACGATGGGAGGAACGCCGAAGATCGAGGGGCTGTTGGCGATTCTCCAGTCCTGCAAGCACGTCATTTTCGTCATGCCCATGCTGGCGATCCTGTTTCTAGCGACCCGGATTCGGTGCCAGCAGCTGGGGAAGGGATTGCCGACCAAATACGACCTGCCATTACCGTATGAATAAAAAGTTTTTTGTGTTCTTTGTTAGTCTTAAGTAGTTTGTTTTGCATTTTCAGACTCATAGCAACGATGTCGTGCCGCCTGGTGGAGCATATAAGATAAAAGTACCGCCTGGGCACAGGAATCATCAAGTCGAACTTGAAACGCCACCACAGGTGGATGAAGGACTTTATGGCGTTTTCTGCCTACGGAAGAGAAAGGACCTCTTGAAATTTCGGCTTGTGATCATGCGGCTCTTGGTCTTGCGAGTTCAAGATGGCTCTGTAGCTGTCACGACATCATGATCATGCATAAAAAGCTGTGCTGCTTTACTTACTTTCACCTAGCACAACGCGACCAGAAGCGGGACCATTAGATTCATCGAAATTTCTTTCCCTCTTCCATACCTGCATCGCCATTACGATCCAGCTTGCGTTGATGTTTGTGACCCCGATCTTGTCCGGCAAACTTCCGGAGGTGGATCACGAGGGCAATCTGATTCTGGACCCGAGGAAGGACCCGGCGCGCAGCCGCAACACGGCGATGAAAATCATGTTGATCCTCCGCCTTGTCTGCGTCCTCATCATTTTTCTCTGCGCGCTCGCGGTTGCGAAGGGTAACGACGACATGGCGGACATCCCGGCCGTCATTAACCTCTGGCGCCCCATGGCGCCACCGGCAGTGTCGCCGGCGGTGGGGGTGGTGTTTTACTTCTCCTACTTCTTCTTCAGCGTGTATTTCCTGCAGGGAATAGTGCGCTTGCTGAACTGGAAATCCTTCGACGCCGTGCTGCAAGTAGCAACAACGTCCATGCAGATTGTGCCGGTGTTGTGTGCACTTATTCTGGCCTCCCGGATGCGCGCACTGCAGATCGACCCGGTCTCGGGGGCGCCGCAGGTAAACACGTTGCGTTTTCATGTGATAGTACTATCATGCACTGCGAGGTGCATGATGGATGCTTGCATCTTCCCTGTCTTGCTGACATAGCAAATGAAGCATGATAGACAAGTAGGAAAGAAAGACCTTTTCAACCTTAATATGCCAAGCCGCAAAAATGAAAACAACAACCCAGCATTGGTGCCAGAAGCTTTTCTACGTGACCTTTGTCGCGGTGATTATCCAAATTGTCGCAATCCTTGCCACCGCTCTGTTCATCGGCGGGCAGCACAGCGAAGAAAAGCAAGACCCGAACGCAAGCACCGCTGCGGTGCAGAACAAGTTTCACGTCCGCTTCCCTGGCATGTTCGCCTTTCTGAACGCGATCCGGTTTTTCGCTCTCAGCGCGGTCTTATCCTGTGTAAAAGTATCGTTCTCGTGCTAATTGCGAATATGCATGACAAATGTTTTGCCTGAGGCAAAACAGCACTACAAATTCCACTTCCCTTCTTGCCAAAATTATTTCTAATGCAATTTATACTAGAACTAGTGTGATACTTTTGCAAAGCATAAGTCTACGCGTCTATTTTAGGGATAACGTTTGCCATCTCGCAGATGAAAAACGACGCGGACACGGCGGTGACTGTCCACACACCGCCAATGAGCCAGACACTAATGAACCTTTTGGTGCTGGTTTACCTGCACTTGGCGGTACTTCTACAAATGGAAAGTTTTGTGATGTGTAAGCGTAAACCTAAAAAACCCGTTAACTATGGCACTGTATTTTTGAAATGCAGATCATGAAGAAGCTGCCTCTCTTTCTACTTCTAGTACTTGTCATAAAGAAAAGTCGTGCCAGACGATGACGATGCAAAGGAAAATCAACAAAACGACTACGACAAACTAAAACTCCACAACTTGTTCAGTCTCACCTGATCCAGTATGGGATGACCGTTTACCGCCAAGTCATGACGCATATCAAATGCAAAAATGTCTGGGTCTGGAGGAAGAATGCAAGATTTGTCATGCATATTTCTCATGACCCATGATGCCTGTAATGCATGACCTACCAGCGCAGACTTTTAGAGGGCTTCCTGATACACCTTCCGCATGAGAAATGCCCTGTTCGTGTAGCGCAAATTGTATCCCTCATCTTGCTGGTCATCGTCATGCAATACAAATTTTTTCAGAATCCAAAAACAGCTTGACAAGTAGTTGCAATCCTCCAGACCCAGACATTTTTGCAGTTGATAACGCAGACCCAGAAGCAAATTCCTGACAAGACCGAGCAGATGCACAAGATGATTACACGGTGGCTGGACCACGCCAAATCCACCATTCTCTTCATCCCGATGATTGCCGTTTTCGAGCTGCAGCTCTCCATGCGGGCCCGGCAAATGACGTTCAACCAGACCGATGACTACCCGACCAACGGCGACTGGAAGATCCCGGTCTCCATGTGCGAGTGGATCGTCACCGCGACTATCTGCGCCCTGTTTTTCTCGGTGCCCTTTATCGTCACGCGGGCCGGACCCTCCGCAGGAAACATGACGGGGGCAAAAGCCTACGCGGTGTCTTTTTTCCGTGGCGTCATGACCATTGTTCTGTACGTGGGGGTGGGATTGTGCGTGTTAGCCATGTTCGACCCCGGTGTTTCGCTGAAAAATGTGGACACCACGGGCGGCGTGCAGCGGAGGGTGGCATCTTCCGGGTGACCAATTTCTTATCGCAGTGCTGAGAGGAAAAGGCCGGAGTGACTAGGTCCTTGTTATGACCACTGTCGCTCATGAGGAAGCGCCGAGTGTCGTGTGTGTTTCATAGTGAAGCTCCTTAGCATAATTTTTTTCAATTGTACGAATAATACCAAAAAGGTGGACGACCGAGTACTTGAATGATACTGGTGCGTCAACAGTTTTGAAATTCAATATGCTTGGTTCAGACGTCACACAAGGGAGAAGGCCTCCTTCGCTTCAAACTTGTTGCAGACGGTAAACCACTTATCTTTTACCATGTTTCAGTCACGTGAACTACAAGAACAGTTCCCAGGTAATTAAAACAACGTCGAGTAGGCAAGATATCAATACACAAAATACTGAATGATTTTGATTGCAACTACGATAACGATTAATAGTAACGATGCTCCTACACCTACGACTCACTTTGCAAATTTTTCTTGAATTTATCTCGGGCACCAGCGACACAGCTTGACTACGAAGTAGCGAGATGTTGTTGACTCATACCACCACGCTGAAAGAGGTACCGAATAGATGTGGAGTCAAAGATGATGAACCAGAAGCGAGTTATCGAACAGAATGAAGCATAGTGCTCCTCTCGCTTCACGGAAGAACAAAAACTACTCACGTTGATGAAATTCAGACGACACATCAGTAACGACCAGTTTTTTCCCTGTATCAAAAGTCTTTTGATGATCAAGAAGCGGAGGTTTCTGAAGGTGCAACGAGTTGTGCCATGTGTACTAGTACTCGTCTGCAACAAAATTCGCTTGGTTTGCAGTTTCCTTCAGGCCCATGCGACGCATGATAAGAATGTCTTCATCTACTCCATTGATGTTCGAGATCGGAAACCCAGAGGACAGAGAAGCAAAGCGAAGCTGAGCTCCACCCAAATACGACAAGAAATCTTCAAAGATCCCCAAATTGGCCAAATGTCAACGCAGCTCTACTTCAAAGTTGGAATAAAGGGTGCAAGTTCAATCAAAGTCATTTCATAGCCGGGGTGTCAGTTGTCTAGGCGCAAAATCCGATCCTTTGTTCTGTGACAACGTGATGATATTGTAATTTCCACGACTTCCAGCAAAAAGCAGTAAATAAGTGTGAAGATAAAAAATCCACAAAAGTGACTTTCAGTAGCGTAGGACTTCTACCACATTTTACTAGAAGTCGCATTTATTGTGTGGAAATCTTCGACGTAATAGCGGATTTATTTCAGTTTATGTAAAGCAGACGAGACATTGTAGTCGTACTATCCACCACCCGTGTGTATCATCTCCTGCTATTTTCAGCCAGGCTCAGCAACAATTTGTCTCCGTTTGTTTGTCTCCTTTCCAGCCGACACCAACAACTCCCCCCCATCACTCAAGCGAACAAGCCTCCCACTGTCTTTCATCCTTTCCGCGGTGATATTTTTGGTTTTGTATGTTGAAACCGGTGATGTTGATGACCTTGTTGACTCCATCGATTTATTCGTGCCTTATATCATCCCCACTTGTCAATCTCTATTTGTGATCCTCGTAGAACTCGAAGCTGACAACTTTTTCGGCACTTGTTCTATAGCGTAGAAAGCGCCGAGCTGCCGCTGCCCGAGTTAGAAGTACTACAACTACTTTTTGAAAAATGCCCGCGAAACCGAAGACTAAGGAGTGGGATCCCAACCTGCTCCCGCTTATCAAGACGGTCTTGGGAAAAAAGGGAATCGAACAGCGACAAGCGGCGGAGGCAGACAGAAAAAAAGTCGATTATTTCAGAGGAAAAGACTTTACGGACTGGCTACTCAAAAATGATACAGGTAGAAAGATTTAAATTTGTGCTATCAACGTCAGGTTAGGATTCTCTTGCATAATGGCCATACGTTTGTTTTTCAATTTCATCGGTTATGCACGACCTCACCTGAAAAATCGTTTATATCAAATTCCAGTTACGAAGCGTCGCTGCCCAAAAGCGCTCGACGAGTATCTTTCCGGGAAGGGCGTCGCGGACGAAGAGGATGTTGCCGTGCTTGGACAAGCCCTGCTCGACAAGGGCTTCATTGCTTCCGCGGTGTACGCCCCACTGATCGAAAAGAAGGAGGAAACGGCGTCGGACCGCAAGAAGAAGAAGTGGCCGGACCGCCTGAAAAGGCAGAACTTAAAGTTCGACACGCAGGGCTTTTACATCGTGGTCTGGGAGGGCAGCCACGGCTTCCGCTACTTGATGCTCAGTCTCATGGTCACCTGCATCGTCGCAGGAACCTTGTTCCCGGTATAATTTGTTTTCAAAACAACTTCTATGTTGACCTGGGGGGAAGATTTCTCCTGAACCTGATTCGTTCCCCACTTCCATGGTGAAAAAATACTTTGCATATTTTTGCTCGTGGTACAGCTGCAGTAGAAGCAGCATGTGCAAGAATCTTCCGACCGCCGTTTATTTCCCCTAATTATCACAGGTCTGGCCAATCTGGGCGCGTATTTTCGCTTGGTACATCGCTCTGGCCTTTTGTACGCTCTATTTCGTGATCGAGTTTGTGCGAAATACCTGCTTCGCCCTCGGTTGGATTGTCGGCGTGGATTTTTGGATTCTCCCGAATTTCAACGACGAGTACTGCAGTTTTGTGGACAGCTTCAAGCCGATTTACTCCTTCGAGAGACGGAAGGACACGATCACACTGCTGATCTCCCGGGCGGTGGTGCTTTTCATCACGGTCGCCTGCGTCGAGGAGTTGTCGAAGACGCACAGTATTTCCGACGTGACCGACTTCGTGAAGGGCAGCTACCAGGACATCATTGAGTGGGGCGAGAACAAGGCGCTGATGCTGGAGGGCGGCGGGGAAAGGATGAAGCTCCCCTCGGTGGACGAGTTGCTGAAAGAGGAAGCGGAGGAGGCGGAAAGGGAAAAGACCAGCACCACCACCACGGCGTCATCTTCCACTACCATGACCTCCGCCCTGGGGGCGGAGGACGAGGAGGAGGTGAAGGAGGAAGAGGAGGACGGCTATCGAATTTAAAAACGTCTCCACCCCATAGAAGTTGCAATGCAAATCTGCATGCTAAAAATGTTTCTCATGCGGAGCGAGCCCCATGAGAAGCGTTTTCTAGTCGTGTTTTGGAAGTTGTCATGCTCCTTTCAGCATGGTATACTAGGTTTGTGATGCTGCTCCGCTAGCTCAAACAGCACTACACTACCAGTCCAGATGTGTCATGCAAAACAGCCAAAATTTGTGGATTTGTCTAGCCGGTTCCCCATCTTGACTATGGGTTGGGGACGTTTTTACACAGGATAACGGCAGTCACTTCCTCACTGGGATGGATGTGGAAGAGAACTAGATCAGCCGTAGTACTTTGTAGTTCTTGATGCGGTACAACTCCGTCGTTGTGCACTAGTGCAAACGGACGCCTTGCACATCTACAGCTTCGGGTGAATAGGAATAGCAACACAGCTGGGGCTGCAGAGAAGGAAGGTGCCTCGACGTCGAAAGATGAAAATGAAGGAGACGACCGTGAACGAAGGAGCATGATTTTTTTGAAGGACTCCTGGCTGTACGGAAGCAGAGAGGAAGGCCACTTCGACGCTCACACTGACTGGCTGATATTTAAAAAACACTCCATAAAAACTCACAACATCGCAACGGGGCAGAACGAGCAGTCTACCTCCTCACATTCTCTTTCTCACCATGGTGCGCCAGCAAAATCTTCTGCAACATCCGAAATAAAGCAAAATCAAAAGACGACTATGGCCGACGTTTATCACTTCCACATCAAGATGAAGGCTGTACTATTTTTCCCACATATGGTCAAACATCACACTTTTTTGACAACGAACTCCTCCCAGGAGTTGTGAATGCAAAATGCGCATTGCAACCGGAATGAACAATCATAGCGACCTCAGAGTAAAAAAGCAGTACCCACTGGCGAGAGGTTGCACTGAGGAGCTGTCAACATGATCACATAGGCTCTTCAACCCCCATGAGGATTTGAATTTTTCAAGCGATCGAAAAACGCAAACTAAGTAATCTGAAACAGCAAAATGATGCTTCGTTCAACGAGGAGGAAATTCATCATGGACGAGCTCTCATTTTCGCTGTTGAAGTTATTTCTGTTCATTGTCTACTTGTATGTAAGAGCAGCTACGATGTTTCTCTGTTGCCAAAAGCATATGTCGGTGAGTCAAGTCAGTGGTACTGGTGCTATCTGTCATCGGTTCCGTTGACCTGCTACAAAAATGTCTTTCTGTGTGCAATGCAAAAAAAGAACAGTCCTCGGTAAGAGTCTTACACTATGGCATGTTCGGTATTGCTCCTGCGTCTGTGGTCCTGGTCTGTTTGAAAACCTGCATCGTCGGTTGTGAGCTGTCGGTCGGTGCTTCTCTGTCGCGTTTTCTCCGCACTTTAGTTCAAGTCTTACCATCATGTGGCCAAAAAGTATACGTAAGTATCGACTTATTTGAGCCATTTTTGATAATCATGGCCTTTTTCATATCTTTGTCCCGCCTACCCATCACTCAGGACGCCCGGTGCATTGGGCCGTTTATTCTTTCAATTTTGTATTCCCGCCTATCCCTATGTGACTTTTCTCTATTTTTACCCAAAATCGAAGAAGAGATGCGATTGCCTTCTGGCCTTCGGTCAATGAAATATTGTATGGATCATGTTTTGGACCACTATATGCATGAATTTGAATTCGGGGAGATCTACTGCATGTTGATGAACTTTTGAGTTTTTACTCGCACCGTAGAAGATCTGGAGCCCCTTTCATTTTGCAAGAATGCGTAAAGGTGGGGCCGAAAGCGAGCAGACCACACGGTATGCGACCGGTGGCGCACCCAGTGACTTCAGTCAGTCCGACGCGGACTCGGCCTCCTCTGCGGACTACCTTCGGCCGAGTGCGACGCAGAGGGAACGAGACCGAGCGTTGGGTGCAGTAGAGCATCAACATGGTGGCCTCTTCGGCTCAGGAGAAGGAAGTAGTGCTGCGAGTGGTTCGACTTCCACACAACGACAACAACAAATCACCACGGACTACTCAGGATCCAAACCCTTCCTCGGCCTTCCCACAAAGCGGCCGGAGGTGGGGTTTGGACTGCTAGTGGCCATCTTTTTTGGCGCGATCGTGCAACTGCTGGGTTTCAACGCGCAACTCCTGGTCGCGCATTTTTTGGAAGCCAGCGTGTTCCCCTCCAGCAGCTGGGGGTCGCTGCAAACCTTCCCCTACTCCGGATCCGCGGTTCTCGGATCATTCATGTCGCTGTTTTGCCTGAACGCGATGCGCCTCAAGAATTCCCAGAAACAGAAGAAGCGCAGATCCGGGCAAGACCACCGATCCGGCACGGGGGAGACGGAGCACCAGTCCAAAAGTCAACAGCCGAGCTTCTTCGCGACGCACTTGCTGAAATTCCACACCATGTTCCTCGCCAGTCTGGTCGTTTTGACGCTGAGCTACCAACCCTTGATGTCGCTCGCGATAAGTAACAAAACCATGTCCCTCGCGATCGTCAGTCTGTGTTTGAACGGGTTCGCGCAGACCATGCTGGCCGCCATCCTCACCTCCTTGTGCGCCGCGCTGGAAGACCCCCGGGCAATGGTGGCCTACAACCTGGGGAATGCGGCGGCGGCCTGGCCCAACGCGATTTTTGGCATCACGTTTGTGTCGCAAACGGCTTTCCAGCCGTCGGTTGTATTCTCCCAGGTAATTTTTGCCGTGATCACGGGGCTCACCGTGGTCTACTACCTGTTCTACTGGACAACCCTGAAGCCCTACACGGACTCCACTATGGACAGCGTCAGTCCGGCGAACGAAAGTCGGGAAAGCCTGGCGAGTTTACAGGGCGACGAGGACGCCAGTATCGCTTCCGGAAGCTCCTCGCCGCTGCACTCCGCAAGATCCGCGGACAACAATTACGGGACCGCCGCGGCGATTACCTCGCAGCAGATCGAGCTCGCGGGCCGGAAGGACGACTTCAAAACGCGGTCGTTCTGGCAAATTGTCACCTCCTCCTGGACGCTGGTGGCCGCGATGTTTTTGCAGTTTGTCGGCACCTTCATCGTGTTTCCCGGGGCCTTGCTGAAGTGGAAACCGGTGGAAAACACGTCGCTGACCTTGGAGCAGCAGTGGCAAGTTTTACTCGCGATTTTTACCGTGTTTGACACCGTCGGACGGTACACCCCCCGCCTGGTGGACATCCCGGCCCGGTTTTTGCTCTTGACCGTGTTCGCGCGCATCGCCGTCATGATCCCGGTCATGATCCTGATGACCTACCTCGCCGCCGGCCTGGCAGCGCAGATCATTGTGGTTATCGTGTTTGCGACGACGCAGGGACACCTGACAACAAACATTTTCATCCGCAGCGGAGAGTACGCACTGGGGTACTTATCGAAATGCTTTTGCCTATAACTTTATGCTTGGACTTGTCTTGTCTTTTTCATGGAACCAGACAGAAGAGTTGGAGATGCCTCGGCCTCCAAAGCAATAATATTACAACAGAGCAAGAAGTGAAGAGATAGCTGAATTCGAATTCCAGGTTTCTTTATCAGCAGAGTGCTTCGTAGTTTTCTGATGGTGCTCTTGATATTGATGCCCGAAACATATTCCCAATAATCAAACTCAAATCTTTCAGGTATCGAGAGCTTGCGGTGTTGGGGCCAGTGATGAATTCCGCCCTGATGATCGGCATTCTGATCGGGAGTTCGATTCAATTTGGCATGGCTTCCTGTTTGCCGAACCACAACACCTCGCCCACGGCGGCGGGTGGATCGCAGGGGGTGGCTTTTGCCCCGTGAAGGGGCTGATAAAATCGAAAATCACCGAGTGTTGCATGGCGAAAATGATTTGATGAAAAAGAAACAGTTTCATCTACCAACATCGAAACTTAATAAGCCAAAATTTTGTAGTATTTTGTCGTGTCGTGCTGCACGATTTCAGTTTTACAGCGTTATATATCCTTTTTTTTGATTTTGACTCACTTTTTTTGCTTTTCTTTTGCAGCTCTATTACTGCTTGTTCATGCCCATACTACACGAAGGGCTAGACATGCAAGGAGAAGCAGAGTACCGAAACCGTCGAGGTGAAACATCGAAAAACATGGACAACAAAAAACAAAACGATAACACTAGGAACGCTGTTGCACGAAGCACGCACCCACTTTATGTCACTGTTTTATAGCGACTGCGCACGCCAAGGCTTTATCTTCTTTTGATGAAGTACCCTATCCCTCGTGTTCTGCCTGTTATCAGTCGTGATAATTGTTGAAGACGATCCCGACCACGTCGTGTCGATGAAGTTGCTTTGTTGTGCGTGGTTTGTTCCCTCGTTGTTTATGTGATGTATCTTTGTTTCCCACCGGTCCGGTCGTCCAGTTCGTATTTAAAGCCAAAGGCTTAAAAAAAAACTCCAGCACAACTTCCTGCAGCATGGGCGGACCTGCGACCAGGCCAACACCTTCGTTGTTGGGCCGCGCTGCCCATAATTGCTTGGTGTTGTGGCAAACAAGGCTCCACTTCTTCCTTGCTACTTCCTTCCTGGTTTGTTCACACGTCGAAGATCATCTCCTCACGCGATCGTATGCCACGAAAATCCGGAAAGTTTCGGCCAAATCCTCGTCCTGGGGGCGGCGACCAACGGCTCTGGCGGCTGGTTCTCTGCACTATCCCGCTCGCGCCATCACGGCAACAACTGGGACAACACCTGCCACCACGGGGCCGCAGATTGACGTGCAGCCGGTGAAGAAGAAGAAGAATAAGAACCAGCTTGCGGCCGGCACGAACAACCAGAACTACGACTTGTCTGCGCAGGCGGAGGCGGACGACAAACAGCCACCGTACTTCGACTTTTTCGACGAGATTGCCTCGTTCATGAAGGTATCAACTGTAAAAATGTCTGGGTCTGGAAGAATTCATGTTTGTCATGCTTGTCTGGTATGACTCTTAAGTCTGTCATGCACGTTACCCAAGACAGGTGCGTTCTTATGTGATCATGCAGAAACGCAGTTTGTCATGCAGAAAAAGCAACACCTAGAAACTTGTCATGCTGAGCCAGCACCACTTGTGGCTTCATCATGAGACGCCACCCAGCATCACAAGTTTCCAGACCCAGACATTTTTACATTTGATAGAAGGTGCGCGATTTGAAAGCTTTGAACGACGTGATCACGGTGTCCGTACAGGCTATGGCCTGCTCAAACGTTACAATCTCAAACGTTACAAAAGAATCTGGAATTTGTGTTGCTTATGACTATGAGCATGGCAGACTCGCAGACCACTCCACTTTCTGCAACACAAATTTCGGCAGATTGTAGTGCGGTTTGGGGCTCCGGAACTTGCCATGCGCAGTCCTATGAGACTTGGCTAGATCATGCACTCTTGCATCACAGATTTCCATATTCTATTGTAACGCTTGAGATTGTAACACCTGAGCAGGTTATACAGGCAGCCGACAGTTTTTACACGAGTTCGCCCGAGTTTCTCCTTAACAATTACGCCGGGTTCACCACCGCAACGGTACCAGTAACTTCATCTCCACCGACCGCACAAAGTGAGCAAGTGCCGCTGCTAGACGGTGCTGCTGGAGCAGATGAGGATAGGTACTCCCACGACGAACCCACCCCCGGAACCGGAGACACTTCCGGCAGCCATTTCGCCTTCCGCAGTGCGTTCCATGTGCAGGTAAAACTAGACATGAAGATGGGGTGTTGATCCTGTTGTACTTCATTTTGGAATAGTGCTTTGGTTGCGCTGCAACCCTAGGCCGGGCTTTTTTTTCATGCGAATTCAATATTCAATTCCAATTGCAAGCACATCAACTACTTCCTTTTACATTTCCCAGGTCGGGTTCGACTCCTGGCGGAAGCTTTTCGGCGAAATCGGTTCGCAGATTCACGATGCCGTTTCCGAGCAGCTAAACGAGATGTGGGACCAGTTCGAGGAACAGGTGGATGTGATTGAGGACAAGTTCGACGATTTCACGGACGAAGTGCAAGAAAAATTTGGGGACTTCGTGGAAAACGTCGGCGACGTGGTCGAAGCGGTGCAAGACAAGTTCGAAGACTTTGGCGACAAGGTGGAAGACAAACTTGAGGACATGCAAGACCAAGTCGGAGACGCGATGGACGACATGGGAAGTATCAATCGAAATTGCACTTATTAGAGAAACGGAGGAATTTTGTTGGAGCAGCATGCGCGATTTTGCATTTTCATGTTTTCACGCATCGGGAAAAATGATGCACAGCACTCGTGCTTGTTTTGTATCTGTAGTGAAGATCTTGATTTTTTTCGATCCGCAGACATGATCGACGCAGATGAAGTAACAAGTTTGCATATAGACCATATCCATGCGAGTAACTCTGTACAACTTGCGCGCCGTAACAGGTTGATCCTGTTTCGCATACGCTTTTCTGCATGATAACCAGTGCCGTGGGTTCGATGAAGGACAAGGTCAGCGAGAGTTGGAAAGCAGGCGTAGACAAGCTGGACGATATGAAGGACGCGGTAAGAGCAAGAAAATTGGCATGCGTAATTGATTGCGTAGTACGTGGACGAGGAAAACTTTATTTTTACTGCACTCATTGATTTTGCTCAGAGTCAGAACGGCCATAAAGATAACGTCAACAACTTCCACGTCACCACCTTTGGCTAATTATCCGCTCACGTACAAAACCTCTACACAGGCTGGCGACAAGCTCCACAATGCTACGAGCTGGTTCTCCGAGCACATCCCATTCTGGGGCGGCGGCGGCGGTGATGAAGATGATGAGGAGAAGAAAGCGGATGAGGAGGAAGACAAGCCCCCTGAAATAGAACAAGAGCCGCAGCACCCGCCTTCGCAAGCCGCCCTTGTGGCGGCCGGGTACAGTCTTCCCGGCTTCGCCGGTTACCACCCGGTTTACACGCCGTCTGATCCGCAGAATCCCTATCCTACCGGCGCCGCAGCGGCTCCACCTGTCGTAGTTCCTCCCCCGACCACTTTTTTGCAGCAGCCAATTGCAGCGTCGTCCGCCTCTAGTACTGCGACCACTGCCGCCGTCCCGCGCATTGTCCCTCCCGTGGCCATGACGAATCTCGGAAGGACGAATCTGAACCTCCAGCAGGGCGTTGCGGCCCAGATCCCCGGCAGTGCGGGCAGTGGGTTGCAGCTCCCGGGCAGCGCGCAGAGCATTGCAAGCAGTGCCGGCGGAGGATTTTCAGCAGGCCCCGTGGCAACTAATTTCCAGCAGCAGCCGACAGCCGCAGCTCCGCGGACTACTCGGTACTATGTTGTGAATGGGCAGTACATTCCGGCGGAACAGTACGAAGCACAACGCTCGGCCCGGGCTGCAACTGGACCTACTATAAAGACGGTAGTGCAGCGGCAAACCTCGGGGCCGGCGTACCGTGTCGCTGGTGGTACCGCCTCTGGCGCGTCGACACCGGCCACCCGCCCGCCCAGCCAGGGCCAGTTGACTCCGGCAACGCTGCCGCCGGGGAGCGGGGTTGTGGTGCGGGGAGCGTATCCTGCAGCAGGTGCTGGGGGAAGTGGTGCGGCACCGCAGTACTACTACAATCCGAATAATGCGGCCCAAAGCACGACAAACGGTACGTATGATTATCCTGCTTTATACGTTCGTTATCGATTTCGATTTAGGGTGTGGGAGTGGGACTCCCGCTAGTGCGTGAAGGCAACATCGTCAGCACCCTGTTTGCTCGAGCCACCAGAATGGATGAGTGTTGTCTTCTGTTTCACGATCATTCTTGAAAATTAGCACTTGCAACAGCAGGCCGCTCGTGCTTTTATCCACACGACGAGAGTCACAGAAATTCAAATTCGCAACAGTGCCAAGCATCTTACGAATACAACAACAGCCCCTCCGCCGTTCTCATCCAATACACGGACAACAACACCAGCCGTTTTTTACGACGCGTACCAGCAACTACCAAGGCCGATCACAACCTCGTCTCCTTCCACCGCAGCTGCTGGTACTATCGGGGCAGCAAATAACAAGCCGATGCGGATGAACAAGAGAAACAAGAAGAGGGTGACTCCGAGGGACCCCGAAAATTCGAACGTCTTTTCCTACTTCATCACCAACCCTATGAAAAATTTTCAGAGTGCTTTTTGGTCGTCGTCCAACGCAACAACTGGTGGACCACAAGGTGCATCGTCTTCTAGTACAACGTTATTTCATCCACAACCACCGAAGACGATTGAGCAGCAAGTGGCTGAGGAAGAAGAGGACGCAGAGGACGACGAAGAGGTGGATGAGACCCGCAAGGAAAAACTGCAGAAGAAAAAGCCCGAGGAAATCAAAGTAGTCGACTACTTGACCATGCTTGACGACACACGACAGGACACCAAGCACGTGTTTGACATCTTCTTCGTCGCGCACGCGCGCCTCTACTACCCGAAAAACTTCGACTTTGCGCAAGCCGCGACGGGGAGCAGTGCGAGTTGCACAACTGCTGATGGAGGAGCTGCTGCAGCAGGTGGACTAGAACCGGCCGCCGGGGCTAATAGCACGAGCAGCAGCTCCGCATTGAAGCTGTTCCTGGAGATATGGAGAGAAAAAAGTTTGTCACAGTCAGTAAGTTGCAGGCTTTGCATTACAAATTTTTTTCGCATCACAGCTTCTCCTTGTATTGCAGAAACACTAGGGAAATTCCTTATGGAGTGTGGCTGTGATGCATTTTTACGCATGACAGACAATTTTGTCTTGCAAAAATGCCCATGAGTGATCGTGACGAACTTTTTTCTTTTGATAGGAGATCTCCTCTTTCAAAGTGAACGACATTCTGCTGGACGATCACGCGTATCAAATGCAAAAATGTCTGGGCCTGGAAGAATGCAAGACTTGTCATGCAGATTTCTCATGACCCATGATGCCTGTAATGCTTGGCCTAGCATCGCAGACTTTTAGAGAGCTTCCTGCTGATGCACCTTCCGCATGAGAAATGGCCCGTCCGTGTAGCAAAAACTGCACCCCTCTTGCCGGTCATGCAATACAAATTTTTTTAGAGTCCAAAAACAGCACGACAAGTTGCAACGTTCCAGACCTAGACATTTTTGCAGTTGATAACGCGTGGCTGCGTCCCGTGTGGCGCCGGGTGTACCCAAAGATTGACGAGATGCTCCAGGGAATTGCGCAGACCGCCGTGCAGAAATGGATCCAGGAAAACCAGAGTAAAGCAAGCATGATCAACGCTCTGATGCTATGCATTGCAACCGTCGTGTCTGCTGGGCTTTGGAGTAAATTTGTCATGCTGATGCTACTTACCAGTAATGAAGTACAAAGAAATACAAGAGTCTACCTTGATACAACGTGGGTAGCAAACGCTGTCAAATTTTGGTCACCCGAAGAGGACGGCGGGACCCCGATAAGTCATAGCAATGATAATTGCTATGACTGCCTGCGCAAATAAACCCTCCGCTTTTCGATCTCGTGGGACATTAACTTCATCTTCACTAACATGTAAGTGCACTATTCCAAAGAATGCAGGCATGTTTGCGATGCATAGATGAAATACCTGGGCAACTTCTGCACCTGCTGCGGGAAGGGTATGGTGGCGGAAAAACAAAGAGCCACACCATCACTGCTTTAGTTGCATCTACTAGACGAAAAAAAAAATGTGTGTCATTATCGTCGTCGTTGGTATGAACAACTTGTAAGTTGAAATGAATGCAAGGATGAAGAAGGCTAGAACCACCCGGACGCGAAGTACTTCTAGTCCGTGTGAAGTTTTTTTCAGTCATCCAATCCATCGTCATGCTCATGCGAAAAGAGTCCCAGCCGAGGCAAAAGTAAGGCGGCCGATGCAAAAAGCTTCACAGTGATAGGCAGGTGAGGGTAGCTTGTTTTCCGTCCCATAAAATTGTAGACGAGACTGTGCGGGACAGGGCCACTGTACAAATGTACAACTCAGAGGAGTTTCTGTTTCTTTGAGGAGTTGCAATGCATTCGATTTCGAAGAACCCTATGTACTAGAAGACTAGAACGCAGACGAGTTATTGAATCCATTCCGTAAAATTTTCCTGTTTGCCGAAAACGAAACTGAGTCATGAACATATTCCCATAACATTGCACGGCATTTTTGGTTATGAGTTTGCTTCTGGTGGTTGTATTGCAGCAACTATTTCTTACTTGATGTTTGCTAAGTTTAGTATGAGGCGAATAAGCAGTGGGGTGGCCACTCCTTCTTTTGAGCCGTTCTCGAAAATAAAGCATGTTAGGACACGTTGATTTCTAGAATATAGAAGTAGAAGCAGTGCTACTTGATGTTTCTTCTTGCCGACCCCGACGTCGTTCAAGAAAAGTCAGTTTCTGTTGTAGTTTCATCATACCTTCAATTACAGCCACAACTCCTGCGGCCACTATACGATGAACCGCGCCTTTCGGCATGCGAAACGCAAGAATTCTGATCCAAAAAAAATATCTGGACAAGATGACGGAAAATTTGGTTTTATTTGCACGGTGACGAACACGAAAGTTCCCGAATAAAGCAATCGCGCCCGTCGTTGTTGAGCATCAACATAACTTTAGCTATCTTAGATATTGTATACGGCTGGGGTGCTATTTTTTCTTTCCGTCTCGGTGGTGAGAAGACGATGCCTTGCGTATCAGTCTGTTCGGTTGGAACTCGTGAACCAACAGACTTCGTAACTTGTCGGATTATTTGTATTGTTATCCTCCCTGATGTTGATCGGTGCTAGCTGCGGTGTCAAGGTTTGAGATTGTTGTGATTTCGTGCTCTAGTATGGATTCCATTCCATTTCTTTGATTGAAGATAGACATAGATGTGCGGCATTTTCGTGATAATGCGTTAGTGGAATTTCGGAGAAGCGGCAGGCACCTTGCACTCCGCAAGAGCCTAGTCCTCAGTGTCGGTTCTGTTTTGCCATCAAAATTGTTGCGTCGGTTCGTTGTGACTTGAAGTTCAACCACCTCGGCTTCTTGCGCAACACCTCGTACCTGTTGTAGTCCAACATTCACAAAAAGCAGAAGTATTGGCTCAGCCTCATGTCTTGTCATCGGTTATTACAACTATCTATCAGGAAAGTAGACCACCTCGTGTTTGCATTCCCCCCTTTATTTTTGTACTTACTACGTTTTTTGATTTTGCAAATCCAAATACCACCTGAAGCTCGATTTTTATTTGAAGCAAAAGCCTTTTGTCATTGTGCGGGTGCGCCCGCCCTCCGAGTACGTAATTAAAAATGTATTGTTTGTCTCATTTTGTTTAAGTTTTTGTTTTACATCTGCTGCTGATAATGTGCTTGTGCATAACTGAAATCGTTTTTCCGAAGGAGCCTGAGGCTCCTTCCCCACTGGCTGCATCAATCTACACAACTGTCTATTTCAGTTCACCAGAACTACCTCCGCACATTTTGTGCTTCGAGCACTAGCACAGGACATGATGTTGAACACGACAACGCTGGCCGTAAAAATTAGGCGCCGTAACATCAAGCCGAGCTTTCCGGGCATCGTGGCAAAGTTGGGCCTCGTCTTGCTGTTGACACAACAACAAGAGAACGTCCAGTACGTGAACGCAGTCGACTTCGGTCAGTATACGGAGAAGGTGATAAGCGCGCTCTTCTACGGGTCGTCCTCCAGCAGCTCCACCAAAGTGCAGGAAGATAGTGAATTTTCTCATCAGGAACATGCTCATGTTGTTCCCGCTCCCGCAGCTGGTGTAGTTGAAGATGCTAGTGGTCCTGGTCCTCCCACTACTGGTACAAGAACCGCTACAAATAAACAAGAATCCGCTCATCTTTCAGGCGGCTTCATCGATGGACCAACTGGGACCACTTCTGCGTCGACCACAAGTTCCAACGACGGCCGAGACACGTATGACTTCTTGGAAATAAAAAAAGAAAAAAAGCGCCGACGCCTGCGCGGATGTGCAACCTGTGGCGAACCTCCAGCTGAACAACAAAAAAGACCTCCGCCCGTCACACAAAATAATGCCGGGGGCCCAGCAGGCGGAAGAACAAATGCCCTTACCAGCACTTTAAACACCGGAGGCACAGCGCCAACGCCAACGCCAACGCCAGCCACAGATCGTGAACCAGCAACAGAGCTCGCTAGTCGTGGTCCTCCACTTGGACCAGCAAAAGTAGTACAACCAGCAGACGAGCTATTTTTAGCGTCCACCGCAGCAACAGCAGCCAGTCTATCCGAGGACAATATCCGATATTCAGTCACCAAAACCACAAGTCGTCTCGCTAGTGATCCTCAACTTGAACAACCAGCACAAGTACAACACCCAGCAGAAGTGCAACCAGCCGTGGACCCATTGGCGTCCTCCAACAGCGCAGCACCAGCAGCCACCGGCGCAGCACCATTCCAAGGATTAATCGAACCAATACCAAGGGCGCCCGGTGATAGGCCAACGACACAGGGACCCCCTACGGTATTCAAGCCCCCACATCTTCAACAATAGAGTGACCACCTCGGGCAGTGACTTTGAGAGGGATCTCGCCTCGTGGGCGTGGCGTCTTCTCAGGTACAATTATAAGTATCCAAAGCAGCTAGACTCTAGCTGCTTTGGCTCCTCTAGTAGAGGAGCCAAATGCAAATACAACTTCCCAATATTTCTAGTGCGTGAGAGAATGGAAAGGCAACCACTCAACAGTATCGCCGCGTACCCATCAGAACATCAGATGACATCAACCGGAGAAAAAATCGACGCGCTTTTCATTTGAAAGCCACACTACCGGATGACTAACACACATCTAAACAGAATCAGAAACGTCTACACGATGAAAATAAAACCACCCGCGCACTTTTTCCCTTGTTATTGAGTAGTGCCCGTTTGCTCTGTCGTGTTTGTTAGTGTCCTCCCCGCCCTTGCAGGGAAGGGGGGCTACCAGCAGGTAGTCAATTGTTCGGCTGCGAACTACATCATAGCACAGACTTCGGACACAGAAAGTCTGTCAGTCTTGCTAACGAACAGCCCGCCCTTGCGGGGAAGGGAAGCTATCGGATGCTAGTTAATTAGAACAAAACGCCTCGCCCTTGTAGGGAGGGGCGCCTAGCACGAGCTCGCAGCTGGTGTCGAGTAGGCCAATTTCCCAACGACCCTTCTGTGCTATGATTGCAATACAAGAAAAAAAAATGGCTGTCGAATCTGGAGCGAGTGCTGAATTGTCGCCCTGCATCGTGGCACGCCCTCGGGTCATTAGAACTTCCACGGCTGCAGTGTAGAGCTCCTCGCTGTTCGCTGGATAAGCGGCTGCTCCAGTTGGGCCCCCTGGCACCCTAATCCTACTGCGGCCGCGCCCCCGCCTGCTGCGCGCAGTCAGGGTCGCAGAGAATCGGCTTAATGCCCACTCGTTGCTATGCGTACTATGCGTGCTATGCTTGCTATGTTTGCTGTGTCGGGGGTGCCACAGCACACATAGCACACAATTTTGGCCCGCGCACGGTGCTGTGCGTGCTATGCGTGCTGTGCGTGCTATGCGTGCTATCGTTGCTGTGGGCCGCTCGGTAATGCGACCACAGCAACGAGTGGCTCGGCCCTGCACCCCCCAGCAACGGCTCCAGGGAATGCCGCCGGAGCGCTGGGCCAAGTGCGAATGGTGTGGCGCGGGCCGCCGCAACGCGGCCGCCAACGGAAATTCCTAGCGCGCCTGCCTCAGGTGGTGGGCGGCTTTGCTTCTGGTTACCATCCGAATCGCCCGGCACAATCTGCGCCGGCTCTTTTTTCTTTTTGTGAATGCGATCATAGTGATTTAGGGTCGTTGGGAATTGACCTACATAACTGGTGCAAAAGTCTCTTCGCATAGCCGACCACGTAGCGGAAGACATTGAGCGAGACGCAGCCTGCTTCCCGCAGGGAGCTAGACACACCGGCCCCGGCTTCCTGGGTGCGGGTCTCAACGCAGTTAGGTTGGCCAGCAGCTAGCTAGCTACCGCGCGCGCCCCTCAGCGCTCGCAAGCACCAGGCGCAACGGCGCAACCCTGAGGCGGAGGTGGCGCGTCAGAGCACGCGGCCTCTGCAGCAATAGGGACGCACGCCAAGCGCAGGCGCTGACGGCACGAAGGGCCGCGACTGCCGAGAACCAACAAGAGGAAGCCGGGAGCTGCCCCAGTTCTTCGCCCGCGTGGCAGGACTGCTGTGTGTGGTGGCACCGGCTTCGCCGGGGACCCGTTATCTTTAGTAGCTTGTCTTCCCTCTGTCTTTCGAATCGCGCGGGCCTTGTGAGGAATGCGACCGAGCCCAGACGGGAGAGCATTGCGGCGCCCCTCCTCTTCTGTCTAAGAAGCTGGGCAGACGAGGAGGGCGCAAAGCATCCGCGGAAGCGCAGGATGCCCCCCGACCGCATCACCTACAGGCTAGTAGCTTGTGACCGATGTGCGCCGGCACTTCGCGGCAGAATCGAGCAACACGGCGCCAGCAGCGAGAATCGCCTTGATGTGGCCGTCAGGAACAAGGAATAGAGATTGCCGGAGCGTTTAAGTACGCCCGCCCCCCTAGGGGTCGCATAGGCTCCTCCCGGCTCCGATGTTCACCTCTTGTGCTGTTCGCCGGGCCTAGCCAGCCCCATGGCGAACGCAGAGGGTAGCTTCACACCCTTGCTCGTCCGTACAAATCGTTTGGGTGGATCGCTTTCCCGGTGTCACGATCAAAAATCGAGCGGCACGTCCCCCAGACACAGGGCAAAGTGCGTCTGTATGTATGTATGTATGTCTGTATGTATGTGTTTGTTAGTGTGTGCCCCTGAAACCATGGATCGGAGGTTAGTGCAATAGATTGACTTGGTTTGATGCCTCGGTCGTGGTCGTGCGTGAAAATTTTCCGACATCGGTCACGGTCGTGAGCAATGAACATTTCGATGGTCTTGGGCTCAATTGCGGTCATGCGTTTTATGTTATCAACACCAACCTAGAAAAATAGAAAAGCCTTGGGAGCTGACAAAATTCATTCCGACGAAAAAATCCGACACATCAAAATTAATGATTTCGCTATCGTTTTGATTTTCTATATTTTCAATTTTTGGTGTTGAGCGAATGACATATTGATGAGAAGAATGATGATAGACAATCTATCTTAGATTTTCTCGGATCCATATCCATCCTAAGAGATAATTTAAATTATCATATGTAGTTGCAGCAGACAGTAAGCTTTCAAACAAAACTTCTACAACTTTTTAGCAAAACACTTCTCGAACCTTTTCACTTTTACAGACTTGTAACTCTCGACAACAAGGACTTCACTTTCAGGAAAATCTTTTCACTTTCTCAACTTTCGTAGGTACACCTAGACACTTTTCTTTATCTATGTTTTTCAGCAGCGAGCTCCCACTCCCAGCAGCAGTTCTTTTTTCTAAGGCAGAGGCCAAAGCTGCTCTGCCAAAAGGTCTTTTTTCTTGAAATAGCGCTAATCATGTGAGAGGAAAAGACAAATTCCAAACGGTTCCACATGACCTTCACCAACAAACAACAAAATTATCATATCTATACATGACAAGAAAACAAGAAAATCGATGATGATATGATTTATGAAGATCACGGGTTTTTTCTTGAAATAGCGTTAGAGGAAAAAAGGTGTGTAAACGCGTTCCCACCTTCATGCATGAACACAAACAACAAACAAGATTTCGGATTTCATATGATAAAATCCAATTCGAAAGAATCTGGAAAATTGATTTTCTTCTTCGTGTTTCTTTTCTGGATATTCTGAAAAATAAAGAAAATATCCCAAATATGGTTCATATTCTATTATTGGAATCCAGGAATCATCGGAATGTAGGATCTGGATTTTTCGTCGATGGCTTCTTGATTTTTTTTTTTGTGAAGATTTATGGTGTAGTCTTGAAAAAAATTTCAGAAATTTTGTATTTTGGAAAATCTTTCGAGACTTTTTAGAATATTGGAATTTTATGGATTTTGTAATTTTCAAAATGAATCAATATAAATAATATGAAATCCATTGAATTCCAAGATATCCATTGACTTTAAAATTTTAGAAAATTTTTGAAAATTTTCCATTTTGATAATTCAGAATCTTAATTTTCATGTTGCTAATTCGGAATCTTATTTATCAATCACATTTCAAGATTTTTCATATTTTTTTTTTCTTTTATTTTTTTGAAAGGAAGAGGATATCCCAACTTCCATAATCAACATAAATCATATGATATCCATTGATTTCCAAAATATCCAATGATTCCTGGAATTTTATTTTTTCTTTCTTTCTTTCTTGTCATGTCTGGGTATGACTCAATTTGTCGTTTTAATCCCATCCGAGATTGTCTCTCTTTCATCTTTCTCATCGTCTTGTAATTCTCTCAAAAGATAAAGTAAATTCTAAACAAAGATAAAGAGATAATAATTTGATATTCGAAGAGTAAAGAGATAGGAAATTGATATTCGACAAGGAAAGGTAGGATTTCAAATTCTAGTTCGAGAATCAAAAATTTTTAAAGACATTGAAAATTTTTAAAGACATTGAAAATTTTTAAAGACATTAAAATTAAAAATAAAAGGTGTTCAATCTTGTTTACAATTGGTTAAAAGAGAAAAAGAATAATAAATCCACTTTGAGATTTCTATTTTCACAAAAATCCAATTTTATTTTTTCTTTAGAATCAAAAAAAAATCATTGATTCAATTCCGAATCTCAGATCGATTTCGATGCATTTTTTTCAATGACATCAAGAAACATTATATGAACCAAGAAAGACAATCTCGGACCGGGCCTATGAGACAATTTGAATCATGCCCAGACATAAAAAAAAACCAAGATCTATATCTTTCTGGATCGAATCATAGATTTTCTTTTTGAAATTTCCTTCCAGAATCCTGACATGCATGGAGAAATTTTTAAAAATATTATGACTACGACAATCAATAATCCAGATCGATTGACAGAATCACCGAGAACAAATCGAGAACCACCACCACGATGATGAAAAGAAAAATCATCTCGGACCGGACCATCCAACGACAAACTTGAATCAACATACCCAAAGAAAGAAAAGAAGAAATCCATCGAGAGAATCTGATGAAAAAGATTTCATTGAATGCAGAAAAATTCATCATAGATCAATATCGTGGCTGAGCGGTTTTGTTTTCATTTTATACTGTTCTCGTCGTGTAGTCTTTCGTTTTCTTTCTTTCTCCTTCGATTTCGAGGAGGTAGGAGTTTAAAAATACAGATCATGTCGAGGACAAAAAAGATCGTTTTTTTTTTTCGAAAAGTGTTCATCTTTCTTCTCGTTCTTTTCATGTCGTGGGTGTCGTGGTCGTCTTGCTACTACTAAAGGGTCGCCAAAATTTGATCTTGCCCGCCCCGCTGGTGTTGAGTAGACTCCCCGCCCCATCGATTCCGCTGTTGTCCGCGCTCAGGCCCTTCGGGCCAGTATCCGTTATTTGCGATGTTGTTTCCAGCCGCTCGTCCGGCGGGACCGGATGTTGTTGTAAGTTTCTATCCCGTATCACGTGCAAAAGCAGAGTCGTGCGGGCAAGCGGATGCAGGAAAACAAGAAGTGCGCAAAGTACTGAGATGCCTAGGCCTTGTTGATATTAGCCTTCCTTTCTTTACAAGTGGGAGCCCAGCATTTACCTATCACGAATCACTGTTTTCACTCAATGTGGCCTCTATATAACTTCGCCTTCACTGCGCAATTCACCCATAGGATGAAGGCGCGCGCAACTGAACAGAAGCGCAAGTGTTGTTGAGACAGAGCGCGCCTCAGACCGAATCGCACGACGCCCTGCGACGGTCACACTGGCAGCAAACAGAAAACCCGGCCGGCACAGCAAGCTACAGGGAGCAAGCCACGCAAGCCAGGCTCTCGAACCCCACAGAGCCACGTCCCGGACGTAGAGGTGGGCCAAGCCGTGGGACACGACATGGGCCGCCGGACGCGTGGCTTGCGGGGGGTGCCGCAGGGTACCTTGCAACCAAGTCAAAGACGGGCGGGTGGGTGGGAGAAAAAACGCCAAGCCGAGGCAAGCCAAGGCGAGGTGAAGATTCAGGATAGAGGACAAAGACCCAGCCGAAGCTGGTCGGCGACGGGCAGCCAGCCCGCCGCCGAAGTGTGCAACCCTCTTGCTTGCTCTCTCAGGCGAAGGCGAACTGATATAAACGCTACGCGTGACATATAACTTCGCCTTCACTGCGCAATTCACCCATAGGATGAAGGCGCGCGCAACTGAACAGAAGCGCAAGTGTTGTTGAGACAGAGCGCGCCTCAGACCGAATCGCACGACGCCCTGCGACGGTCACACTGGCAGCAAACAGAAAACCCGGCCGGCACAGCAAGCTACAGGGAGCAAGCCACGCAAGCCAGGCTCTCGAACCCCACAGAGCCACGTCCCGGACGTAGAGGAGGGCCAAGCCGTGGGACACGACATGGGCCGCCGGACGCGTTCCCCAGATGTGACTAAATGCCGGGGCGGCCCGGAGCTGTCGGGGACAGAGAGCCGGGCGCGCGGGGCTGCGGAGCTAGGTAGCGAAATCGTGGAACAGTGCCGGCGCGTAATCCCTGCAGCGAAGTGAGGGGACCGGGCGAAGCTGTGGGGGTTTGCTCCCAGGTGTGTCTAGTGAATGTCTGCCCGGGAAAGTTCCACGGGCTTGTTACCAGGCGAAGACAGCGCAAAGCGCGGCGGCGTGATGCTTCAGCCCGAAGCATCCAGGATTTTGTTTCATCAGATCGGCAAAGCGCTCCCAGGCACGCTGGATGAATCGAACAACTACAGAGAAGTCCGAAACAGGAGAAGAAGCAATCAAGACTGCGCGAAGACGGACAGCTGATTACCCCTCGCCCCCACACCAACCGCTGAACCCCTTCGACTGTGCTCACTGCCTTAACAATGAACACCGGCGGACCGACGCCGAGGAGCGAAGGACGGAGTTGCAATGCCGGTAGGCAACGCAACTCAGCTCTCCTTCCGAGTCAGCACTCCTGATACCCCTGCGCGAGAGGTCTGGGCACGTCGTGATGACACAACCAAACGTCAACGCAAAAGCTGCAACGAGGAAGTCGCGAACCGCGAACGGGCGCAACAACGACGTCGCGAACGCACGACCCCACCCCAACACCCGCAGGCGGCTTCATCGAAGTCACACACGCGGACGGAGGAGCACCTATATCAACCGGCGCCCCCGGTATGCGACCCACTGTCTACAGACCGCCGCCACCTGCGGGACTGTGGGGTTGCGCGTCCAGGGTGCTGGGCGATGTGGTGTGGGTGCCGGCCATCTGTGTTGATGTGCTGTGTTGTTCGCGAACCCATCGGGCACGCGGGTGTCTTTGTATTTGTCAGCCCATCGGGCCGCCCCTGCGAACGGCAGGGGCGAAAAGGTGGGCGCGGGGGTGCCCTGTGGTGCGGCCGTTTGTTGCTTGCCGTTTTTTTTTTTTTATACTAGAACAACTATAAACCATAATAAAAGAGTCGAAGATCAGCCCTGTTTGTAGCTTGCCGTTTGTAGTTGGTGAGGCGCTGTGTAGTTCGCTCCGGCTTATGATCACTGTAGTGCGATCTTATACCGGCTAACGCCAATGTTAGACTGGGCCCGGCCCATGGCAATTGCCAAGGGCCTTGCGGGCAATGCCCTAGGAAGCCAGTAGCGTCGTGCGTTTCTGATTTCTGTCAGCGTGAAACGCAGTGCCCCCGCTCTCGCGGTTTCACCGCTGACAGGCGAGTGGCCCACCACTGCTGCTCCTCTGCTGCGTCGCAGCTCACATCGGAGAGCAGAATCATGAGACACCCGCGGCACGCAGAGCGGCAGGCCGCAGCAAGGGCTGCGCTGTTTACCGTTGCGTGTTGCCGAAAGCGCCCTCAGCCAAAGGCCGAGATGACGCCGGACATGTGCCCTGGACGGCGTGAAGAACCACGCTGCCACATCGTGGCCAGCCCGATCCTTCCTACGCTCCCCCACCAGTGGCGCCCGCGAGAACCGCGAACGTGTCATCGACATGTGCGTAAGTACCACTGCAGGAGAATAGCCTGGAAGATAGTTGAAGAACGCAACATCTCTGCACTGCGAGATGTGCGCAACAGCCCTTCCCACCGGGACATCATCCCCTGTCAGGATAATGCCTCGGCGCTCGGCAGGGCCGAGCTACGTGCACACGGCAAAGCGCACGCCGTTTGTTCTGACCTGCCCATGGCTCGGACAGCTCAATGGCAACGGAACCACCGGAGCTCTTTCCCTGCCGCACACTGCATTGATCCACGCTAAGGATTGGCAGTGCCGGAAACGACAAGGCGGAACTGCCAAGCAGAACCAGAGCGAAGGCCTGAGGCGTACAAGTACGCCTCGCTTTCTCATCGAGACACTCCTCCGTCAAATATCCACCCTCCGAGAACCGAAGGGCCGAAAAAACGCCAAGCCGAGGCAAGCCAAGGCGAGGTGAAGATTCAGGATAGAGGACAAAGACCCAGCCGAAGCTGGTCGGCGACGGGCAGCCAGCCCGCCGCCGAAGTGTGCAACCCTCTTGCTTGCTCAGGCGAACTGATATAAACGCTACGCGTGACATATTGATTCCTGGTCCAGAAAAAGAATTCGCGCTGCAGTTGTCGCAGCTGCTGCTGTGTAACTACTGCCAGTCACGATACGATCGACACGACTCTCCCTTTTGCAGTGCGTATTTCTTCTGGTCACCCGGCCATATTCTTCGTCGATCAGTTTCAGCTCCGAAACGAGGCTATCCGTGATGCTGATGGTCGAGGCGTGTTGCTGCTGCTGCTGGTCATCAACATGTCCATTCACATGATGTAGCGAGGACCCCAAAGGCGGTGGGGCGGGCAACGAGGTAAGACCTGCTCTGCTCGACGAAGCACGGGTTGGATTCCTGTTGTTCCCCAGGTCGAAGGTAGAAGACGTACTAGATGCGTCCACAACTGGTCCGTTGTCTTGGTCCTCTTTCTGCCGCGGGAGGAATCTTCCGGCACCACCAGTAAATGACCCGACCTCTGGTCGTCCCGCCTGCTCCGCAGAGCGATCAAGAAGGTGGATAGCAACATCACTAGTGTCAACAGTTGCGGCGCCGTTTTGATAATTTTGATTTCTTTCCTCGCCGCCTGGACGACCGGCAGATGAGAAAGACGTTTTGGAAGAACCAGCTCTGCTGCCCTCGCCCACTTTACTAGTACCAGCATCATTGTAGAAGTTATATTGCGGGAGCGCGGGTGGCAGGCCAGAAGGAAGAACCGGCGGACCTTTCTTTCCAGACCTCGAAAGATTAGATGAAGGCGTGCTGGAGGACGTCGCCTTGCTGTTACCAGTGAGCGGCTGCTGAGTCAACATGTTGTGCTGATTATTTCTGCCGGTCGTCCAGGCGTGGTCCTCGCGGTCGTTGTGCTCGTCATAGTACTCTTCCCCGCGGTGTCGTCCTCTGCCCGCCAGGAACGCTCCGGCGTCGGCGGCAGCAGGAAGACCATTATCCGGCGGCACAGAGGACTTGGAGCCGCTGGAATTGTAGGATGGTCTCCTCGGAGGTGCTGCATGTAGTTCTTGTGCAGCGCCAACGCCAGCGACCACGTCTTGTGAAGTTTCATGTGGAAGACGAGCACCAGATTCTGATTCCTGGTGCAGGCCCTGTTTAATATCAGACGAGCTGATCTGTTCCAGCACTTTTTTCAAGGCGTCGTTCTGATAATACAGCTCTTGGAGCTTGTACCGGTACTGCTCCTTCTGCTGGGCTTGCCTTATGCAGGGCAAAAAAAAAACGTTCTTGCCAGCACAGAAGATGCAGATAACGAAACACGTGCGCAGTCGTCAGCAGGAAAGATGATGCATTACAATACCCGTCTTTTTCATCTGCTCGTTCTCAAATTTCGCTCCGTTCCTATCGTCCTATCAATCTTTACCAACCACCCGACACGCCCGATGGCGTGTTGAGAGGAGAGGGGGCGAGGGCGTCGCGGTCCCTCACCGTAGAGACAGCCTAGAGGGATGCCTCAAGGTCCCCCCCATACGCCGCAGCGCCGGCGGCCCGAAGGACCCAGGGAGGCGCGCTGACCTGATGAATTCGGGCACCCCCAAGAGGGACCGGAGGCCCGACGGACCTTCGAGTCCTCGACCACCGCCAATCGCCGCGCAAAGGCCCAAAAAGACCACGCTCCAGCTGCCGGAGAACAAGGAGGCCCGCGCCCTAGCCGAAACAGCAGGCAGAAAGCGTCCGCAAAGCCATACTTCGCCAAGTGCTCAGAACGCAAGAAAAACCGACCCGCCTCGAAAGGAATCCTTTACCGGAGCCCCTCCTGCGAAATCTCGCCAACAAGCTAGGCGAGGAAAAGAAGATGGAGCGCCCCTGTCACAGCAACTCCGAAAACCTCCCCCGACAGTAAAACCCGTCGCGACAATATCGGCACAGGGCTGCGGACCCCAGTCCCGCTTCCTGAAACTTTGCCTGCTACGAGGGTAAGAACCCAGTTCCCGGCGCAGGCAATTCCGGGGCACAGAGCCGGCCCGTTCCTACGAATCCTATATGCCTTCGCAGTACCGCCGAAAAGCAAAAGCAAATAAGCCCCGCCGAGTATGTTCCTTAAAGCGAAGCACCTATAACGACGCGCGAAAGAGAAGCCGCGTCTGTGTCCCGTGCCGCTGGCCCGCCAGGCTGTAGGAGTCCCAACTTGGGGCTTCCCCCGCATCGCTCGAACCAATAGAAGACTGCTCGCGCCCATAGACCGAACAGGGGCGGGCCGAGGTAGGTAACGTCCTCAGCCTGATTGCCACCAACCGCCGTAGCAAATAAAATACTTCTTCCGGCCTCGCGCCAAAAAGGGGCCCGAGGGCAGAACTCGAGCTAGACGGCTCCCGGGCCACCGAGTAACTCGCTCTCTCCTGTAGAAGGTCCATGTCTCCAAACCATTCAGCCAACCGGCCACACGTACTACAATGGCATGGCGGTAACCATGAATGACCCACCGAAAACCGGCCTCGGTGGGTGGGTGCCCACAGAAAACCAGCGCGTTGGAGGAAAGAAGAGCCCCCTCTTGGACGCCTAATCCCCTTCCCCGCTAAGAGTGTACAAGCCAGCGGTGGGACCCTGCCTGTTGATTACGGGGCGAACCCGTCCAACCCCAAAGGTGGGAGAGAAAATCTAAAACCGTACATGCCGACATATAGACAGGTCCAAATGAGGCGCCCCAAAGAAACGGCCACGGCCTCCTGTAGCCAGTAGGCAAGCATCCCCGGGCGAAGCACAAACAATTGAATACCGGAGCGGGAATGTTAGCAAAACAAACCAACACCTTCCTTAACCTGGCCTTAGCCTCTAGCACCATAATCGCGCGCTGGGCCTGGCGGGTCAATTACCACCAGAAAAGCCCCTTGTGAAGCCTATGCACCGCCGAAACCTAGTGCGAAATCCGGAGCCTCGCCCTGCCAAGCTGTCTGGGTGCATCGAACACGACGCTCTCTGCTTCGGGACGGAAGATCTCCCTTGCCTATTCCCAAGTGAAACAAATCCCGGGGCCTGAGACTGAGTGAAGCGAAAATACAACAACCTGAGTGAAGCGAAAATACAACAATGCATTACAATACCCGTCTTTTTCATCTGCTCGTTCTCAAAATTATTCTTTTGATAAATCATAGTACATCGAAATGCAGAAGAGCTGGGGGCTGGTTACCATGTTGCCAAAGAAAGGAAGCAGACGCAGACGCAGATGTGCTTACGAGATCAAACGCAATTGTTTCTGTTTGAAAAGTATGTTCTGTCTCGTGCTAGCCAGAACTTTGTTTCCCAAGTGATATGCTTCTGCAGGTGCGCGCAGAGGCCCTGCCATTGGACGTCGCGGTCTTGCTCATGCTGCTTGAAGTCGGAAAGGATACCTGCAAGGAGGGTCAAATGATGATGTGTTGCAAGTCGATAAAGATTATAAGTGGATAACCGAAAAAAGAAATGGAAAACCTCAAAACAGAAATTGCTAGCGATTTTTGCTTTATGCCGCAGCAGCGGAGAACGAGCAATCGCATTGTAGTACTATTGATCCGGCCAGCACGGCCGGCAAAATAAATGCCACGAACGCAACATGATCATTTCTGTTCTATACCTGACAAGTCTACGTCGCGCTTTTCTTTCAATTCGTCGAGCTTTTTCTGAACGTCCGCTTTTTCTCTCCGCCCCGCTTCCGCGCACTCCTTCCAGTTGAGGCAGCCCGCATGCCACTTGGCCGCGTCCTTTTCCGCTTTTGCCAGCTTCTCTTGCAGTTCGCGCACAACTTCTACTGGTTGTACTTCGGCCCCGGCCGTTTTGCTCGCACTCGTCCCACTGCCGCCGGCAGCGTCTTTGTTCTGCAACGTGCGGAAGAAGTCGCTCGGGCACTGCTGCTGCTCTCCATCATGATCCTCAACATCGACGTTGTCGGGTGGCGGCGCTTATCAGATGCAAACATGTCTGGGTCTTTTTACGGAAAACATGTATTCCTCGAAAGAGGCCACAATCTGTGATGCGTGAAGCGGATGATCTCACCGCCACATCCCATTCCCAGCATGTTGTCGTTATGCTCATGCAAAAGTAAGCGCGACTCTCAGTCTTCTTCTTCACGCTAGCTAGGCATTTTGTATTTCTAGGACCACCCGTCAGAAAGTTTTTCATGCTTAAAGACGTAAATGAAGTTCGATTCGCCTGTAGAGACGAGCATCACAAGTTTCCAGGCCCAGAGAGCAGACATCTTTACAATGCATAGTGTCCCGGGCTCGACGTTCGCTTTCGCCCAAAGTTCGTCGCGTTCGTTTAAGATATCGCACGAAAAAATAAGTGCAACTCTGGCGGCAATGTCAATCACGATTTTGCAGCAGGCTCTGGTGTTTGATAAGTTGTTCGGAGGTACGCATGACCCATAAAATTTGCCATGCCTCGTCCTGCTTCATGCATTTTTAGCAGAAACTGCAAGTGTAGTTGATTTTTGAATACACAAGTAGGCTGACCGTGAACAAGATGCGGATTTTTCCTTGCGATACTCGACGCTTATTATGTATTCGTCCTGCTCGTCCAGCTGCTTTTTTCTGTCCACAGAAAAACTTTCGAATCAACCCAAACAAAACACAGTCTTTTTTAGGGACAGTCAGAACACCAGACGAGTCGACATTCAGAATCGAATGCATCTTCAATTTTCCGCATGACAAAGCCGATTGGTCGTGACTCGTCTGGAGCTTGTGCTTGACTTGCTTTGCTTCGATTCGACAAAATAGTGCACATTATCTCCACATGCATACTTCAACTCGTCACATTTCTGCGATAGCTCCGCGTTGCGATCTTCGTATCTGGTGATGCACTCTTTCTGCTTCTGCAGCTTCTGCTTCAGGCTTGCCTGCGTGGCGGCCGCCGCAGCGGTGGACTTCACCTAAAATATTTTTCGTGATGATTTCATGGAGAAGCAAGATGAAGAAGCAACAGCAAGGAGCTCGAGCAATAAAGGAATCTTGAGAACAAGAGAGGGATAATGTTGAGAATTACTACACAGAGGATGAGGAAGCGCGACTGCGGACAAATCAGAAGAAACAACAACTACAGTGTCGGTTCATTGTGTCACCAGAAACAATAAGTATGAGAGAAAAACAGGCGCCGTTTAGGAATGTCAGCTTGAAAAGAATCGTACCAAATTATCGCATTCCGCAACGAGTTGGGCTTTTTCGTTTTCCAAGGTTTTGAACTCCTGGAATCGAGGGAAAAAAGCAACCGCGACCCGGAAAATAAATGCGGAAGCAAATAGTGCAACGTACTAGTGCATGATGATGCATCAAAATCAAATGGAACCTTAACCTTATGTCAAGAAAATCCAAATTCATCCGTAGGAATCGAATACTGATGCATCATGCATCATGCACATTCACATGCAGCGCCAATGCGTGACGATAATCTTCCTCAAGACATCCGAGTTTGTTGTTCTGGTGCGCTGTTTTTGTCAAATTTTCGTACTTCCTGGCCTTTCGCCCATTCGTCGTGGTACAGCTGGCAGGCCGCTCTCTGTTTTGTGTTGATTTTTTTCCAAAAGTATGATCTTCATTCAAATCGTGCTAAGGACATTGTTGCACTTGTTCGCAAGAAGTATTTTTTCCCTTTGCGTTTGTCTCCTCGTGGTAAGTAGCTTTATTATTCATCGCCATGACACCTGATCTTCCACCTCCGCCGCTTTGTTGTCCCGGTCACTGGATACAGCAGCAAGTTCGTATCCTGTGCAAAAACGCAGTTTTTACCCGCGCCAGAGCTGTCATGGAGATCTAGCACCATGATGCGCAGCAAGTGTCGGATCATGTTGCGACTTATATATTCCTTCTTGAATAAAGAGCCATTTACATTTTGTGGTTGACGCATTCATGCCACAATTTGAATTTCCAAAAATCATAACCTCGTCTATCCTTTCCACCTACGGATGTCAAACATGCGTGACTCGCACCAGAACGCTCGATTTGTTCCCATGATCGTGAAGATGACTCTGGGGCGGGGACGCTGAGGTTTTTACGCAGCGGGATAATTCGGCCTCCAAATTCCGGCACTGCAGTTCCAGCTCCTTGTAGGTGGGTTTGGACGCCTGGAGGCACGGCATGGCGGTCGTCCCGATGGTGGGCTCCTCCAGCAAGAGATCGGTCTTGAAAAGAAACAGGACCAGAGGCAGAGAGAACTGTAGTGCACAAAGAAAACCAGCTGCAGCGCCACCCACCGGAGAGGCAGGAGAACGAAGTCGTCCAGAAGACCGCTCGTCAGAAGATCTCGGGTCGTTCGTAGTGAAAAGTAGATGGCGCGGCAGATGGTAGTACTTACTACAGCGACGGTGGTCAAGAACGGGGTCGTGATCTAGAAGTTCGCCCGCTGGTAAAGATGATAGATTGATCCTGCGCGAGGACCAGAAGTGTGGACGTCCAAGTCTCGTGACACCAGCAGCTAGACCGGAATACAAAGAACGGGACGGAGCAGGAGCACCTCCTCGTCCTCCAGCGCGTTTGAAGATAATGATTTTTTCCCTACAACTACTCGCCTGTATAGATCGGAGCCACGTATTCTCGAGCGGAGCTCCTGGGGGGTAAGAGGTTGTAGAGCTAGAGGTGCATCTTCGTCGGCGTACTGTCCAAACCGAGAACTACACCAGAAGAAAGAAGACAATCGGAATCCAATCTCGTCCTTCAAATGTAACCACAGTGGGTCGTGGCGGAGCAGTCACTGTAGCGCATATTGCTTGTCAAATTTTGTTATAGGTGGGTCCTCGATTGAAAATCTGCAGTGTAAGTAAGTACGCGTGGTGACCCGACATTGTGCTCGAAAAGCTCTCTATTTCTTTGATCACAAGCGCTTTGTTTGCATTCATACTCATCGATCTCTATAAGTAGACCTCCTACCAGCCCTGAGGAGGTGACCATCTTCATGCGGGGGCAACACTCATGGTCCCCGTAGTACTATCTGAGGTGCATTGCTTCATCTCGAGGATTTGAGTTCTTTTTACACGCGGAGGTGCGTGGTGCTGAACCACGTGCCCGAAAAAGCTTACCCTTTTTCTATTTTTGCAAAAATACTATGACGAATTTGCTATTTATCTTGAAGAGGCGCTGCAAAAACTAGTCGTTCGCTCCTACTAAGTTGTACTGGAGCCGATTTGCAGCTGCGCAAAAACTTCTATAAGTTTAACTTTTTATTTCAATATCGCACCAAGACCAACTCATCGGAGGACGTTGACAGCACCGCTCGTCTTGCTCAATGAAAGAAGGCAAATTTGAGAAAAACGAAACTAACAGGACAGACAGTCAATAACCTGAATTTCACATTCACGTGCACGAATTTTTGAAATACCGCAGTTACTCGCTCAACCAAGAATACTCCGTGCAGAATCAACCAACAAGCCAGGGTTTGTATGGAAGCTTCTCGCTTTCAGTCGGATTCCATGCGGATCGACTTGACATTTTAATTTTTTTTCTTGCACATCAAAAATAAACATAAAGTAGAAAGTACGGTCTGAAAACACATTTTTATTTTCCTCACAAGCATTGCAATATCAACGTTGATGACTATCTCTATCGTTTTATCAAGGTGGCGTTTTTCGGTGTCGCATCAGTACCGGTGTGCTGGATTCGCTTCGACTTCGTGGTGGCACAACTGTCTACTAGTGTGAGTTCCACCAACCTACAACCCTAGAACAGAAAAATGAAAAAAAAATCTCCTAGAAGTTGAAGAAGTTCTGATTGAAACGAAATCATATACGGCGTTCCGAGTGCCATTTTTAACAAATTTTCGTATACTACAGCAAAGTAGAAATAGGTCCTAGTCCTTGCCGGAGGAGCCGCCCACAAACGAAACGATGCGTGGGTGCAATGGTAGATGAATTTCAGGTGAAACAGTAGAAAAAATTGAGAGACCCCAATGAAGCAGAAATGCCCAGCAAAATGAGCACCGTAGAACTACTACAAATATATCTAAACCGAAATGCATCGTGCTGTCGTGATTATCTTCCCGCTCTGTGTGGACGCCTCTACAAGGCTTATTTAGCGAAAGATAATGATTTGCGTTTGTTTATCGAAAGCAATACTTGTTCAGTACCGCTTGTGCTTGATGTTTATTCGGAAAGCAGGCACGTTCTTAACTAGCAGCACGTGGAAAAACTAAAAAAAGAAATTCGTTACGCAAAACCTGACAGGTACAAAGACACTTTGTAACTTTCTCGCACGGTGGATTTCGGCGCTTGTGGTGGAGCGGCGATTTCCGAAGCACTAACGCGTTCGCGTGGGAGCTGTGACAGGCCCCCCATAGAGTAGACCTTTATTTTTCAGCAGTAATTGAAGCTTGGTTTTGTATTCTCAACAACATCACACTAGAGTACAAGTACTTACGTAGATACTTCCGTCAACTGCCAACTCAGATAGGTGCGCTCCGCAAGGGGATGCAACTCTCTTTTGCAATTTTTTGAAAAACTTCATAAAACTTGATTGATTTGTGGCAGAAAAAAGACTGCAATACTTTTCGATTTGTTGTTTTAGCAGTGGGTGCAGGAGCTGCAAATAAAGTCTGCAGCACTTGAACAAGAAATTGCAAAGCAGGAAAACCTCTACAAAAAAACCTTTACACGAGATCTGCGCAGGTCCATTGCGAATTTAATATATAAAAGTGCTATAGTAGTTCTTATCATCTCCCCCTGTGTTGATAGATAGTGTAAAGACATCAAAAATGTCATCACACTTAGGTGCCGTGCGTACCCACGATGGAAACGACGTCGATAAACAAGGTCCGGGCCTTGGGTTCGACGTCCCGTCGGCGCGGTTTTGGAACCACTTCTACGCGCTTCTCTCGTAGTGCCGACGTAACTGTAGCCGACTGGTTAAAACAGGCGCGTCTGGGTCGTGGAGCTGCCATTGTTGACTTCGTCTCCGCTTTCTGCAGCCGCTCCCGCTCCGCGCAACATTTGGTGTTGCAATTTCGCGTCATGGTCTCTGGCGCTGCGTTCCATATCGGCCTGGAGCTCTATCATGAAGAAACACCCTCCCTCCTCATACTTTTGTGGTGCGTGGTTTGCCTACTACACAAATCTCCTTCGTTTTCTTGCAGCAAGGAACTTCGACTTGACTATTTCTCTAGCGGACTTGTTTAAGATTTGTAGAAGAAGTCTACTTACATTGATTTCTATTCCTTGTTGCGGATCTTCAATGACTGAAAAAGGTGAGTTTTTGTTTTTCTCTCTGATAAGCTCCGCTTCTTCCTATCCACAGAAAAAAACCCATCCCCATCCATTTTTTGCATGACAGACACAGGATTCTATCTCTATGTATGTTTTCCATGACAAATTGAATGGGGATGGGTTTTTTTTTGTGGATACTTCCCCAGAGGACAGCATCAAATCGTCGCAGTCGTCGAAATCGCCGTGCTATACATTGTACATATGTCATCTGGATCTTCACCTGGAAGGGTCGTGTAAGGCTACTGTCTGAATGACAACCGGACTGAAGTACTACCTACGTAGCCGCGCATGAAAAAAAACATACGGAAATGTAAATGACAAATGAAATCGCGCTTATATTTCTGCATACCTTTATTTATAGAAGCAGTGCATCGCTTTCGCTGTTCTGCAACACGCATGAAAGACTTCAGGACAACGCGACCCAAATCCAAGTTATCCAGGAGAACAAGCATTGCACCCTGGTTTCACCAGAGGACCTATTTACAATGCATATGTGTCCGAATTGCTTTTGGAAGCTGACGGGGTGTAGCAAGTAGCAGACGGTCTGGTGATCGTCTTTTCTTCGGATCAAACGGGAGATGCGGTTTTGCACGCTGTAAAACTGGTTAGTCCGGGGGTTGAACTGGTCGGTAAAGTTGACCAGGTGGTTTCTGTGGTCCGAAAACGGATTATCCAGCACAAAGATCATGATGCCTCAGGAGCCCGAAACAGGCACACCTATGAATGTACTGACTAGAAGCTCGAAGTCAAAAACTCACAGCGAATCACAGTCCACCAAACCTCAAATTGCAGTGGAATAATAATTCAAGATGTTGATGCCATAGCCACTGCCACCTTATTGTTGAACTGTGTGCATGACAAATTGGGGGGTGCTGCTGGGGGCAGGGGAACAAGAAGTTGTATCATGTTGCATACGGATCATCCGCCTTGTCGTTCATTTCCAGCTCGGGAGAAGTGGATGTAGGAGAGTCCTCGTCCTCCTCCTCGGACTCGTCGCGCTTCTTGTCACCTTCAAGACCATCCTCAACATGGTAAAAATTCTTGATCTTGATCGTCTCGCGCTCGCCCGTCATCATGGTGCCCTTGCTGTGTGTTCTTCCGCTGCCGCTCAGCATCTTTTCGTGCGGTTGTCTCCTGCCACCTCTGTCTCGTGGTGCTCCTTGCGTCGTCTCTCGTCCCTGATCGCGTTCTTTCATTTTTCGCAGCAGCTCCACTGGTCGTGTGCCACGACCTCTGTGCTCCATTTCGGTCTCTCTGCCTTCCTCGATCTTCTTTGGAGCGAAAATCGAGCAGCTCGGACGCCTTGTTCTACGTGGTGGCGCAAGGCGGGAAGTTGACCTACAATTGGAGTTGGATAATCTTTAGTTGTTCTGTAGCAGGAGCACGACTACAGATTCAGCTGTGGTGAGCGAAGGAAAAAAGTAAAAAGCTATACGAAGTGAAAAAAAAAATTTTAGTAAGAGCCAATGAAAATACGTACTTAGAAAACGATTCATTTTTACCATGTATCCTGCGGAGCCTTCATGAACATGTCCAGTCCCAGGTTTTTGGTCCGTGCGATGCCCCTTGGCGCTAGCACGTCAGTGATTTTGTGGTCGATGACTTTTCCCTGGCGCGCGTGGTCCTCCAACCCGAGGCAGAGCAGCCAAAACTCGGTCGCTGCCAGAATGTCCAGGCTTTCTGCGTCCAGGACGCAAACGGTCTTTCCCTTGTGCTGATCCTCATCCTGCGCCATAAACAGCTTCACTATGCAACAACACTACTCAGGTGTTACGATTTCAAGTCTACTTAGTACATTGAAATAAACGCCACTGAGTACTACCCGTTCATTATGCGGGTCCGGGTGGACCAACCGAATAAAGACAGAATGGAGAACAACGCAAGTTAGGTACAGGATGCAAGCTTCATCTGGCTCGCAAATCCACATATTTGAAACTCGAGTCAATGTACGAAAACGAATCGTAAATTAGCATAGAAGTAAAAACGGTTGAAACTGTACGCACCTGAGCAAGATGGATATTCACCCACTCCAGCTTCTTGCAGCCCTCATACTTGGTGGACAGGTGCGGGGGCGGGTAGTCGACGGCAACAGGAAAGCCGCTGGAGGGGGCGACTCGACGTTCCGGCTGAACAGATACTTCTAGAGGACCCTCTGCAACTACGGCATCGTGGGCAGCTCCTTCAGGGGCAAAGTGGACACTTTTTTTATTCGCACCGGCCGCTGGCCCGCCTCGTCCGCCAGCGTGATGCAGCGGCCTAGTCGCCGCTGCCCGCCCAGCTGGTGCAACCATAGTACAACTCATCTCCCTCGCTCCTGCAAAGAACGGCGCTGCCGCGGCTCCGGGTCCTCCGCCCGGCGGAATTATGCTCTGTGCACGACCAGCATATGAGGAGGAACCAGATCCAGATGACGTGGAACCGCCGTAGGATACCGTCGGCGACTTTGTGTGTAGAACTGCCGTTCTTTTGATTCGCTTCAACAGACCTACCGCGCGCTGTTCCATTTCGTGTGTGCGTACAAGATCGACGTCTTCGTTCGGGTTATAGAAGTGCTTGTGGGCAGCGGTCTTGATGGTGGAGGAGTCAAGAACGTCGGAAGAAAATTCGTGATCATTCGCACCGCTTTATGGACTTCTCACAAGTTACATTGATAGCTGGCGTTACATGAAGATTTGTGATGCAAAAGTAATGTTCTCAGCAGCCACGGCCACCCGATCAATCACTACTTCGCATGCCAAAATATCTCAGTTCTAAACAGGGTGGAAATCTGTTCCAAATTTGTGACGCAAGGCGCGGCGTAAACTTGTCTCTTAACTTTTACTTGTGCTGTTCTTGCCTCACAAACCCATGTACTAACGGCTATCAATGTAACGTTTGAGAACTCCATACGCTTTTCATCGCGCCACCGCTCCTGCCGTTGGTAGTAGTTCCGCCACCATGATCATTCGCTGCTGTCGTGGTGTCACCCCGTGGGCTGCCTTGTTCGTATTGTGAGGAAAAGTCTCCCCACCCCATATTTAATTATGCAAACTCCAAGGAAGAGCCCGGTGGCTTATGTCGGCTGCGCTCCCGAAGGCAAACGTAGTGCCAGCCCCGAGGGAGGTAAATGGGGGTGGGAGGTGGGCAGACAATCCGATCTTTTCAGGAGAAGAATGCAAACACGAAAACATAGCGGAACATCGACGCTGCACTCTTTCCGATTGGTCGGTAGGCTCTTGTTGTTTTTTGGAGTTCACTGCACAAGATCTGCACAAAGAATCCATTAAGATTTCGTCATATCAGCGGCAAAGTTATCTAGTGCTGTAGGTCAACAAAGTTGACACCCGAATACTTACCTACAACGGGATGAAGGCCCGAGAGGCGGGAGTAGAGCAAAAACATAAAAGGACTCGACCAGCGACACTGTAAGCATATGACATCTGGCGGGACATTATTGTAGCGCATGTGCAACGTCGCACCAATGCGCAGCGAGTGGCAATTTGTCTCAGAATCAGGATAATGGTGCCGAAATAGGTGCGGAAAATCAATTTCGATTTCGGTGTTAATTTTTTCGAGAAATTGGCGATAGGAATGCAAGCGCGTCTCTCTAGCGTCTTTGCAGGTGCAACGCACTGAGACGCCTTGAATATTTGTCGACTTGGCAAGCCCCTGCTGGCACGCAGGACGAAAATCCGCCGTGATATGTGTGTCAGTATAGGTGACTAGAGTGGATTTATTTATTTGCGCCAACTCTCCTCGCCGAAGCGCGAAGACGAAGGCAAGCAAAAAAATAGCTCTCGCAGTGACATCCTGCACTGCGACGACTTGGCTAAGTTGAGTAGGTATTTTTTGCGTGTGTGTCATAAGTGTCGTTTTTTGTCTTAAACGCGATAGGCCCGCGCGTAATTCTTGCTCTTCGACTTCGTGCAGTTCGATCTGGTTGGACTTTTTGGCAAAAGTCAGAACTGTGCTGATGTCATCGTCTAAAGTTTTGCACCGACACTGAATCGCAACACTAACGAAAATCATGCGTTTTTTGTAGTCAAGTGGGAAAGGCTTCACATTTGCAGCAGAAGTTATTTCTTCGCATTTCTTAATTCGGGAGGTCGATGTAGATACAGTGGACGGCTTGACTTGTTGCAATTCATTTGCATAAGTCAAGGCGGCTCTTAGCAGATTTGGGCTACTGGCGACCATAATCGCCATGCTTTGTTGCTTAGAAGAGCGGGTCTTTGTCTGCACACTAGAACTGGGCAAGTTTGTAAAAAATTCATCATCCACAGCTTCAGAATTCCGATGCGGAGATCGCTCACGTGCAGGGGCATTAGCAGTACTACTGCTGCCGGCGCCTGACGCAGGTGCAAGAGAATTCTCTTGAAGATATAAGTCTCTTCGCCGCATGGTAGTCGTTTACTTGTTGGGGAGCGGAATAGTGCCAATAGTGCCGGGCGGGGCCCACTTTTTGTGCTGTTTAATATTTGCTACAGCACTCGCGAAAGTGACACCGCTCAAATTGATCGAGAACTGTTTTGCCTGGTCACGAAAGTCCTTTTCCGTAGGAATAGTATGCTTGCGCAAGCAGGACGGGTTGTTGCAAGCACCCCGCCAAAGGTCAAAGCAATACTGGTCCTGGATGGCGACTTTCTTCTGCGGGGGGCCACCTCCAGCCGAGTGGTCACCAACCCGTTTGTTAGACGAGGAAGACGATGACGCAGCTGCGCCGATTTGCTGCTTGAGATCTTCCGCGAGCTGCGCAGTGGGCTGAAACAACGCCACACGGTCGAAGTGCGTGAAAAAATCGACCTCAAACCAGTTCCGACGGCGGTCCTTGTACTTCAAGGCGGGGGCTTTCGGCTCCCGCTTTTTGCACTCTGCAGCCAGAGGCCAGACCTTGGAGAGTATATAAGCAGCCGCCCGGGGAGATAAGCGATCGACCTTGGAGTAGGCCTTGTTGTACTGCGTAGCTACGATAACGTCCTCACCGAGTAACGCCTGCAAAAAGGTCCCCCGTTTTTCTTTCGTTAAGAAAATAGTCGACAGCTGTTCGATCTCGTGACTTTTGAGCAGGTTGCTCACTGCCTTGCGCTCGTCCTTATCTGGGGCAGTGAACGAGTCGACAATTTTGTCGTTGTATTCTTCCAGCTTTTGTTCAAGCTCTTGCTTAGTACTAGCTCGCTTGTCGGCGAGCTTATCCAGAAGCCCCCCGAACTCTTCTAGCTGTGCGTCGTCCAGAGGGGGCGACATTGTGGGGCTTTACGGGGTTTTTTTCAGCACTAAGGACCTGCGCAGGCTGTATTTCGTATGGGCAGAATGTATATGGGGATACGCAGGATCAGTATGTTATGAGATAGCAATTAAAATAAGACCGAGGAATTGCAGCATGCGCATGCGATATCACTCAGTTGTCAAACAAGTTGACCGACGTAGCAGACAGCGGGTGGGCGGGTGGGCAAAACAGAAACACATCTGCTCGCTCGCGTGCCTGCTGCCCGTATACATCTATTTTCTTTGTCATAATCAAATGGCTCACGCACCAAGCCCGAGCCAAACTCACAGGCTCGCATGACTCTTCCTTGCTGCGTACGCATTTTAAATTTTAATTATGCAAACTCCAAGGAAGAGCCCGGTGGCTTATGTCGGCTGCGCTCCCGAAGGCAAACATAGTGCCAGCCCCGAGCCAACGTGGCAGAGCCGCGACCCGATGAGAGCCCCGCGCTACGGGCGGATGAACATCGGGATGGGGGAGGGCAAGCCGACACAGCGCCAACGTGGCGATGCCACCGGAAAGTGGACCTACAGCAGAAGCGCCCTAAGCGACGGAGGGCAAAATTTTAGGCGCATGACGCGCATGCTTGCATGACGCTAAAATCGCATGACGCGGTGTGTGCATGACGCAGAAGTTATTGGAGGCCAATGCTGGCCATGAAGTGACCATGCGGTCAGGAGCCATGCGGCTCGGTAGCTGCGGGGGTGGGGTCGCTAAGCCCATGCACGCAAACAAAACAGAAACGCATCTGCTCGCTCGCGTGCCCGCTGCCCGTATACATCTACTTTCTTTGTCATAATCAAATGGCTCACGCACCAAGCCCGAGCCAAACTCACAGGCTCGCATGACTCTTCCTTGCTGCGTACGCATTTCAAAAGGGAAATTTGTGTTGTTGATCTGCGAATATAAGAAAAAGAAATCCATCTGTAAATGCAAAAACAAAGAGAATAAAGCGAGGGCGCAGCTACGTGGCATGATCGATGTAGTATGCGGTTTCTATGGTTGGTCAAGCAACAGAGAAAACTTCTGTCATGCCAAGCAGCTAGTCATCCCCTCCAGAAACTGGCTTAGCTGAGATTCTACTTCCTCGCTTTGAAAAATCATGCTACTCACACAAATCTCTGATGTTTGAATGTGGTGATGGGGGCACTTTTCATCTTGGTAGTTCGTCTGGTCGCTCGTGTACATCGAGTCCACCCATCGTACAAAGCGACGAAAAACCGCGTGGTAAGCGGGAGTGATGGGCCAACCTCTTCACATATCAAAGTGAAAAGCGCCACCTCTTCGCTCCTCACCTACATCGAAGTTGCAAAGCTCTAGCATGGCCTCTGCGGAGCTAGCGCGCGAAACAGATTTTCGCTATCATTTTTCCTCGTTGAAAATTATCTGTTGTGATGCTGCTTCACACGAGTTGCAAATGTAAATGTTCCCATTAGGAACTTTTACAGTAACAAATAAAGCTTTATTCGTCAAGTTGGGAACTTTATTTCACTTTGATATGACAGCTCCGTGTGCTGATGTTGCGACGTTACTGGCGGTGGATGCCGTCGAGATATCCGAGGAGGAGCCCGCCGAGGTGGCACGGTCGTAGTACGTGTGCGGCTCGCGAACAAGACAGAATCGCAACAAAAAACTGTTTCTTGTCGTGATATTCGGGTCCTCTTGCCCGAGAGAAATGTGTGTAAGAAAGCAAAGGGCACTATGTTCAACAGGTTGTACGGGCGAGCACGCGTGGTAGATTTGTTTTTCCCATCCTGCTGCTTGTTCGCTGTATGTTGGTTGTACGTGCGAGCACGCGTGGTAGATTTGTTTTTTCCCATCCTGCTCGTCCGCTGTCATGCAAAGCAGAAAACCTGTCACGCAAAAGATGCAAAATCGTCAACAGTAGAGTGAACCAGTTTTTTCGTACGATAGATCATAGATGCCGCGTTTCATACCCGGTTGTTCCCGCTTAGCTGTCGCTAGTTGATGCAACTCAGTTCCACCTCCGGGGCGCTGTTCGGTGGCCGCACGACGGAAGCTGAGTGGAAAGACCAGGGCATCTTCGCGCCGGAAAGATGAGGCCTGTTCCTGGACCTTGTGTTGGAACTGATTATGGCCTGCTCAAACGTCGGAACACTTTCAAACTAGAACCATTGGAATTCGAATAAAGTATCTGAAGCATCAAACATGCGAATAAAAAATAATAGTCGTCTCCTTATTTGTTGCATCACAGGAGACCACCTCCTGTGGCCGAATGTGTCCTGCACACGCCAGCGCCGGGTACTTAGTAGACTTTGGCTTGTTTACCTTTCGACATGCAAAACAAAGTTTAGGCCCTACGTACATGGGTCGTCCAGTTGAATTTGTTCTAGGTGAGCACGCAGGGCATACTGGTGGCGCAGCTCCTGGTCCTCGGTCGAGACAATAGACGAGCCAGAGCCCCCTGCGAATAGTGCTTATATTAAGGTCGCGCCCGGAGGGCGATATTGGTAACCAAATGCGTGCGCGAAAATCTATCCAGCGCGAAGACCCGCCAACCTTTTTCTAACATCGTCCGCGGCCCTAAAGGGCCGCGGACAACTACTGTCGCCCGCGGCGGCCCGCAGGCTCCTGCGATAAGCATTGAAGGCGAAATCCGGTCTGCTATTTCGCAGCGGGGCATTCTTTCTAGCCCCCTGCATGACAAACTGGCCACCTGGCCAGGAAGATATGTGGCCGGGGGGGCCAAGCCCCCCCCGGACCCCCCCATCCACTTTCGCAGCGGGGCATCCTTTCTGGCCCCCTGCATGACAAACTGGCCACCTGGCCAGGAAGATATGCGGGTCATCGGGGGCTCCCGGATTCGCGTTCAAAGCTTATCGCAGGAGCCTGCGGGCCGCCGCGGGCTCCACCACTTCCCCGCGGCCCTAAAGGGCCGCGGACAACTACTGTCGCCCGCGGCGGCCCGCAGGCTCCTGCGATAAGCATTGAAGGCGAAATCCGGTCTGCTATTTCGCAGCGGGGCATACTTTCTAGCCCCCTGCATGACAAACTGGCCACCTGGCCAGGAAGACCCCCCATCCACTTTCGCAGCGGGGCATCCTTTCTGGCCCCCTGCATGACAAACTGGCCACCTGGCCAGGAAGATATGTGGGTCATATGACAGCCCTTTTGGGCCACCCAAATCGGGCATTTCCAAGCGGGCGGAGGCTTCAGTTTGCTACCCTCAGAGAGGTCGAAAAGCGTGGGGGGTGAACACACCTCCGCAGGCTTGATGGCTGCTTTTTTTCTTTCAATCACGGCGGTATGGGCCGTGTGACAATTTCAAAAACCACTTTTGAGCGGCAATTTCTAAGCGGCCCCTGCTTTTTCACAAAAAAGCGCCATTTTCAATTTCCAAGCGGCTTCCGGGGACTGCAGAAAATCGGTAAATTTTGTCGGCCGCTTGTAGGCTGCGAAAAATTGCATTTTTTCAGCTCTTTTTTTCAATTTTCAAGCGGCTGGAGCTGCCCGGAGGTGACGCATTTTCCGCTATAAAACGCATCACACCACCGGCCCTTGCCGAAAATGCCACAATCTTTTTTCAGATTCAGACCGGGCGGAGCTGCAAAACTGCTATTTTTTACCCTTTTCCCACTTGGTTTGGTAATTGCTGTTTTGGTTGCTTTCGGGAAAATTCCCACAAATTCTGCCCGATCCGCTTTCTGAAGGCAAAACACACTTGACAATGCCCGACTTTGCCAGTGGTTGCATACCCCCGAGTTCCTCCCATATGGTAACGGCAAAGCCTTCGCGCTGCGTTTGCGATGGATGAGCATCTCGCAAAGAGCGCTTGCGCACGCTTTGGTTACCAGACCACGCAGTCGCGCAGCTTTTTAGTCGTTTACATGTAGCATATTTTGCCAATACGAATGGAAATCAGTGGAGTGATCTATCGGTCTATCAGAAAGAACTATGCTTCTTCCAATCTAATGACTGAGTAAGCAACAAGCGGACCATTCCAGCTCGAAAAAAGTCTTATCTTGGTAAAGAAGTTTTCGAGTTTAACGCAAAACAAAATCGCGTGCCAAAGGTAGTGACGAAGGTGGAATTAGAAAAAAAACTGACTGACTGAGCTTCTGCTTAGTCTAAGAATATTCGCGTTCGTTTTTTCATGGAGCTCGTTTAGATGTGCAGCGTTTTGCTATCTATTTGCGTGAGGATCGCTCCTCGATTTCCTCCTCTTTTTCCCCTTCGCCCTTAGGCCATGGGGTCAGCGGCGGCCCAGATTTTGCTCTGTCGGTCTTGCTGGAACACTGTGCCACAGACCGTCGCCTCCTCCATGCCGGAGTTCTCGCAGAAGTAGAAACTGCTTACTCGAAAATTTAGTGCGCTGCCGTCGTCGCTTCGCGCCGTGTAGTTGTAGGCGGACCTGGGCCGCCTCTCCCACACCTTACCGGAAATTTGCTGCAATAAATTCCGCTCTTGCTCTTCTTTCTCCGCACGCTGCTGCTCCAGTCGTTCGCGTCGTTGTTCCTCCATTGCGGTCCTTTTTGCTGTCTTGGGTCGCCCTGCCGGCGCCCCTCGTCGCTTCTTCTGCAGGGTCTGGGCCGCTCTGTTTTTCTCCAGTGTTTGTCGAACTGCTATGCCCGAGGGCTTGGCGTCTTTCAGAACTTGGAACGGGATCCCGTAAAAGTCGAGATCTTCCTGTGCCTGCTTGCCCCAAGGGGTTTTTTGCTGTAGTTCGTACTCAACCCGGCGCGCCGAGCCTTCTTCCCTCCGTGTCCCCCCTGCAGGCATGCGCGATCCAAGCGACGCGCTTGGCCCGAGTTTCGTCTTCTATGGGCTGCACTCCTCATTCGCAACAAAGTTCTACTCGGGACTTCTCAACGTTTCTGTAGTACCCCCCAAGGACTGAGCGGAGGGAATTATCTTGGAATGATCGGAGCGCTGTGTGTGCCGCTTTCGAAATGCGCCACACCTCCGAGTTGTACAAAGCTATACTGAGAGTGAGCGCACGATACAACTCAGCCTTCAAGTGGAGAGGCACAGAGCCATCCCTCCATATCGGGCCGAGTTGTTTCACCACCCCACTGGCCATCCCGCATCTGCGGGCGGTTTCTGCGTCTGTGTCGCCCCTGCTACTGATTTCGGTGCCGAGGTATTTGAAAGCCCCGACCGACTCGACCGGTTTGCCCATGTGCCGCACCTGCTTGCAGTCGCTTGCCGCCGCAGGCCTTGCCTGCCGTTTGTTCTTTTGTTCTGCGATTCTGCTCAGGCGGAGCGTTCTGAGTTCTGCGATTGTTTTGCTCGGGCGACAGAAGCCACTCGTTGAGTGGAAGTGCAGTGCTGTTGCGTCTGGCAGCACGTCCCCACACTTTTCGCAAACAAACTCGCTCTCTTCGTCTAGAACGTGCTGAACCCGGCCCAGTTTTGTAAGTCGTATGCTTTCGCCAGTGTGTGTCGTTGCCCACCCGCTGGGCTTCTCGGCTATGACTGTGAGTCCCTGCGCGGGGTCATCCCACACCACTGCGCGCGTGGGCGCCAGGTCGCCGAGGCCTTGCAGCGAGAGGCGCTGGACCTCCCGCCGCCATTCCTCGCTCCAGTCTACGCCGCTCCATTCTATCATCCATCCTTCTTCTTTTTCGCATATGCACCGCTCCATTTTTGCGCCCGGGTTTTTCTTGATTTGTGCGTCTTGGTTCACCATCATTATTTTTGTCTTCTTCGCGTTGAGGTCTAGGCCGATGAACCGGCACGCGCTCGCCAACTCCATGAGCGCGAAGTCCATCGCCTCCACGCTCGTGTCTTTGAGCGCCAGATCATCGACGTAGCCGAGCCACGCCAGCGCCCAGGCGTGCGCCTGCTCGGTGGTCCACTTTAGTTCTTCCGCCATTGTTGCCGCGAATTGCTTCATTGCCCAGTCCACACAGAGCGCAAACAGGAGGGGGCTCAACCCGCTCCCCTGCCGTATCCCGCTCTTTTGCTTAAAGGGCTTCGCGTGCTTGTCGTCGCCGAGGCGAATGATTACTTCTGCTTTTTCTTCGTACATTTCCCGCACTACTCTGCAGAGGTTCTCAGGCATCCCTTGTTTTTTCAGAATTTGAAACATTACCGACCAGGACAATGAGTCAAACGCTTTCTGAAAGTCTACGAACGCGTAGAGCGCCTTTTTTCCCTGCCTGTTGTTCCGTTCCAGGTCCCGGAGCAGTTCAAAAACTGCATGCCTGCACGACAGCCCCGCCCTGCATCCTTTTTGCCGCTTGTCCATCGCTTTATTGCTATTGGCGTCTTCTTCTATTCGTCTCAGTATTACTAGCCCCGCCAATTTTTCGCCTAACGACATCAGCGCGATCGGCCTCCAGTTTTTTGGATCGACCATGGCGCCGCCTTTGTGGAGCATGGCGACCACCGCCTTGCCCCACTCTGGAGGAATTCCGTCCCCCTTGAAGATCCGGCGCACTAGTGCGATCATGATCGCCCGAACGGTCGGACAATCTCGCGCAAATTCCGCCGGTATCGGCCCCGCAAAGGCCTTGCCCCGCTTCAGCTCTCTGAGCGCGGCGTCTACTTCTTCGTGCGAAGGGATCGCGGCGACCCCCTCACACCAAACGCTTTCCGGCCCTTCTTTCTGCAGCTCTTCTTCGCATCTTTTCCAAGTTTTGGTCTGCTGCATCGGCTCCGGCGCTTCTGGCCGGTCTGTTCCGAATATGCCCCCCCAGAAATCCGTCCACGACTTGTCTTCTGTTCCCGGGAGGTCCTGCGGCCGCTTCTTCCCGCGCCCCGCCAACTGCCTAGCCGTCTCGTAGACCACTTTGGCGCTGCTTGTGTCGTCGGCCTTTTTTAGTGTTTCGATTTTCTGCGCTACCCACGTGTTTTTGTCTTGCCGCATCAGCCTATTAATTTCCCGGGTGATGTGGGTCACCCTTTAGCCCTTGAGTTTCTTCGCCCTCCGTTCCTCTATTTTGCGCCATGTCTCTTCACTTATCCATGGTTTTCTGGGGCCCTCAGGGGGAAGGTTTTTGCGAAGCTCTTCCAGAGTCGCCGTCGCGCTCGATTTTCTCCCACCAGTCGGTCCGCCGCGCTGGTGCCGCCCTCTTCTATGTCCGCAAGCACGGCCGGATTGTAAATTTTTCCCAGCTTTTCGCTTGCTAGCTCGGCCTGGTGTTTACTTCTTACAACTTTCGGCGGTATTTTTGCCGCTTTCGGTTTCTTTACTGCGCCGAGCTTCATCTCCATCACGACCATGCTGTGGTCGCTTGTTGTTAACGTGTTGCGAACTGCTTTGTATCCCTGAAAGAGACCGCGGTCGCGGTGTGTCACCAGAAAGCGGTCGCATTCCCGCCGCTTTCTGCCTTCGCTGGTCCAGTTCCCCTCAAAAGTGTAGCGGTGCCGCCACTGTTTCTTGTGCAGGCTGGAAATGTCTACTAGCTGCTGCGCTGCTGCGAGCCCGTGCAGCCTAGTTCTGTTGTCGGACTCGAGTGCGAGTCCGCTAGTTAGCCCGCATGGGCCGACGACAAACGGGAGCCCGGAGCTAATTAGCTCCGTCTCCGCGCTTCCTAGTTCGCAACTGTGGTCCCCCCCGACCACTACTATGTCGCGCTTGCTGTGCTGCTGCATCTCTGTTCGCGGCATGTTATAGCACTCGCCTCTCTTTTCTGGGCTGCTGACGTTGGTGGGGGCGTAGACGCTGTAGAAATGCACGGCCTTGCCGTGCGTTGCTTTGATGCTTACCCGCATCAGTCTGCTGTGCTGCGTCCCTGTTGTGCCTTCTATCTTGATCCCCGGGCGCACCAGGATTACTGTCCCCCCTACTGCGGGGCCCGCTGTGCTGCTTGTTGCGCCCCCACCATACGCCTTGTACCCTCCAGGCCACGTCTCGCCGACCATCCCCGTGCGAATACGTGTCTCCTGGAGCAGGACTATATCCAGGTCGTTTCTTCCTACGTCTTCCATCAGCATTGCTACTTCGTGGGGCCAGCGGTCCCGGAACTCGTCCCGCTGTCCTAGTGTTCTGACGTTGAAGGTGCCTACTTTGAGTCTTCGCCCTGTCACCTTGCTCCTCCAGTCTCGGGAGGGAGCGCCCCTACCGGCGCTTGGTGTCCCGCGTGTGCCGGCGCACCTTGCGCTGCTGCCTCCACCAGGGACCACCCCTGGCGGGGGAGCTGCTGGCGTGACTGCGTCGTGTGACGAGGACGCCTCATGGCCCACCCCCATGTTGGCGGGCTTGAGCCAAAGCTGCTACTCCGCTTCTGCAAAAATGTCTTCGCGCTACTGCTCCGCAGCTGTTAGTTCTTGACGTAGCGGCTTCCGACCCCGCCCGCTGGCTTTTTCTTCTTCGCTTTCCAGGCTGTGAGCACGAGTCTGGAAGTGCGGGCGCTTTTTTCTCGAGGTGTGCTCCTCGCATACTACTTGCTGGTCTGCATCGCCAACAGGTTGTTTTTATTCTCAATTATTTCTTCTTTCGGTCTGGCGCTCACTCTCATCTGGCTGCTAGTGCTGCTCTTCTGTAGTGCTTATTTCTACCGGAACAAGGGAACTCCGGGCGTTTTCGCGAGATGCTCTCCTCTTCACACTTCCAAATTTCTTATCGATAGCAAAACAATTCTGCCTTCAAATACAGACACTGCTTGGCGGGCAAGTCTCCAGCAACGCACTAGCTTCAGACCGAAATCTTAAGTAGGCTCTTCACGTAAGCTGCTCTGCCGATCCCACTAGGAGCCGGGGAAACTTATCCCGTAGCTACTCTTCTTTACTGTGGGTCGGGCAATGTAAGTCCTGGCACAGGACTGGTTTCCGGGCGGGGCCGGATGTAGAGATAATAACTACAGCAGAGATTCTTGTGTCCTTGGGGGGGTGCAAATTAACTATTTCTGTGCGCAGTTCTGGTTTCGTCGCCTCCGGCGCTCTGGCGGTGCTGGATCCTGGGTCCTGGCGCTCCCCAGCGTCGGCAAAATCGTACACGTACTACCTTGCTTCTTGTTTTCGGCGTATGCAGAAGATGATATTATTAGTCGCTGTTTGTAGTTGTAGTTTGTAGTTGGTTTGCAGGTCATGCTAGATGTTGTTCAGTTCGTACTCGATTGCTCTTGCTGGTAGTTCTAATGCATGGCATTACTGCTGGTCCCCGTGGCCTACTCGCGCCTCCACCTCCTTGCTCCGCTACTCGTCCTCAACTTTTATTTTTCATCTCGAGAAGAAGAGGAAGAGCTAGGCCCTCCTCGCCGACAACGACGAGGCGCCCGCCCTGCTCTTGTTCTGCCGCAGCTTGTCGAACAAGCCCGCCACCACGCGCCGCCTGCGTTCAGCCTTTTCTTGCGCGCCCCCAGCGGCGCCCTTGTCGTTGGTGGTGGTCTTGTCTTTGTTTCTGCCCTGGCTTTTTGTGTTCGTGATTTTCTTCTTGAATTTCTTCACCACTCCGCTTCCATTCTTCTTGCTTTTTCCGCGCACGTCTACGACCAGCTGCTGCTGCTGCTGCTGTTGCGGCGGCACCTGCGGCTGGTTTGCGCCTCCGCCTGCGTTGGTTGAGGAGGAAGATGTGGAAGGAGCACCCGCACCTGCGCCGTCGAGGGTGTTGCTATTTCCGGTCCCGGTCGCCATAGGCGGCTGAGACTCCTCAATGGGCGTTTTGTCCGACATCTCGTCCCCCTCCTCGTCGCTTTTTCCACCGCCATCGCCTTGCTCGTCGTCCTTAGCGTTGTGGTCGTCGTCCAGTTTGTTGTTGCTGCGTTCCAACTTCTTCTGGAACTTTTCGAACTCTTTCACATTCCGCGCGATGTACTCCTTCGCCTGCAAATCGGTGAGGAGCACGCGCGTGACGTTCCTCATTTCCGACTGGGCGATGCTGTTGAGCTGCATAAGTTCTTCATTACTCTTAGAGTTTATCTCGACCCAGCCATTCTTTTGCACCCGCACGTGCCGGATGAAGCTGTGCTGCATCCGCGAGAAAGCCGTCTGCATCTCGCTGGCAAGAGAGACGCTTTCGCCCGCCTGCGTGTCGGTGTAAGTGGCGCAGGCCGGGGCACTTGACCAAGGCCATTTTCCCGTCGTCTCGCTCCTCCAGTCTCTGCACCGTTTCCCCGTCTTCCACGGAGGCGTTGCCTGCTGCTTTCGCGATTTTCTTGAGCAGCTCCGGCCTCCACGTCTTCACCCGCTCCGCCGGTGTCAGGCCGGTGATCGGGTTCTTGAAGTACTTCGGGCTGACCGAAGTAGCCGCGGGGTCGGCATCTACCGGGATTGCTTTCACGGTGTGGGTTCGTGGGGATCGCGGGGCCCTGCTGGAAGTCTTCATATTGATGTTAATACTCCCGAGGACGGAGTCTTGGCTCCTTTCTGCCGCAGCAGCAGCAGCGTCATCGTCGCTGCTCCGCTCGTCGTCAGGGCAGTCGCCGATGACTTTGTAGCCTTTCTCCTCCTCCAGTTTGCGCGCCTTCCAATCGGCGAACGGCTCCGCTTCAACGCCCTTGATGCAGATGATGTTGCTTGCTTTTTGTTGTGCCAAGTCGAACTGCATCTGGGTGAAGGTTTTTGTTGCCGTGGGGGCGGCTTTCGGGGCTTCGTTATTCTTCCCGGACTTGCCTTTGCCGCCTCCCTTCTTGTTTTTCTTGCCCTTGTTCCCCTTGCCTTCTCCGGCGCTGCGTCCGCGGTTTGGTTGGCCCATGGTTTTTGATTTTTTGAGGTGTTTTGACTTGATGCTAAGTGCAGGGAGCAGGTTTTTTCTTGTGCAAAAACAATAGCAGAGCCTTACTTTATTTTCTTTTGCATGAAGGTCTTATCGTTTGACATCTACTACATTATGAGTTTTTTGATTTTGTTCATCAAGTGCTCGACGTAAAGGCAGGGAATCTATAGCAACGGAAAAAACTTAAGTAGAAGAGAATCGAAGTGTGTAAATCTAAGTCGTTTGGCCAGTCGCGAGAAACATCAGTGAGGAACTTTTTCGTTGAGCTTTCGGCGTTGGGGACCATCCAATTTACGATTTAGCACGTCATCGCTTTTTCCTTTTTGGGGATCATTTCGCAGACTAGGCTCTTCTATCAAAAAACAAAAAATTCGAGTGCTCTATCCATCTAGTTGTCGCTGTCGTGATATTGAGCTTTGCTCAGCATGGCAAAAAAAAAAAGTATAAAAGATACCAGAACTACTACTAGTAGTACTGGAACTGGTCCCAGTGGCACCACCAGTAGTGAGTCCCCCGACCTCCTGCATTGCCAAGGAGCCCCCCGACGTATTAGCGTTCATTCCGATTACTGCTCCGCTCCGCCGAAAAGGTCGTACTGAGAATCGTTGCTCGTCAACGACTGCATCTTCCTGGCTGTTCGTCGAACACTTGTCGCAGTGCAGATGATCGTCCAGTAGGGCGTGGTTCGCCGCGCCGATAATATCATCTGCAGCATGTAGTTCCTCTTCTTGCCGCCCGTGCATGACATGCTGACTCAAGACATCGAAGCGGTACGGCGAAACCGACCGCGGGAACGGATCGGGGGCTCCGTCTCGGCTATGGGATTCTCAAGCGTTTTTACACTCTCAACTGTTACATGAATTTGTCATGTAAGAATCTTCGCGAAAATGAGAGGCGGGACTTTCTTTCCTTTGGCCGTGCGCGTCTTGCATTACAGACGTGGCACAGATCTCCATGCTGTTTGGCCCTTCGAGAATTCGTCATGAGAAGTAGTTTCTTCATCGTGTCGATTCTGCCTGATGGTAATTTTGGTTTTGCATGGCAAATTCATGTAACAGTTGAGGATTAAACACTTGAGAGCTCCATATCGGTACGACCATTCATGGGATCTTCGGTGTGGACGCGTATCCCGAGCGCCACCGTATCCAAGAAAAAAACCGTGCCAGTGTACTTATGAGGTGTCTTAGGGTCGTGACAGCGTGACACATTTGTTCCTCATGACAGAGAAATCCTGCCACGCACAGCTAGTAGGTGAAGACACGACGTATGAAAAAAGGACATGTAGTTTATGGCTGGACAGCACGTTGACAAGTGCAATACGCTATGCTGTGGCGCATACTTTGCATATACAGACTTACATCTACATGTAAACAGTTCAGTATTTCTTGCATACAGCGGCGGTCCTGGCGGATCGGTGCGGTCCGTGAAGATCATGCTGTTGCTGTATGCATTGCAAATATCAATCGATCTGGGTCTCGAAGATCGGGGTGATATTGTGTAATAATTGCTCAGCGGCCTAGGCCTTGCCTCTGGACGAGCCACGCTCAACAACTTTTTGAGATGCGATTTCCTCCGCAAGATCCCGCGTCTCATCAGCAAAAGAGAAGCCGCTATTGCATGACAAAGATAAAAGAGGGACTGTAATCGCAGAAGGCATGAGAGGTTTTTCTCTACTCCTGTGTCTGAGCCAAGCATTTCAAATAACATCGCATTTTTTATTTTCCAGACCCAGATCGATGTTTGCATTTGATATGCTGGTGGCTGCTATGAAAATAATGGTTGCAGCTATGATCATCACGCACTGCGATGGCAGTGCTTCTGGCAGCGACCCGTGCCTTTGCAAGCGCAGTTGCGGCACTCGGAAAGCAAAACGCCAGCGCAACGAGAAAGAGTACTACTACGTTTGATGCGGCTGCGTTTGTCGAAGAAGTAGAGGATGTTGTTGTTGACCTTGACGGAAAGATTTTGAAGCAGAATAATTGAAATTGTTGTATCGCAAGAAATAAAAACTGCCTCAGTCTCAAACTTTGTCTTTGCAGACGGAGTAATACGAATCTGGTCAGCATGACACCGAAAACCTGTGATGAGATGCGTCAGACGCACGGGAAAACAACACATATGAAAGACGACTTTGTTCCTGCATTTCGTGCCTGACCAAGAACTGTCTCAAGGAACTTGCGCATAAACAAGTTGAGACTGTGAGACAGTTTTTTCTCAGGATAATATGTTGTAGTGTTCGTGCACGATCCGAACTTCTGCTCCTGCACACCGACGACGACGGTGAGTAGCCACAGCAGCTCCAACAGCGCTCCCGTGTTTTGATGTTCTTGCGTCTTTCCATAATCCATACTGGTGTCATCATCTTCTCCTGCTTCATCTGTGCTTGCTACAACTACCCGAAGAAGAGGCGTTTCCTGTTATTGTTGCGCTCTCTCGTAGAGGACACTACTTGTGGTCGTTGTACGTAGTAGTTGCCACCAGGACGACGGACCCGTGTTTTTGGACGAGAAATTTTATACTTTGCCGTGGTCGGAGTTGCAATTTTTTGATGGTGCAGAAGTTGTGAACCCTGCGGGCCACTCTCGAAAGAAGGTTCTTGTTCGCCTAGATACACCTTCTGCTTCTTGCGGAGGTGGTGTACAGACCACTTCTGGTTCTGCGTTGAATAAAATTATCCGTTTGTTACTACAGCAGGCGCCTCGCGGTGCTGTCTTGTCCATCACAAATATTTCCGGGTCTGGACCACGAAAGTTAAGTCGTGCTGCAAAAATAATTTAAATGTGTGGTGTGAGAGAAAGCACAAACTGCTGATGTAATACGGAGCCACGCGTAACAATTTTGTTGCGTAGCCGCGACGTCTACTTGCGTATAGCTGCGCACGACAGCGTGTTGATTTTGCATGGCACCAAAAAATAGTTACGACCGGCGGCGCACGCGTATCATATCGTACTTCCTGAATGTGAATCATCATGACAGGTCTTCGTGAATATTCGACTCAGCATCGGGTGGCAGTGGCTGCGCCAGCAAACACGCATGAAAAGTCATCTTATTTCATCCTTCCAGAGGTGGGCCCAGTCATATTTGCGATGGATAAACAGGCTCTGCTCAAAAAAAAAAAAATTGCAACTACGTGCAGTTCTGCCCCAACTGACTTCTCCCCAGGGCATTAGACTGACCTGAGCGGAAGAAAAGCTGCTGCGAGTCCTCCTTCGAGAAGTAATGCACAAAAGGCGGTGGGCACATGAAAATGAAACTGCAATGAGTATCGTGTAGAAATAATTTTTCGTCAACGGAAAAATCACATCGGTAACTACCTACTCACACCAGCAGCCTGAAATTCAAATTTTTATCTTAATTTCACCATTTTCAAATAGGTTGCGAATTTCAGATTTTCTTTAGAAAAAATTGATGAAAAACCAGAAGCAAAAAACATGACGATCAAGGAACTGCCGCGAGAATTTGAATGGCTACGCGATCTCTTCTTAGACACCGTCAACGCATTGGCATACGCACACGACGTTGACGTGTCATCTATCTTATACGAGTGAAGCGATAATTTTTCGCACTTGGTGGTTAATATATGTACTAGAAGCACGTGTACCTCGCCAGCTTCGTCAGTATGACCAGTTGCGAAAAAGAAAAAAGAACCACAACGACTGGAATTTGTGACGATCTTCCTCTTGGTCGTTTCAATCTCGACGACGTAAAACCGAAACCGATAGAAGCGTTAGTCTATCCTGTGTAAAAGTAGTATCCATCGGTAGCGCTGCGTATTCAAATTCGTTCTCGTCGCAGTCATGCATAATTACAGATGATCTTCCTTATTATTTCTTCACGTTGCCCGATTCAGCATGACACGCTGCAATTCTTCCGGTGGTTGAGAAAATTCGTATATGCAATCCACACTAGTAGAACGACAGTGTTGGTTTTGCAATGCAGCAAGTCTATGTCACCATGCTAAGTAGTTACAACAAGATCTTGGCGGGAACATCAATTGTATCGCTGCTGCTGTGGTCTATCGCGACTCACGTTCAAAAAAAGAGGGTATCGTCCTTCCTCGACGATGACGACCTTCCAACATAAAAAAGGATGTAGTTTCCAAGAGTATGGGCTTCGATTCGCAAAGAAATTCTTTCCGGTTCGGTCCGAAGAATAGTTTTTTCCCATCGGACAAATAGCTCAATGCGCAGTCAATTCTTGGAAATGGTGTAAGTTGAGTAGGTACTTTTGGATGCGAAAACAAAAAGTCCGTACACGGTCGTCCTTTGATCGGATCAGATGGCCGGCTGGACGGACGCCAACCACACCCAAACGAGCACGAGACGCCCGGCCCAACAGAGCAGGCACGAGCGAGTCCTGTAGCAGAGGCGCCCCCACTGCTTCCAGACCGTGGCCGCGCCGAAAAATCAGGACTCCGCGGCCCACTGCGATTGTTTTTTGGGCCGCCGCCCCCGCTCCCCGCACTGCAAAGGGCCGGCCCGTCTGCGAACACTTCGTGGCGGCCGCTGGCAGCAGTCGCCGGCCCTGCAAATGCGCCCTGCAAATAGACAGGGCGCCACCCGCTACGGGCTAGTGGGTGCCCAGCGCCATGCATCCGGCAGGCCTGGTGCCGGCGCAATGCCCTACTTGTCGATCTTCTTCGGCTCGCGGGGCACTCTGGTGGCGGCCGGGCGCTGGTTCGTTGGCAGGCTGCCGGGCTGGCGCGCGAACAAGCAGGCCGCCGCGAAATGGTGGCGCAAGCCATCCCAGCTAGGCCTCCAGGCCATCGGCCCCGCAGGCCACCGCGGCAGAGGCCGCCGGCTTTCGAGGCCCCCTGCTGGGCAAAGGAAGCGGCGCCAAGGATTGCACTAATCTACCCGGACAAACGGCGCGAGGCGATACGGGCGCGGCCACGGCAAAAACGGCGCGCCACGCTGAAATGTCCAGAATCCGCTGGGCGCGATTTTTTCCCCGATGCTGGCACAAGCCGTGTTCAGCAACGTCCAGAATCCGCAGGGCGCGATTTTAGGCACGACGGCACGATGGGGCCAAAACAGAAGCCCAGGGCCTTTGACAAACCAGACAAAAAACGAGCCCGGAGAACTTTCGCAAGACTTTCGCTGGGTGGCGAAAAGGAGGCCAAAACGCGAGGCAAATTGGCTCCGGTTTTTTACCCTACGCCGCATGCTATGCTGCATTTTTGCGGTTGGCCTCCATCGCACAAACCCCTGCCCCAGCGAAAGTTCTCCGGAAGTCATCCGCGACTGCCGGCCACCAGCAGACGAACGCCGCAAAAAGCCCAGCAGGAAGGCAAAAAGCCGCCCGGCCCGCTGCCTGTTTCCGCCGTTTTTCCCCAATGTCCCCCGGCAGAAGTCTGCTGGCAGGCGTCTTCTCTTGCTGCCCGCCCGGTGCTTCAGGAGTCGCGTCTGCAACTGGGTACCCATACCAACACCGCCACCGCGGCAAACGCAAATAAAATACCAAGAGCGAGCCAGCGGCCCTACAGAGATGAGGAGGCGACTGGGTAAAATACCCCCACCATAGCATGAAGTCTTTTGACGGCTAGAATAGCTGGGGCGATTTGAGAGTAATTTGGATGCGAAAACAAAAAGTCCGTACACGGACGACCTGTCATCCTTTGATCGGATCAGATGATTGGATTGGATTGGAATTCTGCTCGCTCATGGACGCTCATGGAGTGGGGCGTACTCGGGGCTGTAAGAGCTCCGGCGAGTGCTTTCATGAGCTAGACTTGACCACGCGTACTGCTATAGTAGAGGCGGCTAACGATGAACCTGCACCCCTCCCTCGTGTCATACAAACCCCGGGCTTAGGATCAACATGCTTACAGGGGGGACGGGGAAATAGCCCAACCCTGGCAGGTCCACCGAGAGTCTTGTACTGGCCAATGTAATAACTTCACGCGCCAGACGGGAGCACACGTCGAACCCTAAACCCTGTCTAAGTTATCAGTCACTTACAACTAGTTTTTTTTTTTCTTCTAACCATGCAAATTTATTATTTTTCATGCATCTCACCTCGGCCTGATGGACATCTTTTTTCTATTTCTTTTTGAACCCTTTTGGTAAAAATAAAATAGATCCGTCTAGTAGCACCGCGGGCATGTGCAGACACATCGGCCAGTGTGTGGTTGGGGCGACATGCCATGCACAGCAACTGGGAGCAGGATCTCCACTAACTTTTTTCCAAAACGATAACAGGAGTGGCTCTTCTGAACACTACTTTTTTTTTTATTTTTGTCATTAGAGTATACGAAACTACCGCCTCTGTTTCTTCGTTGGCCGAGGTGCATACAAAAAAGAGACCGACTAAAGCCACCGAGCCGCACAGTGGTCTTGTGCGCTACCACTAAATTTAGGTCGAGACGGGCGCTAGCGCTACGCCCAAACACAGTCATGTAGAAGTATGCCTGATATTAATGATTGTGCGGAACGATGACAGGACAGTTTCGCGGGGACCGACAACGAATGTATCTGCAAATTAGACAAATACTTCAAAATATGTGTAGTTCAAGGTGAAGACGAAGATGAAGAACAAGAAGATGAAGTCTATGCATGACACAAACAATAGGTAAGTGAAAAAGTTTATCCATACTCCACTTTAACCACACACTTCATACACACCCCCGACGACACAGCTGGCGTAATCTTTGGCGCCACTACTTGCCCAGAGAGCGCACGATCACGGCCTGTGGAAGCTTTTCGAACAGAGACTCCTTGCCACGAGTAAGCTTTCCACACTTCGCTGACAAGTCAAGCCTTCCACACTTCGCTGACAAGTCAAGCGAACAGTAAGCCTTCAACACTTCGCTCCTTTCCACGGACGACCTGTCATCCTTTGATCGAACCAGATGAACTACAACTACACATGTAAGATTTACAGTTCATCTTCGTCCCTGCATAGAAGTAGTCCGATTTTCAATCCAAAATAGTACAACGGCAACTA